TCATTACTTTATCATTTCCTTGAAGTAATAATCACCATATTAATCATTTTGCACTGCAGACGCGGTAGTTCTTCTGCCTTAGCGTCTTGGTCTGATTGCATTTCCATGAAGAAATGATCATAAATGTTCTTCCTTGAGCTGAGTCACCCCCTGAGTCATGGACTGGTCAAGGTCTTGCTACAAACAAGCGTCTGCTGGAAGAGAGAAATTAGGCAAAGCTAAAAAGATGTTTGGTGGCTAGTGCTGTGGCTAGGATCCTACATGTACTGTTGACAAAGTTAGGTGCTGTTCTGAGCATTATTTGTGGCTATAGAGTGGCGTTTTGGTTGAGGTTTGTGTGTAGCTCCTCAGACCGCTGTGTATTGCTATCGTGCGGTCGTTACTAAAGTTGGTATAACTAGAGAAACAAGCGGTCAGCAACATTCATCTCTCGGGGGGGGCGACTTGGTGTTATGGTGTGTTTGACCCTAAGTTAATTTTACACTGGAATATCCCTTTGGATACCATTCGTTAAAGAAGAAATAGAGAAAATAATGTAACTCTGTCGCCTCATCGGCAATCATTGTAATGGATTAAGTTAGGTTGACGTCCTTTTTGAGTTACTTTCTTAAAACTATTGCAGCCGGAGGTTTACTGTAAAAGATTTTTAGCCGAATAGGTGTGACAAATATTAAACTTTGCTTAAATTTTGGTGCTTGGATGCCAAAAGAATTGTGTAAACATCTGTGAACCACAGAACAGGCCCTATGTTCTTGATCAGGAAGTAGAAAAAGTGGATTTCAATCCAGCGCTCCATGGCCTTAATCTCCAGGATTAGGGCATCAGAAAAGTTCCCTGTGCTGTGTTTTTTGTGGTGTGTTTGTTTATGTGTTTGCTAAGCTTTCTCTGTACATAGCTTGCAAGCTTTCTTTGGTCGGCATAGATCTGAATGTATGCTTGAAGTGTAGTATCGACAGCCTCATGTGCAGCAGCAGCAGACAGACAAACAGACAGGCAGAGAGAGAGAGAGGGGAAGAGGAAAGGAGGGAGGGAGGGATGGAGGTGCCCATGGTTTAAGAGCTAAAGCCGCTTGGCCCAGATGAAGATGGCTCTCAGGCTCTCTGCCAATCAAAGCCTGGCCAACATCACACTCTCACTGACAGGGCAGGGATACGGTCGGTCAGGCCACACGCACACTTTGATGTACAGTATACAGTATAATAGACAGAGTGTGAAGCCGCTGCATCATAATGAAGCTACACCGCCACTCTGCCTTTACGCTTTAACGTGACCGCATAATGGTGACACCTTAGTATGATTTTTACACCTGCTTTTAGTGTTTTAGGAGCACAGGAAACATGACATGTAGAGCAACCCCTGCATACACAGACACACAAACAAATTGCTCATATTTTGACAAACATCTGTGAACTGCTATTTTCATGCGCAGCTATTTTTGCATGTGAAATCTTGACTTTTTAGAAATTGCGTGTCATTTTTGGGATTAAATTATACAAATCTGTTAAGTGGCGGGGCAAAAAGAATGTCTTCTCATGCTAATACATGAGGCTTCCATAATCGCATACAAATCAAATTCACCACACAGTTTTCAGGTTTGGTTTAATTACATGCTGTTGTATCCTCCTCTTACCAGGTTAAATGAAATCTTCCTTTTTAACTCTGCATTTGCATGACAGTCGTGGCTGAAAATGAACAGCAACTACTTTTGCAAACTTCCAGGAAAGCTCAGTTTAACTCTTTGACTTTTTAACATTTTACGATGCTGTTCGTATTTACATCTTTTCCTTTTACGTCAAATTTTATGCCCTTAATCATCATAAAGTGATCCCTAACCTGTTCATGCAGTCAGTAAGATCACACAATGAAACACGAGATGTATTTTTCCTTTATTTGACAGCTGTGTTTAATGTCTGGGTTAATTGTTCAGACTCAGACACGATGTTTAAAATATCCAAGAGGTCTGTGTACACCACTGGGTGACACAAGCCAACATAATGCAGTCTGAGGCTGGTGCCACAGAGTGGAAATAAAGTCTCTCTGAACATCTGCCAAAAGTCAGAGATCATCTAACCAGAGATGGGCACACAGTTCACTGTGACATAATGTCAGCATACAATTACTAATGGTTGGAAAAAGCTTTTTTTTTTTTTTCCCTCTCTCTCTCTCTTTTCATCCGTTTAATGCCAGTTGTGTTTTTGGCCAAGCTATCTTTGTCACCAGGCAGGTGGCAGGGATTAGTAATGCTTTTTCCTGAACTGATACAAACACCATACACCATGGTAAAATCAACTTGCCTGCAGTGTTCGGTCTAATTGCCCAGTCCTACACCTTCTCCACTATATTTTTCAACTTGTATAAAACTGAGGCACAGTCTCTGATGTCACCCAGTTGTTCCTTTGGATACGTTTTAAAGCCAAATGGTGGTGGAAGCCATGTTGGAAATGCAAGCATAACCTAATATCAAATAGAAAGTTTTTCATTTTGGCTCTCTGAACACAGTTTAGAGAAGATTTCATAATTGCTAAAATTGGGAACTTAAATAAAGGACCTAATGGGAGCCCACTGGCTTTTACTGCCAGCCTGAACACTAAAACAAACTACCAGAGGTTATCAAGCTGCAGTGGCGTCTCATAAAATCATCTGCAGGTTTCTACTAAGTTGTTCATCGTTTTTTCTACTTTTACCTTTCTGTCTCTGCAACTTTACTTCTGAAACCAGTTTAGGTGGCCTGTGGAAGAACTTGTGGAATTTTGGAGCACAAAGAAGAAGTGGATCGATTACGTTTCATCTGTTTCTAGTTTTTCCTCTTTCTGAGTGAACTCTTGACTGTATTCAGCTTTTCGTTCCCAGACGATTCATGTAGAGACATTGTAAATAACATTCTTGGACTTTGAGAGGCAATCAAGGAGCTGCACGCTCTCATTGTGGTTCAGTTGCAGTAGTCAGAACTGTCAGTGAGTAAAGCGAGAAGGAAAGAAAATACAAGCACGAGGAATTTTGATTTTGAAAAAGCATGATTGCCAATTCAAGTATTGTGTGATGATTAAATGCAGCCCTTAATCCATAAATGTAACCACTACAGTCAAGGCTTTCCTTTGTTCCTCCACACGCAATCTGTCTATTATTGTAAGTAAAGTTTGACATAACTTTATATAATGCTAAGATCATCTGGCCAAGGTATCTTCATCAGCAGCTGTCTAACCTGCATTTTTAATCCAGCTATTCAAACAGCCGCTACAGTCAGGGATTAGCAGTAGATAATGAGTTGCAACTGCCGTAATAGCTGCAACAGATTTTTCTACAACTTACTCTCATTAGAGCACCTCTCCTGATCAGCATAATGATGCCTCCACTTTGACACATTTAAATTTGACCAGGGCTAAGTATTCCCTAAGTGACCCTGTGAAATAATATCTACATCATTATATTTAATATAAGAAAGATTTGAAGCAAAGTTTATGTCAAAGCTGCAGCAAACTGTTGTGTTAAATGACAGTTGACTAGATAGGTAGATAGGTAGGTATGTGTATGTATGTACACATGTGTATGTATGTTGTGTAATTCAAAACCAGATTTACTTATTTTATTTTATTATCTTTTTTTGCTTCTATTTTTTACAGATTTATTCTGTTTATTTTTGTTTTTGCTTTTCTTGTTTGTTATCTTTGAAAGTATATTCTTTACGTTAGGCATAAAAGTGAAGAAAGGGTAGGCACAATAAGCCATGGGCTTCAGCCCGCACCTTTTTTTGGTAATGATTTAAATGAAATGAAATGAAAAGTGTAATTATATATTTTTTTTTTTTCTGGGGACCAAAAATAAAATAAACTAAACTGAACTGAACTGAACTGAACTTGACTAAGTACTGAACCCTGTGGAACGCCACAATTAATTAGATGTGAAGTAAATATGCTTGCCAGTATGGATCCTTCAGACGAATTATCAGACACAACATTAGTTGAATCTTGCAATGACATTAAGTCTAAGACTGTCTGCTATAAAAAGATAAGAAATGTATTGATCCTGAAGGGAGTTCAATTGTTTGTCATCTTATTTTTCATGTCTCTAAAAGTCATCTACTATTTACAGTAGAGTTGTAAAGTCTGATGGCTGTTGGTACAAAAGATCTTCTGAATCTTTCTGTCCTGCAGCAAAGAAAGAGGAGCTGTCCACCATCATTGGCCATTTGGTCCATCAAGGTGTTGTGAAGCTTCTAACAGCATGACTAGATAAGGTGGTTTTGTGTGACTAGAGTGACAACTTCTAATTCTTCTATTATAACAGATTTTAAAAAGTGATTGAGATGTTTTTTTCCATCATTACCAGAGCAGCCGAGTGCTTTTCTGTCCTTTTGAGCTGCCCTTTTGACAGAGATTTAAAGAGATAAAGAAGTAAACAAGAGAAATCTGAAAAAATCCCTCTATTGCACTGAATCAAGGGATCAAAATAATACAACCACGAGGGCAGTAGACTGAAGTGTGCACTAACGGGTTGCATTTTAAGTTCACATAGTTATACAAGTGCAGCCTGCAGCCTTTCCGCAGATAAAAGGCCGTGACCGCACAGCAAATCATGAAAGAGGGAAGCAAGCGGGGAAACAATAACAAAAGAGGAGAACCAAGTAATGAAATGGAGTCTCTCCTTCTGTCTGAAAAGAACATCAAAGGAAATGCTTAATCTCAGGAGGCAGTACTTTGTCGACTGACGTGCATCTCCTCTGACTCTCAATCCCTCTCCATCCATCCCTCTCCTGATGAGATGGATGATGATGAACGTGCGTGAGGGAGAGAGAGAGAAGGAGGGGTGAGGGAGTAAGGGAGGGATAATACCTTCTGAATACATGATGAATGTAGTCATCAGGCTTAAACTGACTAGGGGGCGAGTGGTGCATGGAGACGGAGAGCGTGCATGTGAGTGACACCGAGCACCATCATCAGCTCTGCCCTGCAGGTTCTCTCAGTCACTCCATCCTGCTGCTGAAGGGAGACACAAGGAAACACACTCAAAACCTCCCTCTCCTTTTTTTTTTGGCTGTTTCACTGGGGCAGGGGAACAGAGGCAAGGAGACACAGAAGTGCATCCTGTCACAGACTCCAGCCCACCCAGAGCTTTTCTATAAGCAACAGGATCAAGAGCTGCTCTCAGCGCGCACAGCCTGAGGAGGAGAGTGGATGCTGAACAACATGACGGACTGTGAAGAGGCAGAGGGGGGACCCAACAGTCAGGGTGAGTGATGAAACCTACCACACAGCGGTGAGAGGTGTGTTCGTGTGGCGGCGCGGCAGCGTGGGCGCTATCAGGAGTGAGTTAGGGAAAGTTTAAGAGAGTTAATAAGATTGTCATTTCGAGGTTTAGAGGATAAAGAGATTTCCTGCGAAGAGCTGCAGACAGTGATAAAGAAAGTGTGTCTTGGTTCTTTTGTTTGTCTGATAAACATCCAGTCTTCCAATGCATCTTCGTACGCGTAGATGTGCAAAATAACCCAAAAAACCTAAAAGTTGGGGATGACTTTTACTTTGAAGGGGGTAAATCATGAGGATCTTAACCCTACACCCCCACTTGTTGAGGTTTATCATCCCTCAAGGTGAAAATGAAACCTGCTCCATTGTAAACTCAGCTCTGATGTTCTGCACCTCCTGGGGTTGCACATGTCCACCTTCATCCAGACTTTCCTCTTTTCTCCTGTTTCCCTCTAGTTTTCAAAGACAGCTGCTCTGCCACTGATTGGATAAATTTGACATACCAATGTAGCAGATGTGGCTCAGATGTCACCCAGCGAAGGGTTCATTTCATGCGTGTGGATTTATGAGTTCACGTTAAATTCTTTTTAGCAGTCTACAATAAAAGGTTCCCGTTGAACTGAGTGCAGCTCCTGCTGAGAGTCTGGGACAAACCGGCTTTTCATTTTCTTCCCTTTGAGAACATCTAGCTCAGGGCAATGTCTGTCTTTCATAACGGTGCATGTGTGTGTTTCTGTGTGTGTGTGTGTGTGTGTGTGTGTGTGTGTGTGTGTGTGTGTGTGTGTGTGTGTGTGTGTGTGAGTAATCTGAAATAGTGTCCAAATAGTGGCACTTTTATGAATATTTTATTTGCCTAAGATGCAAAACATTATTCGATTTTCTGTTTCTTTTTAGTTCAAATCACTCGGGTTGTATTGATCATCAATTATTTTTTTATTGGCAGTGACTGGATTATTTTCTTCACTAAAGGCATCTCGACAAAAAGCAGGAGGAACTTTTAATGAAAGAATATTTCAAGGGATGAATTGGTCCCAGTTGTGGTCTGTCGAGGTCAATGACACTTGCAAAGCTCTTTGTTTAACTCTCGTGAATGAAAAAGTCGTGTTGGGTCACATTGGCAGCAGGTGAACTATGTCAGTCATTAAACAACATCTGGTTACAGGAAGTAGTTGTGTATCCTTCTCTCTGCTCAGCTCTCTGTGTGTAAATTTAATAGGATATGGACAAAAAGTACAAATGTGAGGAGTTTTTCTTCTTCTTTTGAGTATTAGCAGGTTTTTAACTCTTGGTTGGACAATTAAAAGGAAGAAAGTTGTACTTCATTGTGTCAATGCAAAGTCTGTTTACACAAAAAATCACAGCCAGTGACGCTATCAAGGTCAATTACCTCCCACCCAGACTAATGCATTTCCAAATGACAGTGGTTTTATAAAATAAAATAAGCTCCTAAGCCATATTCAGGGAACAGGGCAAATCTACAAGCTTATGTTTTATTTGCTCTGGCAGGAAAGTCTGGTAGCCCTCATGTTCAAACAGATTTCAAGCTGACCTGGCCTGAGTAAGCTTGTGGTGACAAATGAACTGTTAGTGCTGTTGGGTTATTTTTGTAAACAAGCAAGATGGCTACCGCTGGTTTGGACGGCTCTGCTGAAGCAGCTGTTGGGTCAGTAGTTTGCCTTTGGAAGCTGGTGAGGTGATCATAAGCTGGTGTCTGAATCACTTTCAGGGGCTCTTTTTTTTGGTACATTTAACCGCAAATTATTTGTGTTAATGATGTTAACATCTGGCACACACAAAGTTCTTCCAAAACGGTCTGTGTAACAATTAAAATTACAGGTATCATTCGGTTTCATAAACTCTGGATTCTAGTTTTGCATATTTCCTCAGGAGGTGAAGTGTGTAATGAGAGAGTGTGAGAAAATCAGACAGTTTACACCTCATGATGTGATCTCTTGAGGTGAGACATCATCATCAATTGCATATCATAAACTGGGATTTTTTAAGAGGTACAAATGTGATATCTGAATCTGCAGAAAAGAAACTCTTCCTACTTAAATGGCTGAGCTAGTATTCACCTGAAGAACCTACTTGTTTCTAACTACCACTTCTAAACTGGATTGCAGAGACACTTTAATCAGAGATGGGAAGTTGTCTCCATTTTCTTTAATATAGCTGTGACCTACATTGCGGTACATTCACGCCCTCTCAGCAGCAATATGAATCAAAGGATAAGCATTTTGTGTTTGATAGTAAGTTTGTTGCTAGTTTTTTTTACAATTCAAAATAATAATGGCCAGACTGTGCACCGCTTCCATCCATCTGCTTTTAAAATGACAAAATAATGCTCCAGAAAACATTGAACTACCTCGTGTAATTGTGTAGTCAAAGATTATATCTCAACAGTTTAACCATGCCACAAATCAAAAGCACAGTTTAAAAGTTGTGTAATTGTACTTGATCTTTTACGTATAACGTATCATTAACTCAGCAAATCAACCAAGTCCTGACATGATGAAATAACTAGATACTCTCTAGGTAAAAGCTACAAACAAAAGTTTCTTGGTGGATCTCCGTGAAACTAATCTTATGAATAGATTTCCTTTTCTGATGTCTCTTACTGGGGATCTTTGCTGTTGGACACGTGGAATATGTTGGATCATCAATTTGCAGTTTAATACTTTGTCTGGAACCTACAATCTGCCCGTGCTTCAAGACATTTACAATATAACTAAATAGAAAGAGGCACTCTTCTTGTCCATGGCCTGGTTTGCTATTGAGGTCATAAGTAAACATCAGTATTAAATTCTGTCTGTTTTATAACCAGGAGCTTTGACATCACAATATGAATTAAACATTTCAGTTCTTGAGTCAGACTCCCTGCTGGATACGGCGACCTTTAACTTTCCAAAGGTCACAATTTGAGTTACACATTACAGCACAGGGATGAGAATGAGGCAGATTGTGATCCTAATACATTATAAATTTAACACAGAGAATATTTCCAGTGTGATATAAAGAGACACCTGGAAAAAGATAAGCTGCTCACTTTATTCTGGCCTGATCGACAAAGCTGGCAAGGTGACATATTTATGAGGATCCCTGGAGGCGGCAGGTTGTCTGACATATAGGCAATAAAAGTAGATGGATAGGTTTCGATCAATCAGGTCAACAGGGTGACTGTGAGGTTAAAAAAAACTCAGTCCTGGTGTAGTTTTGCCCTTCAGAATATTCAACGGAAACAAACTATTTTCCCACTAAATCTTGTATAACTGTGTCTTGTTGATGAAATCTAACAAGATTTCAGTATAATTACCTCCGCCAAGGTGGTTATGTGTTCGGTAGCATTGGTTTGTTTGTCTGTTAGCAACTTTACGGAGAAAGTTAGAGACGGATTAACCTGAAATTTTCACCAGAGGTGCATCTGAGCCCCAGGAGGATCCCATTTAATTTTGGTGGTGATCCGGATCGCCTTCTGGATCCAGGAATTTTTTGAAGGATTCTTTATCATTGTGAGATAGGGCAAATTTTGGAATTTTCGCACTTAACTCTATAAAAATGGCCAGAGTCTTTAGTAAAAAATTACACAAAAGGATCTCAATGAGTTTTATGAGGTGTCAAAGGTTGATCCTGATCCAGACAAAATTCACACAAAATAAGGGTGTTGTTGGAATTTTCAGTGCTGAAAGATAACCAATGAAGATTCAACGAAGTGTACGCTTACAAATATTGCATAATAAATGATGCATTTATGTATCTAATATGAGCTTTGTTGTTTTAGGAACATTATGAACAGCGAACATATCAGTTTAAACACAAACAAAAGTTAATAAAAGACGCGTAACAGTAAAAGTTTTGGTGTGAATCACAATATAAGGGGGGACATGAGCTGCTTGGTGGAGGTCTGCGCTCTCCGAGTGCTTTTCTAGTTTAACATTTTTTTGTTATAAGATAGGCCCCCAGGCTTTGATTCTTTATCCCAATACTTAAATCACTCAGTTTGGACATTAAAACTCAAAACCTATGCAAAACAATTTCATCCTTGGTCACTACAGTAATTTACTGTTTTTTTCCTCACATTTTTGTTCTTTAATGTGATATCTTGATCACTTTGAACACTTCAAACCTTAGCTTTTTCAACACTAAATTTCAGGGCATTTTAAATGCTGCTAGTATCGCTGTTGTAAAGGTGTGGGCTGTACTCTCAAAGTTCAAATTTCACTGAAGTTATAAATGCATAAATGGAGGATGATGGAGGATTTAACATTTAAGTATAAATTTATCGCAAAGTAAGTTGCTCATTTGTCCTCCAGTCATTTCTAAATCTAATGGAGTAAAATGTAGTTTAGAGAAAACTTACAGAAGACTAAACTACAACAGAGATAGAAAACGTGTTTATAAGAAACATGAGCAATCCAGTCTGACTCAAGACATCTGCAGTTTAAAAAGGACCTATAGAAAACTTTTCATTTTAGTGTCCCTGTAAAAAGCTTTGACATCTTTAAACAGTTTTTTGAGACAGAGAACATTTTAAGTTCTTTTTCAGGTGTTCAGACCAAACTAAGCCACACAGATGTCTTAGAAAAGGTTAAAACTGCAGCCTTCACTTAAACTTTGCAGCGGAGTAACAGTGGAGCTCACCCTCTGATATTCCTATTGCATGTGGAGCAGCTGGTGCAGCAGATAAACATAGGTCACGTCAATGTCACATTTTTGGCAGCGTTAATATGAAAGCATGCTTTGGAGGGTCACAGGTGAAGATTTTATGATAATGCTGGAGCACATAGATGAAAAAAAAAAGCCTTAATGCAGAAAACAGACGGAGAGAAAAACATATGCTGTGTTACCTACAAATATTTCAATCAAAGAAGCCAAATAATATAGATATATCATCTGATTTATACTGTATCAACCAAATAGTGAGTATTCAGTGTTGAGCTAGTGAATGTTTTGTTGGCAGACTGATAGATGACAGCAGGTTTGCAGACGCAGTGAACTCTCAGGGTCCTCTTTGTTTGCCAATACAAGCTCTGGGGGCAGATGGTCTAAAACTGCCTTCTTAAAGACAGCAGACTGGAAGAGATTAAACCTGGCTGGAGATGAATCCGCACTGATAACAGTGTAAACAACACTTTGAGACATTTTGGCTGCTTCAGGGTTGTTTAATCGGTGTTCATTACAATAGTTTATCTTAATAGAGTGACTGATGTGAGAGTGTAGAGGTTAACAGCCTTGTCAGCAGGTCTGTGGAGTTCTACTTAGCCACAGAAGTGCTTCATCTATTAGTTTAGTGATTGATTTAAAAATCTTAAATGTAATTTAATGGCTCAGTGCTTGGGTGTTTTATTGCTGGTTAATTGCATATATGGCTGATAGAAGTTTATGTCTGATTGTTGTTCTCCAAGGCAAGGATTCCTGTTTATAACCAGTGGCCAGCAGATTAAAAAGTCCACCTTAAACCTGCTTGGAAGTCATGATGTGTGTGGTTTTGTCCAGTGTATAGCACTTCCTGTCAATGAAGGTTTTCACATGGAGAAGGGAAGCCGTATTTGTGTTATTTTATGATGAAGATGATCTCGCCAAGGCCTCATTGAAGTCTGGAGCGCAGTGAGTGCACACCAGAGGGGGAGGCAATCGTACTTTGGCATGGTAAAGGGCAACTGGGTCTGATGTGAGTGTGTATTAAGATTAGGGCCCGACCGATGTGGATTTTTTGGGGCTGATGCCGATTATTAGGGGGGGGGGGGGTCCGATTACCGATTAATCGGCCGATTTTTAAATTCTTTTATAAAGTTATAAAAATCGTATAATAATAATATAAATATATACTATATACTGTACTATATATACTGCAGTTGCTTCAGTCAGAGAAGTAGCTCAATCACTTAATGTGTACTGTTGTTTATTCTACCGTTACTGGCACGGCTAACGGTGTAGCAAGGCTAACAGCAGGTAAAGACAGGCATTAAAACAGTTTCTAGGGGGTGCCTTGAAACTGCGAGTATGTGATGAGCTGGGACTGACATTGGTATACTATCGCATCGCTCATGCTGTCGACATCAATAACTTCAGACTATACAGTTGGCGTTTTTCTCTCCAAAAAGCAAAAAAAAAATCAGGGCATGAGTATTTCAGTATCAGGCTCTTTCTAAGGACTAAGACAGGCTAACTGTTTTACCATCTTTGCTCTTACCTGATCTAAATATATCCGTGCTGTAGATTCATGTTTCGCATCAGAATAGTATTGAGTGCTCATTTAGCAGTATACATTATTATTTCCCAAAATGGCAAACTCTCCCTTCATTAGTCTGATACAACCAAACCCCCTGTCCTCTAGCCCAACCACAGCCCACTGCATGGACTTAATCTGCCTGCCAGATGTTGGTGGCTCAGTAGTGGTGTTCGAATCTGAACCAATTTGTCTGATTGCCCATACGTTAATGCAGAGGGCGCGCTGTTGTAATTTCACTGAGAGAAGGGTCACCTGACACATTAGCATAGGTGGATGATTGACGCACACAGGAAACCTGTTACTCCTCCTCATACAGATGACGGGTCTTAGTCTTTGTCATTGTCAAAGCTGTGGGCTAAATGAGGACAAAAGAGTCACCTGTCATTACATTATCACTGTGTAGGTTACAGTGGCAGCTTCACTGAATTATTGTAAACTAGAAAATCCATTTAAAGTTGAATACTAAAAATCTTTGCATCTCTGTAGTTTTGCTGATCAGAGTCCACAAATAGGTCTAACATTTCCCAATTTGGAAGATGCTGAGATTTCTTCACACAATCATATAAATTGTCCCCTTTCATTTTCTTTGAGTGTGTACTTGGTCCTCTTATTTTTCAAGGTCAGTCCCCTACATCACACTTCCTGTCATATCTTATTATTAGATGAGCCCTTGCGCATCAGAGTAATACTTTCGATAACTTAATGAAGTTGAGGCACCATCACAGCACAGAAGATATTGCATGCTCCAACATGATTATATTTAACCTAACAGAGGGCGCTTCGTTTACTTTTACTTTGGCACTTTTATTTAATTATATTGTTCAAAATTTTCCCACCAAGCTGAGTAATAAATGGACAATAATGATGAGCTATCTTTAAAAAATAGATATTCACTGGTAGTATTTAACATTGAGTGATACTCTTTGTTGTATTATTTGGATTAAAATGCCCAAAACAGAGGACACTTTCAACTTCATTTGTTATTTTTGGCAATAAGGAGAAGTCCAGTTAGCTTCACTGACATAATACAGACTGAAATATTTGGCTCTTGAGTTTTAAGCCCTTTTCACACATGCACACAATTCCTGAAAATGTACCTCTAGTATATTGGCGACATGTATGAGTGCAAATGAATGAATTTTTTGCTCTAAAATTTCCATCTGAGTGAGCTTGATGTGTGAAAGCAGCAGGTAAAAGTAGAGAGAATTTGATGATTATGTAGAGCAAAGAGTCTCTGCTTTCTGCTCAATACTTTTGTCGACCAGTGAGCTGAGCTGGTAGTGTGCAGCGGGGTGTGTGGTAGGAGAGTCACTCTAACTACATTAAGAGTAAGAAATATGTGTAAAGGGAGCAATGAAGTTCAGCAGAACTAAGAAAAAGGGAGGGGAAATGGAAAATTTATTTGGTTTGATAACAAAATTGACTCATTTTATATTAATCATATTTATCTGAGCTATTGCAAAATTCTGTGCTTCCTCAGGCATCTATCATGGCTACTGAGTTGGAGTTGTATCTATGTTTTTGGGCCCCCACTTATCTAACATTTTGAACTATATCTGAAATCCAATTTAATTATCTCTCTATAGATTCACACCCATATTTCAAGTTTCTTTTTCTGTTATTATTGTTTTCTTTGTTTCTATGAACAGTTAGACTGCACTCACAATCCTGCAACAGCTTTACCTTTAAAACTATTGGAAGAAAACACACAGACAAAAAAAAGGGTTACAAACACATGCACCAAATATTTCACAGCACTCCTGACTGAGGCTTTAATGGCTCTTCTTAGATCATGACTACACCAGACTTGAAAATCCAGCAACAGGGTGACTGAATTGGAGGAAGACTAGAGGAAATAGTGATATAACCTCCCCTAATCCCTTCACTGAGCTACAACTTCTCTCCACCCAGTTGTCTTAGATTGGTGATTATTGACCACGGCGTGGTCTAATCCTTTCATCGCGGTCACCGCAGCTCATAGAGAGAAACAGAAAGCACAAATCTCTTCTGAGCAAAAGCACTTGATAGTTTTACTAAATCATCTGTTACTGTTGTTTAAGTCATGTGGTAAACTGTGTCAACACATGATTTGAGTCAGTGTTTAAAGATAAAGTTGGGGATTTCCTGTTTTTATTTGATTCATTTTTTTTTAAGACATGAACTGATCGTTTTAAAATTATTGTATGTGCAAGCTGATAAATCTCACATAGACGCTTTTATAGACCTAGATTTAGTTTTCCTCTGCAGCCCTTGTTGCCCCCATGGTTTTCAATAATAGACAAACGGTCTGAACTCCACAAGAAACCAGGAGGTTTTCCTTCGCCTCTTGTGTGAACCAGGTATCAGGCACTATAGTCATCTATTTCCTATTTAAAAAATGAAAACAAAACATAGATCAGTATCAAGTGGTAGTAATGTGGAATTTGAATGTCACACTCCCAAAGTGGATTATCTGTAAGGCACATGTTCACCATTTGCATGTCCACTGATGACAAACTGCACGCGGGACGACAGATGATCTTTTTCTTTTTTTATGGCATGATAACATCACCCCTGTTGACCATCATACTCTTCTGCTATCAGGATGAACAGTCTGATGCTTCACCCTGGGGAAATCATTAAGATAAACTGAGGCTAGTGGTTACAAAACCTTTGCTGGTTCAGCTTCTGCAATATTTAGTATTTTTGTCCTCAACAAATTTTCTCACCAAATTTGTTTAAAAAAGTTGAGCTTCAGAATTTTTAATCAAGGTAAGAGGTGAGAAATAGGGTTGATTTTTTTGCTTTTTCCACATTTTTACCAATTTCATCTGCTTTCATTGAGAGAGAATGGCTAAAAGTTGCTATTTGACGTGTAAAGAGTCTGATTTCCCCCTCCAAAGCGAAATTTACACCCAGGCATTTTATTGGAAGCCAAAGAGAACATTTTCTTCTTGATGTTTTCACTTTTAAGATACTTTTCACACACACACAAACACACACACACACACAAAATTTTGGTTTTGGTTGTGGTTTTTCTTCACCAATGGCTAAGGGAAAAAAATATTTTGAATGGTATGAGTTAATTAACCACATTGCCACATCGACTGGTTGTTTCTAAGGTTTAGTGTGGTGAGTCTATGTAAAACTCTTTTATCTAAAATAGTTCCTTTTAACAAGAAATAAAACACTTCCTCAAAAAGTGACCAAGTGGTTGGCACTGGTTTTAGTTTCCTGAACTTGGACATTTTGGAGACAAAAATATGGCATTTAGATTTGCAAACTCTCAAGTTTTGATTGTTTTTTGTTGTTTTGGATTTTTGATTAAACTGCATTTGGCATATTTTGAAATTTAGTGGTGAAAAAATTCCATATGCGGATTGCAAATGGCCCACAAACAAATGCTAGAAAATATACAACATTTATCCTACCTTTGTCAAATATAAATGTAAAATCCATTATAATTGTCAGGCTTGGATCTTAACCAGGATTGGTTTGACCTTTATAAAGAGTTTCCAATCATCAGTATTATTAGTCGATGTAAATAGCGTTCAGTCGTCTCCACAGCAGATGTAAACACCAACGACATGTCACATTGATTTAATGAAAGGCTTTTTATATCTCTGATATAATCAAGTTAGGCTTGTGCAGATGTTGAATTTGCATTTCCAAATCAACAAGACTAATTAGGTTAACAACTAGCTGTGCCTCCAGGAAGTCAATATTCTGGTTTATATAAACCCAAATAAACTGCAATGTGTGGCCTCAGCAGTCTGGCAGGCATTTTAACCAAAACTAAATAAGAACTTACTGGCATTGTTTTATATTTGGCATACAGATATCTTAGATAACTCCACAAAGTTATTCAAATACCGCAGATGATGAACTTGTCTTAAACACTATTGAATTGTTAAACATGACATTTGGCATATTTCCCTATAAATGTGCTTATTGTTGTTGATAATATGGTAGAAATCTCCTCTGTTGTAAGCAGTTGTAATAATTTGAAAAAACCTTGAGATGTTTGACCTAAAGTCGGGATGCAATGTGTACAACCGAGTGAACTTAATGCACATAACTGGTCCCATATAGGCTATTTCCACTATAATAGGGAGTAAAGCACTTGGCATGTGTAAGTGTCTTTGTCTTAATTAGATTTCATCCTCTCATTAATCCAACTCTTGCCTGACTAATAATCATGTGAACCAACACCAGAGCAGGGTGGTCTCATTAGCTGATGAGTTACTCAGCGTGTCATTTCATACCAGTAAAATAATGTTATTTTCTTTGGGGAAAGTCATGGCTCGTTTGCTCTGAGAAGCATATTTATTTGATTTCACAAGCAAAAATGTTTTCTCTGTTCTTCACATCTGGATATCTGAAATCTGGTTTCACTTTTCAGTAGTTTTTCACCTCCCTTTTCCTTTTTTTTTCCTGCATCTTAATGGGATCTGTAAGCAAGGTGTTGGACAGTCTCGGCTTTACAGGCTTGTGTTCATATTGGATGTGTAAAGCAATGCGAGCAATGAATATATATAAAGCCATCGTGTACACATCAGGAATCTATGAATATGTAATATATGAGGCAGCAGATGCAAAATTCTCCTGAGAGTTCGTGGTTTGTATAGTTTCCACATGTAGCAGCTTGTAGTTTGTTTGTGTGTTTTCGCCAAATTTCTGTTCAATATGCTTGAAACGGGGCACTAATCATAAACAAACATTTTCATGGGCATAATTTACCTTATTATCACATTACACAAAGAAATAGCATTTGTCTGGGAGAAGAATAAGACATATGGAAATCTGTGAAACCCATAATGGAAAGATAATATGTTACACACTGCATGCGTGCAGATATCCCGAATTCAAGATGCCCTCAAAGGCGAGAAAACGAAACAGATCACATCGCCGTTTCCCATTTCAGAGGGAAATAAAGCAACATGGTGTTGAATCATTTATCATGCTGACACCTCAGTGAAGTAGCTGGTGCCATCTTAATTATTTTCACCCATACCCCTGAAAAAGGTCTGGACCAAATAAACCAACCATAATCACTACAGCTGTTGAGCTTTACTGGGTGATAGAAATGAATCAACTAAGCTAAAGTGCATTTAAGTCGCCTCCTCAGGCTCAGTGAAGAACCTCCAGATCATTTCTAATCGCAGAATGACTCCTACAGGATGATCGGGAGAGGTGAAAGCAGTGTTTATTTTGTTTTGAGCTGGACAGCATCATCTGTGTAGCAGGCAGAGCATTCCTCCTGATTAAAAACAGCGAGTCAAGATAATAAACAGCCCTCACACATCTCAGCTGAGTACGTGTCAGCCTGCGTAGCTGCGGTCTGTGACCCCATCAATTCTCTTTGAGTCGCTGTGATGAATCAGTCGATATTATCAGATAAGAATGTAATTTTGTTTGGTGATGATAAAGTTTACAGCTATTATGCAACTTCCTAACATAACAGTTTCCCTCAAGTCTCTATTGATAGCATCATAGTTTTGTCTTTGAGTGTGTGTGTGTGTGTGGGTGTGTGTGAGTAGTTTCACCTGCTTTGACCTCTGTTTTATCGACGAAGAGAAGGACGAGTCTTGAGATTAAGGATGTAGCGCCGCTCCAGGTCACAGGAGATGGGAGATTTCCTATGGATTGAGATATTTTGATGGTCATATTTTTGAAAAAAATAAGTGCACTTTCATCACCTTGTCAGAACTACTTTTTGTCCAACTCTTTGAATAAAAACGCCACATATCCACTCCAGGCTGACATGTTAATAAGTCCCAGCTGAAATTGCTGGAAAGTTCTGGTTGACTGACAAGCTGAACTAAAATGATAGGAATGCTGGGCAGTACACCTGATCAGGAATTTGTTGGAAATGAACTTAATTTTTGAACAAGACATCAAACTTGAATACAGATGTTAATAGATGGCTAAAAACAACAAAATTACAGTGAAAGGGAAGCTGTGAATTAATTAGGTTTGCTCCCATGCTTAAGAAACTTCGCATGACTTTAAAATTGACACAAAAAAAGAGAAAGGGCAAATATCAGCATCAGCTTTCACCGATTAGTGGTAAGCTGTAACTCAAACTAGGCCACAGCTGAAGAATAACACCACTGGTTTTCCAGATATTTGATCAGTTACTGTATATATTTATATCTCTAACATTTCCCTTATTTAAGGACACAACACATAACTCAACTTTAATGTAGAAAATACTTAACAATTTTGATCTAATATTCTGTCCTAAGTCTTTAATCAAATCAGGAGTTTTATTCTGAAATTCAATTAAGTTCTGGCCAAAAATGAAAGCACCATATCTCGGTGTTGTTCTTGTGGACAAGAACACTCAGAACCAGAAAAAGTTTCTTCAGCACAGACACAGAGATAGAGAGAAGGTTAAATTACACAAATGAATTGGCTGGTAAGCTGGAAATGAATGAGGTACGTGTGCGGTTGATGTAATTGTGAGGTTGCTGCGCAGCTGATTGGTGCACTTCTCTCACATGCTGAAGTTAATTTCTGCCCTCCCCTGTGGCCTCCAGCTGTTAGATAATCCCCTTGAGCCTGTGTCCTATTAAGCTTTTAAAAGCCGGTATAAACTGTCCATTTTGTAATAGCCATGTCACATCAAGGGTACAAGTCTGCACCCCCCACTGCCTTTCATCTGCAGGCTGTGGTCAAGTCATTATGAGCATTTTGTATTTTTAGTAAATCTGCAGATTCAGAGCCAATCACATATCATCCATTGGTCATGAATTCCTGTCCTGAAGGGTGAAACAGCAGACTGAAGGCTTATCCATCTTTTTTAAAGCACTGAATGTCAGAGGATAGTTATTTTGGGGATATAATTATGGTATTCAGATTCATTTATAAACTCTATAGACCTCATGAGTATGTGTTTTGCATTTTATCAGAGCATCAATCAATACAGCCAAATACCATCGTTTGTATTTCTTTAAGTCTCCCACCTTGGAAACCCTGGTGTTTCATCTGGTTTTGACCATCTGAAAAAAACACCTTTAGTTTGGCCAGATGGTCAGACAGTTCGTTCGTTGCCTCTGGCCCCTATCATGTGCAGGCCAAGCCAATGTTCTTTTCTACCAGTCTTTTCTGTGTCTAGTGCCCACATTGTGTGAGTAGTGAGTGAACTTTGTGTTGGTCTTGAAAAAAAGTGTGGTCAGACACAAAGGTGTCACAGTGCTGTCGTGGTAAGGCAGGAAGCGTCTGTGCCTAACAAAAACCTAGACTAACAAAAAGTCTTCATTATGAAGTCGGTACTTTTCTGCTGCTATCCGTTTTGAGGAGTACTTGTGTGATTGTAAGATGGAAGTAAGAGTTCACAACACGCACTCCTTTGTTTTTCCACACACTCACATTGACATTAAGCAGGGCTATAACTAGGTGATTTGGAAAAAAAATGATCACAATATATTTTGTTGTATCATCCAATCTTGATTATTGTCACGATTTTTAGCATCTGTACTAAAAACTAAAGAAACTAGAGATCAGTTCAACATTTTATTAACATACAAAGTAAATAACAAAGCAAATTGAATAAGATGAATGAATGAATTGAATAAAATGTGAACATTGGATGATGTAAACTTGGATGATACGATTGATTGCTGCTTTGGATGCACCGCGAGTTGTAGCTAAACTGCTAAAGCTACTCGTGCCATCAGCAGTGACTCTCACATATTCTTCCTCTTCAAATGATTTAACAGATTTGGTGTGTTGCCTGTTTTTGAGGGCACTGACCGCCGACATACCTTGCACATCAGCTTTATTACTCTGCGTTACTTTGGAGATACCCGAACCACTGCCACACAACCGACGGTGAATAACCTCACAACAACAACATTTTCAGGGGATGACTCAAAGTCACGACTGACATCTATTTTGCTGCCCGAAGCTCCGTGTTTAGCTCCACGGAAAAGCTTGACTCTGATTGGCTGTTGTGACGCACATATCCACTATGTTTGATTGAGTAAATATGCTCACAGCTGATCACCGTGATTGAACTGAAATTTATCACGATCATATTATCGCCCAGTCCGAGCTACAACTCTTGATTAATATCCGTATTTTACTAAGACAGAAGATTTGGAGATGCAACAATTCCCCTTTATTTCCTCACACCATGATGCTGCTCACACCTGTCTTCACCTTGACCTCATGCTGAGGACATACGGCCTACGACGCCCCCTAGTTCTGCATCACCTCAGTCTTGCTTCCTGGAATTCATGTTGGAAAAGATGCAGACTCACGCAGGCACAACTAAGTGGTAAACATACTCCTTGATTTATTCCCCTAACATAAGTCTCAGTGCCACTGGCCATGATATGCTACAGTAAAATCTCACCAGTGATACCATAAAGGTAATTTGACATAGATTAAGTGTGATTTTTGTTATTTGTGAGCCCGTCACACATGGCATGGTGGCCCCTGGAGATTTTTCAAGATGCTATTTGTCAAACCCCCCAGTAGATGAATGGATTATGTTGGGCTCTACTTTATTTTCTATGTCCTTAGTTCAGATTTCACAGGGTATGACTCCTCTAAAGGTTTTTGCTTCACTCATACTTCTGTTTGACACTGCTGTTTTTATTATTTACTACAACATCAAAACATGATAAGCAAAGTGGTTTGAACTGTCTGCTGTAAAGCTCTGTGTTCGCTGTGAACCTTGAAACTGTGTGTATTTGTATCTGACTCGTTTATTTCCTCCCCTCTTGTGTTAGTTTTTTCAGATGGCTCATCCATGTGTTTGTTTCTGCTTTGCTCGATACATTCAGTAGAAGATTTGATCGGCACATCAGCATTATATGTGACAATTAACAGTAAACAAAAGTCAGCTGCTGAGCTGTTAATGTAAAAGTAGTAGAAGCTACACCACTGGAATACAATTAACACCAGATTATGCAGTTGAAAATTGATTTTCTCTGACATGTACCCACCTAAATCACAGACAAAATCTCAGTGTTCAGCCCATTCTCCACAATTTGCATGTTGAGCCTCTACCAGGAGGGTGAATACATGTAGGGAGCTGGATAGGGAAAAATTACAGGCTTTTTCATCACCTCTTACTAACATGTTTGTTGATTGTTTTGGTGACAGCCAACAGTAAGTAGTGAAGGAAAATACACCTTGTCAATCAACGAAACTATTCATGCTGCACTCACTAGCAATTTCCATGCAATCCAGACTGCAAGTCCCATTATTGGTCGACTAGTTAGCATCCTAATTTCATGCATTAACAACTTTTTTCTGTCTAGCCTCTGACTCTGATTCAGCAGCACCTCAGCTGACAATTTCACTACAATGTGATCAACTGCTGTTACATGAGTGTAATTCATAAACTGTAGTAAAAAAAAATGTCAAATTCAATGTGTGCTGTCCTGCTAAAAATACCTGTCAATGCCGAGGGGAACCTGAGGTGGTGGGACAGTAAGATAAAGCACTGGCCTCTGACTTCATATGCAGGAAAAAAAAAACCTGTTGACTCTTGATTCAAGCACAAGCACAGGGACAAAGTATTATAAAGAGGTCATCCTGGGGCAATAATTCACTGTGGACATGATGAATGTTTCGGTCAGATGAGTTGGCTCGTCCTGATCTGATCACGGACAAAGACCACAATGTACGTTCCTGCTTTACAAGTTCCCATCGGCCCCACAGTCACCTGTCATCTCAAATCCACGAAAAACAGAGTTTTCCCTGGTGGTCAGATGAGCCTCTACAAATGCTGAGCCTTATTTCTATGACTATACTGTTCTGTATTTAAAATCGAACACAATATCATCACTGTGATGGTGATGTTTGACAATTTACATGATATTCTTGGCTTTTATAAACAACAATGAATCTTAAATGCTTCAGTCTTCCTGCTTAGGTCTCTTATTACCTTCTTTTTTTTAATCTGGGTGCTAAAACTGGTAATATATTTGAGCAGAGGAGCTTTTTGTTCGGTTTGTAGCCCTTATTATTAAAGCTCAGACATGATGTTCTTACAAATCTCTCTATAAATAAAGAGCTTTGTCGACTCCTGGCTGGACCACATTTGGAACCAGATTTCTGAAATGTCAAATAACAGAGAGACTCTCAGTCTGTAATGGCTCTGCAAAACTTGAGGACAACATGAATAATGACTTCATTACGTCCAAGCAACCCGCTCATCCATTATCTGTTTTTAACGATAAATCAACCCATAAGTTTGTGTTTAAACCCCAGATGTTCAAGGGTTCAGCAGATCAAAAGGGCTGAAGGATAATCGGGTGATTTCTAAGGCTGAAGAATGAGAGAATACTTGACCTTTTGGCGGGTCTACAAAGTGCCGCTTAATGACCTTAAATGCTGCACCCATGCCGTTGTGTTACTGGCAGTTAAAAGCAGACCTCTGAGGAAAGAGACTTTGAGTTATGTACATTTTTCCCACTGTGAGCAGGAAGGATTTAGACAGAAGAAAGGGCAAAGAGTGAGTTTGATTGGATGGGCATGTTTCCAGGAAGTGTCATGTCTGTTTATGAAAAGGAGAAAAAGCTGTTTAATCTGACTTTGTCCTCGATGCAGCTGATTATATTGTTATTTTTCAGACACATGGCTAAAAACAGAACAACTTTTTCTCAAAATCATACTTTGTGTTTTTGTGTTCCCCTATCATTTCTCTTAATGACCCTTAAATCTAACATCTCTGTTACGGACAGCATGTGTTCTAGCAATTTCTGATTCCCTCGACAACAACAGAGCATCAAGTAAACAACTTTCACTGCACAGAATAGAGCAGGCAAACACAAACACAGGCCTTTGTATCCTCAGACACACACGCTCTCTCTCTCTCTCTCCCTCTCACGCACACACACACAAACACAAACACAAAGACATTTAGAAAAACTGGTTAAATCGCAATTTTTTAAAAGCTGATTTCATTCTAAGCCGAGAGCTGAAATGAGCTTTAAATGCAGATTTAAAAATCATGCTGGATTACAGAATACTCAGGTGGTTGGCTTCAGCATCATCTGAACTATAACCGCGAGGAGTGATAGGAAAAAAAAAAAAAACAGCTGAGAGTTAAAATGTCACCTAATGCGGTTCAATAATCCTCATCTGAACAGGTAAGGGTTTAACATGACTGTCTGCTGCACAACCTGAGAAAAATAAAACTTTTAAAACTTACATTAACAAGAAAATGTAGGGAAGTGATGAATATTTTCAGGCATTGATACAAGTAAAAGTCTCTCATCCTTAAAGTTGCCTTACATTAAAAGCTTTCTAATACAATTAAAAGGGGAAAGGCTTCTTTAGCAGAGGAGTCAGTCGTTCAGAGGATTAATGTGCTGCGTGAGAGCAGTTGAGCTGCTATTTGACTCTCCTTTTCGCTCTAAAGATTATTGTATAATACTGCTGCAGCCAAGGGACCTCAAGGAAAAAAATGCTTGATTATGTTGCTCCAACTGATCAGGTGATACACATCATCCTTAGTGTTACTCTTTTTTCCAATACTTCAATCTATTCCTTAAGCGCTGCGCTATTCACAGTAATTTTCTGTTTTTCATGGATGGAAAGATGCGCATTAAAGTTTTTCAAGAATGGGATGTTTTCAGTGGCAGGGTACTTTTTACTGTTGAACTTCAATTACAACCAGTGACAGCGATGGCAGGGCATTTTAAAAGAAAAAGGCACATACAAGAGAGAAACAACAAGAAAAAGAGAGAAGTCTGCTGCATAACCTGAGAGAAATAAAACTTTTAAACTTGACCTTTACTGGTCCTACCCAAGGTTTCTACCTGTTAAAAGGAAGTTTTGCCTTGCCACTGTTACTCATGTTAGATAAGATGGGCCAAATCCCATCTTATGTTGGGTCTTGATGATTCGTCAAACAATGAGCGTGGTCTAGACCTGCTCTTTTTCTTTGGAAAGCGTCTTGGGATTATGACTTTTATGAATTGGCGCTATATAAATACAATTTGATTGATGGATTGATTGATTTGAGAAAGCGACAGAGCAAAACAAGCTGGTGGAGAAAAAGAAAGTGTCCATATAGTAACTTTGTGAATATCACTTTTACTGCCATTAGTTTTATTATGCATAGCTGACAAGTTTGGGTTTGGAAAATAACAACCTAATCCTCCCCACATACCAAAGAAACACTACCAGCCAAGAAATACCACGACACAATTAACTTAACCGAGCAAAAAGCGAGGAAATGTACTACGAGAACGAGCTCCTAATTGGCTGCCGGAGCAGCCGGAGCAGCCAATCGGGAGCATGCGATGGCACACCTAATTTACATACAAGATAGGCAACACACATAGCAGGAAAAAGCTACCAGTCAAGAAATACCACGACACAAAAAACTCACCCGAGCTATAAGCGAGGAAAAGTACTTGGCTTCCGGACCAGTCAGTCGGGAGCATGAGATGGCACACCTAATCTAGGACACACACACACACTAAGACAACACTGCAAGCGAAGAAATACCACGACATAAGAAACTTAACCGTAGAAACAGCAAGGAAAAGGTACTACGAGAACGAGCCCCCAATTGGCTGCCGGAGCAACCAATTTGCCGAAGCAGCCAATCAGAAGCATGCGATGGCACATCCTAATTTGCATACAAGATAGGCGACACACATACCACACATATACCAGATATAGCCAGGCCAGAGAAAAACACTGAAATACAACATACAATACTGAAATATTAGGACTCCGTATCAATGATTAAAAAAATTTAGCTTTTGTATATTTGTTATATATTTGTTAATTGTCTCCCTAGAAGGGCTGGTCAAGCTCATCTATGGAAAACTCCATGTTAGTTTAAGGCTACTGTCATATTGTTGTATCTAAAGTGAAATGATGTCTGTTTCCATTAATATATCTGCTGCTTTAAGCCTATGGCTATTGTACCGTTACATTTAATGTAGATTTTAAATGTTTATCTACATTTAAGTCAAAGATATAGGAATGAATTTGAGTGTGTGCATGGGTGTGTGTAAATGTCCTACAGGTATACTTCACTATAGATTCACTATATATTGATATATATTATTTGTGTATTATTGGTAATGTTTGTTAATGAAAACAGGCAAAGTTTCCCCATATATTTGTATTTCATTGGCAGATTTGGGTTGGGGATATTGATTTCTAGTTCACTTGGGTTGTCTTCTTAGTGATACTCCCGGCTGTGATGAGAGTTAGAAGCAGGTTAATGGAGTTGTAGTGTCCATATGTGCCCTACAGTGCAAAGGTGGTGGGATAAAAGGATGCAGTGAACCAGAAGTCAGTACTGGTGCAGATGTTGTTCCCATTAGGAAACAGGAACTGAGGTTTTGGAGCTCTAAGTGTTCTTTGAATATTTGAGTGTATCTGATCAGAGCCAGTTGTATATTTCCTCATATCAACAGTTTGGGACTTTTTTTTTTAGCTGTGAGAGATGAGGATTAAGCCTTTAATCTGCTTGTCGGTGTTTTCTGTGTTTCAGGTGATGGAAACCCCAAAGAGAGCAGTCCTTTCATCAACAGCAGTGCAGCCAGTGACACAGAGAAAAGCCAACAGTATGACGGCAAGAACATGGCTCTGTTTGAGGTCAGGACGGTCTCTGACTCTTTTATATAACAAACTGAGAATTAAAACAGCATCTTAACGCTGTTAAACACATTTAAGTTCAAAATATCTGAGTTTATGGCCTCAGCTTCCAGTAGGTCTCCAGATCTGACATAATTCGGCCTGTTCTGTTTCTGTTTCCTACAGGAGGAGATGGATACCAGTCCAATGGTGTCCTCCTTGCTCAGCAGTCTGGCAAACTACTCCAACCTGCCGACCGGCAGCAAAGAGCATGAGGAGGCTGAGAATAATGAGGAGGGGGCGCGTCCATCAAAAAAACCTGTGAAGGTAGAGAGCTGCAGACGCTTACTCAAAGACTCACAGAACAAACGTTAAATATGCTATTTGTTCCTCAAACATCTTAATGGTCCTTATTTGTGGTTTTTCAGGCCCCACAGCTCGGCACTTTGATGGGCGTCTACTTGCCGTGTATTCAGAACATTTTTGGGGTGATCCTCTTCCTACGGATGACGTGGATGGTCGGGATCGGAGGTGTCTTTGGCTCCTTCATCATCGTTTTCATGTGTTGCTCCACGGTGAGTGAAACTGCAGATGTTGTTGCTGTCGTGTATCTGCTGTGCAACAATGCGGTCGACTCAGAAAAACAGATGTTACACTGAAATGCTCCTGTCAAAGTCGACACAAAAGCTGTTGAAATCTATCCCTAAACTTACTTTAATCTAAAGCGGTAACAAGGCAGATGTAGTTACTTTCTCTCTCCTCGTCCCCCTCTGTTCATCAAGACCTCGTATCATTTGACACGACAACCCTCCTCTGTTTCAGACCATGCTCACAGCCATCTCCATGAGCGCCATCGCAACAAACGGAGTCGTACCAGGTGAGTAGTAGAAATTTGTGTGAAATTCAGAAATGTTTTTGTATGTCAAAAAAACAGTTCTCTAACTGTGTGTGTGTGTGTGTGTGTGTGTGTGTTTGTGATTTGCAGCTGGAGGTTCATACTACATGATCTCTCGGTCCCTGGGGCCGGAGTTTGGTGGAGCTGTTGGGATCTGCTTCTACTTGGGCACCACTTTTGCAGGTGCCATGTACATACTTGGCTGTATTGAAATTCTGCTCGTAAGTGGCCTTTAAGATCAAATTACTCAACCTCTGATTGCTTAAAGTCTTGTCTTTTTTTTCCCCATAATATTCTGTATATGTGTTTATACATTCACCTTTTTAAACTCAGTAGAAGACAGCAAAAAATTGAGAGTAATGTGATTTATCTTTTAAAGACATTATCATACATGTTCAATTCAAAGACCCCGAGATTTGTTGATTGCATTTTGAGCCTTTGGCATTGTTATGAGTAGAAAGAAACTAGTGTATATATCATATCATGCACTGAAACTTAAGGTAATTCGCTGTTTACTGTGTTTGCTTGGTTTTCCTTACTCCTCTGCAGATTTCTTTATAATGATTATCATGAAATATAACCTTACCCTGGATTTTGAAGTCTTTCTGAGGCGGCTGAGAAATAACTCTGCATCCTAAATCAGTTCACTTTGTGATTCTAGGTCAATATTGGATGACCAAACTTCTACACCATACTCCACCACATCCCCCTACATTCTCCTCCCCTCCATGCTTCCATCCTGTCAGATTTATATCGTTCCCCAGGCGGCCATCTTCAAGATTGAGGGTCTGGAGGGTCCCGAGGCCGAGGCGGCTCTCCTCAACAACATGCGTGTGTACGGCACCATCGTCCTGAGCTTTATGGCCCTGGTGGTTTTCGTCGGGGTCAAGTATGTGAACAAGCTGGCGCTGGTTTTCCTCGCCTGTGTCATCCTCTCCATCCTGGCTGTTTATGCCGGAGTCATCAAGACCGCCCTTGACCCGCCAGTGTTTCCGTGAGTGACTCAACCTTGGATAAAAGTCTCTGATGATGATGATGATGAAATCGGTTTATGACGATTGACTTTCTCTGCAGCGTCTGCCTCTTGGGAAACCGAACTCTTCTTTCCAAAGGATATGACATCTGTGCAAAGGTCATTGAAATAGACAACGACACCGTCACCACCAAACTATGGAGGAGCTTCTGTGATTCAGACAGCCTCAACGCCACATGTGATGATTACTTCAACAACAACAACGTCACAGAGATTCAAGGCATCCCAGGAGTTACGAGCGGCATCCTGGCAGGTAACAGACACCTTATCGACATGAGCTGAAATACTCTCTGAAGATCAGTCCACCTCACGCACCCGTTTAAACCCTCGTTTCTTTTTCAGAGAACCTGTTTGGAAACTACCTGGAGAAAGGGATGTTTTTGGAGAAGCGTGGACTTGCATCTGATGCAGATCCAGATAGTCCCACATCAGGCTCCAACCGCTACGTTTTGGCTGACATCACCAGTTTCTTCACACTGCTGGTCGGGATTTACTTCCCATCAGTCACAGGTTGGCGTATAAAAGGAAATGTATAAAGAGGTCCTCAACCTGTTGCACAAAGTGATCATTACTGTAATATTTACACCATTTTACATAAACTTGATGTTGGTGTGAACGAGATGAGGAAAAACATGAACCCTCCTTGCTGGTGTAAAAGCATATAGCTCCTAATTATCTCATTTTGCGCTCTCAGGTATCATGGCCGGCTCCAACCGCTCTGGAGACCTGCGTGATGCTCAGAAGTCCATTCCCATCGGCACGATTGCTGCTATTACAACCACGTCTACTGTGTGTATCCTTCACGGTGACAAAAGCTCTTCTTTAGGTCTTTTACACTAACTTTGCATGTCGTGATGTTTGAATTCGACGTTACGAACTGATTATTTCTTAACAGCTTTTTCTCAGACATGTCCTGTGTGGTGCTTTTTGGTGCATGTATCGAGGGAGTCGTCCTACGAGACAAGTAAGTCTAATTAGAAGGATTTATGTGGATGTGGAATAGTTCATTTCTTTTGCATTCAGGTATAATTCATTATAAACCATACCTTTATAAGGCAGTATGCTCATTCCTGATAACACAAGGGTTAATTTCAGTCTCCAACCCCAATTTTAAAAAGGTTGTAACATTGTGTGAAGTGGTATGCAGATCATTTAAACTCTATTTTCAATAAGAAATAGTTTAAAGGTCACACATTGAATGCTGCAATTGGGAAACAAAAAGTTGTTTCCTTAAAAATTATGGTTTTTTTTTTAGATTTGATATGAAGAACCAGTTTCAAAAACTTGGGAAGGGGACATCTGAATGCTGAAAAAGCAGAGGAACGTCCGCCAATTAGTGAGGTCTATTACTGACAGGTTATTAAAATGACTTTCTTCTTGGGCATCAGCTTAAGTATTGGTTTTTATCAATGATATCAAACTGTACTGGCAGAAATGGTAGAAATATAGGTTTAAGAGTTTAAGAGGTTGATGTCAACATCCTGACCCAGGGGGGCAAACACTAAACATGGGAAAAACTCTTAAAAGGTCTCCTTAACGTCATGTCGAGAAAATATCAAACCAACAACCTTGTGTGCAGAGAGCCCTGGGAACAAAGGTACACTCTCGTTTTGAGCTGGACATAAAACTGCAAACAAAACCACGTCCAGATGTTAATGTATATAAAAATGCATTTGATTTTAAAAATATGAGGTTCTGCATCATTTCCTGGCTGTAACTCAGTGTACTTGCAAGTGTGCATCAATATAAATTCTCTTCAATCTTTTTAACAGGTTTCTTGTAAAGTCAAAGGTTTAAAGGGTCAACTCGAGTGAAAGGATTCTTAAGCTATAGCTGCTTAAGTGACAACAGGTGACAGACATTTAACCGATATAAAAGATACGGTCTCAACATCTGGAAACGAGGGCCCTGCCTCTATGCATATGTCTCATATTTAAGCCTTTTTAAAGATACCATAAAGACTTTTAAAGCTGTGATTTTACCAGCCCATTTTCCAAAAGTTCAATCCGGGTTAAAACAGGATTCAGGAACAATAAATTATGTGACTTATCCAAAGGTTACATTTAAGTTTTATGGCTGTCTAAAATCATTAGACACTCAATTTGTGTGATAACAGCTGGTGAACAGTGAATATTGGAGTAATTTGTCCACAGGTTTGGTGAAGGTGTGAATGGTAACCTGGTGATTGGGACTCTGGCATGGCCGTCTCCGTGGGTGATTGTGTTCGGCTCCTTCTTCTCCACCTGTGGAGCGGGTCTCCAGAGTCTGACAGGGGCTCCACGTCTCCTGCAAGCCATCTCCAGAGACGGCATCATCCCGTTTCTCAGAGTGAGTACAAGTGAAGAATTTAAAGCATCCTGGCATTTGGCATTGAAATCCGACACTGCATGTTCTTTTTATGTTGCTGCAGGTGTTTGGACATGGCAAAGCTAACGGGGAACCCACCTGGGCCCTCCTGCTAACTGCTTGTATTTGTGAGATTGGCATCATTATTGCCTCCCTGGATGCAGTCGCACCTATCCTCTCCATGTAAGCACTGTCACCTCACCTACACTCTTGAGGAGACTACCATGGTTAGGATCCTCTGTTATGTCTATCTTTTCTTCTTTGTAAACTTATCGTCTTTGTCTATCTCTTCAGGTTCTTCTTGATGTGCTACATGTTTGTCAATCTCGCCTGTGCACTGCAGACTCTGCTGAGGACGCCAAACTGGAGGCCACGCTTTAAGTTCTACCACTGGTAAGTTTCTGTCTCAGCGTGAAGAACCTAACATTCATTTTCCACACTTCTAATGATTGTGACAAGCCTTGAATTCAGTTTGCTGTGTGCACCTGTGAATCTGTCCTGTGTTTCTTTCCCAGTATAACTTTAGCAGCTGCAGAATGAGTTTAAACTTTGCCTACTCGGTTTTGTGAATCTGTGTCATCCCTTCCTCTGCAGGGCTCTGTCTTTCTTGGGTATGAGTCTGTGTCTATCCCTCATGTTTATCTGCTCCTGGTATTATGCCATAGTTGCGATGGGTATCGCCTCCTGCATCTACAAATACATTGAGTTTTGTGGGTAGGTAACCATCAGTAGAGCATCTAATACTATGCTGGTGGTTATTGCTTTAGGTAAATGATATAACTTGAATATTCTGTGTTACAGAGCGGAGAAGGAGTGGGGTGATGGGATACGTGGCATCTCCCTAAGTGCTGCTCGCTTTGCTCTCATGAGGCTGGAGGAAGGACCGCCACACACCAAGAACTGGAGGTCAGGCCTCACACGCAGAGCTTTCAAAAGATAAAAGTGAAGCTTTTAACCTCTTTCATCTCAGCTAAAATCTGTTGTTTTTATTTTTTTACCATCAGGCCACAGATCATGGTTCTCGTGAGCATGGATGCTGAACAAAATGTAGAGCAGCCTCGTCTCCTCTCGCTGACCAATCAGCTGAAAGCAGGGAAAGGTCTGACCATCGTCGGGACCTCAGTTCAAGGAACCTTTCTGGACAACTACACTGAGGCTCAGAGGGCAGATCAGGTCCATCCTCTAATCTCTAAAGCGTACACTAATAATGGAAAACACAGCAGATTAATGTTACACAACTCTATTTCTGCAGACACAGGCATGAAAACAGAGCACTGCGCTGACTGTAAAAGCTGCATCTCTGTTTATTTTTCAGTCTTTGCGCAAACTGATGGAGACAGAGAAGGTGAAAGGCTTTTCTCAGGTTGTCATCTCCTCTAACCTGAGAGACGGGACGTCCCACCTGGTCCAGGTTGGAGGACTGGGGGGTCTGAAGCACAACACTGTGATGGTCGGCTGGCCTAAAAACTGGAAACAGCCGGAATACCACCAGCAATGCAGGAACTTCATTGGTATGTCAGTAAAATGATACAGATACCTTTCCAAAAAATGTGAATATCATTGAAAAGTTTATTTATTTCCATAATTCCATTCAGAAAGTTAAGCTTTCAAAGATAATAGATTCAGGGCCCACAATTTAAACATTTTTAAGTATGTATTTGTTTATTTTCACATAATTTGGGCTTCCAGCTCATAAAACCCACGATACCAGGAATTCAAAATATCATATTACTTTAAAAAAAAAAAACAGCCCAAATGTTGCAGCGCATGAATGTTTTAAACTGAATGTCACGCACTAATCATCTACTAAACTCAAAACACCTGCACAGGTTTCCTCAGGTGTTATTTAATTACTTTAGTTAGGTTCAATATGGGGAAGACTGCAGACTTGACAACTGGCCCGAAGTCTATCATTGATACCCTGCATTAATACAGCTGGGGAAACTGAGTGTCACACACTAATCATCTACTAAACTCAAAACACCTGCACAGGAGACAGTGAAATCAAACTGAAGCAAATTAATGACACCTGGGGAAACCTGTGCAGGTGTTTTGAGTTTAGTAGATGATTAGTGTGTGACACTCAGTTTAAAACATTCATGCCCTGCAACATTTGGGCTGGTTTCTTCACAGTATTATAATATTTTGAATTCCTGTTTTTGTGGTTTTTATGAGCTGGAAGCCCAAATTATATAAAAATAAACAAAGAAATTCTTGAAATTGTTTAAATCTATAATGTACGAAAGTTTAACTTTTTAAATGAAATTATGGATATAAATTGACTTTTCCATAATATTCTAATTCTACTCAGTAAATGTAGTAGATGCTTATGTTGATGACTGATATATAGTTTTTTTTTTTTTCATACCGCTCCTTAAAACCATCAGAAAGTGATCCTGATTGTAATAATTGAAGGAAATATTGATCAGTTACAGACAGTAAAGGGTTGAAGTGCTTTTCTATGAACACCCCAAGAGATAAACCACCATAAAGGTTTTAAGCACCTTGTCAAATTCACTGATATTTGATGAATCTTTAATTTAATCTGTAGAAAACAGATCAGACCAGCAGAAATTGTCTCTGCTATTGTCTGCAATTACATTTAATTTAAACCTATTTTTTATAATAGAAGCTTTGGTTACATTTCATGCATTCATTGTCATTCTGTTTACAATTTAATGTCATAGAGAAGTGTATGCTTGTACTTTTTAGTAGTGGTTTTAAATATTTGTTTTTTTACTTTAAGTATTTTTAATGGTAAGTATTTTAAAGCCTGAATGTCAACAACAACAAAAAAAAAACTCAGAGATTACCAAGTAAATTAGTGGCATCGTATCTCATTATACTTCAATTAAAGCACCTTCACCTGACTGCATCAAATATAAATCTTGTTTCAAGATTTTTCAAGACATTTTTTACACATATCTCATTAAATTTAGGTTTTAGGTGTACTGATTTTTTTTTACAACCAATTAACAGTCCTCCATCTCATTTTTCCCTCTCTCTCTGTAGAGGTCGTCAGAGAGACAACAGTAGCTAGTATGGCCTTGTTGGTCCCCAAGAACATCCACAGCTACCCCTCTAATGGAGAGCGCTTCACTGAAGGCCACATAGACGTGTGGTGGATCGTCCATGACGGAGGCATGCTGATGCTCCTGCCTTTCCTGCTGCGCCAGCACAAGGTCAGAAATGAGACACGAAAACTTTTGAAAAGATTTAACACACTTTACAAAGGACTCCATGCTGAGGAGGAGCTTTGAGAACGTGTTGTTTATGACCTGTGAATGTTCCTGTTTGGTCCCTCAGGTGTGGAGGAAGTGCAAGATGCGCATCTTCACTGTTGCTCAGCTGGATGACAACAGCATCCAGATGAAGAAAGACGTCATTACCTTCCTCTATCACCTACGTATAGACGCTGAGGTGGAAGTGGTGGAGATGGTGAGAGATTTGTCTGACACACAATCTGAGTTCACACACAAATCTCGCTGGAGAAGATTCTGTTCTGCAAACATTGTCAAATTAACACAATAATACATAAAACTTATTAATCTCTTATACATGAAACTTTCTGTTTTTGTATTTGAAAGCATGACAGCGACATTTCAGCCTACACCTATGAGAAGACACTGATAATGGAACAGCGCTCACAGATTCTCAAACAGATGCATCTGACCAAGAATGAGATGGAGCGAGAGGTAAACAAGAAAAAATATAGTATCGTGTAATTGCAGATACAAGTTCCTACTTTAAAGTGCTTGTTTTTGCTAAAGTGAGAAATTAAATGTGAACTCTAGTGGGAAATTACAACCTGACCCTAATCCTTTACTGTACTTTGGTCTTACTACAGATCCAGAGTATTACAGATTCATCCCGTGGGTCAATTCGGCGTAAAAACCAGCCTGGCCTGCATTCCCAGCACAGTACTGAGGAGGGAGCCAGTGTGGTGGAGAAACCAGAGGATGAGGTAATGCTGCAATGTCTTTTTTTAAAGAGAAATGATCCGTTTCTTGACTTCACACCTCTCTTCATCGCTTCACACCTCTTGTCTCTCTGTGCTCTGGTCGGGGCAAAAATATATCTCACCACAAGAGCAGCGACCACAGCATGGCCGCTCTGTGATTTCCCTCTGGCCTCTGGCTCTCAGAGTTTCACCTTTTACTGACAGCTGTCTCTTTTTTCTCTTTCACCCTGTCACACTGTCATGTCACGGTGTCCCTGTCTCAGTCTGTGGCTGTCTCCAACCCAAAACAGGTACAGCTGATCCACAGTAAGAACGCCTCCACGCCCACTAGCCCCACCAGCCCCACGCCTCCTGCTGTGGACAACAAGAGCGCAGACAAGGGGCAGACAGCCAACGCAGACACGGGCAAAGACCTCTTCAACATGAAGCCGTGAGTGACTAACTTTTGACTCACACAGATGTGGGTCAGTATTTGTTTATACCGACCTTGTACTTTCTGTGTCTGCGCATGTGACAAACACAACTTTTGAACTAGAGTTGCACAACAAACAAATTTAGACTTTTGCATAACAAAGATCCTGTTTGTAAAACTTATTCCTCTGATGGACTAATGTGATTAAATTTAGTCCACCAGAGCCTTTTTTAAACAATCACATCCACATGCTGAAAAGTGTTGACTTATCAGAATCAAAAATTGAACACAGGAGTGTATTAAAATGTAGCTGACAAGGTTTTCTGTGTATAATTCAATGTTATTTCCATCTCAACATGCGGCTGCAGGGAGTGGGAGGGCTTGTGAGTATTTACATTTTGTAGTAAAACATCCTGTGAGTGCTGAGCCGCATATACACTAATATGTAATCTATGGCGCCAAATGTTTCTTTCATCAGGAACCAGACAGACTTGAGGCGCATGCACACAGCGATGCGGCTCAATGAGGTGATCATCAAGAAGTCCAAAGAGGCAAAGCTCGTCTTGCTCAACATGCCGGGACCACCCAAGAACCGCGTGGGCGATGAAAACTGTATCCTACATCGTATATACTGCGCACCCTCCATTAATCGTAGTGCACACAGGGGGGTTCACTTCAGTTCGCATCCTTATGTGCTCCGAACACGGAGATTGTTTTGCATTCAGGCAGCATGGAAATACAAACTCAGCGACAACACAAAAAATCTTGGGTGTTCTGAGTCTTATGGCAGATCTTTATAGGTGGATCACCCTCAGGTTCAATTAACACTTTATTTACAAATCCAGCTTGAACACATTCCTTCACTGTGATCTTCTCTCAGACATGGAGTTCCTCGAGGTGCTCACCGAGGGCCTCAATCGGGTCCTGCTGGTTCGTGGAGGAGGTCGTGAAGTCATCACCATTTACTCTTGAAGGGCTCTTAATGGACTTTACCCTCTCCTACCTCGGTGTCCATCCACTGAGATCCCCTTTTTGCCATCATCTAATGAAGAATTACGCAAAAAACACCTTAACATGATCAGCTGATGAAAACAGATTTTTGTCCCTCCAGAGAAAATATAAGAACCACCTTTCCTCATGAGTACAATCTACTTTAGTCCTTTTTACTCTGCTCTTTATTATTTTTTCTTCAGTTTATTCATGATTAATTTATTTATTTATTTATTAATGTTATTTATGTGTTTATTCATCCTATAATTTCTGTCTCTTCCTGGTTTATTTTCATTTGTCTTTTATTGTATGGTTGATTTTAATCCGCGGTGGATGCAGATTTGCGTTCATCCAGCAGGGTAACTTGTTCTTACCAATATCAGACGCACGTATTTGGTATTTGTGAAGCAGAAGTGGGAGGTTTCTATGTACACAATGTGTATTTACATTTATCAGAACAGATAGAGACCAACTGGAGCAAATAGATTTACCTTCTTTATCCCAGTTTCCTCTCATCTTACGCTCTAAGTCTATTTACCGTCAGTGTAAATGCAGATATGAGGGATTTTCAGTTTAAGCCTCGGCTATAAACAATGTCATAATCCCAGTCTCGTCCTTTCTTATAGCAGGGGTTTATCTGTTTGTGTGTTTGTGAATTGTGCTTAACAGAAATAATCTTAATGAAAAGACAACGACTTGTTGCTGATTATAATAGTCTCAAATCGGCCTGTTTACTTCATTATCCCTGCAGATGGATGTGGATCCTATAGATCACATGATCTTACAGCAGTACAGCAGGTTTGAGCTCAGACACTTTTACTGCAGCATGATCTATCATTTTATTTTATATTTAATCCCTTTAGTTATGGAGCCATGTAGCTACAACACTCACTTGAATCCCTGGTTTCACATAAATGATTAAATTCAGGGATAAAATCGAGAAATGCTTTGGAAAAAAATCCACTTATAGACGATTTTAATACATTTTTTTCAAGTGAGACATGACATATTCACAAAAAATTAATACCCATTTAAAAGATAAATAAGTAACTTCAACAAAATCTAATTTTATTTATTTTAAATAAAACTTTGAGTGCTAGAAAATGTGCAAGCTTCTATATGAGGAGATGATATTTTACATATAAGTCAGTAGATGTTGTTTATCCTTAAATTTAGATAGTATTTTAGAAGTTTTATCTCAAAGAGAATTTATTTTTATAGCTGTGGTTCAAGAAAAGAGATTTGATTTATATGAACAATGAAATATTTAAGATTTTATTCAGGGTAATAAATTAGTATTTTGAGATTATGAAAATTACACTTATATCGCTCTTAGCTGTTTGCATTGCTTTGCAGAAGAGTTAAAAACAGCTTTAACAAAACCTGCCTGCCCAGCACGTCATAGCTTTATTTATTGATAGTTAATGTAAAGATACAGTTTCTTACAAACAGACATTGCTGCTGCTTTATTTTTATTGACATGACAGTGGTCTCAACCAAACTCTGAGGAGGAATCCAGCCAAATATTTACCAAATTGTCAAACTACTTAACATAGTTTATCTGCCGTTTAATTAGCTTGATGTGGGATGATCCTGCAGTGTACCTCTCAGGCAGTCTGGGGGTTTTCCAGTGTGCACCACAATGATGTTTAGTTTCTAAAGATTTCTATTTTAGACAATCTTTACTTGTGCTTTTTTTCATAGACGCCTATCAGTTAACTGTCCACAAAGATTTCTGATTTCTGAATGAGAGACAAGTGAGTGTACTTTGTTTTAGCCCACAGATCTCAGATAGTTTATCACATACAGTTAGTATTCATTAACAATGCTTTAAACTGTTAGTTTATTGTACACAGAGAGCAGTTTGTCCCTTTTACCTTTAAATCATATAAACAAGAATTGATCCATCAGGTTTTTTAGGGAAAAAAAAAAAGTCTGACATTTAGTATACTTTTAAAATCTCAGATCTTACACTATTCTTCATTAGATTTATTGTATAAATGTCTTGTTGTTAATACTGTAGCATCATGATACACATGTCTCTCTTTTGAATATCTATGTCTTTTCTTTTGAACTCTAAAAAGTCATAATAAGAAGGCTGTGAAGTTTTCCATTTGATATATCAGTCACTTTTCTGCAGGAGCTTTTAGGATTTTAAGTCCTCCTCACTCTGAGTGCACGTGTGCGACTGTGCGTGTGTTTGTATAATGTATGTTTGCTTGTGAACCTGCTTGAGTGTGACCAGTACATGTAACCAAACAAACAGAAGGAGTGAAAATGGGACATTTGTACATAAATCTGTTGTTTTAGGTTTAGAGACAGCTAGTGTGACGTGTGTGAGTACAGGTTTTATAGATATCATAATAGACTGTTAGTTTTGTCTTTTAAAATGATATACTTTGTTAAATGTTCTACATCTTATGCAACTGTCGAGTAATGGTTAAAAAAGCAGGTTTATATGTTCACACATGATGCAAAAAATAAAATCATTTTAATACAATAGATACACTTCCAGAGTTTGATTGTTGAATAGGAACAAACCTTTTTATCAGCTGTGGAGCTAAGAAAGATAAACTATCACAGCTTCTGCTGAAGACATGCTCATAAATTAGTCGCCCTGTGGTCTGTTATCACTGTCTCAACCCTTTCCTTTGCAGTCATTTACAGCCTGAGAAACCTTTTCATCCCCTGATCAAACCACTTATTTTCCTGGCATACTCAGGCTGTTTAAAGGGTAAGAAGGAAAATCTGCCTGTAGCAGCATTTTGGAGACCATTTCGGAAAACTCGTCTGTTTCTCTTTGGCAGTCTGTGATCATAAGAAAAATGCACATCAGCACGTGTTCTACCATGTCAAGAATTAATGGCAGGCGGGTGAAGTTATTATTTTCATCAAAGTTATTACAGCAGGTAGTGTGTTTGGTTTTTGAAACCTCTGATTGCCATTGGCGTAACTGGTGTTATCAGAGAAGCTGATTAAATGCATTACAAGAGGCCAACAACTTATCCATCTTCTTCTCTCCTTTGCGCTGACGTCCTGATAAAATTACCCCAGAAAAGTCATCCACCTTTACTCAATGCTGATCTGCACTAATTGTTTTATGCAAATTGATGTACTTCTATGCCAAATTTCTCTAATCAGATATATGGATTTAAAGCTGTAGACACTCAAAGTGCTGCAGTTTGAGACCAGAGGTTGCCACTTGGATCAATCAAACTTAAGCAAAAGAGCTGGAAAATGTTTGTGTTGGCTGGCAGCAGTCCAATTACAGACAAGTTGCAGGCCTAGTCATATTAGCAGAGACAAATGAATGATTATTAATCTCATTTTTCTATCAGAATTTCTTGCTTCAATGTGAGCTTTGAGTGTAATATTGCTCAAAATCACTACCTCACTGGTTCTACAGGATTTTTCTGACCGACTTACTCAATGCCTGTTTGCAGGTCAACAAAGCTGACCTATGGTCCCAAATGGATTTCCACCAGCCACAATCCCATTATAACAAAATACACTTTGCCCCAAAAAAACTTTGAATGCTCAGAATGCATTTTTTCTTTTAACGTTTGTTGAATTGTCTAAAAAGTTTGCTCACTTTAAGAAACCAGCCCCTGCAGGTCTGTTGAGCTTTAAGATAACCATAAAAATGCTGGTGTATCACAACATGAGCATGTATTTTATGATGGACAAAGTCCTCTGCAGCACCTTGTGCTCATGTTCAACTGAGCTCAGGCTTTAACAAAGCCCCTGACCTGTCTTTCCTAACCAGAGATAAAACTTGCTGCAAAAGAAATCACTCGCTTTTGTTTCCAAGAGTTGTCAGGATGAAGACAAGACCAGGCAACCTCAGGGTGAAGTTACCAGTGTTTGTGTTTGTTCTGCAGGTGATTATTGTTGCCCTGTATGTTGCTTTTGTCACCTACGATGAGCATGCAGATGCCAGATTTCAGACCAACAGGACCAACCCAATGGACAATGCTGTGTACAGGGACTACCCTTTTTTTACCGACATCCAGGTCATGATATTCCTCGGTTTTGGTTGCCTGCTAGCGTTTTTCCGCTTGTATGGGTTTGGAGGGATGGTTTTTAACTTTCTCACGGCCACTTTTGCCATTCAGTGGGCCATTTTGGTGCAGGGATACTTCCAATTCAGCCATGAAGGTAAGATCCACCTTGGAGTGGTCAACCTCATAAATGCAGAGTTTGCCTGTGCCGTGGTGCTGATATCTTTTGGGGCGGTCCTGGGGAAGACCAGTCCGCTGCAGCTGCTGGTCATGGCTCTTCTGGAGGTGCCGGTGTTTGCGGTGACAGAGTGGGCTGTACTCAAATATCTGAAAATCAATGATGCAGGAGGATCTATCCTCATTCATCTCTTTGCCTGTTATTTTGGTCTTGGTGTCACTTTTGTTCTGTACAGGCCATCTCTAAATGAAGGCCATGCAAAGGAGAACACCAGCTACCAGTCAGACATTCTGGCCTTGATGGGGACCTTGTTCCTCTGGGTGTTTTGGCCTTCCTTTAACTCTGCATTAACCCTGAAAGGAGATGACCAACATAGAGCCATCCTGCACACCTTCATCGGCCTCAGCGCCTCCACGCTCACCGCCTTTGCTCTCTCTGCCATGCTGAACAAAAACGGTAAGCTCACTCTGGCAGATATTCAGAACGTGACCCTGGCTGGAGGCGTGACGGTAGGAGCGTCTGTTGACATGATGATAACACCTGCAGCTGCGTACGCACTGGGAATGATGGGCTGCACTGCTTGCATGCTGGGATACAAGTACCTGAGCCCCTTCCTGGCCCAGCACTGCAGGATCCAGGACCAGTGTGGGATACATAATCTGCACGGACTGACAGGACTGATATCATGTGCTGCAGGGATATGCGCCATACTAATGGCCAGTGAGGACGTTTATGGCCCCAGTTTCTATGAGATCTTTGCCCACAGGGCACCGGTGGATGGAGACCCAAAGCTGCAGGAGCTCCAGATGCTGATTCCTGGTTTAAAACCAGGACTGGGCAGGACTGCTCGAGAACAGGCTCTCTTTCAGGTTGCAGCTGTGTTGTCCACAATTGGAGTATCAGCTCTTGGGGGGATCCTCACAGGCTTTGTCTTGAAGCTGCCTTACCTTGCACCTCCATCTGATGAAATGTGTTTTGATGATGACCTATTTATTGAAGTCCCTCCAGACTATGATTCACCCCTGGGACTTAAAAGCACAGTCACAACAGATGATTGAACTGCCTGACTGCAACAAAAAAGTGTCAGTCTCAATTGTTTGTATCAGTTAAACTGTAAATAATATAAAGAGATTGTGATACCAGTGCTGTGGCACCATGGGATACTGTGAAATACAAGAGACACATATCTGACACACAAGTATAAAAAGGAAAGCCAATCTTAGAGCTCTTATAAAGCGAAATGAGTAACTGAAATTAATTAATACTACTGTTAGATGTATCCTCACCCATTCTTTGCACTCATATTTTTGGATTAAATTTATTGGAAATATTGGTGCTTGTCTCATTCCTGCATTAAAAACATGAAATATATCTGACATTTTCAGCATGATGCTGGAAATAATGGCAACAACCACTGAGTACTTTCCTCACGCAATGTCTCCGTGTCAGGCCATGTCTCTTTGACAATACATCTTACATTCTAACTCTGTGTGTGCTTGTGTGTGTGTGTGTGTGTGTGTGTGTGTGTGTGTGTATGTGTATGTGTGGGTGAGTGAGGGTGGGTGTGTGTCTGTGTGTGTGCGTCCATGGGTGGGTGTGTGGGTGGGAGGGTCGGGTTTTATTGTTGTTCAAATGTTGTTTTTAGCTTCTGTGAGGTAGTGATGGGCACAGCAGTTCTTTCAGATGTTAAATTTGAATTTGAACAAACCAACTCATAGATGAAATGACAGAAAATATAAGCACAAACTTTATAAACTAGCTGCCTTTATAAAATAGCTGAACACACTTGATCTGTGGCAGCTAAGAATAGCCTAAAGATGAGTGGGCTTTCTGGTGATTGGGTCAGTTCGGCTGCTGCTTTCTCAGTGAAGGGGTTAAGCTGACTATTTTTGCCTCATAAGTTTGCCTCACACAGACCCACCTCAAAAGAAAATGAACTACCCCTGTAAATCTTTAGAGCACTGACGGGAAAAGTTCAGTTACTTTGCACCGAGGTCAAGTTCTGTACTGTGTTTGGCGGGGGTGGGACTTATAAGCAGAGTGTTAAATTCGCCTCATTTCCAGTAGGTGGCGGTAAGAAGGACCAAATTATTCCCGCTGCGCTAAAACCTCAAAGGAGCAGGAAGGACACGAAGAAGACGGAGGGCGAGCATTTTGTTACCAGGCCACGACCTGATACTGATAGTTACTAAGTGAAAAAAAGGTTACATAACGACGAAATTTTTTATTTAATTTTAGCTTTGTGTGATCTGCAGAGAGGGAGGCGTCGAGACGAATCTCTACGGCAGCACATTTCCCGTGATATTTTGACTTTGGTTGGATCTCTTCAATAACAAACGGTAAGGTTAGCGTTAGCTGAAGAGGCTAGCTCGCTGTTAGCTGTTGGCCATGTTGGTTCTTGTTTTTCAGACGTTCCGAGGCCTATTGTAAACAGTTTGGAGCGCTTAGCTCGAAAAACGCAGACGTGTGCACATATGTACAACTGTAGTAGTATGCATGTTAATATATTCACATATTATGGTGTTAAACCATAACGGGGGTCATTAAAATCATCTAAAGTTGATGAAAGTTGAATAGACGGAAACGTTGTCGAGGCGGCTGCTTAGCATTAGCTCTGTTGACTTATAAAAGCGTGTTAAACATGAATGTGTTAATGCTGCATCTTAGTTGAAGTACAAGACCGACTCTAGATGTGGTGAAAAAGGTGGAAATAATCAATTATTTCTCATCGTAATATAGCGCCATTCAATTAGGATTATTTAGACAAGTATCAAAAGCTATTGTCGATCGTAAGAAATAACTTTCCCTCTGTTTGTCTTGAATTCATTTTTAGCATCGTGAGACTGCTCGTCCAAACACCAGACAGTTTCGCCGCCTTTTCTCTGCCCAGACCAAACAAAACCAGGTCTTGATCCCAAACTCCTTTCAGATCTTAAACAGACTATCACCGAGAGGCTTTAGATTATTGCACGTATCGATTGAGAGATTAATTGCAAGATTGATTGTGCAAAATTTACAATTTTACTGCATGTCTGTTTTGAGTCCTCATTTGACCAAGTCCTAATACCAGAAAACTAATACCTAGACTTCCTATGAGATTCCTGAGTGGCTACAGACGCTTTACACAAGGGTCAGACCGATATGGATTTTTTTGGGGCCGATACCGATTATTAATCGGTAAAAATCCGATTACCGATTAATCGGCTGATTTTTACATTTTTTAAAATAAAGTTTTAAAAAATATCTACACAGTAGATATCTACAGTATACTATATACTGTAGTAGTTACTCATTTCGGCCCGGTCTCACCTGGAGACATGCAGCTGCCTCAGTAAGAGAAGTAGCTCGATCACGTAACGTGTACTGTTGTTTATTCTACCATTACTAACACGTTTAACAGCGTAGCAAGGCTCATAGCAGATGGCTAACTCTAACTTTAGCTTGCGTATTACATGGTGGTTCACCGTTAACTCAGCGTAACCGAGACCAGCACAGCAGGGAAGGTCGTGAAGTGGGTTGAACTGAAACTTGTTGACTTATTGTATATTTCACAAGCTAGTTTGTTTACCGTTGAGACTGATCACTCTCCTCCGTGCATCCCTGCCGCTGCCTGCTTCACATCCATCACTCTGCTGTGCTGTGAGGTAGTTAGTGGATGAAGATTGTCATGAGGTCGCTGCGCCATCTACAGGATAAGTCGGAGGATCTTTTCAAATGGCGGAACATTTTCGAAGTGAAACTGAATCTTATTCTCCGCATTTTATTTTTCGAAATACCGGCGAAAATCGGCGAGCTTTGGCCGATTTAGTCTCAAACGAGCTAAAATTGGCCGATTTAATCAGCTAGCTGATAAATCGGTTCGGCCCTACTTTACACACAGTGAAACTTTTTCTTTTATCTAGACTACATTTGTTGTTTTAATGTCATAGCTAATGTTATGACTCATGTCTGCTTTCTTTCACAGGATCATCATGGCTGATGATTTTGACGTCGAGGCCATGCTGGAGGCTCCATACAGAAAGGTGGGTTGCAGATAACAGAGATATTGAGGCCTGTTTTGCTGTTATGATTTTCTCTTTGAGTCCTTTTTATATTTGCTTATGTTTTCAAAGTTTTCTTGAATGTTGTGTGGTGTGATTGAGTATTTCAAACGCAATACAGAATTATAAATAAATCCACATCTATCTCTCTTTATAGACTTCCCTAATGATATCTCACCTCTACTCCCATGAATTCATCTTTGATTCCACTGTGAACTGTGAAAAAAAGGAAGGTAGTTATTGTGCATATACTGATGTACTGTGGTTCACCTTAGGACTAAAAGAGATTCAACATAGAACATCCGATCCGTATTCGGTTGCAAAAAGGTGAATGCCAGTGGTTAAAAAGCCCATCCTTACCTATCCAGCTAAGGAGGCAGTATTCAGATTTACAATTCTGTGCCCACAATCCATCTGAATGTCCAGTCACCTGTAACAGAGATCCAAAGTTGTCAATGGGGGAAAAAAAACATGCATTCTACTGTTTCTGTAAGGAATCAATCACACTGCTGTCTCCATGTGCTCCAGCTTTTACAATCTGTTGTTAGTCAGAATTTGAGACTGAAATTTAAAAGGATTTCTTCCCACAAAAAATGGATTGATATTGAATTATTCTTGTATCAGACTAACTCATAGTTTGAGGGTGTTTTGCCTGAAAATGTAAAGTGTCCAGTTTTAACACTCCATCATGTCAGAATTTTAATACAAATGCACATAACTATTGTCTTTTCCATGTAAATATGAATACTGCCTCTTTGCAATAGCCAATTGTAATGTGACCAAGCATCTTGAATCTTGCATGCTACACAATACTTCATATATTGATTTATTACCGTAATGACTGTAAAATAGATATTTCTATCTAGCAACATTGTTTATTGAGTAACATGTCCACAGTTAATTCTTTAAGTAAAAAGTATAAAGAAAAATGACCTATAATATGAAGTTTAGGCTAATAACAGAATGTAATCTGGGCTGAATTAATGGATTTATTTAATTTTGACATTTTTTATTCATTTATTTTCATGGGCGTCAATATTACTAAGAAGTGTGAATCCCTGTTTGCTTCAGGGCAAGATGTGTGACAGAGGTGGCATCGAGCTCTTACAGTCCAAGAACGAAAATGGGTGAAGATCACTGGACTGACACCAACCACACAGGATCTCTTTTAGTGGCCGTCACATGATTAGGCCCAAATAGTGGCATGGGTACGGCCTATTAGGAGGGGAATGGTGGAGATGATCTGACTTCTTGTGAAAGCTTCCTGAACTCTGCTAATGTTGGATACTCTCCATTAACTTGACTTTTGTTGCATTAAGTACTGAAAAAAAAGAGAGCAGGAGAGAGATGGGAAGCTATTGGGGTGGTGGAAGGAAACTGTCCAGACATGACAGTAGGAAGTTTGAAGTATTTTTATTAATTGAATATATTCTGCATTTTCTCTTGTCCCACCCCACCCCCTTTACCTTGACGACTTGAAATGTCTCATCTACGTCCTCATGATGTTCTTCTATGAACCTTGCTTAGGATGAGATCAAGTCCTCTCATGCAAACGGACATGATGACTCAAGCAAGAAGTAAGTTTTCAACATTCATAACACATCAGATCCATATCGTATACTACTTAAAGTTGCTCGTTGTATAGAATTAACTGTGTTTGTTTGTTCCACAGGAAAAGGAGGAGTCGAAGCAGGAGCCGGAGCCCAGGCTCCAAGAAAAAGAGAAGTAGAAGCAGGGACAAAAAGAAGAGCAAGAAGAGGAGCAAGAGCCGAGAAAGAAAACGAAGCCGCAGCAGAGAACGCCACCGCAGCCGCTCCAGAAGCAAGGAGAGGTCCGGGCGATACAGAGCACGCAAGAGCCCCATGTGAGTGACCTTTCAGACTCAGTGGCACTGACACACACATGAGCTGGTTTTCAACCAATCTGTGTCTTCTTTGCTTACAGTGTCTCACACAGTCTCCAAATAGTGCCAACAAAAAAGGGCATTGTGCCTGTTGAGGAGCTTCAAAAAGACATGATCGCTAAAGTAAAGCATTTAAATGGAAAGGCCATTGTTAATGCTGTCTCGTACATTTGTGTTTTCCCTCAGAACGTCTCCTTTGCACGGTCTTATGTGGGAGAACCAGATTATTTTTTGATACTCAAACTGAAAACTGCAATCAAGTAATTATTTGTTCAAGTTTAACAACAGCCTTTTGTGTAATTTAAGCTGAGAAAGTATTTCCTCTTTTTGTAGCCGAAAACGGTCCAAAAGTCGGAGTCCCCCTTCCAAAAAAGAAAAGAGTCCCATCAGGTAAGATTAATATTTTCTGCACATAGCCATTTTTACTAATGATTTGATTACTACACCCTAAAAAATCACATTTGTTTTTAAACTTGTTTCAATATTTTTCTCTTTTTTTTTTAGGCAACCTATCGACAATCTAACACCAGAGGAGAGAGATGCCCGCACAGTCTTCTGTATGCAGCTCGCAGCCAGAATCAGAGCTCGAGATCTTGAAGATTTCTTCTCAGCGGTTGGAAAAGTGAGTATTCATGTTGTATATATTTAAGACAACAGAGATCTGCATTTGAAATGATCTGTAAAACCACCACTTGTTTCTCTCTCCGCAGGTAAGAGATGTGAGGATGATCTCAGACAGAAACTCCCGGAGGTCAAAGGGCATTGCATACATAGAGTTTGTGGAAGCCTCCTCAGTACCGCTGGCAATTGGTTTGACTGGACAGAGGCTTTTAGGAGTGCCCATCATCGTCCAGGCTTCACAGGTCATGGTAACTTCATCTAAGTATAATCTCCAACTGGACTATTTCTACCCGATGTGACCACACGTAGAAATAGAACGCTGCCATGCTTCAGTGGCAGAGGACTGTCAGTGACCCAAACACTGACCAGCAGAGTCGACGGCTCATAAACCATGTGAAGTGTTTGCAATTGCCAAACAAACAGTGCAGGAATGCACCGTGCAGCGTCAAATGTTTAGAAGCCCCGATTTCAAGCGGGTCACATCGGGCTGGGACACATTCAGTATTTGTTAGCAAGTTTATTGAATTAATATAACGACATCACTTGTGAATGTGATTACAGGCAGAGAAGAACAGAGCAGCTGCTGCTGCCAATAATCTACAAAAGGGCAGCTCAGGTCCTATGCGTCTGTATGTGGGCTCGCTGCATTTCAACATCACTGAAGAAATGCTGCGGGGGATCTTTGAACCTTTTGGAAAGGTCAGTAAGTTTCACCATAAAATCATCATTCTTTACTGTCTGTAGAAAGATTGATTACAACTCAGTTTGTATCTTACAGATTGAAGGAATCCAGCTGATGATGGACAGTGAGACCGGACGATCTAAAGGATATGGCTTCATATCGGTAAGTTAAACCTAAAAGATTCTCTTGATTCTGTTTAAGCAGCAGCAGCTGGTAAGAGTCTCATCTCTTTGCCTTTTTGAAGTTTGCAGATGCAGAGTGTGCGAAAAAAGCTCTGGAGCAGCTGAACGGCTTTGAGCTCGCAGGGCGTCCGATGAAAGTGGGGCACGTTACAGAGCGCTCCGACTCATCAACAGCCAGCTCGTTCCTGGACAACGACGAGCTGGAGAGGACCGGCATTGACCTTGGAACAACAGGTCGTCTGCAGCTGATGGCTCGGCTAGCAGAAGGTTTGTTGAAACAGTAACACATAGTGGACTTCAATGCTTTATACAATGTTAGCACAATCCCTATGTAGGCTAACCATGACGTTAATATCATGTCAACGCCAGATTACATGTTCCTAAACCTAATCTCTCTCCACTCGCAGGAACTGGTCTCAAGATCCCACCTGCAGCCCAGCAGGCCCTGCAGATGACCGGCTCCATACCTTTTGGAAACATGGCTGCTCCGCCAGGTGTGTATGTAGATGATGGATGAGATTTGGTCAGTGTTTGTGTTTCGCATCGAGAAAACTCACTGACTCTGCGTTCCTCTTTCTCAGTCGTTCCAACTCCAGCTCCGAGCCAAGCCCTGAACCTCCCATCACAGCCGCTGGCCACACACTGCCTTCAGCTGTCCAACCTGTTCAACCCACAATCGTAAGCACCCCACATTATTGAAGCTGGTTCTGAAATAACACTTGGGTATCAAAGCAGTTATACATTTTACTTATTTTGATTAGTCTCTTTTTCTGAACATAAACCCTTTTTAAGGTACTGGATTTCTTTTTTAAAGCTTTCTTTGTAATTTTCAGGGAAAATGATCCCACCTGGGCCATTGAGATCCAGGACGATGTCATTGAGGAGTGCAACAAACATGGAGGAATTGTGCACATTTATGTTGATAAAAATTCTACCCAAGTAAGTCCAAACCATCTTGGAGGTTCATTTCTGTTTTTATACCTCATCAAAGTGAAAAGAAGTGGGTTTTAATGTTTTGTGCTTTTGTTTTGAAAGGGTAATGTGTACGTGAAGTGTCCCTCAATACCAGCAGCAATGGCCACTGTAAATGCCCTCCATGGACGCTGGTTCGCAGGTGCGTTAATCTCACATGAATCTTTGAAATATCAGTGAAATCATGATGTGCTTTCAGAGTTTGATTTTCTTTTTTTCCATTCCAGGCAAAATGATAACGGCTGCCTACGTCCCCTTACCGACCTACCACAACCTCTTCCCTGATTCAGTCACAGCGAAGCAGCTTCTAATGCCAACACGCCGATAGTCAGCTCATGAGAGTCTGTAAATACATTTGTTTGCATTCATTGAAATGTCATCGAAACGGGCGCATCAGAATTAGTTGGCTGTGTGTAATAAAAGTTGCCTCATGCTCACGTGTTCACCATTGAAAATAGGCATTTTCTTTGAGTTGCTTTTCAGATAATTGTGGATTTGTGTTGTTAAACTACCACTGAGAAGTAATCCGCAGGTATCTATTGGTCTGTATGTTTTTAAATATTACTTTATCAGCTTGTTTAAAATCCAGTTTTAGCTTCAAAATAAATTACAAAGAAATACAGAAATGTGTTGGGTTAATAGGCCTTAAATGCCAAAAGTATATCAATGTCAACAATAATCCTTTGTAACTTTTTACAGCCATAATTTCATTTTTTGTATGAAGGCTCCAAATAAACTTTGGCAAATTTGACATTTCAGTTTGTTTTCTCGCTTCAGGTGATTTTTTAATAATGTATCTATTAGCAAGAGAAACATGTTCAGACCCTGTCCAAAAAATTAGAATATCATTGAAAAGTTTATTTCCATAATTCCATCCAAAAGGTTAAACTTTCAAAGATTATAGATTCAGGGCCCACAATTTAAATAATTTAAAGTATTTATTTGTTTATTTTTACATGATTTGGGCGTCCAGTATATCAAACCCACGTATTTTGAACAGGAATTCAAAATATATAACTGTTAAGAAACCAGCCCAATTTTTTCATGTTTTAAACAGAGTGTCACAAACTAATCATCTACTTAATTCAAAGCACCTGCACAGGTCTCCCCAGGTGTCATTAATTAGCAAATTAATGACACCTGGGGAAAACTGTGCAGGTGTTTTAAGTTTAGTAGATGATTAGTGTGTCACACTCTGTTAAAAAATTCGGGCTGGTTTCTTCACAGTGTTCTAACTTTTTAAATTCCTGTTTTCATGGGTTTTATGAGCTGGAAGCCCAAATTATGTAAGAATAAATAATTGAAATTGTTTAAATTGTGGGCCCAGAATCTATAATCTATGAAAGTTTAACTTTTTGAATGGAATTATGGAAATAAATTAACTTTTCAATGATATTCTAATTGTTTGGAAAGGGTCTGTAGTCTACTGCTTTCATTCACACTTTAATATCACTGAAATTCCCTCAATGACATTTCTAGGCTGCAGCACAACAGAATCCAGTGCTAGGCAAAGCTGTTGTAAACAGAGTCAAGATAATGTCCCCTTACTTTCATAGAGATCTCTCTTTCTTAATGCTGCAAGCTCAGTTCTTCAGCCCCGCTCTCGCCTGCAGAAGACAGCCTGTGATCTTGTGGGTGTGACAGCCCAGAATGTCAAACAGTGAAGCTTGAGCTGGGGTCACCCTGCCTCCCTGACATAGCAGGCTGCTGTCTGATTAATACTCAGCTGCCCCCTGTGGCTGGTGGAGGAAAAACACCAGCTACGACAGAGGCAACAACAAATCTGTCAGTTAGGGGGCAGCAGAGAGCCCAAAATGGCAATTCACTTTTTACTCTCAACAAATGAGTCAAGACAGGTTTGATGCATAGACTGTAAACTTTATCTTTTAACAAAACAGATCAGAACAACAAAATAGCCTCAACTTCACATTTCCCTTTTTGGAGACTTTGATACACATACAAAATTTTTTCTTTTTTCCATTTTTTTTTCTTTTCCTTTTTTTGTCTCCTCCGGGAAATGCGTGATATCTGGAGGAAAGAAAACACTGGTCAAGACATCATTTAATGTATTCACACTTTCTATGCAAACTAAAAACAAAGCAGAGTCGGGTTCTCTCTAAAAATCTCAAGTTGTGATTTTTTACAAGTTCTACATTTTACAAAAAAAGCTCAAACATCCTGAGTAAATTCCCCACAACAGCAGGTTAATATTAATAAAAACCTTCACCTCTAACTCCCTGCAGTTATTCCCTCACTTAAGTAACATTTGTGGTAACTATAAGGAACAGTGGTGGACAGAGATTGTACTCTTTTATGTGGTAAACATACAACATATTACAGGACAAGTACTGCATTTTTGACTCCATTAAAATTTTTGCTCTGAAGTCAAAGGATGATTTTCTTTATCTTTCTTAAAATCAGATAAAAATTTCCCCTCAAGGATAAATAAGGTTCTTTTTTCAGAAGGAAAATACACGTGTAGTTTACAATCACATCTCTGATTAATGTAATATTTTTTTTTAAAGTAAAACACACCATTAATTCTTTACTGGGTTCATGCATTGTGAATATACATCAATTGGATAATTTTTTAAAAGCTAGTACTTCAGCATTTTTACTCAAGTTACAATCTGACTGAGCAACTTTCACTTCTATATAAGTAATTTTTGACTGGGAGTGTCCAAACTTCACTTGTAAGTGCAAAAAAGTACATAGATACTGACCTGAAAGATTTCTTTACTTTTTAGGAGAGCAGTCCTTCACCTGGTGAGCCTGCAGGACAGCAATCGCCTCATCCACCTGACCGCGGAGAGAGAAAGTAATTTTTCCGACATCAGTCTAAGTTGAAGTGAAATCTTGTTGGAGCAAACTCAGTATGATTATTTTAATCTCCTCTACATAAAAAGAGAAAATGTTGTTTCCGTTGACTTCCTCTGATATTTTTGGGCTGCAACAATGATGAGGGGAAGGTAAACTTAACAATGAAATGTGTTCAAGACAGAAAAATGTTGTCTGAGTCTTAAAGTGCGACTGACTTTAACTGTGTGAGGGTGACAGTAAATGACAGGTGAATGTATAAATGCCTTTGCATGCAGCGACTCAGGCGACTCCAGCATGTGCAGCAGCTCAGAGTTGTCTATCTCCAGCAGCATCCCGGTGATTTTTCCAGCCAGGTTTGGGTGAAGGGAGTGGATCAGCGGGTACAAACGCTCCCCTATTTTCACAGCAGAGACAGAAGACAACTATGACACAAATCTGAGTTGATGGTAGAAGGGCGAAAGTGAGTGATGCCACATACCGAGAAGCTGTTTCTGATCCATGAGCGGGGCTGCGGCGAGCAGGGAGGCAGTGAGCGGCTCTTGCCCTTGAATGTGAACCTGCGGCTCCATCACAGGTCCAGGAACAGCCTGGAGGAAGGATTCAACATCATTGACCACAATGGTAAAGGAAACAAATCCTGATCTTTAATTCGAAAGAAGTACTGAAACTATTTTAACAGAGTGTGTTTAGCACAGACTGTAGTACCTGATGTCTTGTCATGGGTGCAGGTACATTAATAACCTGCTGGGCGTTTCTCACTGCAGATGAGTACTTGTACTGGCCACTCCTGGTCACACCGGGCATGTCAGTACGCCCTCCAACAGTCTGAGTCCCAATATTATCTAAATAGAGACAACAGATGCATCACATACTAACATCCATTTCAATTGGACTTTTTTTGTCATGGTTCTGGTCTTACTTGTCTTTTGAGTGCCGTTTATAACCCGAGGGGCCTGAGTGGAAGCCTGTCTGACAGTAGCGATGGGTGTCGATCCACGGCGGGGAGCATATTGGGCTGGGTAAGGGCCTGAGAACACGAGACACGTCAATCACGCGCATGCAATATTAACACGAATCTACGAGCAGACGAACAAATTAATCATTCACCCTGAGCTCTGGGGGGTTGTCCGGCCCAGCGAGGTACTGGTCTCATGTTGCTGACTGCACTGTGGTTGTAGAAGGAGCGAGTGGGAGGCTGAAAGTTGAATGACAGAGGAAACTTAAACGCTCAGTCTGAAGTTGAAGCATTTTTTTTCTCTTAAAAAAAAACATTTTCTTTATGAATCTTCAGATAGAAATTCCCCATTCCCTTGGCACTATCAAACACACCTGTGGGACAGTCATGTAGTATCCAGCCTGATGGTACGAGTCAATGATGGGATTTGCCATCGACCTCAAGCTGGCGAGTCTCTGCATGTGTTTGTTGGTCAGGATGGCTTTACGCTCCTCCCGCCTTTGAGCGAGAGCCACGTACAGCGGCTTGGTGGCGACGATCCTGCCGTTCATTTCAGTGACTGCTTTGGTGGCTTCCTCGGGCGATGAGAAGCAGACGAAGCCGAAGCCTTTGCTCTGAGAGCCGTCGGTCATGACCTTCAGGAAACAAAGAGGATCGAGGTCAGAGATGTTTGACATGTGGTTAAAATGTTTATGGATATTTCACGAGGGTTAAAGGTTCTTTCACACCAGGACCGTTTTTGTCGTGCGATTATTTCGGACGTCAATGTTTTTTTTCAAACCGGCATTTATTTTTTCAGATCATGGACGATTTTTCTAAAGTTTCACATACTGTGTGTCCACTTCTGACCAGTCAGATTTCATGTCGTTTTCGACGTCAGATTCACCGGTATATCCAGAGTATAAGTGCTTTTTGATAAAAAACACAAACATTACAAAGATAAAGACCTGAAGGACAACTTGTGGAGAGTCATAGCGTCGGATCTCTCATGACGATGGTTTGTGTGCTTTAACAGTTTGCTAAACGTCTTTGTTTTAACTTTCATCTGTGCTAACGTAAGGTAACGGTTGTTACCATAGTTTCATGTGCTTATCTTATCGCCTCTGATTGGCTATAAGTGCTGACCGTTTGGCTTGAGCATGTGATGACGTTTCCAGCTTTTCTAGCCAATCAGAGGCGAAGGAGGCGGGACTTTCCCCGGCAAAAGTCTTCGCCAGGATGCGTCCTTTTCCCCCCGGAAAGTCGCATAATCGCATTGGGCTTGATGTGCATCGTCAGGTGCACGTCAAAATTTACCTCTGAATATTTCTTAATTTCGCGTTCTATATTCGTGTCGGCCCCAGTGTGTAAGGACCTTTACTCGTGTCTTAAATCATCACACGCCTTTGCACTGGTGATGGTGCCATAAGGGGCAAACTCCTTTCTCAGTCTCTCAACATCTATGCCATCATCCAAGTTTTTCACATACAGATTCACCCCCTGAAATCACAAACAAATCATCAGTGTCATGTCAAATCAAATTATGAAAGTTTGCATTCTTATTTTTTATACCCTGGCTGTCTGCAAAGAAACATAATACAAAATTTTGAAACCAAGAACCTGATAGCGCTGAATGCGGTCCTGCTTGATCTGGTCAAACTTGCGCTTGAGTTCTTCCTGACGCTCCATGCGCTTCTGAGCCCGACCCACGTAGATCATTTTCCCATTAACCTCTTTTCCATTCATCTCATCCACTGCCTAAAGAAACAACAGGAGCATCAATTCAGTATCCTTACTGGACAAAGACATTTCAATACCAACATGGCTACGTAAATATTTAGTTTCAGCTTGAATGTTCTCTCCAAACTGAGCAGAGTAGGCGCTGTGATTACTAACTACTTGTGATTCACCAGCCAATGACATTCCTGAACCTGCCAGCTTACAAAGACACAGCAGGGCCACATAGAGACTGTTTTCTGTCATCGTCATACATGCAGGTGCTGTGAGCAAAGCACTGCCGGTCTGTGTGTGTCTGTGTGTGAGAGCTGTTGGCACATGCAGAGCCAGGATGACGGGTGCGCCAAGATGACAGTTTCTCTCAGGGCTGTGCAGAGGTGTGAGAATGTTTATTTTGTGGTTTTGTTGTGTGTATCCTACTTGCTTGGGAAACCACAGTCCTCAAGGGCCTGAAAACCCTCACACACACACCAGGGATTTGCTTATTCTAAGTGTTTGGCCTCATGATTCAATCGCTGCTTTCAGGATTATTTTACGATGTCTGAATCAGTATAAATCTGAAACTGCATAATCTAGACCTTAACGGCACCTCAGATCCGGAAACAAGAATCTGTATCCACAGGGTTGTGTGTATAACTGACAATGAAGTGATATACGTGATAAGTGATCGCCACCCTTAACGTCAACAGAATGACATTTCTCTGCTGGCAGGTATCCAAACCTGAGTGAACAAAGAAACATCCACACTCTACCTTCTGAGCATCATCGTGGTTGACAAAGTTCACGAAGCCAAATCCCCGTGACCGCCCTTTCTCGTCCTTCATCACACGCACGCTCAGGGTCTTCCCTTTGAGGTTAAGCAGAAATCAGTCAGTGCATGCTTGGTTTGTGAGTGAAAATCAGAAAAGTAAAATACACCATAACAGAGTGATTCAGAGTCTGAGGCTGTGCGTTCTCACCGAATGAAGAAAAGACCTCCTTGAGTTTCTCATCAGAGTAGTCCTCTCCAAAGTTTTTGATGTAGATGTTGGTGAACTTCATCGCTTTGGTGCCAAACTCGATCTCTCTTTCCTTGCGGGACTTGAAGTGGCCAACAAAACTACAAAAAAATTCAACCGGACACCACAAAAAACCATGATTAAAACACTTGATAGTGAAAAGGTGTCTTTGGTGTCTGGTCTGACCAAAAAGCATGAAAAAAAAAAATAATTTAATGACAGATCCAGTGACTTGATTCTACATTTCTGCGTTTTCTTCTTATAATAGTCTTAAGCCTCCTAGAGAGAATGACTGTTAGCTGTAAAGTCAGAGCCTGTATCTCTTTCTAAAGGGGGGAAATTTGTTTGGCACCATTTCTTTAGCAATGCCTTTCTTTCGAGGTGAGAAACACCACCACCCTGCCAGCACTAGGAAATAGTGCTGGCAGGGTTAGTGGGTCAAATTAACCAATAAAAAGGGGCTGTTCTGCTTCATAAAAATGAAACAAGTCCCCCCTGAGAACTCATACATAAGCTACAGGCTGGCTAATGTTTTGTTGCTCCATAATTCTAATAATGTCAGGGACAGTAAAACTGTACCAAAACTAACAAAAACATTACAAGGACCAGAACACTTCCTTTGCCCTTTTTTAGACAAAATGGAGACTAAAGTTAACAGCATAATGGTCACACAGTAATAATTTTAGAGAATATTTAAAACTGGACTGAAAATTTAAGATCCAATCCTTAATTTCTGCCTCACTGTGTCCAAAAACAAGGACAAACCCTAACTGTATGAACATGACTATTCCTAAGATTACCAAACACACAAATGAACAATGACCCTAGACACAGATCCTTCCTACTCACTGACCCAGACAGGGACAACTGACACTTTTTCCCAAGGACATGGGCCTTGGGGTTGACAATGCCAGAACTTGTTTTATGACTAAGCAAAAACAGAAAAGAAAAGCAAACGTGAAACAGTCATCTGCACAAACTCTGTGACTTCAAAAAGAATCATGAATATACACATTTTCTGCCCTCCTCTCCGCCTCAACTAATCAATACAATCTGATCAGTTTATATTTTTGAAATATCACTGAAATATAAACTTCACTTACACTTTCCTGTCATTCAGCAGCATCCCGTTCATGGTGTCGATGGCTCGTTTTGCGGCCTCGTGGGTCTCAAAGTGAACAAAGCCGTAGCCTTTGGATCCTTTCTCATCACAAACAACCTACGACAAAAAAGACCCACACTGTTTTTCTACAAAGAGTCATCTCCCACAAAGGTTTTTGATTGAGGTGAGTCGAATTTGATAAGTCATGGCTGATGGTCCTTAAATTTGGTTGCCTGGACTACATTTTCTAGCATATTACAAATGGGTTCAGTGCATTATCATAAACTTTGTGATTCTGCCACTGACCTTGCAGGAAAGGATATTCCCAAAAGCCGAGAAGGTGTCATACAGTGCCTTGTTGTCAATAGACTCATCCATGTTCTTGATAAAGATGTTTCCCACACCAGACTTCCTGAGTCCCGGGTCACGTTGGGACCACATAATCCGGATGGGCCTACCCTTGACAACGTCGTAGTTCATAGTGTCGAGAGCACACTCAGCTTGAAAGAGTAGTTTTAAAAAGATAAACACCGAGAATTCCATTGAGTATTGTACTTTTAGTTATACTCTTCACAAAAGACCACCAGAAGACAACAAAAAATACAGTTTGAGTTTCAAACAGCTTCACACACAAAACATCATCGAGAGGGGAGAGTAATGGGTGACTTTGAGCATGAATTTTCAGAAAATCCATACTTAGTTTGAGGGGTGCAATTAGGATTCTTGTAAACCATTTCCAATACAAACAAACATATTTGAAGTAATAAATCTGGTGGAGTTTTGACTAAATAAATACTCTACCATCTGCTGGCTGTTGGAAGTTTATGTAGGCGTATCCCAGTGATCTGCGGGTGATGATATCACGGCACACACGGATTGACATGATGGGTCCAGCGGGTGAGAATTTCTGGTAGAGCATGGCCTCTGTAACATCAGGGTGAAGATCCCCAACATACAAAGAGGCGAGGGGATAGGCCGGTCCACTGCTGTTCATCTTGGGTAACGGCTTGTTGAAGACAGGGGTATATCAGGTTAAACGCTCAATTCATTAACTTTTTATTTAAGTTCTTTTCAGGACAGAGAGATGCAAGACCACATCTTACATTTGAGTTGCTAATAAACAGCTAAAATTTTATTAAAACCTTGCAGTGCAGTTTTGGGGAACTTTCTACCTTTTGGAGATGTTGGTTCATTTCTATCCTCACTCCAGAGACCACAGTGATATCAATGATTCCTTCCTGTCTGAAGCCTATGAATGCATAAATATTAGAAAACAGTGTAGAGTACAAACTAAAAAATGTTTGAGGTATATTTTTCCCCTTTATTACTTGCAGAAAGGATTTTATGTTCTTGTTTGAGGAAAACAAGAATCGAACTTAACTTGAATTTTACATTCGCAAAAGTTTCACCATCTTGTTGGGCTCCATTTTGTTTTAAAAGTCAAGTTCGGCCAAAGAGATCATAACTTTTGACTATAAACACTAGCTTATGTTAGCTAGCTTAGGTTAGCTAAACAATTAATGGACTTAATACGAAACGCTGCTCGTACAAACTGCAGGTGAAGCAGCGGCATCTTTTCTGAACAAACGTTTAAAAAAAAACAATAAATGATGTTCTACTTACAGTTTTAAGCGTAATTATGTGTTCAGACTCCTTGTTTCGTGAGCGCCGATCAATTTCCACATGCGCGGCGGCAGGTTGTTTTCGTTTAATTAAGACCGTGGAACACCTGACCGTGTCCTCCGCGCTGAGTCTTCGTAACGGGGAACATACTCCGCGAACATGACATTCCGCGATGAGAACTAGTTCGTACAACTACAGGACGAGCCTGTGCTTCTATCGCCCTCTGTTGATTGATATGACCTACCCGAACTTGTTTAAAAAACAACTGATTTAATTTCTAGTTGTTCAATTATTTCCATGTTTAATTCATAAAAAGAAAGTATTCCCTTTGAACAAAATGAAGACGTATTTTGCCTGTTATCTTAAACGAAACTTTATTTCACTGAATGGTCTTTGACACTTTCCTATTTCTTACATGTATAGTGAAACTAGAATGGTTTTAAGATACATAAACACAAAGCTAGAATTACACCAACCATTGTTTTATCTCCATTTTCAGTCATTGCTTTTTAGAGCTATTCTAAAATTTCACAACCACGTGTGTGCACTGGGTAATAGACTGTTACAGAAGCAAATTTTAGCCATAAGACTTGTCAGTAAAAACAAAGCAAGTAGATACCTGATATACAGACAGGCTTCGTTCCACATTCACTAACTGCATTTTCATCAAGCATAATAATAAACTGACATGATTTTTTTTTTTTCCAACAGAAGATTTTTTTTTTTTTCAATTTCATTGGAGCATTTTCAGAGTAAACAGACTGTCAGCTATAATGTGGAATGGTGTCTTCAACTACAATATGTGGAATGTAGTGGTGATACATGGTATTGTGACACTGAGCTTCTTTTGAAAATCTCCAAATTGCACCTTCAAAATAGACCTGATTTTTTTTTTGAGGCAATAACTCACACCATCAACGTTTAACAGCAAAGATGCAACCGAGTAAGAACTGGGATTTAGCAAATTTAATTTCGTCTAGTCTAACTCGTTTTCTTCTAAATTTCCAAACAACATTAACAAGCAGATCCGGTCCCTTGATGAAAACAGAGGCTGCAAGAGAAAGCCAGGCGCAGATTTTTTTCTTTTTTGGAGAAAACAACCGCTTTAAGAGGAATATTTTGCAAGCAGGGTTGATACAGTGTGGTAAGACATTTTCAATTAACATCAATAAAAGGTTACTTTAGGTTTTACATACAGATGATAGTCAATCTTGCAAAATACATGGAACCACATTTACGCACATACATTTTCCATTGTACTGAGATCAAGCAGCACCTGAACAGTGAGTAAAACTACAATGACAATCCATAATCAAAAACAAAAAAAAAAATAAAATTAAAAAAAAAAAAAAGAGCACTGCCTTTCAAGAGCCTAATAATGTGGAATGTCTGATGTCTGGACAAATCTAACATGACAATTTCAGGGGTCCCTTCAAAGTTTGAAAGTGTGAAATTTGTGAACATGATCGAGGATCATTACACCAAGATGTCAGTGTCACAATACAGCCTGCCTCCTTTCTGTATGAACACACAGCAGAATTGCAGTTAGTCAAATACAGGATCGTATGTGTGTATGAAAACTCACACACACACAGAAAAAAAAAAAAAGAGAAAAAAAAATGTTTGAGGGGGTTGTGGAGCGAATGGAAAGCCTACCATCACAGTGTTTGGTGGAAATCAACTGCCATCTTAATTACCATACAATAAAACCTGTAAATATCATGAGGAATCACAAATAAGAAAGTAACAAAAAAAAAGAAAGAAAAAAAGGGGGATGAAATGCACAAGGACCTAGCTGGGACAAAGGGATTTGGAAGGACGATTAGAATTCACAACACCCCCTCCCCCCCGAGACCATACACACTATCTTTCACATCTGATCACACTTGCTCACTCACTACAGACACACGCTCGCACAAAGCTGACAAAAAAAACAACAGCAACATGGACTCACTATTCAATACAACATGTTTCCACAAAGTGACTGAATCTGCTAACTGAAAAATCACCCTGTCACCTCACAGTGAACTGAGAGGGGTAAACTAGTTGGTCAGGAGCAATTCAGGCTGCTTGTCATACAGAAGTGGGAGGAGCTGATGGAGTGGAGGGGGATGTATATAAGCTGTCTGTGTTTAAGATAAGAGTGTAGGTGGATTAACAGTGCAATTCCATTAGTTTTCCCCATCTCCAGTCTCTCCCTCATCTGCCTGGTTTTCTGATGTCCACAGCTGGGAACACAGAGAGAGAAATGTTAAAGATTTACATGGATTAACATTAAAATAGGAAAAAAAAAGGCAAAGATTATGGGACTGAAGACTCACGGTCAGGTTGTCCCTTAGTAGTTGCATGATCAGGGTGCTGTCTTTGTAAGAATCCTCGTTCAAAGTGTCAAGTTCAGCAATGGCTTCATCAAATGCCTGGAATATCAGAAATTTCAGAAATCTCGATTTTAAAAGGTGTTACAAGTGGAACAGTGTTTGAGTTTTTGGCTCGAGTGTGACATCTACCATCTTCAAATATTTCAAAGATGTGATTGCATGTAGGCTGTAGTCCCTACCGTCTTTGCCAGTTGGCATGCCTTGTCCGGGTTGTTGAGGATTTCATAGTAGAAGACTGAGAAGTTGAGGGCCAGGCCCAGCCGGATAGGGTGTGTTGGCTGCATCTCCCCCTTGCTAATTTCAAAAGCTTGCTGGTACGCCTCCTGGGAGTTCTCCACTGTGTCTGTGGGGAAATTAAAGAGAGAAATAAATGTTACTGATCCCTCGCTAACACCACAAAAACTGATATTTCCAGCCAGTGGAGGGTGGTGAGGAAATCTAACATGATAGTCATCGTTTGATAACAGTGGCAAATGTGTGTGCAAATATTTGCCGACTGCAACACCGGGCACAAACACGATTATGTCACCTGGTAAGAAATTTCTGCCTTTTTTATTTTGGAGATTTATTTTTTAATTTTCAGTTTAGAACAGCCAGTTACTGTTCATTATAAATTCAAAAATAAAAAATCAGTTTGCAAATTTTTAAACGACTTCACGTACCCTTCTTTGCGTCCCCGGATGCGACCTCAGACAGGTATCTATAATAATCGCCTTTCATTTTCAGATAGAACACCTTGCTTTCAGCAGCGGATGCATTGGTAATGAGAAAGTTGTCCAGCAGCGCCTGAAAATAAGAATTTGAAGTTTCTTTAGTGACGATTTTGACAACCTAGCACAATTACTTAAAAGAAACAAGTTTACAAGTGTGCAAATCACAGATGTTTCAACAGAAATTATAGACCCTTACAAGCACATCCTTGCAGATATCCTGCAGCTCAACTTCAATCTTCTCCCTGTATTCACGTGCCATCTGCTGTTTTTTGTCATTGCCCTCAGTCTTCTGCTCAATGCTGGAGATGACACGCCAGGATGAGCGGCGCGCTCCCACCACATTCTTGTAGGCAACGGAGAGAAGGTTGCGCTCTTCATTTGACAACTCTGAACCTTGCTCCGTCACTGACTTCATAGCAGCAGCCATGTCATCATAACGCTCAGCCTGCTCAGCAAGCTTTGCCTTCTGTACCAGGTCGTTCTTATCCATTTTCCAGACTGTAAAGAAAAGAAAACAACAAAATTAGTACAAGTATTATTCAGGTTGAGAAAACAAAAGAACAATTTTCAAAAATGGAATTCTCATTGTTTTTCTTTCACTTGACATTACCTGAAATTTGGAGTGCTTTGGTGTCACTTTTTTGGGCCAAATCATTCAAGCAAAGAAACTATTGTGTTCAATAGAAAGCGAGAATAAGCACTGCCAACTGGGCCCCTTGGCAAGTGGGTCAACCATACACATTTACTAGCTTAGGTTAGCCGCTAGCAAGTCGATAGGGCTGTCCACCCGTATCTCATCCGAACCGATTGTGGACTATTTTCGTCTCATTACGGTTCAATCCATGTCGTTTGCATCAATAATACTCACCATGTTGTATTATTAAAAATGCGCTAGGTCTAACAGCTCATTTGACGGTGATAAAACGGACACTTGCTCTACCAGCATTCCCGGGTCAGGCTGTAATGCCCTCCCCTTATGTTGCTAGCACTGCTAGCGGGACCTCGCATATTGCTAACTGATAGGACGATTATGCTCGTGAATACAGTTAGATATGCGATGTGATGTGTTAAGTGTTGTACATCAATTCACGACGACCCACGGTTGCTTTAAAATCAACGTGTTGGGATAGTGATGTGTCGTATTGATGGTAACGCACAGTGAACTAAGCGGCTACATAACGGTAATGTCCGTTAGCTAGCTAGGCCAATGAAAGCAGCGACCGACTTTGGTTAAAAAATATACGGTTAGGGTGTTGGCCATCAACATTTGAGATGTTTTATCACCGTGAGACGAGAAAACATCGTGGTCCACGTTCTGTACTTTCTTATTTAATTCATTTTCGACAGCTGTACCGCGGCCCGCCCAGCCTGACGAGCCCGTTAGAACAAAGTGTCATGGAGCCCGACCGTCGGTTAGCTCGATGCTAGCCTTTCACAAACCCCCGTTAGCGCCGCAGGTTAGCAGTAAGACTTCTCAACAGTACACGATGAAACAGCCATCCAAACACCGCATTAGCAGTTAAATTATAGCAATATAATGCGCTATTCATCATTGTGTGTTCATATTACTCACAAAAGTAGCGGCTTTTATTCCTGCTTTTTTTCTCTCTCTGGACGATTGAGCCTCCGTCCTCCGTCTAGCTCAGCGTATCGTTCAGGGCAGTACCACTTCCGCTACTCTGGCGCTTCTGTTTCCCCTTTTTTCACCACCACACATCTGCCTTACGTAATGCAGCCCCTGCTCAATGCGCTAAATAACAAAATTAACACACAAAGTTTTTGGGTTACACTTCCACCAGGTTCAAAATGAAAATATTTCAACTCTCATTATAGGTAGGATTAAGATTATTACCGTTATTCATGGTTGATTTACGCAAAGGCGCTTTCTAAATTAGCTGCCATGGCTTGTGCGGCTTTAAATCTTATTTTCTAAGACATATTAGACGATTTTTGGGGGGCGCAATTTACGTACAACTCCTTAAAAAGGAAGCAACATTTTTTAAAAAAGCATTGCGGTGGGTTAAATCGTCATCTGTACCCTTATAATGCTTCTCTTCTTTTTTTATACATCTTTTAAATTAAGGTCACAGGTCAAGGTCAGAGGTAGTGCATTTCTTATGGAGCTTAAGAGGCTGTAGTAGGCCTATGTTGCTCTAGTACACTTCAGCAGTCTGCATTTTTCTCAGTGCAGGGGTTTTAAGAATGATCTTCAAGTTTATGACATGCTGTTATCAACAAATCTATTCTACAAACTTGATGACATTGCCTGCAGGCCCTATGTTTAGTCTTTTAGAATAGAATAGAACAGAATAGAATATAATATACCTTTATTGATCCGCCATGGGGGATTTTTTTTTTGCCACAACAGCAATACAGACATAGAAAGTGCAAAAAAAAAATTTAAAAATAAAGATTGTGATATTAAGAACTTAAATGTTACAATTAAGAAAAAATTAAGACAATTAAAAAGGGAGAGGAAAATAAAATTATATACAATATACACAATTTAAGTACCAGAAAAAAAACTCTGGATGAATGAATGAATAAGGAGATGAACAACAGATGATGTACATGAATGTTGAATATTAAATAGATTAAGGTGTGAGTCCAGTTTTATTACAGTTCGTTGTAAAGTCTTATTGCAGAAGGGAGAAATGACCTCTGGTAGAGCTCCTTCTTGCAAGGTGGGAGTCTCAGTCTGCTGCTGAAGGAGCTGCTTAAAGCCCCCACAGTCTGGTGCAGTGGGTGAGAGGGATTGCCCATGATGGATACAAGCTTTGCTAACATCCTCCTCTCACCCACCTCCTCCTGGGAGTCCAAAGAACAGTCCAGGACAGAACTGGCCCTCCTGACCAGTCTGTTCAGTCTCTTCCTGTCCCTCTCGGTGCTCCCTGCCCCCCAGCAGACCACTGCATAGAAAAGTGCAGATGCTACCACAGAGTCATAAAAAGTCCTGAGCAGAGGCCTGCACACTCCAAAGGACCTCAGTCTCCTCAGCAGGTGGAGACGACTTTGGCCCTTCTTGTACAGGACGTCTGTGTTGGTTGACCAGTCCAGTTTATTGTTGAGATTGACACCCAGGAATCTGTAGGACTCCACCATCTCGATGTCCAGACCCTGGATGTTCACTGGAACAGTCTGAGGTGTCCTCCTCCTGCAGAAATCCATGACCATCTCTCCTGTCTTACTGGCATTTAGCTGGAGGTGGTTTTTCCTTCTTTCCTTTTCCTTTTTACTTAACAATATTTTTATTAGTTTTATACAGATTAGACAAAGGAAACAAATCACAACCCTCCCCCCCTTTCCCTCAAAACCCTGTCTACTGCTGGATATTCCAATTAATGTGCTTAAATAACAAACTCTAGAGCTAAAACTAAAATAATAACAGAAAAAGATGTTGAGGAGTAAAAAGTGAAAAGAGAATAAGTGAAATGAACTACTGTGCATTAAGAGAAATACAAATGTAGACAAATAACTGAAAACTGAAAAAGTCCATAAAAGAGAAAAGAATTTAAATTGTATGATTATAAAATATCACAGAAATATATTTCAAAAAGAAAACAGCAACAACAAATGATGAGAGCTTCTGAATGTGGTCTAGAAAAGGTCCCCAGATCTTTTCAAACTTTCTGTCATTACCTGCAACCGAGTAACGAATCTTCTCAAGGTCTAAACAAGACGTAAGAGATGCACTGGAGAACCGCATGTCTGGCCAGGAGGGAGGCAAAATCTAGGGTTCGGCACTTAGTGGAAGAAAGGTTTGTATCCTCTCCCACCGTACCAAAAACAGCCACCACAGGATCTGGTTCTAAGGTTATGTTCAACATTTGTGATAAAGTTTGAAAAACCTCTCTCCAAAATTTCTCAAGGCTGGAACATTTCCAAAACATGGGGAGAAGAGAGCTTTCACCTTATCTGCATTTATCACAGAGAGGATCCACCTCAGGATACAGACGAGTTTAAGACTGATCTTCAAGTTTATGACAGGCTGTTATCAACACATCTATCCTAAAAACTTTATGACATTGCCCGCAGGCTCTATGTTCAGTCTTCTTCTTTGAAAGAATGAGCTGCATTAACCCTAGAACACTATCGCTAAAATTAGTAACACCATCACTATCGCCGTTTGATTTCAACCTGAAATAATATACCCAAGAAAAAGTACTTGTCATCAAAATATATCAAAATAGGACAATACATGACAAAGTAAAGTAGTTTTATTTTATTTTTAACTGTGCATTGTCCAAAGGCAGGGGGGAAAAGTGCCATGAGGGGACCATATGAAAATGCAACAAAATAACTGAAATGAGGCATTCATGAACAAAAAATTCCTAAAAAATAAAAAATAAGTAAAATATATAGAAACTGTAAATGGAACCTGTGTCCGAAATGAATCACTCAATCCCTAGCCCTTAACCCCCATATGGGGTTTCACTATATAGATGACTATGTAGTGAACTCAATCAACAGAGGTTTTGGACACTACCATTGTGACGTTGCCGCTGGAGACGCAATGCATGACGGGATGCCCACCACCGGTGAGTGACCATCGGATGGTCACTACATTTTGCAATGCTTTGTGGGAAATTTTGAGTCACCTATATGGGGCATTGATATTGATTACTGAGGTTTCGGACACCCCTCATAATGGCGCTAACCCCCATATAGTCGCCTGTATAGGGGTTAGGGATCCATTTCGGGCACAGCCTTAGTTTCTTTTCCACCCATTCCTGGGGTATGTAAGTCTTTGACTCAGGGTCCTTGGCACAATAACAGCTACAGGAGAGAGAACCAAAATATGGTATATTTTGAGTGAGTTAAAATGACCAGCTGACTAAAATATTTCTTATCACTATATGAATCCCCTTGAAAATCACTACTTTGTGATAGTTATTTATAACCACTGCGCTAAATAAAAATAGCATGCAAATTCCAGGACCACTCTTAACTGATCTTATTCACCTACATCAGTGGTTCTCAACCCAGTCCTCGAGCCCCCCTGTCCTGCATGTTTTGGATGTTTCCCTGCTCCAACACACCTGATTCAAATGATCAGCTCGTTATCAAGCTCTGTAATTAATAACGAGCTGATCATTTGAATCAGGTGTGTTGGAGCAGGGAAACATCCAAAACATGCAGGACAGTGGGCCTCGAGGACTGGACTTGAGAACCACTAGCCTACATGTAGCTAGCAAATCCACCCAAACCTACTTTACCCTCTATCACTATTCCCAGGTGAAAATCAACCAAACATGTGCCTGTAGGAAAAAGCAGGTTTTGAATCAGGGAAACAAATATGCCTTCAAAGATGTCAAAGGCAATGCTGGAGCTACCCAAGGACCCATGATACTCAGACAAACACAACATAATGAAAATCACGTAAACACATTTAGTTCAGGTGAAAATCACCCGGCAATAGTGTTCTAGGGTTAAAAATGATTTCCATCCATTAAGTTCATCACTTTCTTTGTTGGTTTTTATGTAGCTCAAGGACGTAAAGGCTAAATTGATAAAAGTCATAATTTGTATATAATTTGATTTGATTTATAATTTGTGTTAGTCAACTTGTTTGTTAATTAACTTACCATTTTGTCACCGTGTGATTATTGAATACATTTTCAAGACAAGCCCACAGAGATTGCATACTGAAGAGTATTGGTAGTACCAATGTTTTTGACAATCCTGGTGGCTGTCCTTACAGTTTTAAGTTTAGTCTCAGGATTCAAGAGAAAGCTTTATTTTATACAGACCCTCGAGGCAGTGTTGTAGACAGCAATCAAAGCATAACCAATAATTAAGATATCTATTTTTCTAAGACCAATAATTAAGATGCCACTTCAAGGTTATTAAGTTCTACTAACAATCAGCATTTTCAGTGGAATACAGGGAACAGCCATTACAATAATTCTGAGTACTGAGTGGAACAAAATCACAGCATGTACTGAGTTAAAAATTGTTCCCATTTCTTTCTCAGCAGTACACTGGCAGCTTTATAAAAACTGGATGGAAAATTCTCCTGCTCACATGCACCTCAGATTCCAGCCCAGCAGGCAGCACTCTCTTCTCTCACCAGCAACTAAGACACAATGATGCACTTAAGGACTCTAATTTTTGCATCCATCATATTGTCTTCTGCTGCAAAAGGTGAATACTTGGAAGAAAGGACAGCTATGGTGAGTGCATGTTTTGAGGTTTTTACATGGTGTTAGTATGTGGGTGAAAAAAATGCGTGATGTAACTGCAAAGATGCGTCCTTTTTTCAGAGCAATGTCAACATACCAGACTATCAGAGTGACCAAGAAGAAGACACAACTGACGACCGTAAGGTCCATGCAGGAGAAAATTTTCAACAAGTGTTTGAAAGTCGATTATGCAACCCTTACTGAGGCATCCTTCCACATTTTTGTGAATGTAGTTTAAGCCAATATTATGTAATAATGGTTCCGATCAAATGTCCCAGTCTACACTGTTGTGTATTAGAATCTTTCTAATAATATGTTTGAAATTAAGTAGAGTCACACAGAAAAACAAACATCTTTTCTGTAAATAAATTTTAAAAAAATAGGTAATGAAACTGTGTTGTGCTCTTTGCAGCGCTTCCAACATGTCTGCTGTGTGTTTGTCTGCATGGATCTGTTTACTGTGAGGATGTAACGCCAGTAATGAAAACCGTCCCACCACTGCCAAAAGAAACAGCGTATTTATACGCACGCTTCAACAAGATCACAAAAATCAGCAACAGAGACTTTGCAGACCTGGGTAAATCAAAGTCATTCTTGTAATTGGCATGTCATTCCACAAGTATCATTTTTCAGACTCTCTCCCTCCTTTTTCTTCAGTCGCATTAAGAACAATTGACCTGACTGGAAATCTCATCGCTGAAATTGAGGATGGAGCTTTTTCAACACTCTCTAGTCTTGAGGAGCTCACTCTTGCAGACAACAAACTGACCAGGCTTCCTGTGCTGCCCACCACGCTTGTGTCATTTAATGCCAATTTCAACAAGCTTAGAACCCAGGGGGTAAAGGCAACTGCTTTTAAAGTAAGTCAAAACATAGATCTGTCTCTTAATTCAAAATAATGAACTGACTTGGATTCTTTCATGTGTGATAAAGAAAACAGACTACCCCAGAAAAGTGTTTTGTTCTTACAGAAACTCACAAAACTGGCATATCTTTACCTTGGACACAATGAACTGACAGCAGTGCCTCAACTTCCAGAGTCTCTTCATGTTGTACACCTGCACGTAAGTTCATTCAAAGGCGAGAGGTTTACCAAAAGCAGGAGTTGATAAGTGATGGTCTAAATCTGTTTTCTTGTATTATTCTGCAGCACAACAGGATCGCATCAATAACAGATCAAACATTCTGCCAAGGAAACTCCAATCACTACATCAGGACCAACATGCATGAGGTGAGACTAGATGGGAATCCCATCCAGTTATCAAGCCACCCTGAGAGCTTCGTCTGTCTGGAGACTCTCCCCATCGGCTGGTACAACTAAAAAGAGCATGTCTTAGTCGAGTCGAGGAGGCATAATTAGCGTATGATGCAGACATACAAAAAGTCAAAGTGTCATTTGTTGTTAAACACTATTAAGTTACATTTTATATACCCAAATCTCCCATACAATGTATGAGCTCATATTTTCATAAATAGACACAAATATATCACTGCAGAAAGTATGACAATTTTTGTGTATTTTTGTGTTCAGATATTGTACAACACTGCTGCTTTATCCAGGTGCAATGTATTATACTGCACACAACATATCAACATAAACCTGTCGTATCAATATTTGACAATTGCTGAAATTATTCCATTTGACTGCACACCAGTGCCAACATCTCCGGTACTGTTTCTTAAAGTTAATATTAACAATAAAGCCTGCATGTTTAACTGATACCAGAGTCTCACTCTTCAGTCTTTCATAACATTCAGATCAGTTGGTGTTTCCATGATGTCCGCTTCGGTTTGTCTTAACAGGTCAGAAACGTCAGACAGTCCAAGAAAGTGTCTCTTGATTAGACATTTGAAGTCCACATCGAACCAAGACCAGTTCACTTTGCTGCTGGCTCTTTCAGCACTATCAAACCATCTGCAATCTTCTGCTGGTACTCCCGTTCTGACCGTTTTCTTCTGTAGACATCATCTGTGAAGACAAACACAGAATACAATTGCTGACCTGAGACATGTGAGGTGAAGACAGTACTGCTGCGGTTACAGGAAGATAGGGTGGATTGCACAGGTGTTAATAATAACATCAGCACTGTCCGAGTAAGCAAAGACTGTTGGCCAGAACGTGCTGGTAGTTTTCTTTCATGGTGTTTCATGGTGTGGCAGGATTAAATAACACTATAACACCATATGGAATCATGCTAAAAAAATATCCTTTCCACTGGTGCCTTTTCTTTCAGTGACATTTCAAACTTTCTTGAGTAAACAAGGTCTGTAAGTTATTCTGCAGATTGGATGAAGTGAAGAGAGTTTGTGGGTTGGAATTTAACTAGAAATTGGAGTAGGTCCTTCAAAAAGGAAAACATTTTCCGTATCCTTAAATGGCCCTAGATTACTAAGAAAAATATGCGGGGAAGTTATTTTTTTCTTCTTAACACCAATTCTTGAGTCCTTTCAACTCCCCCTGAAATGGCACATCCCAGCACATCTGGAATAAAGAGACTGGAGTTCAGCGAAAGTAAAATCGCACGCCAGCTCTTTTGCTTATTTCATCCAGAAGCATGGTTTATCTCCTCAGCTGGTGTTGCACACACATATCAATGCAACGCGAGGAATAAAACGCATGCTTCGAATGCTGTCCTGTACGTTTTATCTAAGTCTTGATTCCTTGTGTTTTTTTATTTTTTTCTATTTGCTACCTGGTAATTCTAGGCCACTAAATGTTGATGAAAATACTTCATTTTACTGTCTTTCTTTGATGCCTGGAACAAGTCACTGTTGTGCCAAACTCTTTATAGATTTTAGGGTTTTAGTATTTATTGGATGGTACTTTTGTTTCATTCAACTAAAATACAAATTCTTCAATAAAGGATCATATTTTTGTCTTAAGACAAAACATATGCATGCAAAAATAAATTCCTTCCAGGAACTTTAATGACAGGAAATGGCATTTAAGAAGACTGCCTGAAGGATAAGAAAGTTGAATTTCACATTTTCCATGTAATAGGGGTCGACTTTCTGAGGGCTCAGCTGTGACATGGTATTTTTACACTAATAAAACTTTAAGGCAGTGGCTTGTCAAGTAAAAAGAGCAACAATGTCCAGGGAAAGTGAAAGAGATGAAACATGTTTAAGACAATGATTAATAGTGTGTTTTAACAGACTTTTTGGGGGATATCATGAGATGATCGTATGTCCATATGCTCGTGGTCGGCTAGTATGTGTTGCAGAAATGATCAGGGTGAAGACAAACTCAATTGATCGTCACACACTCACAAAAAGTCTCATGTCCTATCCTCACGTTGATCATGATCCACTCCATGACGCCGCCGATGCAAAAGAAGACAGGGAGGAACCTATACGGCCCAAGACGGCTTTTACCCGGAACAAGGTTCAAGAAATAACCTAGGTTTTTACTTCTATAAAACATTTTGGTTCGCGCAAGTACGTACTGGTACTCGAAAAACAGTCGTAGATACACCACACGACTTCAAATGAGGACCGGGCATGCACCTTTACATGTCCTTTACAGACCTTATGAGAGAAACATCTGAGGGAGCGCTCGTTTTGAGACGCAAGGTTGAGCCAATGAACGGATGCACATAGAAATACGCGGTCAAACGAAGGCGGCTCTACGCTGGGTAATGAAACAAACGTACCCAGAAACTGACTTACATCCGGGTAAGTTAATGCAGTCCTTGTACATAAATACACGTTTTCCACAATGTGTCGTAGTTGGTTGTTACTGCGTACATCTAGAATATCTTGTAAAATACGCTGGTAACCAATGTCCCCCTATTTGAAAAGGTACTCCGTCAATTTGAGAGTTACTATTTAGATGACCTACTGCATCGTGCAGTAATTAAAGGGATATTTCGGCGTAAAATTGATTTAGGGTCAAACACACCGTAACACCGAGTTAGACACCCCCTCGAGAGATGAATGTTGCTGACCGTTTGCTTCTCTAGTTATACCAACTTTGGTAACGACCACACGGTCTGAGGAGCCATAAAAAACCTCAACCAAAAAGCCACAATTAATGCTCAGAACAGCACCTAACTTCATCAACAGCACATATAGGGTCACAGTCATAGCACTAGCCACCAAACATATTTTTAACTTGCCTAATTTTTTTAGCAAAGAGACTAAACACAGCTCACCTACTCTCTTCCAGCAGCCGCTTGTTTTGAGACCTCGGTCCAGTCCATTACGGACTACAACGGGGTGACGCAGCTCAAGGAAGAACATTTATGATCATTACTTCATCATATCCTTGAAGTAATAATCACCATATTAATCATTTTGCTCTGCAGACACAGTAGTTCTTCTGCCTTAGCGTCTTGGTCTGATTGCATTTCCATGAAGAAATGATCATAAATGTTCTTCCGAGAGCTGCGTCACCCTGCTGCAGTCGGTGATGGACTCGACCGAGGGCTCCGTACAAACAAGCGGCTGCTGGAAGAGAGTAGGTGAGTTGTGTTTAGTCTCTTTGCTAAAGAAATTAGGCAAAGCTAAAAAGATGTTTGCTGGCTAGTGCTTTGGCTAGGACCCTATATGTACTGTTGATGAAGTTAGGTGCTGTTCTGAGCATTATTTGTGGCTATAGAGTGGCGTTTTGGTTGAGGTTTGTTCGTGGCTCCTCAGACTGCTGTGTATCATCACTATTCTGTGGTCGCTCCTAAGTTGGTATAACGAGATAAGCAAGCAGTCGGCAACATTCATCTCTCAAGGGGGTATCTAACTTGGTGTTACGGTGTGTCCAACTCTAAATTAATTATCCCTTTAACCTGCCATCATTATTTTCATAAAAGGGTGCAACAGTACACTTTGACAGCAAGGCAAACTCAATAACGACAAGTCTCAGGAATGTACTTTATACTGACAGGAGTCCCTCACAATGGCTCTGAAATTTAGTCATGAATGAGGTTTTAAGTGTATCATTTCATTGAGTTTCATCAAGGAAAAATTGGCAGGAACAGAAGTGCAAAAGCTGAGAAGGTAAACGCTGAAGCAAAATTAATGAGTGACAAATACACAAATGGGTTTATTTTGGCTGGAATGACCAAACACATCACTATGACACAATACTGCAAAGCGCACACAGCAATTTCTGTACAAAAAGACTAGACAGACACATGCAACATTGACTAGGGTCTTGGGAAATAGTACCATAACCAGGAGATAATAGAGAGCTAAACCTTAGACTAATTTGATTTTCTACAGTAAACTCACGAGAAAGACACTGGGCTAAGGACAATAATAATAATTTACTATTATTAAAAAAAAAAGGTACACCCCTGATAACTTGGGCTCCGAAAAAGAAGAGTTCAGGTCCCAACCAGGACATCAACTGTCTGCGGTACTGAACTTTTTTTCTCCCCTTTTCACAAAACTGCAATCTATTTATATTAATGTGTTTAAAAGTGTATTTCATACCTTAGGTAGGCACCGAGTCTTAAATACCAGCCCTCCTTTTTACAATCATCTTAGTACTAACTTAGGAATTAATAGATGAATATGTTGGGAGCACATCAGAAAATTCTTAGGAAACTCAATGTACCCATGTGAAAAGAAGTATTTCGTGATAAATAGGTGCCCCCTAATGAATACAATCCTTGCAATAAGGCCCATTTGCTTCTTAAGGAATGCTGTTGTTTTTTTAGACCTTGTCAAACATTTAGTGGTAGCACAGATAAGAGTGTTACACAAAGATAACACTCCTCCGTTCAAACATGTGACTCAATAAATAACTTAAATAGTCATTATTTTTCCTGTCTGAACGTATCTGAAGGTTCGTAGTGTTACCACTCTGATCAAAATACGGGAAAAGTCTTATCCATGATTCATCACTGAAACATAGAGCAGTTGGTCATTTTTAATCATGATTTGTGTCATATGAAGACAAATTAAACACCCACTACAACTCTGCTGTTACTTAGTCCTCAACTTTGTGAGCCGGTCGACAGAAAGTCCAGTGATGCTCCACTGTGTTCTCGTTTGCACGCTCGCTCATATGATGCACACGCGTGTTGCGGATGGTGAAGCCTTGCTTCATGATGTAGTCCATCAGGTGAACCCTTAGGGACACCTCTTGATGATAGTCACATGGTCCAAAGGTGAAGGACACCTGGCAGTCTCTGGTGTCCATCATGTGTTTGTTCCATTTGGTGAAGTTATTGGAAATACCCTCCAGCAGGCCATGAACCTTTGTGGTAATAGTTAGCTGTGTGATGATAACAGCGACGGGGTTGGAGTATTTGGATAGTTTCCGTGTGCTGGAGAGCTCTACAACCTGCTCAAATATATCAGGAGGGTAAAGCGGCTTGGGATCATGAAGGCACTGGATTAGGGGTTCGATTTGGTAGAAATCTGCCTCCTTCCTCAGGAGGTCTGTCTCTGTGAAGTCCATGGGGAGGGTGAGCTCAGATGTCCGCAGAAAATTCAGGATGTACCTGAAAAGGGTTCCATCACGGTCTATGAAATAGTTCCCCTGGGAGTCACGAGTTGTGGGGAAATCTCCCCGGAACATGGCACCCAGCATGGAGTCAGGGTAGCGCTGCAGGGTTGATAAACTGGTGGTGTACAGGTGGCCTCCAACATTTAAAGTAACAGGAGAACTCATCTAGGGCAACATCAGCAGAAAAGAACATAAGGACAGGTTTTTGTTTGGTCACAAAGGAGATGGCATAAGGATCCTGCTGTTCATGCTGGTTATATGTAAATAGTCACATCTTGCTTAAGTAAATCTTAAGTGCTGCTTGAGTGTTAAACAATGTCAGAATTGTATCCCTTTTTTTTTTTTAAATAGTCTCTTCACCTTTATGGAGGTGGTATTTAACTACCTTGGGACTGAAGCAAAAGACTGCACAACTATACCTACAATAGAGTGAATTTAACATCAGAAACAAAGATCTGATAAAACTCTAATTTTCCAGATTTCTTTCTATCTCTTACCCTATGGCCCCAGTCTCCATTATCCATTTGTAGAGCAATACCCACTTGGTCAGAACCAAAGTAGAGAGGGAACAGATATGGTTTACTTCAATTTCACCTGTGAAAAACAGTCACATTTACATGAGCTGTAAAAACATGATGCAGTACAAGCAATATCATGAGGACTCAGGCGAATCATGCAATACCTTCTATTATACAAGTGATGAAACTCTATCTGAACCTCTATTTACATAGAAGGTGCTGTCAACACATGCAGTTTTCATGTCTAACATTACACATCCGTATGGGAGGGGCAAAGTATCATTACAGTTATATGCTGGATTCTTATCCTGACTCAAGGGTAACCATTATCAAATTGTTCATGTCAATACCAATATCTCACATAAAAAACAAAACTGCATCTAATATATATATATAGCCTACCTTACAACATGATTCACAACATCCCTTTTAAACTTAATACAATGAAGAAACATTGTGTAATGTTACCATAAATGACAGATGTAATCTTTTTCATGCATAGAAATTCAGCTATGTGTGAAAGATCATGGTTGGTGCCATATACTGTAGATTAAAATGTAAATAACTGTATATTCTGCATATGGTCAGTGGGTGGCATATGAAAGCTGGCAACACATATGCATATTAATGTGGCACCTTATCTGCCATAGATATCAGCAGCGTTTTAATATCTGTTGATACTTGTATTGTGCCTATACTATTGCACATCCTTGCTTTTTACATTAAATCAAATATCTCACAATGCAAGCTTTAAAGTTCAAGTCTTAGAGAACTTAATAGTCTGTAAGTGTTCAGAAATATAAAAGAAATATGAACATTTTCATTCACTGATTCAGATTATTTGCTATGCTCCACTAAATGAAAAGGGGTTTTGTCAACAACTGTTCCTTGTGTAATAAAAAACCTCATCAGTCCATTTTGTCTTTGGACAGGCATGTTAATCAGGACGGGGAAGTAGTGATGCCACTTACTGGAAAGAGAAACCTATCTCTACTGAATGGAAATATGTTTTTTTATAAGTTTGCAGAGTGAAAGAGCAGCGGTGAAGTAGTGACTGCAAGTAAAGCCAGCTAATGTTTGTTTTAAAGCTACCTGGTATCTAAAGATTAGCCATTTCACCTCAGTGCCTTCAGTCTAATTCACTAAAAAGAAGCAAGCTAACCGGAATACAGAAATACCAAAGCGCATTTGAATGACTGCGTTAATACGTTGCAAACCAAGCCGGGGTCTATTAAGGCATAAAGCGTCAAATACAATAAGATTAGCACACTATAAATGTAGCCAACCAGCTAACTGCTAGCTAGCCAGCTAATGTAGCTAGCTAGCCGTCCACGAGTCGTAGACGGTGGCATACTTATCACACCGGGACTCCAAAAAAAGCTCTACGTGTTACAACAAATCCTTACCAGCTCACTTTCTTGCTTACTTTAGTCTCTTTTTTGACAAAGTCGGCGGCCTGCTGTTAGCATTTATCGTTGCAGCCAGAGAGTCGGTGATGTTTGCCGCTGTTTGCACCGGACAGCTGTGCTCTGCTTCAGGCTGCAGCAAAACTGCGCACACAGGCGGGGTGTGAAGGGAGGAGGAGGTCCTGCTGCAAGAACAGGCATCTTTGCATGAATACAATTACACACCCTCACATTACTGCATTAATGCATGAGACTTTTATTGTTTTGATAATGCAGATTACATTGCAAATTAAAGATGACTGACTTTATTTATCAATCTAACAAATACAAAGAATTACTGTCTTGATTTTAAAGGGTTAGACATCTGTACCCATGTGCATGTCATGTACAAGGAGCCAGTGAGGCATAAGAGGGTAGAGCAAATATGTAAGAGTCTTTAGTTCATGAGGATTTCTTCACTCCGCCCCGAGCATCTTGCTGCAAGATGATAAACTCCAGAATTAGTTTTGCTGTCCGACAAGGCCTCTCCATCACCACAGAGTGCCCACAGTTGTCCAGCAGGTCCACTCTACACCCAGGCAGCACATCTGAGATGACTGCAGCTCCAGAAACATCCACCACCTGTACAAAAAGTCAAAGCATGAGTGTAAGGGTATGTGCCTTTAGGCTTACTTTTGAGGCCTCATTAAGAGAAAGGAGGTCATGCAACGTTTACAGGTTACATGTTTGCAGAGGCATGTACAGACTTTTGGGTGGAGCAAACTGAGGCACTGATTATTCCAGGGGTGGCATGCAGTGTGAGCATCCACCTTAAAGGGATATTCTGGCGTAAAATTATGATCATGACTTTATCATTTCCTTGAAGTAATAATCATCATATGAATCATTTTGCACTGCAGACTCGGTAGTTCTTCTGCCTAAGCGTCTTGGTCTGATTGCATTTCCATTTAGAACTGATCAAAAATGTTCCTCCTTTGAGCTGCATCAACCCGCTGTAGTCCATAATGGAGTGGCCCGCTACAATTAAGCAGCTGCTGGAAGGGAGTAGGTGAGTTGCGTTTAGTCTCTTTGCTAAAGAAATTAGGCAGAGCTAAAAAGATGTTTGGTGGCTAGTTCTGTAGAAGCAAGCAGTCGGCAACATTCATCTCTCAAGGGGGTGTCTAACTCGGTGTTATGGTGTATTTGACCCTAAATTAATTTTACACCGGAATATCCTTTTAAAAGGGAGATTACCGGCAGCTATTGTAACACACATTGATTTGGGGGTTGCACAAGGGAAATCAGGCAAAGCTAATTATAAAAGGGGCCCATGTCACACCTGACCACCGCTTTGGACATGCCCCTGCACGTTTGCGCACAAAAACTGGATTGTCATTGCATTAGTTAACCTGATCTTGTTTGCCCCATATCACTTGTAGAGGTGCAGTGATGAGGTGTAAGTGCTCCTGTAAGGCATATCTTGATTTTTCACCAACTATCTCCATAAATACTGAAAAAGAGAGAGAAAAAAAGTAGATAAATTTCTAGGGCAGCAGGTCACTTGGACTAAACTGTACACTTAAATAAGTCACTGAAATTATCTGCACCACAGTGGACTAACCTTCTTGGTAAAACATGTTATGGGGCTGCCGGACATCTACCAATCCTTGGAGAATCTAAAGAATGAAAACATGTTTACACAAGGTAGCTGAGGTGATTATCATTGAATACATTAACCATGATTGTCAGGTACTCTTGGTGCATTGAAAGTTAAAACCCCTGGTGCTTTTATTTCAAGTGTGGACCTGACCTGCTGAGGGATTTTAAAGCGAACATGAGAACAAAGCCTGAACATGTCCTCCATCTCCTCAGGTGTAGTTGGGATCAGCGGGATATTTAATGTGTAATTGCTATGCTCCAGGTCTTGCAGATGATTGTCGAATTTGGTCTCACATGGGTGTCTTATTCCTGCAAGATAAAATGAGTGTTTACTGACAGAAACTGATGATGCATGCAAGCTTGAGTGTTTGTTGAGAGAGTAAGCTAAACAGCAAAGGTAAAAGGTATGTGTTTTTTTTATGGTCATGTCAGGTCATATCCTGTGATGGCTTTTAAGGACACAATAGTAGCAGTGGATGGTTGGTATTAACTTATTATACACTCTTTGCTTTCAGCCGCTTTGGTGTGTCAACTAAACCCACTTGCACACAGAGTGACTGACCGTCTGGACAGATGAGAGTCATGCTACAAATCTCTGAGGGGTAGAAGGCTGCATAAACTCCCGCCACATTTCCCCCCATGGCAGTCCCAACCAGGTGGAAAGGTTTCTTGTTCAGTCGTACAGTTTCCACAAACTACAAAAACAAAAAGAAAACAATTCTATGTAGTGACATAGGGGCCTATTTTAAACATACATACAGTATGTAGTACCTTATTGCTCTATTGTCAGTGTACCTGATGGATCCTTCTGGCCTGCCCTTGGATGGAGTAATCTTCAGTGTTGGTGCGTGTTGTTCCCTCATGGCCAGGCATGTCCACACACACAATGTGCAGATGTTTGGGTAAATACTGGAACAACAGAAAAATGCTTCAAAAAGCTCACGAGAAAATGGATTCTCCTAAGCAAACCAACATTTAAATATAGAATACAGATTACAACTTATCTATCAGAGAATGTTCGATGTTTGAAAAACAGACTGAAATCCATATTTTCCTCACCTTAACGACAGTGAGCCATGTGTCTTTGTGGGCAGAGAAGTCATGCAGCATTAAGATTGAGGGTCTCATCCCGGGCCTCCCCCTGTAGGAGTAACAGAAGCGATAACCTCCACAGTCTGCATAGCGCACCTGCAGGCCAAGTGTCCTCCTCCAGTACCTGAAAAGGAGCAGGATGTCTGAGCTCATACACGGAAACATGACGGTGCAGGAATCCAACGGTTGTGGATCCAAATTTTTCATAATTTTTCTATTTCCACAGATGATTTTCATAAAAAGTTTGATTGATAATAAATATCAGGGTAAATTTTCTGGTAAAAATGTATCAACACATGTAAAATGAAAATAGCAAAGAAATCTCTGGGGCGCTGAATTCAATATAAACCTAAAAGTCTTAACAGAGGCTTTAAATAATAAAATGACCTAATATCTGCCTGTATTAAAGGCTGTCAGAAAAAAAGGACATGGGTTTGAATGTCGACAATAAAAAATAATCTGTACTGAGATAAAAAGCTTTAAGCTCCTGGAGTAACTTTCTCTTTGTTGATGGCCTTTTTTGCCTCAGTAGACTATAAAGAGCCATCACTATTGATTTCATCCCGTTACATTACCATGTCAAAAACTCCTCACAGCGGCTTTAATTTATGTGTGGTATTGTATTTGTATATTTCTAAGAAGTTAAAACTCCAGTGAGGAATGTCTTCAGGCAATTAAAAAGAATCTCATCCTGTTGACTTTTGACTGTCAAATGTATGACAGTTGGGCTATTGCTTACCTGCTAGGCTGACACCTACCCCTTTGCATCATCACAATTGCAATAAAAAAAAAGCATCAGTCGTCATAGTGATGGGTTTGTTTACGTTTGTTTATTATAAAAGAGCATTAATGTGAATTTTGGTGTATTTCAGAAATATCCAAATACTCCCCATAGGAGCTTTAGCAGGACTGAATTAAAGAGAAACTGGGAGAAATGTTTCTGTTAGTCTCATTCATGAACCTCTCAAGAGATTAATTTAAGCTATAAAGTAACACACAGGGCAGCACAGTTATTGAGCTCACCAGTAATAGACTTTGATGAGAGCTGAGGGCCAGAGAAGAAAGGAAGCCACAAATGCCAGGATGGGAATCGCCAGAGTTCCCCCAGCAATGATAAACAGGTTCACCACGTCCAGATCAGCTGCCATGGCTTCCCTAGATCACACAGCACGCACATTACACACATACAGTACACTTGTGTCGGGGGAGGGGCAGTCAGATTAAACAACATCCAATGTTTGGTTAAAAAGTAGATGAAATTTCATTAACCTTGATAATAATTTAAAAATTAAAAAAACTTACTTTTAGATGATTTTACTGTTGTGTCTTGTTTCCTCTAGCTCAGGTAGACGCATGTGTCCGCTGGTTCAACTCTGATTCTTTTGATGTGTTCCACAGCAAGTTCATCTGCAGGCGTTATTAATGTGTTTGGAGCATAAAAGCAGCAGAAATATCTCTGTGAAATCCCAAATTAAAAAAAACAAAAGAAGTCCCTGCGGATTGCAGTTGGTCCACAGAGATTATGTTTGCTCTGTATATCCTCATTGATTATTACTCATCATTGGGGAAACCAGGACACTGAGACTAGTCGGTCGATCTTTTAAAGTGAACGCACGGACTGGAGTTTGATCCAGAGTTGAATTGAAAAAGATGCCATTTAGAAAATGTGGATGCAATAGATGATGGGGTAATCAGTGTAAATAACACAAAATATCACTAGCAGCTGCAGCCAGTAAAACCACAGTGAAGACTTTAGGGTAAGAAATTAATATTGGTCAAGTTGCTGTGGAAACAAGGGACAGAAAAGTCTCTATTTAGTTATGTAAAAGATTAACAGCTTTCCTGCACTTAAGAAAAATGACTCTTATATCAAAGGGGATTCTTCAACATATATATTTATTTCTTTTGTTATGTTATAAGGGCTATAAACCCAAAGCAAATGCTCAAACAGGCCTTATTGTGTTAATATATTGTATTTTGTTTAGGTTGTTTTGCTCCTTTTTGTCTGTTCAGTTGCACTTATTTGGTTTTAAGCTTTTAGCTGTTTTAGGATCAGTTTGACCAAAGAGTTCAGTATTCATTCGAGTTGTTTTTGCTGTGTTAATAACAAGCAAATTATGGCACTGACTCATTCCCCTGATTAAAAACGGTGTTAAGTACTTAATGGTGTTTTAAATGTGTGACACATAAAGAATAATGAGGAGCTAATCGTGTAAGAACTTAATTATGTTGAATCACTTTGAGTTATTAGTGGAGAAAAAGCTGTAATAAAAAAAATATGGCTCTTTAAAATGTTGCTTTGACACTGCAAGGTACCTACCTGATGATCTGAGAATAAAACATTACCATTTTTTATTTTAATTACATATTTTAATCAGAAAATAACACTTTACTTGTCAGCTACTTTAAGAATAATTGTCCAAATTAATATGGTATTCCACTTTGAATGAAAAAGCCTTTAAGTGACACTTGTTGAACTCACTCTACGTCCACATCTGATTGCACTTGCACTAAATCACAGGTCTAAGACTTACCACTGGGTGTCATGATAGAGACAAAATACAGCTTTCCTCTTAAATGCAGTTAGCAGAGGAGAAACTTGAAGCCTTATTGCACACAGCACTTGGCGTCTTGACATCCACGCAGCGTGAGGCGTCATCACTTTGATGTCGTCTCTTTCTCAGAGAGGAAGAAACAGAACTGATGAACCCACTGAGCCACAACAAAGACACACTGCCCTCCAGAGGTGACCCTGGCAGTACAGATACCAGAATTTTCTGCATATCAAAGGGATGATTCATACCGGGGGTTTTTGTGCTTGTGTATTTAATTGACACATACAGATACACATAACATATATATTTAAACACAGCTTTGAAGGTAGTGCATGTTGCATTTCCCTCATTTGCAGGGCAGGGATGTTTTAATGACAAAGCTATAGGTACTAATTATAATTCCTGATGTCTTTAATGATGTTACAGACCAGTGAAGGGCTTAGATTTTTAACATAATCCAAAATACATGCGATTACAATTGAGATAAAGCCCCAGATTTGATGGATTTAAATACAAACTACTCAATATGTAAGCTGTTAACTGTGCTGTCATTTAGGAAACAGGTTTATACTTTCAAGCATACAGAGTAAAAAGGGCTTAACTGGTAGCTATGTTAAGTAGGCCTATATGAAGCCAATAATTAGAGTAAAAATACCGTCTAATTCAGCTGCCATTGTGCTGCATCCCCGGTCCACTACAGACGACCTACATACAAAGTAGAGCAGAACAAATGGACACGACAACTCTGCGGAGAGGCCAGCATTGCGTGGGAATGATTCTCTTATTTGGGTTTATACAAGGCGAAGAGGCCGTCTTCAGTCGGCTCGTGTTACACACACACTCACACTGTTTTCTCCAGGTTGTCAGTGCATCGAGCCACCTCAGTCACATGTCGCATTGGATCCCGAGAGGAATCCATGACACAGCAGATCAGAAAGGACAGAGCCAGTGTGGCTCTGATTGAAATGAGGACCAGATGTATCATGATGGGCAGTGATTTCCTTTGCAGCTTTAACCTCATGGTCAGAGCAAAACCAAAAGATTAAGCAACAGACTTCCTTTCCTGTTGAGAAATACTGTGCATCCTCCTGCACAGACCTTACATCAGTGTGGTCAGCCTGCTTAAAAGGGCGTAGCTGCTCCGAGCGCTCAACCCTATAATCTTCCAGCAGATGTTAAGGCCCCCCACAGTCAGCTGTCCTATTAATTCAGTTCATCAAACAGAGTTTTCTGATCTCCAGTGTGGCTGTAAAGAGTTCTAATATCACAATTCCATAAAGTCTGACTCTCAGAGAGACAGATTAGACTAAATAACTGTCAAAATCAAAGCAGCAGAGGAGATTTTCCAGCTTTGAGTCTCTAGGAAGGGTCACATAAGATGTCTGTCACCTAAAAAAGTATTTTATTTGACACACCATTTGTCCAAATATCAGGATTCCAGCTTTTAATTAAGTTTTTTAAAATAAATTTGATGGATTTCCAATTTAGTTTTACATTACACTTCCACGAGAAGATACAATCAAATGCTTTTGGGGATTCCTGAGGAAATACTTCAGTAGTATGTAATGCAATGATGATGTAGAGTCTCTTATTTGCAACAGATGTTAAAAGAAAGGTTAGAATGATTAAAAATATAGGAAAAGGAAAATGAGACCCTCAAAGGCCGGTGTAACCACAAAGTTCCTCTCACTCCATAAATCCAGAGGAGTGTTCCACATCCTGGTCATCGATTTGTGGTGTAATGCCTCACGGGGTCAACGACTTTCATAAAACCCAAACAGCAGGTCACAAACAAATCTATCCACATGCTGGAGGTGATCATTTTAACACTGTGTATACTTTGGTTAAGCTCAGTCTTTTTCCGTGCCCCATTGTGTGGTTTCGTGACGTGAGCACAGTGAGAAAACCACCCTCCCTCTGCATCCTGCTGTCAGCTGCAATTAGCCTCTCTGACTGCCCGCTGCGGTACAGTCGGCCATTAGACTGAGGCAAAAGAAGAGGTATGTAAACATTTTACTTACATTTTTTTCTATTAATCAAAACAAGAACAGCTTACCTCAGATATATTATACGTAACCAGGTTTCCTCTTATTCGGGGTTGTCCAGAACTCAGTGGGACCAACAGGCAGATGATTCAGAAAAAACAAATCCTCCAACAGCAGGAGGTCTGACCTCATCTTCATAGTTTGGTGGCTGCTGTGATTGCATGTTTGCGTAATGATTTAAAGCTGCAATTATGAGGATAAGATCTTTAATTGAGACCACTTTTGAAGCTCATACCATTCTGATGTATTTTTGTTACGTACTTATTTATATAAACTGATTTTTTTTTTATTAATTTTTGATAAAATTATGAATTTAGTATATAACATGCCAACTAGGAAACCAGTTTTTTATGGTGCTTTGCTGATGAGGTGTGATATAACATCATTACACAGCTTGGGGCTGTCTTGATATCATTGTTTTGATGTTATGTAATGCGAATCTACTTCTGCTTTGTTACACCAGTAATGTACAGTCAACAAGCATGCTTCAGCTTGTCACTGTTCCCACATATGCAGTAAGACTGGCAACACTTATACCTTGTTTTATATACACTTCCTTGCCATGAAACAGTAAATGACTGACGGATGTAAACTAAATCAGCTCAGGATGAACAATTACATTAGACTTAGCTTTGAATAAAAGTTAAAAAAAGAGGAAATATTTCATTGTTTACCCTCCATGGAAGAACTGATTCTGCCAGAGAAGTGGCTAACACAAGCACAAGTGCTGGATACTCACAGCCAGCTGCTTCAGAAAAACACCAGAGGTTTATGTTCCAGCTGTGATCATAATAACTGAAAATAGATCCCAGGACTGTTAATCACACCAGGAAAGAAAACCAAAATATGAATTCTTGCTCGACTACAACCCCCTGGCTGTAAACGAAAATGATTTAAGGACGTATATTTAAATTTATATTGATTTTAATAACAAGTAGTATCTTCTATTGGTATATTTTCTGAGGCATTCATCATACACTTCATCAGGGGCTTTGTTATTGTGACAGTATTTATTATTCTGACAGTTACAGAGATGTGTTACATTTGGGGAGGTCTAAACTCCAGGTTGTCCATCTAAGTTCTCATAAACATATCCAGAATTAATGAAGCACGTAGAGTATCTTTACATTCATTAATAGATGATCCTATAAGTCACAATAGCAAACAGATCAACCGCCACCCGCCTCGATATCTCTCAAGTAATAGATGTACAAACAAACTCGTTCATTTGCACACAAAACAGACATTCTTTTATTAACCTTTTTTTGTCATCTAAAATAGAGCATCTTAAAAGTTAAACAGTGTTAAGGAAGAGCCCTCCTGATTTAATGTGCAGATATGACAGGAGGGCAGGTTTTTCAGTTTCAGTGCAGAGAAATCTGACGACAAACATGGGTTCATTTATGTTTGTGCGTTTGCGTGTATGTGTGTGTCTGTGTGTGTACGTTGCCCTCAGGTCCTGAGGAGCACAGCGGCAGCAGTCACAGCTGTTAACGCTGCAGCGACCACAGGCCCCCAGATCATCCACTGCTTCTGAAAAATAGAAGCCACACAGAAACGGAGACACATGAGCGACGTCGCATCGATTCACCCGTCCAAGGATCACAAAAGATTGGACAGAGGCAGCTTGTCAATGGAGCCAATGCAGAGCATAGAGAATGCGAGTTATCTCTCAGGTAAAGATTAAGCCCATCCAAGCCAAGTGAGAGAAACAGTTGTTAAGCATTAGCCACCCAGACAGGACAAACAGATGTCAGATGTAGGAGCTGTATGATTAGAGGTTAGAGTTTTTCAGACGTCAATTTTAGGAGCTTTCCCCTGAGGAAGGCATTCTGGGGAACGAGGAAAACCTGATTAAGTCATGCAATGATCTAAAAGACAATTATGACAATGAAAGATGTAGGCCGACTTGACAGGAGTAATGTGTACCTTCCTACCACAATGCGCCGAAGCACCAATACAGCAAAGCCAGGATAAGGCCGATGACTATGGCTTGAACAGGCAGCAAAAGAGATCTCTACAGAAGGGAAGGGATATTATAGTGATCAACTGCAACTGGACATACTTTAGTCAGTCGGGTGTAGCTTTATTAATAGACCCCTCAGTCAGTAGGCTGTGTCTGTAAATGGTGTTTATGTGAGTCTCAAAGTTACACACGGCTGTAAATGTCTGAGAGCAACAGTCAAAAAAGACAATGGATGAGTAAAAGAGGGGCAGGTGTGTTGAGAAATAAAATATGTTTTTATGGCTGCAGGTATTTCATAGTTTAAGAATTGTACCATACACTTGGTGCAAAATGTGAGGCAAAGGTCATGCTTCCAAAACTGAGAAAGCTAAAGATTACGGCTGCTTATGCAAATAATAAAAGCTATGGTGCCGTTTTGTTTCTTAATGACAGATCAAAATTCCTGCACCACATGCCCCTATGAAAATATTAAGTCTCACACAGTTATAAGCGAATCATTTCTCCAATGTTAGATGGGGTAGCACTTACCTTTGTTCCCTTTTCCTGTATCTCCTTCATGCTGGCTTTGCACCCCTCCAGTTCATCCACAAGAGACTGTTTTTCCTGCTCAGTCTTTTCATATTTTTCCTTCAGGTCACACAGCTCGGTCTTGGCCTCCTCATACTGCACGCAAAACAAGACATTTCTCAGTTAGAAGTAATTGCACAACATATTTTCATTTAAAAGCATCTCATGCAAATAAGGGAGTGTGCTGGTGTGAAAAGGTGTGAGTACTACTAACAGATAGGTAATGAAAGTTCCTCCCTATCTATTGTCCTCAACGGTCTGGCAGGACGAGTGTATCCACTCTTTCATGAAAAGACGCAGTGAGAGCACTTAGCCTCCACTTTCATTCACCGTGTAAATGAAACAACACTGCGACAAATGACTCTTGGTTAAGAGTGACTTAATCTCTGCCTCCTGCTACACAAGTGAGTGACTGATCCTCATCCAGCCTGCCAAACCTGACTGGGAGCGGAGCAACAGCAGCAGAAACCGTACTAACAGCTCTTACCGCAGGATGCTTTGAAGTCAAGTCTTTGTTTTTGCTGAAAACAGATTAAAGTTTTAGTAACTTTTGGACCATTACAGGCTAAAAAATATCCATTCAGACAGTTCTGTGATTAATAGTCAGATGCATTGGCCTCGAACTCCATCTTTTGAATCCATAGACAGTGAATAAAAAGCACAAGCTTGGGCACAAACTTTCTATTCCAACTATTGGGCATGATGTCTACTTTATGTCTAAAACACATTTCTGATGGCCACAACCAGAAAAATCCACAGGCTAAGGGTTTGTTTGTCCTGGCAGTGTGTGTCCGGTCCTCCCTCCCATACAGACATAACTTCATTTCAAACTTTTTGTATCTCCTATCCCGCCTTTATTAAACTAAGGCAGCTCCTGTCTCCTATTACATAGAAACGGTTAAGTGTTAGACAGATATTCTCGTAGCCTGAGTTTGGACATATCTGAGGAAAATACTCTTTCCTGTAAGAGCTCAAACAAGAAACGCTGATATCACTCAACCAATCGTAAAGGATGTGGTGGCTGAGGCATGCGGTTGTTTTTCTTAAATGCATTTTTAGAAACAGTTGTGATTGTCCCACACTTATATTTATGTTGTTTTAGTCTCAGGGGGACTTTCCGGTTAAAGAAAGGCCAAATAAAAGCATATCAAAAATGTATAAATTATTGTTCCAACCATGTTAGAGACTGCTACCTAGACCAGCAGCGTATTGGGATGCTATGTATTATTGTATTTTAATACTCTAACTTATTGATCAATAGGATTTTTGATTAACAACTCTTGGATATCAAAAAGTTAACTCAGTCTTAGTCAAACAATAACAACACGTGGTTTGCAGAGAAAACTTGAATGAGTCGAGCTGGTGGTCTGTTTCTACATGTGATAGTTGCCGTGGATACAAGGAGAATAAGCACGGGCGTACACAGTACAAAACCAATGGGAACAAATCCCAGACCACTTCTGCATGTGGACTTAGCAGTCCCATTCACACCTGAAGTTCAGGCTTATCACTTTGTTTGGATACCCTGGGAGGCATGTTGATGCTAAGTGTATATGGGGGTCTAATTTAATGACCAAAGATACTAAACTACTCCATTTAGACAGCAGCCAAAGCCATTATTGCTACCTCAGCCAAAAGGATGACACATTGTTAATGTCAGGTTTAAGAGAAGGAGCATTTGAAGTCTGAGGAGTGGATCTGAGCAACGTCACACTTGATTAATGTCCTCGAAGTTTTAAGATCAAACCTCTCTCTGCAGAGTCTTGCTGCGGCTGTCTGCTTCATCAAGTTGGGTCTGCAGTTTGGTGCTATCCTGCTGATGCTGGAGCTGCAGGGCCCCCAGCCTTTTCTCCAACTCCTGCTGGGATCTCTCCAGGGCTTTGAGGCTGCTGCTAAGCTCAGCATTCTGGGCACGCGAGCTACCAGAAACAAAAACAGCAATGAGTTCAAAAGGTGAATAATCATACCGAGAGAGGGTTTGTGGTATGCTTTGTTGCAAAAGATATTGGAAGGTGGGGGTAGAGAGCAGCAATCTCAGAGCACTGACCTGGCCAGGTCCTTTTCCAGCTGCTTCTGTTTCTGCAGCACCGCCTCTTTCTCAGAGCGCAGAGCTGCACAGTCACTCTGCAGGCCGGCCTTCTCTTTTTGGTGAGCCTTAAGGAGTTCCTCCTTCTCAGCTCGGAGTGAAGCGTACTCACTTTGCAGACCGCTCTTTTCTTTCTGGTGTTTATTTGCAATGTCTTGTTTTTCAGATCGCAGGACAGAGCACTCCTTCTGTAGGCCATTACACTCCACCTGCATGGACTGCAGCTCACCGGCTGTGGGGGCAGAGGGACTTATATAACACAGCAGATGCTCCTCTCTAAATTGGCTCTCAAACAATCATATATCAAGTATTTTTCATTGTGTAATATTTTCTGCATGCTTAAACAGGAAAATATATATGAGGCTATGCAGAGAAATCCTTAATGATACAAACAAAAGAGCTTTCTAATAGTGAGGTTCTAGAGGAAAACCTACTATCAGTATTCTTGGTAGTATTTTGTATATTTGCATCACACTGTACCTTGTATTTCTGCAGTTTTCTGCCATTGTTTACTCTGCTGCTGGAGATCCCGCTGGAGATTGTCAATCTCACGCTCATATTTGTTTGCAGCCTGCCGCCATTTGTCGAGGTCCTTTGACACGGTTGACAGGTTAGTCTGGATAGTGGTAACATCGCGATCCCGCTCGGCGGTGGCTGCCTCCAGGGCATGTTTCAACGCCTTCACCTCATCACGTGCGCTTTGCAGCTCGTCGCGTGAACTGGAGGAGACGTCTATCTGCTCCCTGAGAGCGTTTGTTTCATCTTGGAGCTGCCGCAGCTGGCCTGTCAAAACCCCAACCAAGTGTTTTGATTCAGAATGTTGACATTTATAACAGAATGTGCAAACCTCAGAGCTCCAAGTGAAAAAAACACAAAGATGTACCTTGAAGAAGTTTTATCTGTTTTGCAGATTCATCAGCTTGTTGTTTATGTTCTTTTCTCTCTCCCTCCAGGATACCTAAAAATATGATCACTTTTATTTCCTGCACATGTGGTTATGATGTGGCCTTTGAGTGCACAGCGAGGAGACTTCAGAGTTTTGTTTTTTACCTTGCAGCTCCATACATTTGTGTTTCTCAGTATTAGCTTGGTCCTGGGCTTCTCGGAGATCATCGTTCAAGCGCTGGATAATCTTTTCTGATTCACCAGAGGACCCCATGTTTGACCTAGTTAGATCATCTGATGAAAGAATACAAATTAGAGATTATTATTCAAATTACAAGATTACAAATTACAAGAAATGTTATCTAGATAGAGTTTCTTATCTTCCCAGAAACTCACTGGAGTGCACACAAAAACGTCCAAATGCGCACTAATACATCAGGCAGTAAAAATGATAATTTAATACTTTAAAAGTAGAGTTAAAGCTTCAATGTTCCATCACATTATCTGTGCTTCAGTCCCAAAGATTTAACCAGGGCTGACATACTTGATCATTTCCCAAGATATTCAAACAGGACTATTACATAAACTAATTACTAACCCAGAAATAGGCACAACTGTGTTATCTGCATTTTCTATCTAAGCATTCTTTCCATATGGGCGATAAACCGAACCACACACGAGCCTCTGGCACACGCACACTGCCTGTTAACCACTAGCCTGCAAACAATAAACAAAGAGAATAGACTCGCCAAGGTTGTCAAGGGTCTGTTGTGTTTCCTAGAGGTGGAAACAAACCCTGCAAATATTTTGGGCTTTGCGACGCACAGAGGATATTTGGATCCTCTAATCTAGCATGACTCGGAAAAGCGATGACCTCATCTTAGGCCGGAGCATTTGGCAGAGGGGAAAAACAAGAGTCAGGACAGGTCAGGCATGTGCACCATAAATGGCGACACAAGAGGGCTGAGACTGCCATGAAAAGCTGCGTTTGTTAAGAACACTATGATTTCACTGTCTCTGGCACGCATGGCTAAATAAACACACTGTACAACATAAAAAAAACACGCACATGCATTCTTGTAGCATTGATAAATGTTTCTAAAAATTAGGAGGGTGCGAAGCGAGCTCTGGATGCAGGAGGCTGGTGTCACTCTCTGACCCGAGCACATGACCACCCTGCTGCGTGCCAGACAATGGCTGGGTGCTCCGTGCTCCATCCTGTATGTGTGTGCGTGTGTGTGTGTCTGTGATTAGACATGCATGCATATATAATGAGTCAGAGTTAGAATGTGAGTGGGCTAACAGCACATGGGGGATGTCTGAGCTCAGTTTGTGTAGAAGATGAATGTCCCCTTGAGAGCACATCAGAACAAGAGCATCCCACAGGAGCGTGTTCAATGGGTTATCTTTGGTAACATTAGGCATCGCAGCTCTCATACCAAGTCTTAGTGCCACAGAGTATGACACCTGACAAAGCAATGATGGGATTAGAATGAGTGTAAAAATACCTCTGTGACTAGTTGGGGGATATTGGGCTTTACACTGCCTCAAGTGACGCGAGAAAAAAAAAATGTAGGAGAAAGTCTTTTTTTAGCTCAAGTGCTGAAGGCTAGAGCCATCATGCTCTATCTTTCCCCCGCTGACGGTTTCCTTTCCAATGAATGTGACGGCGTTCTCGGACTGAATCAGAGGGGTTAGTGCTGCTTTGCACTGAATGCCAGTAGTATTTAGCAAGCCTTTGCTTATCGAATTGCCTTAAGTGTTTCATTTTACAGCTACAGAAAAAGCTGTCTGTTACCAGAACTTCAAAAATGTCAACATCTTTTTGAAAAGCACTGAGATACCTTTGTGGAGAGGACACTGTTTGCTTTGTGCGTCCCCTTCGCTGTGCACAGCACCATTACAAATTCATTCATCGTGCAAAATTCATTCTCTCACTAATTTGTTTTTTTTACATTTTGACATGACTGTCCATGTTTATTTCAAAGTTCACACACACAACCCCGCACAATCCACCTCTTTCTGCTGTACAGTATGACACTTTATGTCTCATCAGTCAGCTGATGTGCCCTCTGTGCAAAGGGACTCCATCTTCTAATAAGCTGTTGACACTAGAGACATTAGCCTTTAAAACAAGGCCATCTAAAGCACCCTCAGCTCCAAAACCAACCAACTGCCCCTAATGGCTACAAAACGTCTCCTCTAGAGTGACTCATGCTTTTCTCTCTCTCTCTCTCTCTCTCTCCACACCATCAGTGAGTTAGATTTACTGTACAGGTTAAGAGCCAAACAACAAAAACAGCAAAATCATTCCCTCAAACTGAAGGCTGTTTGTGTTTAGAGAAGAAAATATCCCAGTTTCATTACCTTGGATAAGTGATAGGTTATTCAGGGGGTCACTCAACTCTTTCTCGTCCATTTGCTTCTCTGTAAAAGACAAATGAAAAATTTAGAATCATGTATTTACAGGAGAAAAGCAAAAGTTCTTGCAGATAAATAAAAAAAACACTTAAAAACAAATTTAAATTAAACTGTCTAGACTGTGGTTAGCTTAATTATGAGAAAGAATTTGACTATTTTCTAAAGGTAAACACAAAAAAGCATGCTCATCCACAAACACAAGTTCTTCAACAAGAAGCATCTGCATAGCTGAGGGGGAATATCATTTGGGTTTTAAAAGACATAAAACATACAAATATAAGCAATTGTGAATAAAATCCAAAAGCACATATTACCTGATGTGATCCAGGAGCTCCAGTACTCTGTGTGCTGAGGCTACAGCAGTCCCTGACATGAAGAACTCTTCCCCAACTATCAGATTTTTTCACATGCGAAATGGACCAGTCCAAGCAAGTGAGGAGGGGGGCACTAAGAGGGTGACGGATGCTGTTTGCCAGATTTGTACGCTTACGTCGCACTGAAGCCAGAGAGAAAATAGAAATCACTTTAATAAGCTGAAAAAGCTGGAGTAGGGTTAAGGTGATATACGAGAGGTGAGTAAGACTATTACACCCAAATCCCTGATCCCCCCCTCTGCTGAGACTGAAGTCCCCTGCCCCTGCACTCTAGGTCATGCATCCGAGTAGGGCATCTCGGAAGCTGCAGCTGCATGCTGACACAGAGAGGTTTTGTTCAGGGTGCTGAACTGCTCCCTGGTCAGTTGGTACTGATGTGAAAATCTACATGATGACACAGTTTGATAGAGGCCTCTGTGGAAGTGTGTGTCATGCATGCTCTAAACCGAACACTTGCATTGTTTTGTTCTCTGCACCACAGTTGTTTGACACTTCAAATTCTTTAATGAGCAGCCTTTAGGGGAGAGATTTGCATGTTATTCTTCAGGCTTTAACTTTGAACAGGGAGAACCTGAATGTGTTGTTTATCAAATTTATGATGCACCTGGCTGTAAAACAAATCATGCTCTGAAAATGTTTTGCAAGAGATTAAATCCAGATAAAGAAAGCGCTGACCTACATCGACAAGCTTGGTACAGTGATTTAAATATCCTTTCCCCTACATAAGCAAATAAATGTGCAGCTGTGGTCACAGGCTTTCATAACTTAAAATGTTGCATCAGAAACTCTCTAAATAATGAATGAACTAGTCCACAAGGGGACACACAGGTTGTTTTGCAGGCTTAATAAAACGGGGTGTAGGGTCATGTCTAGAGAATATCAGTGTGTGAATTTGTGATTTTTAACTAATTCAATTACAAATGAACACAAATTAATATGTTTTCCTTTGAGGTTTCACTGCACTTTGGACAGATACTGTTGTGTGTGTCTGTGTGTGGGTTTCCCTTTTACATTTACGTAATAGTGTATTTTATTTCCTGTTTTTTTTTTCTTTCTTTTACTTTCTATGTTACTTGAATGACTGCACTTTACAGCACTTTGTTACCGTCGGATTAGCCCACTTTCTAATTTGTGTAAAAGCCTATTTGCTGATGCAATAATCCTGCTCTAATGTTTCATCATCTCAATTTCAGATTTTAAGCTGTGCAATTATAAATCATTCCTGGTAAAATTATGCAGCATCATTAATATGCTGCTGACACAGGCTGAATTGTGTAAGTATAAACAGCTATCTAGGCAAATGTTGTTGTTTTTTTCCTGGTCAGTCACCTGGCTGGCCTGAATGACTTCATCTACTATATTTCAAACTTGAAAACTCAACATGAAGAACAGATAAGCTTTTTCAATCCTGCAGATATCTAATGAAAAACTCCAACTGTAAGGGGATAGAAAATTTACTAGGCACTACACTGTCTAATTTTGAAAGAGAAAAAAAAAGTTGAGTGAAATAAAAAAGAACTTCAATCTAAAATAAGTTTTGTAATTTTCTGGGTGGCCCACTTCCAGCCTAAAACCTTAACCTTGGCAGGCAGAGCAGGGTGGTAATAAGATGAAGGTTCACCAATGAAAGCTGCAAATCATTGACATACTTTCAGTCAATTATCAACCTCACAACTGTCTAATCTATTTTCAATGAAATTTACCATCCTAACAGACCGGATCCTGGCATCCCAGGAGGGTGTCATTCCACTATAACAACACCAACGAGCTCGTCTTCTGTTAAGGGGATTAAGGCTCTTAAAGAGCACGCAATAAATGCTCTCTGCACAGACAAGTGAAGGACAAAGCCACAATAGCAAGTCTAAAAATGAACTTCCTCTTTTAACATGAGGCTTGGCAGAAAGAAAATCATAACCCTGTACCATTGGAGGAAATAAAAAGTGAAACCAATGTACCGGATTTTGGTTCTTTTGGTCAAAGACTTAAAAATATCCTGTGTCAGTTGTCTTTTTTGTGTGTTTTCACAATTTAATTTCCAACCTGAGCTTAAACCCACCTGAAATAGTTTTCTCATAAAAAATGTGCAGCTGTCTTGATATGGATGAATGTAACCTGTTGAAGTAAGAAGAAGCACACCTCACACCAAGTGCAGTAAATCCAAAGTCTGAGGTCAGTTTATCAAGCACATATATCTTAACTTTGAACATCTAGTTCAATCTGCCCTGAAATAAAAAGCAACCCTCATAAATGGTTAGAGTCAACATTTGTTTTCTTTAAGCTATTTTGAAGACATGATTATTGAACCAAATGATCATTTAAACTAATCATAGTGTTGTTTTTAGGTATCAGCTGAGGACACAGCTCTTAGGTTTTTACCCATAAATGAATGACAGTCAAAAGTCAGCAAGTTGAGTATTTGGTCAGAGGACAAATAAGGATTAAAGAGGGAGAAATAAGCACAGATGACTTTTCCAGAGTCAGGGCTATTTTTGACTCTAACTTAGTGCTCCTTAGGGAGCTTTAATGGTAGCTTAAGATTCAAGTTTAATGTGGGTTTGCCTTTCAAACAATACTTACCTTTGTACCTACCTCCTTTAACTTACCACTCATAGGGGTAAGAGTCGGGTAAGAGGAAACATTTTTCATATTTCGGATCACTACATCAAGGCAATCAAAGTTTTGTCTCTAACTAGTGTATCTGCATATATTTCAAGATGTTGTGCATCCCTGCAAACCAACAGAGCAAGTGTAAACATAACTGTCTTGATAATATAGCATGCCAAAACTTACCTTGTGTATGGGGTAAGTTGACCATAGGAGTGGGGTAAGTTGAGCCGTATCCCTACTACCCTCCCCACTCTCTACCCCAGCCCTCCCTCACCTTCTCCCTCCCTAAATAACAGCCACTTCTTCACATTTATGTGTGTTTTTATCTATTATACACTATTCAACAGGTACAATAATTCACTTATTATTATTACAAGCTGTTTTTAAAATGACATGTTAACATGGGAATGCATTGAAGTGATTCAGAACATTCACAGCTGTATTTTTGAAAAGAAAAAGTAAAACATTTCAACAATCTGAACTGAAACTCTGATCCTCTCATCAGACTCATTTACTTTCTCAGTTGAGCCATTGACTCAACTTACCCCAGAACTACTATTATGACTTTATTAGTCCTCTAAGCTAAAATGGTGGACTTTTTAGGTTTTTGACCTCATGTTGTAGCTCATAGACACCAAAATTGATGTATAAAACTAATTAAAAATGATCTTTTTTGGTCTGAACACAATTTTAATAAAAATTATGACAGACTAAATTCACTTTCAAGATGAAAATTGTTTTCTTTTTTGTAAATAAATGTCTAACCCCTTCAACCATGTGCTTCTAACCTTTACAGACTCCATGAATTGATGCCCATCTTCTAGATACTTGGTCACATGATCAATTTATTTTACCATTTTCAAACAACAGGGGGTGGCTCAACCTACCCCACTTTCCCCTACTCCAAAATATGCTTAACTTGGTGTGAATTAAACTAAATCCATGACTTTTATTTTTCATTGCAAACTGAGGATGTAGAGGCCTTGTTTGTGAGAGTAAGCTGGCGTTATACCGACCTGAAACTCCCCTTTATTTAGCGCTACTTTCGGGTGCAAATATAGCGCAGGAGGAAGACGGGGCTGTCACACAGGCTCTGCAGAAACAGCGAGTACATCCTCCGAGTGGAAAACTTCATTGAAAGTTGCCTAATCAACAGTGTGCTGCCGGTGGGCGTTGACATTCTGCCTTTTACGTGTCAACCTAGCGGTCCGTGCTGTTCAGTCAAAGCAGGAAAGCAGCAGGAGTGAGAGTCAGTTAGCTTCGTGTAGCTAAGCTGGAGGCGGTGTCAACATCCCCACTACAGACTGGGCTGAAGATAGTTAGATAAGTCACAGCCAGATGTGCGGAAAGTAAGTTTCCCAGCTTACCTTCTTCACCGTGTTGGTAGTGGTCTTTAGTTTTTTATTTTTAGTGCTCTGTTCCCCGATGCCTCCCTCTATCTCAAACTGGCTTTGGAGTGAGAGGTTTTGGCTTCCCGAAAACGTCTCATGGGCGGACCTGGAGCGTCCACCACCTGGAGTGGAGTATCCCCGACTGAGAGACATATTCATCGCCTTGCCTCTGGCTGTGGGAGTTTTTCTACTAAGATTGCTATTTGAAAGGTAAAGAAATATAACTTTTTGTCTGTATGAGCGAACAGTTTGGAGCCTCTTGTTGTGATACAGCTACATAAAAAGGCTGAACACAATCCTAACTTATGAGTCACTTTTGTTGAACACTAACTTTCTGGGAACTAGTGAGCTAACTCTCTGGAGCCTCCTTTCATCATGTGCTTTTCAGCAAATACACAAAAACTGTCACAGTAACAAAGTTAGCTGCAATGAAATCATGCAAATCCTCTTTCACCATTTCCCTTTTCATTCATAGTCCCTTAACTTCTACTACAGCTTGTTTCTCTTTTTTCATCCATGTTACAGTCAATGTTGTTTTTGCTTCACTCTCTTAATAGTAAGTATCCTCAGCATTCTTTTGTGGTGACATGAAAATAACTTCACCATCTAGAGACACCAGTTTACCTTGCTGAGCAGCAATGACAGTCTGCTGTCATGTAATTGTTGCTGCAGTTATATGACAGAACAGGCATGTAATTGTCACTCAGTGTGATTCCTGGGTATTTATTGTGACTTGGAGAGAAGTTGTAATAGTATAAATTATGCAAAAAAGAGTTGCAGTACTTCCAATAAGAGGGCAGGCCAAAGTCCAGCCAGTGCGATCTATTCATTTCAAATATTGGGAAAACTACTTCAGATAAGTGGCTTTATGTTGTAAGACTAAGATGTAATAAAAGGAACAGTCAACTCAGCAAGATAAACCATAGGATCTTGTGACACATATCAGTCTGTTGTTCAGAGGCGTCCCTCCTGATTTTCTCTGTCTCCCACCCTCTCACATGATAGGTCATCACTCTGTGTTTAGACTAGGTGCTACATTCCCCAGGATTCCTTCTGTGTCTCCCCTATAGGCTCTATTGTGCTCTCTATCCCTCACACACATGCATGTCAAACATTACTCCGTGGAAAAACAGTCACAGTGACACAGTCCATGTTAGTGAGGCTGGCAGTTCATCCGCTCCCTCGCTCCCTCTTCCCTTGTCTTTCTCCCTCTCTGAATGTCTGACTTAATACCACACCATCACCATGTCCCCTCCCTGCCCCCCTCTCACTTTTTTCTTTTTTTTCTGCCTCCGTCTGTGTGTATACAGGCTAGTGGCCAAACCCTGTGCCCACATACTTCAGATTCAGGGGGGAGTGCCACGGCGAGCTCAGTCCAACGATGTCCTGGAGAGGGTGTATCAATCCAAAGCGGTACGTAAAGCCCATATTTGTGCTCCAGTTCAATAAATGTTCCTCTGCATGATGAAGTACACATGTGACCTCAGTGGAATACACCACTACAGGCATAATGAAACGTTCAGTAAATGTTTAATGTGGTATGTCATATCTACTGGTATTGTGGTTAGAAGCCAATGATTTCTTCTCGTCCTTTTTGTAGTGTCCAGACACAAGGCAACTGGAGGGACTCTCCAAGCAGCTGGATTGGGATGTGCGGAAAATACAGAGATGGTTTCGTATCCGACGGAACCAAGACAGGCCCAGTACGCAGAAAAAGTTCTGTGAGAGCATGTAAGTTCCTGCGAAGGTTCCTTCTCAAGTGATGAATGAGATGCACCCTGTACTGATTGGACACATGGCTAAACTTTGATATAATATCACCTGTTTATCAAAAGAATTATAATGTTTGCCATGAAATCTCAACTTCTCCCTCTGTTAAGATGCATATGTTAAATTCTAAAGTACTAGTGTATTCAGTAATTCTGTCCTGCACCCGAACACAGCCTTGAATATGTGTTAGCATAACTGTAACCTGCAGGGATATTTTTGAAGAAAAGAACAAGGTGTTCTATTTTACTAATACTGTAAGCATATTGACATTAGCATACAGCTCAAAGCATTGCTGTGCCAAAGAACAGCTTAACTGAGAAGTTAGTATAAGTGTAAATTCTCCATCATTTTCTTTATTGTGCTTTTTTTCTGTCTCTTCAGGTGGCGATTTACATTTTACTTGGGGATTTTTATCTATGCAATTCGCCATTTATGGGTGGTGAGTTAAATAAGCATGCTAAATGCTATTTCATGCTACATATATGTATTTCATATCGTAAGCTTTGATTGTAAATAAACCACACAGCTACATTTTAATGACCCATGCTTAATCATATGCTCTCTTTCCGTTAGTCACCCTGGATGTGGGATACCCGACAGTGCTGGTACAACTATCCCTTTCAGGTTAATTTATATCTTTTATTAGCAGCGAAATCATAACAAGCTGCCTTTCTTGGGCCTGCTCTGTGTAGCACTGTAATGTTCGTAGCTCAATGGTTCTGCATGTTTGTAAAAGGTGTTTCTGCTTGACTCTCTCCCAAAGCCTCTGAGCCCTGGACAATACAACTACTACATAGCTGAGCTGGCTTTCTATTGGTCGCTGATGTTTTCCCAGTTCACAGATATAAAGCGCAAGGTGAGTTTGAAAAAGCAAATGCATCATGTTGTGTTACAGATGGTTGCTCAATGGTTGTAAAGCGTCAAAGTTGTTTTTGTTTGCATTACGAACCCGCATTCATTTCATGTCATATCCCTGTTTGCCATTTTTATCTGACAATGTGTTAACAAGCGTAAGTTTTGTAGTTTTTTTAAGCCTCAAGTATGCTACAAAGCTTATTATTTCAACCAGCTCAAGTGTAACAGGTTAGACGATCAACTGCTGCTCAGCCACGCACAGATTATTTGCGGTGTGTTTTATTTATAGCCTTTTGTCAACCTGTTAGCCCAGTATTCACAAAAGTGTTCTTGTTGATGTAGCAGACGTTTCCAGGAGGTGATGATTCTCTACTTCCCCTCATTGTTTCACTCTTTTAACACTCTTTCTGTCAACTCTTCATTTCCTGGATGACAGGATTTTTTCATCATGTTTGTCCACCACATGGCGACCATCATGCTCATCACATTCTCGTACGCCAACAACATGCTAAGAGCTGGCACTCTGGTCATGTGTGTGCATGATGCATCTGACATCTTTCTCGAGGTAAAGAGCTCACTGATGATGATTCATTAATCTTTTTTCCATGAAGCAAACTTGTGCAGGTAAGACTAGGCTAGCACAACTGTTAGCATAACAAGCATCCCAATACTGTGCTGCGCAGTGAGCTTCTTGTATTACCTGTCTGACAGAGAACTTCTCTCATTAGCATCTCATTGACACAATGTCATTAACCTGAAGTGTTAGGTGGCTGAGTCACCTGTACTGCCTGTCTAACAGAAATGCATCTGTAATTAGCATTGCTGTGACAAGATGACATTGAAATGCAGTAGTACAAGTGTAGGCCAATAAAATAGGTGTGAACTCAGTTTGGTAGCTAGTAGTCTGTCACTTTAACAGGAAGATTTCATGAGTGGAAGTTAAGACAGAAGCTACATATTGAATCACTGTGAATGATTTATTTCTTGTTTATTCCCAAAGGCTGCAAAGCTGGCCAACTATGCCAAGTACCAGAGGCTATGTGATGGCCTGTTTGTGGTGTTCAGCATAAGCTTTTTCCTCACCCGGCTTGTCATCTACCCTTTCTGGTAAGATACATGTGGAATCATCTATGTACCATTGTACAAGCCTTTCCCTTGACACATTTGTAATGAACAGAAAAGGAATGATTTGAAAAGCACAATAACTACAGCATGCATGTGTTTCCTTTGCAGGATTGTTTACAGTGTTTTGTTTGAGAGTTGGGAAATCGTCGGGCCATACCAGGCCTGGTGGTTGCTCAACGGCCTGCTGTTGGTGCTGCAAGTTCTTCACGTAATTTGGTTCTACCTCGTTGCTCGTATTGCTGTCAAAGCCATATTCAAGGGAAAAGTAAGTAGAAACATATTTCACTTTTTTTGGCACAGTTTTTATCATCACTGCAGTGTTTATTGTTAATGAATTCATGATTTTTAGAAGGTTACACGCTTTGATAACACTTAGTAGTTTCACCATGAAATCCTGCACAAACATTCATGATCTGTAGAGTACCTGCAGGTCGAGCTGGTCGCTTCAATTTCCTGTGAATAATCTCACTTTGCATATTCTTGCTGTTGCCAGATGATAAATCACTCAGATTGTGTCAAACCCCTGACACAATCTGCATAATTACATTTGGGGTTTCAGCTTCGATGCCTCCACATATATTTGACGATAAATTTGGAGCAGAAATTGATGCTTCTCCTTTACTTAGTGATCCTTTGTTTTTATCTGTTATCTTACCCTGTGTATGAATGTTAGTGTTCTTTATGAGTATATCAGCATTTCTTTACTCTGCGCTGTATGTTTCATTCATTATTAAATTTGATAGTAAAGTTTTGTCTCGTTTGATTCACCTCACAGGTTTCCAAAGATGACCGCAGTGACATTGAGAGCAGCTCAGATGAGGAGTTAAAAAGTAAAACTCCCATTCAGACTCTAAAACCAAAGGACAACGGTCTCAATGGTAACCTTAACGGAGATGCTCATGACCACTGAGTCCTTTTGAGCTGATATCTTCTCCCAGTGTGGCTTACATACATCTCCTGCGTGCCTGTGTGATTCACCTGGTCGATTTGACCTCATGAAAAGACTTGAAACTTTTTTTTTCTCCCTGCGAGAGATTTGCTGAGTCTTTCATACAAGGAGGCAACTTAAATAGAGACACACTCCATGCGTTGAATACAGACTCACCATTGTCTTACTGAGTCAGGTTTACACTGTGTGAGGTTTACAGCTGCTTTTCGCTTTCAGGGGGTCGACAGAAAAACGTGTGCGGTCTGTCTGCACCCGACTGTATGTGTGCGTGTTCAAAAGTTGGAAAAGTGCTGCGATATAATGTGTAACTGTCATGAGTCTTTTTGTACATGTTCATAAATTTTTATCAGTGAAGCTGGTAATATATTCTAAAGCTGTAAAACAAATCACTGCGTCTGCTCTTCAGAATATGCTACAAGTATCTCTTTAAATGCCAAAGATTTCTTAATAAAATATCAATGCAACAAATGCAGTGATGAAAGTGTGATACTTTTGTTTTATCAAGGAATGTGGATACAACTTTATAGTATGTGTAGCAAAGCAAGTTTATTGATAAAGCTTTCAAATACAAAAGGCAATTTAAAGTGCTTTACAGAGAAAAGAGCATCAATGTAGGATAAAAACAATTATTAAGAATATTTAAGGAGTGCAAAAGTGTAAAATAAACCCTTGAACAGCATAAAAAAGTCTTGATAGGTCCTGTGATGCAGAGAAATAGAAAACTATTCCAGTTAGTTCCGCTCTGACTCGGTCACCCTGAGCTGCAAAAGGGCGTTTAATGTATAGTTCATGTGAGGACTAGGACAGCCGTGTTCAAAATTCCTGTGTCCTTTTACTTCATTTTAAGGTAAAAGTCGGGTATTAGTTTTATTTTGCAGGTGTGGTCAATGGATTTTCACCTGCAGTCAATGTCCATACTTTAAATACTACAATGCAGAAGACTTACTATGTCCTGAAACATGCTTGTCAAATGAGATATGCCAAAAATACCAGGATGTCCTACTTCATCTAGTCACATTTTTCATTGCTTTTTTTGGCTACTCTGACCCACAATCCACTGCACTGTGGGAAAAAAAACTAAACATCTACAGAGCCTGCAGAAAGAGAGAGGGAGAGAGAGAGAGAACGGACAGAAATACGCAAAATAATGGAAGCTGGAGTATTTCATGAGCAGGGGAATTATCATGAAGACATCCAATAATAACATTTAGATATCACAATGAAAAAAGGAAGCAGTGCAAATGTTATTCTGCTGTACTAAATTCAACAATACAGCAAAGTAGAATCCACCATTAAATTCAAACAAAAAGGCAGCAGAACTCTCATCCAGTAACAATCAACTCTTTGCAATGAATGATGAAGAGGGTCATAAGTTCTACGATCTGTCTAAACTTTGCATGTACTCCCTCTAGGAACAGGAAACAGGAGAAATACTTCATTTTAGCAGTATTTAACACAAAAATAATACTTCATTTTAGCAGAATTTAACAGGAAAACAAATCTGACTTGACAAAGTCTCAGCTGCATATTTGGTTGATTTTGACAATACAACCTGGACAGAGTGTCATTAAACATTAACATTAAACTGTCAGGCCAAAGCTTACAATGCTAGAATTAGGGCCAATTTCACTCAAAAATCATTTTTCTGATTGATTACTTCAAATAACATTTTAGCTGCACAGTGCTGTTTGTGATCCTACTTGGGCTTCTTTAATATCTTATTCTTTCACACTCATCCATCAGACTGAAAACATCTTCAGAGATGTCGTTGTACTTTAGGCTGAAAGAGAAAAAAAAAAAGCGTTAGATTCTTTTTCTGTTTTCTTTTATAGCTTATATTGAACAAACGTGAACCCAGGCTTACACCATCTCCAGCATGTTGGGGTTGTCCTGCATGACCTGGACCAGAGCTGGTACTGATTCATCAGTTAGTGAGTTGTTTCTCAGCTCCAGGCTCTTCAAAGTCTGACTGGCTCTAATAGCAGCACACAAGTCCTTGGTAGAGGCATCTGTCAGACCATTCATTTCCACACTGCCATGAAAGAAAGGCACACAGAGTAGAAATGAAAGGACAGTGTTGTGGAATGAATGTGCTACAAGGAGATAGTTTTTGGTAAACTTACTTCAGTTCCTCCAACACACAGTTTGGATGTGCAACAGCATCCAAAAGGTGTTTAACTGCTTGTTCGCCTACTTTATTGCAACCAACATTCAGAAACTTGAGTTTGGAGGTCCCACTTTTCAGCAACAAGCCCAGTTCTTTAAAGACCACTCCAGTTAAGTCACATGCACAAAAGCTGTGGGGAGAAGCAGACATGCACCAGTCAAGTGATCTAAACATTGACAAATATTTGTTAAAGGTGGTGCTTAGACAGACTGTTCACACGTGACTCTACCCGAGATCTTCCAGGGGACATCCAGGTTGACTGAGAGCCTGGCAGAGCAGCAGCGCCCCCTCCTGGCCTATCTCGTTGCATGACAACTCCAACTCAACCAGAGAGCAGTGCCCTGACATCAGAGCGTCTCTCAAGTAGGAGCAACATTCCCCAGTAAACTCATTTCCATACAGTCTACAACGTGAGAAAAAGAAATGGTGACAAAATGAGGCTGTAAAGGTTTGATTACTTATTTACTTTCAAGAATTTTCAACATTTCAAAGCCCCAGTGAGCTTTGGTTGCACACTTACTTGAGGTACTGCAGTTTACAAAGAGGATGCTGCAGAGCCTTGCACAAAGCTTCAACTCCACTGTTGCCGACCTTGTTGTATGTAAGGTCTACTTTCCTCAACTCTGATTGGCCAGAACATAAAGCTGCTGATAAAGCGTCAATGGACGCATCAGTTATTGTATTGTGTTGAACCCTTGGGGAGAAAAAAATATCTTTTTTTTTAAACCAGAAAGCAATCTAGACAAGGAAAATATTCATGTCTGCCAAAACTTAAAACGCTATTCTACTTCAGATACATACATCAGCTCTTGCAGTTTGCAGTGAGGACTCTGCAGGGCTTTGCTCAGTTTTATTAAGCCCTGATCTCTGATCTCATTAGCCCTGAGGTCTAACACACACAGCTGAGAGGTGCCTGAGATCAGGAGAGATACCAGATCTTCACAGCCCGCTTCGGTCAGTTTGCATCCTACAAGTCTAGGTAAATTGAGAGGAGAAAAAAAATGAACAACTTAATCCTGAACTGAGAGACTTCTTCTTCAGAATTGACTTTTAACATAAAGCCTTACTGTAAATGGTGTAGTTGGTTGCCCTGGAGGAGCCCAGTGCAGAGGACCTTAAACTGTTCATTTCCAAGGGAGCTGTTAGAGAGATCCAGCTCCTTGACAAGTCCTTTGCTGAGAGCTGAGGCCACTATAGGAACGGCGCCTTCACTCAAGTAGCTGTACAAAAGGCTATAGGGAAAAAAATGTCAAAATATATGTTATTTGCACACTGATCACATGAAAATAGAGACCTTAAACATCTGATTCCTAGTCTTAGGCTGGGTATTTGTACTATACAAAAAAATCAAAATAATTATGCACAATATCTATTTTTTGATGGATGTACATTTATGGTTGGGTTTGGGGAAGATGAGTAAAAGTCTATATTTGGGGAGGGCTAATGAACTATGGTACCAAAATGGATGAATTAGCAGACACCCTAAACATTGTTTATGGTATTGGATTGGAGTCTGAGAAATTCTAACTTCAGTAAAATCATCTCAGAACTTACATCAGCTTTTGAGACAAGCGTATACTTGGAGCCAGCCTTTCTGCAATCTCCTCAGTCAAATTGCTGGTGTAGCACAGATTCAACTGGTCCATCTTACCAAGGCACATCACAACATAATTCAGAGCCACGCAGTCCTCAAGGCTCAGGTTTCCATAGCCAAGGCCTAATCTTGCTGTGGGGGTGACGATCTCTTTCACCAAGCGGTCACTTTGAGCCTGATGGAGCATACGGAAACGGCGATGGTGGTGCTCATCGTGGATTCCCGCCAGTATCTTCTCTGAGCTGCTTTTGAACCAGCTCTTGAAATGCGTGATCTGGTCCGAGTTGAATTTGCCGAGCAGGACCTCCAGAGGTCTGCGTTGAATCGGTTCAGAGAATGCCGACAAGAAGCCATCCAGAAACTTTGTGTTTTTGTGTTTTTCCAACATCTTCACCATATCCTCAGATGCTGAATTGTCCAAAAAGAAAGATAAGGCCAAGAAGAGCTCCTGCATCAGCTGGGAGTAGAAGGAGAAGACTGAACGCTCTGAATCTACTTGCAAGAAAATCTCAAGTGGTGCAGAGAGCTTCTGAAAACCAAAGGTGTCTGTTTCTTCTTTGCAGCACCTTGATTTCTGGTTGAGAGAGCAGTGAGATGCCATTCTGCCGAGGGCTAGCACTAATTCTCTGTTGCAGTCCTCGCTCAGCGACAGGGGCCCAATCAGATGGACCATGATGTTTGCACACAGCTGGGATATCGTCTCAGGGAGTTTTGCTCCAGCATCCATCAGAGACTTGTACATAGAACACACCGTCCAACAAAATCTTGGGGAGGTGGCGATATTGTAGAAGCCTTGAGTTCTTTCCATGTGCTGTAGTGCTTCATTAGCAGCACCCTGGTCAGAAAAGAAGCCTTTAAAGTAGGTTTCTCTTTGTGGCTTCAGAAACCCCTTTACTTCAACTTTAGTACCACCCAAAAACTTCAGAGTCTCTGTCGGTCTGGTCGCCACTACAAAAGCCGCCCCTTTCATCAGGGATCCATGCAGCAAGCTGGCCACCAAGCAAGACAGCGACACTGTCTGGCAGGGGTTCGAGCACAGGGTTTGGGTGGAGGGATCCACGCTTTCTTCGCAATGATCCACATCATCAAAAACAAACAACACATCTTCAGCATTCTGTAACACTGAGGGCAAAGACTCAGATTGGATCAGACCTTGAGGGTGCAACATCAACGCCTCCAAGGAAAGATCCTTATTTGTAGACTGTAATTCTCTGAGCTGGAAGTAAAAAACTGAGGAAAACTCTTGAAGGTGTTGCCCTTTTGCCCAATCTAATACTAGCTTCTGCAGACTGGTGGTCTTACCTGATCCTTGAGGACCAACCAGCACCACAGTTTTGCATTCGCCAGACAGAGCATAGAAGATGGCATTATCCACATATGTGTCAGAACTTGAAGTCACTGGTGAAATATAATCATCCTTGTTTATTACACTTGCGGGAAGTTCTCCACCAAGGAGAGTTGGCACGCCCTCTGGACACAGGATATGAGTCTTCACAGCGTTTTTGTCCATAATGTAAATCACTGTGGAGAGAAAATATCAATGAATTGAACTGTAGCTCTCAACATTAAAGTTTAATCTCAGATCCGTTTCGTTACACTAGTAGCCTATTATTAAAGTCTTTTCTGGAAACGGAAATGGAAAGCAGAAGTTACCTTCAACGCTGTGGTGTACAGGAAAATGAACAGGAACAGACACAGTCAAGTATAGCCCGCAGAGGAGTCAGACTTCTGTTATCATAGTCAGGTTTGGGGCTCGAGCGTGGCTGCGGTCGAAACTTACCAACGCAATAAGGAAGTGCTTATTGTTCTTAACCCTCGACTGTGTCTTACAGGCGAGCTGTAGGAAATCGACGTCAAACACTGCGGTAATGCCAGCCGGACATTTTAGCTACGCTCACATTTTAAGTCGGCGTGCATTGGGATAATTACGGTAAAAATGTGCGAGTAAGAGTCAGTGAGAGGTTTTGTCGTAAAATTCGCCCTTTCGCCCTTTTTGGTTATCTGCCTTTTTTTCAACTGGCACTGAAATTCATTAGAGTCCTTACGCACTAGGGGGCGCTTTAACCCAATGATTGTTTATTTAAACGTCACCAGTTTGCCCAGTGAATCCACAGACACTGTCACCAGTTAAAAGTACTTAACCTTTCTCCTGTGTTAGCTTTTACTAAGCAACCTCCGTGTTAAGGGTCGGTTTTGGGCCTTTCTTTGTCAGTATACCCCTCATACAGACATCTATACTAAATTGATCTTACATGTCTGGACATGCCCGAGGCTGTTTTTTGTGCGGGGAAAAACATGGCAAAATGAGAATTTCCTAAATCTCACATGATTGGAAGAGGATCTGACTGTCAGTGTGGTGCCTGCCAGTGCACTTATTTAAGTTTTTGCTCTAATTATTAAATATTGTTCTTACCGGGTCAACAGCGACCCTAACACGACAAGTGCCATAATTTTGATAAGAGCACTTTGTAATTTAGTCAATTTAATTTTTTTTTTAATTTTTGACTTTGTTGAAATAGAGATTCCTGACAAAGTCAAAAAGTCTTGATGTTAAAAAGCTAATTTAAGCGTTTCTTTAAAGTGTTAAAGTGTTGGTGCAGACCCTAACACAGGAGGAGGGTTAATCACATAGGTGGCAATGTCTATTTTTTTTATCTTTTACTGGACTGTCAACTGTTTATCATGATGGTGTGTCACAGAACGAAAGAACACTGTAAAAATCTGTTAATTGGCTCTCACTTTAAAAGGGCCTCAATGTCTATGAACATTAAGGAGTTCATTTTAAAAGCTAGTCTCTGATCGGCCAGTTAAAAGCAAGTCCCTGTAAGGCTGGATTAACTGACCCCATTGATTGGTCCCCAGGAAGCAGGCTCCTGATGGGCCAGATGAACCGAGCCTTCTGATTGACTGATTTGTAGAAGGCCTCCAATTGGCCAGATAAACAGAGTCTTCTTGTCAAATTTGAAGAAGGCCTCTGGTTGGACTTTTTCCCTTGTCAGTACATTGTGAAGACCCCCCACCCTCCAAAAAAAGTATGGACTGTTATTGAGTATTTCTTTATTCAAATATAGAATGAGGTAAATAGTGTAGCACTCAACAAAAGCAGAAGGTAAATACACAAATGACAAACACATTTGGCTCTTAAGCGCAGTTGGCCTACATATACAGGCTGTTATTATTTGAGTTAAATGTCCGCGGCGTGTGGGTCAGTTTAAGTTCAGATTTTTTTAGTATGTTCTGTCAATGGTCTCAACTGTCTTGATGAGAACTGGGTTTGACCTTCTCCGCTGTAGGGTGTGAACTGGGGCCGCTGTAGGGAGGAAGACACAAGATAGATTAAGCTTAATCAAAGGTCACACACCAATATGAGTACAATACAAGAGTCGGTGATTATAACCGATTGATCTTTGTCAAAAACTTAATCTGTTACCTTTTGTGGGCACTGTTTGGATGTTGAAAACAGATTCCTGTCCAAGTCTGTTGGTGAGAAAACAGGAAACAGATTTTAAGCATGATTAACAAAGTAAACAGCTGTTAGAAGGCAGCACAGGAAAATAAACTTGTACAAGTGCAAGCTATGCAAGTTTTTTAGCTTTAATACTAATGAAACTCAAACTTGGTTTGCAGTTATTAGTGAAATAAGATTTTACAGTCACGTATGGGAAAGGGAAAGGTATTCAAAACTTATAGAGGTTGGAGGAAAACACCACATCTACCTTCATACTGTTTTTTAATGGGTATTTCAGATGGCTGGTTTTAACAAGAAACAGTTATGTCCTTCTATTTTTATTATAGCACCAGTTCACAGTCATTGAGTTTTGTCAAGAGTGCCAATACTGTGATCAACCACTGTTACTCACCTTTCCTCTTCTCCCTCCAGCAGTTTCTTGTAGGTGGAGATCTCAATGTCAAGGGCCAGTTTGACATTCATGAGCTCCTGGTACTCTCTGAGCTGCCGTGCCATGTCCTGTTTGGCCCTCTGCAGGGCCAGCTCCAGGTCCCTGATGCGGACCTTTGCATCTTGCACGGCCTCCTCCCCGCGGCGCTCTGATTCAGCTACCTGGTCCTCAAGGTTGGCCCGCTAAGATAGAGCAGGGATGGATTTAGTGAGGACTGTTCATATCAGTTATCCTCTGAATAGAGGTGTGAAGATTTCTCATAACTGATGTTTCATTTCAGTGTAAGGAGAAGCATTAAACTTTGTTTTCTTCACGAATAGAGTATGAAGATATTGTTTTGCAATTGATATGTCTCTAGACTATCAGCAATCTGTTAATAATTACTATTAAAATTTAATTCTATACATTATCTAAACATTCTTTAAACCCAAACAGCATATGGAAAAGTACATCAACCTTTAAAAAAAACCCAACATATCAGGCATGTGTTAAACCTTTACTTACATGTGCCTTTGCAGCATGGATCTCGTTCTGCAGGCGAGCGATCATTCTGTTGAGCTCAGATATTTCCACCTTGGAGCTTCGCAGCTCATTGCTGTACTGGTCGGCCTCAGCTGTCTTCTGGTCATACTGGTGCAGTCAGAAAAACAAACAGAGGCAGAAACGGGAGTGATCAGTTATCAGGTTTGACAAGGACGGTTTCACTCCAAAAGACGTGAAATTGTAACGGGTTTATGAGCTTTTTCTGAACTGTTGACCCCTCACATTTTTTATGCTGTAGATGCTCAATCACTAATTTAAGATGATTAACATGGCTTGTTTAGTTTTTTGTACCTTAGTTTTGTGCCAGCTTTCAGCTTCCTCACGACTGCGGGCAGCAATGTCCTCATACTGAGCCTTGACATCAGCCACGATTTGATCCATGTTGAGGGCGCGGGAGTTGTCCATCTGCACCACCACAGAGGTCTCCCGTAAGCTCTCTTGCAGCTCACGCAGCTCCTATTTGTATTAAAAAACACACCAACAGTTACAAGAAAAATCTAATTTTTGATAAATATATGAGAAATTTTAAGATGTTAAGGGATTGGTTATGTACCGCGTCATACAGAGCCTGGAGGAATTTGAATTCATCGCTGATAAAAGCCACTTTGTCCTCAAGATCGACCTTAGAGATATAGCCTGCATCCACATCCTGCACATGAGAAAAATCACAGTTAGAAAAAAAATAAGTATATACATATTTAGCATGCTAAATGAATATGTATCATACTCATCTTTAATGGTAAATGTACCTTTTTGATAATGACAAACTCATTCTCCACGTCGTTCTTCTTGTTGATCTCATGCTCATACCTGAAACAGCCCAAAAGTATCATATTACTCCTCCATATCTTATCAGTAAGCACTTCATCATTGAAATGTTTGAACCTCTGTTCTAGTTTAGTTCCATTGAATAATTCTATTACTTGGTCTTGTAGTCGTCCACATTTTTGTGCATGACGTTGTTTTCCATGTCCAGTCTTTGTTTGTCATTTTTGAGGTGCTCCAGCTGTTTCTGAAGGCTGGTGATGTAAGACTTCAGCATGGGCTCAACATCAGAGGAGGCTGCGGTCTGTCCCTGCAGGAGCTTCCATTTGGTTTCAAGCATTTTGTTCTGCTGTTCCAGGTCTCTCACCTGCGGCACAACCAGGAGGTATTAAATCGAGAACTGTTTTTTTTTAACACAAGAGTTTGGCCTTTAAGTAGATATTGTAAAACACATTTACCTTATCAATGAATGAGACAAAGCGGTTGTTGAGGCTTTTGATCTGCTCTTTCTCTTGCTGGCGGACAGCATGGACAGTGGGGTCAATGTTGACATTGATCGGGGTGAGCAGGCTCTTGTTGATGGTCACAGCCGTAATTGGGGCCACCTGGTTGGGTCCGTTGCTGGTCCTGGGGAAGGAATAGGCTCCCATGGACATGCTGCTGAAGCCCCCCGAGGACGTATGCAGTCCTGGGCGGCTGTTGCGTGTGCTCCGTATACTCATGACTGCTGGGGAGGATGAAGAGGAGTCCAAGTGGTGTTTGAGCTGTAATGTGCATCTCTTATCTTTTTCAGGGCTACTTTATAGGCGGCCCTGGGTGTGTCGTGATAGTGGAGATATGCGGCTCCTCAATGTGGGTTAACCAGTCCGACACATGCCTCCTGTTCTCCCACCTACCCCCGCCGTGAAAGTCGCATTGTTTCTGTTGTTAAACGAGAATTTTGCTCAGTTGCAGGTGCGAGGAATTTCAGCAATGTATCACAAGTGTTCGCCGGAGAAAAACCATTCACATGATGAAAGAAAGAAAAAATCAGAGAACGATACAAGGAGTCATCAGGTACTAAAAGATTTCCTGAACATCGGCCAAAGCATGAGTGGAATTATAATAGATTCAGAAGAGGTGATAAAAGAAAAATAACTGTTAACTATGACTGCAAAACCTCCTACAGCTGATGAAAGCACAGGTAGAGCTGACTGCTGCTGTTCGTTGATTAGTCGTCTTAGATTTAATATATCTTCGACTTTTTTGTTGTGATGAATATGATTCAACAACGACAAAATCTGTAACTGAACATTCAAGATGTAAAAGGACATTAAGTGTCGCTCAGGGGAGAAAAATTACAATTTTCTGTCATTTTGTCCATTAAAACTCGCATTTAACTGATGTTGAATGAAGAATATAACAACACTGAAACTGAAATATGAGTGATCTCTAATCAAGACTGCAAACAACAGCTTAGACTGTCTGTCATTTGTGGATTATACAAAAAAAGGTTCATAAACAGTAAAAGTTTTCAAGATGAGTTTCTTTTTTCATTGACCTTTTGTTTTTTTGGAGGGGGGGTATTTGATATTTTCACATTGCTTCAAAATAGAATTTGATAGCAGCTAAAATTGATTAAGGTCGACTGAGTCACAGTGTTGGCATCATTACTACAGTTTACAATCATGTCATTAATCGTCAAAAGTGACAGCTGGTTAAACACAAAAATCTGGGCTGTCCTCTTGATGTCAAACAGCCTTTGCTTCGACACTTATTATGTAATCATCACCATTGGAAAAACAACCACGTTGAAATCCTTCTCTTGTACAACCTGTTGTAGGTTTATTCTCAAGGTTTGTGAAGACTGTGAGCCAGTAGTGCTGTACTATCTTCACACAATCTGCTCTGTATTTAAGGTAGGTGAAGCTTTATCTGTGTTTGAGTGTGTGTTTTTTTTTTTTTTTTTTAGCATTTTTATATTATTTTAAATGTCTGCTGTGGTTCCTCTTTTGTTAGACATGAAGATCGCTTCGTTTAATGTTCGGAGGTTTGGACTGACAAAAGTCTCAGATCCTGATGTCCTGTCAGCTTTAGTTAAGGTAAAGCATGTCTCATTGGCGTTGTGTAGGCACAGGATGTTTTGTTTAGCAAAGTCAAAGTCACAGATGAGTAACTCAATGGGACTTTGGGAGGGAGCTAAGATGAAGAAACATCAAACAGATATGTGACACTGTGAAGCATAAACACACTGTATGTTATTCTCATTCCTTTATAATTATAGTTGTTTAAAATGTCTCATTTATTTCCTGTTTTGTCTGCAGATAGTGTCCCGCTATGACATCATAGTGATACTGGAGGTTGTGGATGTGAGTGGGGCTTCCGTTCGACTCTTCCTAAAAGAACTCAACAGGTGAGTTTCAGTCTGTATATGTATTTTTTTTTTTACCTGTATGCACTCTTACTTTTTCATCTGCCGTCTCAGAGTCAACTCCAGCCACCACTATGCTCTGCAGCTCAGCACCCGCCTGGGCAGGAGCAGATACAAAGAGCAGTTTTTGTTTCTGTACAGGTGAGATCAAATCTTATCACTAGAATTTTTTTTCTCTAAACATTCACTCAAAAGCATTTTTGCCCCACATGAAAGGGATGATGTTGTCGATCTGATTGACTGCTATCAATATGAAGACAACAACATGGACAACATGGATGCATTTGTAAGGGAGCCGTATATTCTCCACTTCAAACCACGCAACACAGGTAGGTCCCTTCAAAAACCATTTTAAACTACGTTTAAGGTATATAAGTAGTTGTTGAGGAATCATAAAGCAGACTGAGTCATGTCTGTGTATGGCCATGCTTGTTTTCTTCAGTTGAATGAATCCTACTCATTGCGACAGGTGATACAAAGGAGCACAGGGCAGGTTTATCAAGTCAAGTCAGTCTGTGTCTGCTTTGTGTACCCACACCTTCCTAAATACATATCCTGGTAGTGCATTCTTACAGGGACCAGATTTGTAGTTGAATGAACTGTTTGGGTTGCAGTGCTAAAGGACATAGTGCTGATTCCAGTCCATAGCACACCATGGGACACAGAGAAAGAGCTGGACGAGCTGTACGAGGTCTTCCAAGTGGTCAAAGACAAGTGGAAAACTGATGTGAGTTTCATGAATTCACCATGAAGGAGTGCTAAATTCATTCCCATAAAGTATCATCACATCAGTCAAAAGCTTTTGAATTATAATCATCATTATAATCATAATAAAGTCTTGATTTAGGCCTCAAAAGTCACTGAGGATTCCCGAAGTTTGAGTGATATCATTATACAGTTAAAGACAATACTCAGTGAAAACAATTGCATGCTGAAGTGGTTTGAGATAAGTATGAAACAGTGATTTCTCATGCAGCTAAATGGATTTTTCTGTGTCTCAAGCAAGGCAATGTACCGCTATATTACTAAAATGGCCATGTCTGATTTCCACTAGAACGTTATGATCCTTGGAGATTTCAAAGCTGACGGTATACACGTGACAAGCAGAGAAATGATGGGCATCCGTATCCGTAGCGACAAGAATTTCCATTGGTTGATTGGTGATGATGTGGACACGACTGCAATCACATCAAATGAACACAGCTATGACCGGCATGTGCACATAAATCATTTCCTTTTATTACTTTCCAAAGAAAATCCTTTGATTATTCAGAACATGCCAAGAACTTTAAATAAGATAAAATAACTGAATTTATTTACATATTTTTACAGGATTGTTGTGTACGGAGAAGACATGGTAGCAGCCATTGTGCCAAACTCAGCCAAACCGTTCAATTTCCACAAAGAGTTTGCAATGACAGAAGAACTGGTTAGTCCTGCCTTATAATCAGCACTTTGTCCGCATTCTTCCACTTGTTAAGCTTTTTTGCTGTCCTTCAAATTTACATGTCACGTCCTGCAGGCCCTGAGGGTGAGCGACCACTACCCTGTTGAGGTAGAACTGCTCAGCTCCTCTCCTTTCTGGATGACAAAGAACCCCCAAACACACAACAACAACCAAACATCAGTTAACAGAGCCGCCACAGGTAAAGAAGCAAAGCTGTAATTTACTCTCTCTGGTCGCTGATAGACATCATGTGAAGAATTTGAGACATCAGCTGACCTACTTCGACTTGATGTTCGGCTCCTCTGACATTTACAGGGTAATGTTGCCTCTGTGAATGACAGGGGTGAAAAATGTTTGGTATTTGGGAGTGTTCCCTTCTTCAACCAGATTTCACACTTCACGTTGAAGGTTTTACTTTTGCCCTATTTGTTCAAAGGCACATGCTTTAAACCTCAAATCTTAAGGCTTGTACCTCCCCCTATATATCACTGGCTAGAGTGACGAAATATTGCATTACAGTTTTTTTCAGGTTTGGTTTTGTGGGGTTGTTTGTTTCTTTGTATGTTGCAATGTCCTTCAAAGACCAAAACCACATATAAAGGGATCTTACTGGCATTGCCAAATCATAGTGCGGCCTTTTCTGTTTGTGTTGCAAATATTTGCATGCAATACAAATGAATTTGCATCAAAGTTTGTGTCTTTCGCTAATTAATATATATGAAGAGATGTACACTGATTGAACACTTTCCATGATTCTATTTACAGGTGGTTTGATGTCAGATGTGTTGACACTGCAGAAGGAAAACCTCCTGTTGGAACGAGAAAAACTACAACTCCAGATCTGCTTACTGAAACAGCGGGTTGCTACACTGCAGCCCAAAAATAGCTAGAGGACTTTACACACAGATGCTTTTACAGCGGTTTTTTAACTCTGTCATCACAATCATGGTTAAGAATTTGTACTGATAAACAAATATGTTTTACACAACATGTTGGCTTTTTGAGATTATTTGTTGTATGGACTTCAAGGTAAAAAAGTGTAATATCAAATGCAGTTTGCATAGATAGATAGATAGATAGATAGATAGATAGATAGATAGATAGATAGATAGATAGATAGATAGATAGATAGATTTTCATGATGTAATAAAACTGTTAGTTACTGTAAGACTTAAAACAACTGGAAAGTACTAAAACTACATTATAATAACGTTTGAAGCCACTATTTGTTATTAAAGTGTGTTGCATTCACGTAAACTTCGACTTTTAGACGTTTTCGGTGTAAAAGCGAGCTGCTATTCACAAACGTTTCAGACTACTGTCAGGGATATAAAGATACTTTTTTAAGGCGTAATATTGTATTTTGACGTTTATTTTAATATAATATGTAACAACAAGTCGGTGCTTAAGATATTATGTTTACCTTACGTTTGTGCTGCGGTCGAGTCTTCAAATTACCGACTCCTAGTGACAAGCGAAGTAGACACTCGTCACGTGACTACTGGACCTCTTCGACCACAACACCAAGCAGCAGTCGAGCAGCTTGTAAACAACTTGCAGGAAGGTGTGTCAGCACTCCAACTTTTCCCAAGCGTCGATTGTGCAAACTCTGAAGCTTCACCGACCCATCGCCAACCTGTCCGGCAGACAGGCCGCCTCAATGCATCACAGAGGACCGAAAACACCGCGGAGATCATGGATGTGCACGATTTGTTTATTAGCTGCAGAAAGGGCGACATTTGCAGAGTCAGGTAACCGACGTATTCGCCTGTGGTGCTGTGGCTTGTTCGCCTGTGCCTGTGTCGATTAATTGTACGTACTTCCTGTCTTATAAAAAGTAGATTTCATGTACTTTGCAGAGCTAAAAGCTAAGTGCAGTGTTTAGAGTGAGGTTACTCCGTAGACGGGTTGCTAACACTAGCTTTGATGCCCCAGACGGGAACTACTGCTAACAGCGTTTGGAGGTCAGCTCCTTAGTTTCCAAATTGACTCTTAATTTGACTCTTAATCTCTTATATGTATCACACTGGTGTGTTGACAGTTTAGCTTTGTAAGTCACGCAGCCAACTGCGCATAGACTGATGATAAAGATGTCAAATGATCACTATACAACATAAGTGTTTCCATGACAGATGGGATTGACATGGTGTAAAAAATCCTTACTCAAATCCTCGTAGTCTTTTTGTATACAGCCATATGGCTATATTTTATGATGCACCCACTGTTATAACTTTCAACATAGGGGAGAGTGGGGTAAGTTGAGCCACCCCCTGTTGCCTGGAAATGGTAAAAGAAATTGATCATGTGACCAAATATTTAGGAGATAGGCATCAATTCATGGAGTCTGTGAAGGTTAGAACCACATGGGTGAAGGGGTTAGACATTTATTTAAAAAATAAAACATTTTTCACTCTTGAAATTGAATTTAGTCTGTCATAAGTTTTATTAGAATTGTGTTCAGACCAAATAAGATCATTTTAAATTTGTTTTAGACATCAATTGTGGTATCTATGAGCTACAACATGAGGTCAAAAACCTAGCACTAAAGTCCACCATTTTAGTTTAAAGGACTAATAAAGTCATAATAGTAGTTCAGGGGTAAGTTGAACCAGTGGTTCAACTGAGGAAGTAAAGGAGTCTGATGAGAGGATCAGAGTTTTAAGTTCAGATTGTTAAAATGTGTTACTTTTTCCTTTTAAAAATACAGCTGTGAATGTTCTGAATCACATTCTCATGTTAAAATGACTTTTTACAGCTTTTTAGCAGTTATATGCAATAATTATAGAAACAGTTAGTGAACCATGGTGAACTTACCCCATACACGGGGTAAGTTGACCATAGGAGAACACTTATTTTTTGGCATGCTATATTATCAAGACAGTTATGTTTACACTCATTCTGTTGGTTTGCAGGGATGCACAACATCTTGAAATATATGCAGATACACTAGTTAGAGACAAAACTAAGATTAACCTGATGTAGTGATCCGAAATATGAAAACTGGCTCATCTTACCCCACTCTCCCCTACTGGTTGTCCATCCCATACAGTCATGATACTCTGGCTGGACTTCTTTGACCCAGTGTAATCACCCCTGTGTTATTCTTTTTAACTTAAAGGTACCTTGTTGAACAGAGGGACGTGGACCTCAATGTAAGAGATAAATGGGACAGCACCCCATTGTAAGTATTGTTAATTTAGGTTTCTTATCTCTCAAGCTTACCATTTTAAGTTGCAAGCAACCTGAAATGTGAATTTTTTTGTTTAAAGGTATTATGCCTGTCTATGTGGCCATGAGGAGCTGGTCCAGTACCTGTTGGCTAGTGGTAAGGCTGTATTTTAACTGTATGTTTTGTGTTTTAACTTTTATGTCAATTTAATACTTATATCTAAAAATATAACAAAATACAAAATTTTTTATGTGCAACATTAAGATTGCAATGTTTATCTATTTATTGCTTTAAGGTGCCAAGTGTGAAGCCAACACGTTTGATGGTGAAAGATGCATGTACGGCTCTCTGAACGACACTGTCCGGCGTCTGATCAAAGATTATAAATGTGTCAGTGTCCGCGCCATGCAGAGGGGGGATTACAATTATTTTCTGCACACGTAAGGCTTATTTCACTACAGAAATATGGAGGGCATAAATACAGCACACTCCCGTGTACATAATGTAATCTGAACCTTAATGACTTTTGCTGTAGGTTACTGGAGCAGGGTCAGCACAGTGATGTCAAGTTCCTGGTGCATGGCCAAATATTTACAGCCCACAGATGTATCCTCAGCGCACGCTCAGAGTACTTCACTGAAATGTTTGAGACCAAGTGGAAAGGGAAGACCTTGATCACTCTCAAACACCCCTTGGTAAATGATTATTTCGGAGTATTGATCGTGCGCTGTAATGCGTGTTTGGCATTATTTTTAGATCCAGGTTTTTGATACATAACTAGACAGGTATATTTTTGCATCTCTGTATCTGTATTGATAAAGCAGTTTTAATTTCAGATCAACCCAGCAGCCTTTGGAGCCATCCTGCAATATTTCTATACAGGTGAGTTCGTTCGATCTGCAATTTACAGATAAATTTACAAAAGCTTCAAATGTATCCATTCCTTTTCTTAAAACAAAACTCCAGCTATCATGCTAACTCTTGTCAACTTTGCATGCAGTCAGATCACTGCAAATTTAAGACTTACATAAAAGCTATGATTGCAAGATCCCTAATCCTCATCTGTTTTTGTTATTGCCACAGGACGAATGGATATTGACATTAGCCTTGTTGAGGACTCCAGACGACTTGCGAAACAGTGCAAAATGGTTGATCTCATTGAAGAGCTGGAGAACAAGTGCAAGCAGGTGTATGAATTTGGTAAGACACAGCTTTAGGTTCAGGCTTACTCTTTAATATGCAGGTGTAATACACTCAGTCTCATTTAACCTTGACCCTTTTTAGAAGCCTAGGTGAATTCTTTCCCATGTGAATGAATCAAAATTTCTCTCTTGTCTCTTATTCCCCTTCTTTCTTCATACTGAAGTCTCGAACAAACCAGGAGTCTGCGTGAAGGTTCTCAGTCTGGACTCTCACAGCTGTCAACTTCAGGAGGAGATGGCTCAGTTAGCAGACTGTGCTCTTCCCACTGAGCTTCGAGTAAAGTCACCATTGCAAAAACACTATATCTGTTTTTATAATAGATTTCAGAAGCTTTTGATTTTTACAGACTGTTTTTTTTCATCTGCACAGGTTGGGTTTGGTGAACTTCCTTTCAATAGAGTCGATCGCTTCCCGACTTACCCTGATATCTGCTTCAGAGTCAATGATTTGAATTTCCTGTGTCATAAGGTACAGTAAAGTAAAGTCACACAACAGTCCCTAATCACGAGAAAGACCCTCATCAATCCTCTCACCGAAACTCCTGTTTCATTTCTTAATATTGTGTGTGTCTGCAGGCGTTTTTCGGTGGACGTAGTGATTACTTTAAAGCCTTGCTGGAAGACCACTTCAGTGAGGGGGAACAGCTGCAGTCTCATCCCAGCACCCCTGTGATTACTCTACATAATATTACCCACGAAATATTTACTCATGTCATGTATTACATCTACACAGATGACACAGAGGTATGTTCAAAGTTTCTGGTGTAATTTTATAAACGTATTTCCTTTTGATTGGGAACATAGTTGACATCCAGTAGCACAGTTGACTGTCAAGCTACCAGCCCACACCCCCTTTTCCCCTGAGGAATCACCTTTACAGGCCACTTTATGACAGGAAAACAGGTTTCCTGATTGTACACAAGAACCACAAAAAAAGAGCAAATATTTCCTGTGTGCTGTAAATTATGTTAATTTACACAACTCTTAAACCGACACAAATATCTCCCATAATTAAATTTATCTGTAGGATTCCACTCACAGTTTATTTAGAATTGCTTTGTTCGTTTCACATTAGTTATAACATAATGTTAATGTAACTGTAGATTTAACAGCTAGTATGTGAGCAAGAGCTGTGGCTTGTATTGATGAACATGGAGCAGTATTGTTTCAGTATTTAGAGATTTAAATTCTTTTCTGCTTATTATTATTATAATTGTTGTTATTGGTAGTAGTAGTAGTATTAGTAGATGTAACTACTATGATTTAGTTCCACATCATGTTTTCATTTGTCAGCTGACTAGACTTTTTTTTTTCATGCAGCTAACAGCAGACGACGTCTTCGATGTGCTGTGTGTGGCCGACATGTATCTGCTGCCGGGTCTAAAACGTATTTGTGGGAAGACTCTGGCCAAGACTATATGTGAGGACAACGTTCTTTGCATGTGGAAGACGGCCAAGCTTTTCCGTCTCTCTCGTCTGGAGGATCAGTGCACAGAGTTTATGGCCAAGATCATTGATCGGGTATGTCTGGAAACATATTTATAAATCACTTAATGCCTAGCTTGGTATTGAGACTTGAAGCAACTGCTATTTGTAGTTCTCACTTTTTAGTTCTTGTGCGTATAAATCATGTAATATGAAACTATGATGGCCCTTTTGGTGATTTTGGTCAACTACACTTACGCTTATGCTTACGCTTACGCTTACCTGTATACCTGTCCGACTTCTCTGTCACAGCTGGTGGAGCAGGCTGAGTTTGCTGAGATCGTCAAAGAAGATGCGGCATCAGTGGAGGAGCGACATGAGACAGACTCTGTGCCCCTTGTAGACGAGATCCGCTATCACATTGCCAGCAACGTGCAAACGTACAGTGCAATTGAGGAGGCCAACCAGAAACTGGATGCCTTGGAGGAGCTTCTCTGCAGCATTAATATTGACTGCTAAAGGGTTGGAATGTTGTGACGGAGTTTAATGTTTTTTGTTTTTTTTTAGATGGATTATAATTTGAGGGAGAGAAAACATACGTCTCTATGGTTGTTGGTTTTATTTAATTACAGTATATTGTACAGAATATACATATTTTCAGTTGGGTGTGAGTGGAGCACATTTGGTCTTTCTGTTGGCCGTTATATGTCTCTGAGTGAGGCAGATCAAATGTAAGACAAAATATTGATTTGCTTTTGTGCAAAAGATGGTGTTATTCATTTTCATCAGAATACTATAGATTGGCACGTGCATGAAAATGTTTTAGTCATTATTATAGTTTTATTCTCTACAATACTAGCTATTTAACTGTTTTAAAAATTTACCCCAACCAAATTTATGACTAGCACTCACAATGAATCTCATTAAACTTTTGATGTTTTGTTTAAAGGAAGTGAAAAGCATTAACACGTACTTGACAAGGATGATGAAAGATGAACTCAGTATTTGTTAACGTTAAATATCTAGAAATATTTTTTAACCCTTGTGTGGATTTACTCAAATATAATTTCATGATATATATATCATGCCTAGAAAGCAAGCGACTTTTGGTTTGGGAGATTTATGAGAGATGATACCAGAACTTTGTTTAATGTTAGACATGTACATTCCTTCACCTCTCATCCTTATACGAATCCCTCTTTGAAATATTTCAGTTGTGGAAAAACAAACAAAAAAAAACCTTGCTGCCCTGTATGAAAGCTTATTTCTTTTTGTCATGTGTGTGCACAAGAAAAATAAAGCTGTTAAAAAAACACATGAATGTGCCAACATATGGAGAGATGTTAACTTCTTATTGTCACCTTTATTTGAAGATTCATTGACACATTTATTTTTTTGGGAAATCTAAGGAGTAGCGTTTTTTTCAGCAGAAGTCTCAAATTCAGGTTTAATTGACAGAAAACTCAGAAGATCATTTGTACCCACAGCCATCAGACTTTCTGTAAATAGATTACTTTTAGAGACATGACAAACGAGACGACAGACAATTGAATTTCCCTTTGGGGATCAAGAAAGTTAGTCTTATTTTTATTTAGCGATTTGGTTTAGCAATTTGTCCATAAGCAGTAGACCCATTTGGGTTTACGGGTCACATTTCATCACATTAAACTTTTATTTTGTATTTATAAGCCCAGTTTCAGTATTTGAAAGTGTTGTAAGAACTATCTACAGACAACTTTAACCACCAACATTGGCCTTCTCATTTGAGCACAAGAGTCATAAATAGCTGCATTAAGCCAGATTCTTTTTCTTGAAGACTGTGATATCAAACATTGCCTATCAATAATAATTTCTGCTCTCTTTCAAGACGGTTTGTGGCCCTTTTTTTTAACATCCTCATCATCAGCATGTAGCCTGAGTCACTTTTAGCATGTTCTCAAACAGATGGTGGCATTGAAGCAAAGCTTTACTTAAGTACAACCTCACATAGCAATCTGCAAGCTTTTAAGTTTTATTCCCTTTCTCTTGAGTACTGTTATGTGAATGAATCTTCGGAAGAGGCCAAGAATTACACTGAGAGAGCAAGTAAATGTAGCACCTACAGATGGCGCCATTTCTTAGCTTATCCTCACTGGCGTTACTGTAAGTTTCCTTTCAACAAACAGGTTTCCTGGACTGAAATTCAAATGTTCATGCTCTTGTGTAAACGAGTATTTCCCTCCTTCAGGTCTCTTTGGACTTCAGCAGTCGGTTTCGTTATGTTAAATCACTTTTCAATTGGTCAGCAAGGGCGTAGAGAGGGAGACTGGGCCAAATACAGGGATACTGTTACATGTTAGCAGTGATTTAAAGGTTTCTAACAAGTGTTCCTGTAGGTTTCATCACTCTAATTTCCATTTCAAAGAGTCAAAGAAAAAGCAGTAGTATGTCACCTTAATGTTTCCTTGAGGTTTGGACCAGTGGGTAAGCTCAAAAAGCAAAAGGGAGTAGGTTGTGGAGCAGAGCTCCTGCTAGCACACATTAAAGCGCAGTTCAGCTGAATCACTGAGGCCGTCCTTTAGACAACAAAACCTCTGGCATTCAGCCCAGCGCCATGAAGGCTACATGTTGATAAAGGCAAGAATAAACAGCACAATTAGTTATTACTCCAGCTAGCTTCATTGACAAATGTTTTGTAATTGTTGCTAAGGAACATGGTGTAGTTTCAGTCCTGGGTGGGAAAGTCCAATTTATTGGATTTCAGAGTGACATCAAGTTGCCTGGCCTGAGCAAATGAATATTTATACTCTGTACAGGATGAACTTATTTTTTCTCATCAGTTTGTCCAATTACCATGGAAACTGTGTTTACAAGTCAAACCAGTCTCTATGACAGCACCTAGGGGCCCCTTTTAGCTTCTATTTTCAATGTTTCCACACCTCAACTTGGCCCTTATTCAGGGGTAGGACAGAGTAAAGCCTGAAACTGTGAATGTTGGATTAGCTAAATGCACGCCCCATTAGATTTGACTTTAAAGGTCAGTTAGAGTTGAGCAACAAGGATGGCAATGTAGCTGTGCCTGCCACTTTGTGAGACAACATCAAGCCCACTTTACTGAACAAAATGCAGTTTGTGTTCAGTGATAGCTAGTAAAGTTAGCAAACAAAACTCAAGCTGAACACTCAGGCAATGTCTTCCACATTAACTCGTTGTAACTCTGAAGCTAGCACTGATTTTAAAATTTGCCATAACAATAAAAGTTTATTTTTTCAGATGCTTTTATTGCATGCTCATCCCTGCTGCAGAGGGAGACAGAGCTAATACTTCGATGTTTATATTTGATCTGTGTCTCTGTCCAAGTCATGACTCATATTTCAGTCATGTGTCTGCTACTGCCCTTAAAAACATTTTTTTTTTTTTGCCTGCCTGATGATTTCCATCTGTTTTGCAGAAAATCTTGGGTAGGGCAGTAAAGGGTAAAATCACTTGGCCCTCGACTCATGCCAGTGCGTGACTCATTGAGACATCACTGTGACTTCTGTGTCCTCATACAGAAAATCTACAAGGGCAGAGATCTTTCAAATAAACAAAGACAGAGCTCTCTTCTTTTTTGTTTTCTTTCCCTCCTCCTCACGTTAGAGAGTAGTAGCTTTATTCTTGATGGCTGTCTTGGGCATACAGTTGCAGTAAAAAAACAACTCTTTTACTGAAGTTCCACACAAGACTTTGAATCCTTTTTGTGATTTTTTCTTGCCTACCTTTCAACCCAAATCTCTGTGCTCATGCCAACTGACATTTGTGTTTTTCTGTCATGAAGGATTTGCTCTTTTATTACCCGTTTTAACTTCAGGTGCTTTACAGATGACGTGTACAGAGCATGCAGGGCTGTGTCATTCATGCCATCTGTCTTCTTCTCTTTCCAGGAACCTTGATGTTTTTCTATACATGGCTCGTATGCAGAATTCCTCACATTTTGAACATATGGAAAGAGCTGTAGGTGGTGGAGTATAAAGCTGGTGCACATCTATATTGCAAGTAAGACAGTGAGGTGTTTCATAGTTTAACTTGTTGTATAGTTTTTAATTTTAATCGTTCTATTTTTCCTTTTTGTTGCTTTCTTTCAGGAGCTTATTTTACTTCTCCCAGGCCTGTACTTCATTTACCTTGCAGCTAATTATATCCCAATACAACAGAAACAAGTATGTTATTCCTGAGTTGAAATCATCCAGAAAAGTGCATTAACATTTGAAGAATTTATAACTGTTATTATAATAATAAAGAGATGCATTAGTAGGCTCAGAGTTACAGTTTATGAGAACTAGTCTAATCTGAACTTCTTGATTTATACTGTTGATTGTTTTATTTGGCCCATAATACTTCACTGTTTCTTATACTCTCTGCATCACAGACTTCTGGTATAAAATCTAAAGCAGCAAAGTAACTTGTAACAAAATATAGTAGAGCACAAACTGTGATAATGCAATGAATAGAGGGCTATAGGTATACGACAGTCCAAGATTCAAATACTCAGATAAGTAAGAAAATGTATATGGATAGATTTGACCACCAATTTGCAGGTTATGGTTTTACAAACAATAAAGTACAATAAGCTTGAAACATGATGCATTCCCTCAAGTTTCACTGCAGATTGAAGATGCTAATTTAAAACGTGAAGTATAGGGGTAATTTATGGCCTTTTCCTTAAATAGAGATGAGAGAGAAGTAGGAAACTTAGCTGAGGAAGAGCAATAAAAGACAGACCAAATTAAACAACAAAAGTAGAAACTGTGTTACATGCAGAACTGTGATCAGCTGTTTTCACTGAAGTCAAAACGCAAAAGACCAAAAAGCTTCATCAGAGGATCAGTCAGTTATTCTTCCTGGAGTTTTGAAGCATTCAGTCAAAGTTTATTCACTAAAAGTCAAGTTTAATCACCACATTTTTAAAAAGCTGTTTGTTGTCTCTGACAGACAGACCTGCCCTTTCCTGACCTCGTCTCTGCATATTGATATGTCCTCTCCGACGATCGAAGACATAACTTACTGCTGCTGTCACAGCCAATATCCTAATTTGCTATTACTCAGGGATTACCACCCAAGAGAGGGAGAGAGTGGTAAGCCTGTACTTAGCCAGAGACTGACCTGAAGAGCTTTCTCTCCCCCGACTCCCTCTGTCCATTTTTTACAATCCAATTTTGCATGGATTTGGTGAAACATTATGCATTGGCTAAAGCAATTTGTTATGATACCGTAGTTCCAATCCTAGTTTTGTGCCATAGACTGCTTGCATTAACATCTCATGACACCGACTAAGGACTTAGAGGACTTAGGCCAATCGGGCATTATGTAAGAAATAGCACAGTGAAAACGACACATGCACCAAATTGAACGATAGGTTCCCGCCAAGAAGATCTCTTTATCGGATTGTCTCGAAATGAAAGCATCCCTGCAGTCATTCACTTTCCCCCTACAGTTCCACCACGGGGTTGTGCTCCTAGTATAGGCTGAAAGATGCCTCTGAAGTTCCATAAACACTGATTGCAGCTCAAGCTTATCAGGCAGGAATTCTGTTTATCTCCCTGCTCAGTGTGAAGGCTCCTCTTGGAAGTGTGTGACAGTCAGATGCTTACACTTAACATAGCCACGGTAATATGGGATTAAGCTTTACGTGCTGCCCTGAAGACTTAGCAGCCAGGACACAGACAAGCGAGCGAGCGTTGGTCTTATTAGTCAGCTTTGACGAAGACAGTGGGCTCTTGAGGAAGCTAAGTATCCTGCCAATATGTATGCAAATCAGAAAAAACGTATCCCCCCTTTGCACTGCAAATCATGTTTTCTGCCTTAATTTTCACATTATATACTTGAGTGTTAAGTTTATCCTTCATCATGTGCCATCTTGTTTATAGTGCAATGTAATTCTGCGGCCGAGGTGAGTCACAAGGTTGTCAGCGGAGAACACGGCCAGCTCTGCAGATAGATCCAAACAGCGTCTGCATGTGAGACAGGATTACACCGTTACCATGTGACTGGTCTGTCCTTAGACAGACCTCTAACAAAAGACAGGCTAAATCCATCCAGGACAACAACCTCTGCCCTGAACTCTTCAAATGTAAACAATCAGGAGGACTTCTGTGAGGAGATGCCTCAAACGGGCTGTGATGATGGCAAATCTTGACCTTGGTATCATAGTTCAAAGACCATAGCAGGCTTACACTTCACTGACAACCTAGAGTGAATTCTGACTTTGTCCTGATATGCAAACTACAAGTATTAGATTCTGGTTGGGTTGTATTATCAGATATGATGAGATTTTTAATGCTCCAAAATCAGCTTATACTTTTTTTTTTTTTTTGGTCCAAATAAGCTGAGGTATCATCCGTGTTAGCCTGAAACACCAACTTCATTTTGTGAGAGAGCAACCTTGGAAAATTTTGGGGGTAGACTTCTTGAAAATTACTAGAAAATGTTAGGATGTCTGGAAGAGGGTCTTTGTCTGTTCTAGTCTGCAGGTTATGAACGGGAAAATCCAAGAAGCAGTATGAAAGAGTCCATTCAAACATTTTAATCCAATTAATTTGGTCATGAGATTATATTTAAGACTTTAAATGATCATTTTACTGTTATTGGTGTGATTTCCCTAAACCACAGCTACCTCTATTGATGATAGTCCTTGTGCTCTCCTTGATTACATCAGCATGGTCTATGTTTTGAACAGTGGTGAGCTACCTCACATGTTAGCTAAGGGTTAAAATCAAGCCGCAGCCTCTAGTTTTGCAAGATGAAGTCAAAGCGGAAGTGCAAAAAAACTGCTAATCTCAGAGTGTCTGCTGAAAGCTAGCTGCAGAGGCACTGGAAACCACATACACACTCATTTAAAAGACCTCTGCAAAAAGGACCACAGCCTCTATATGCAGGGGGTCAAACTTCGAGGCACCTTATAACTTCACCTTCTACACTCAAAATGGTTTCTGAACACTGCTACATGACTTCAAATGAAGAACTGAAATTTAGCATGTACAGTTCTTGACATGACTGCATCAGAACGGGGACTTTTTAAGCAGGCTATTTTATCTTAATACAAGTAAATGTATATGACTTGCTTCCCGGTGTTACAACCAGAACCAGAAGTGCTTTATCAATCTTAGGGGGGGAATTCAAGAAGTGTGCTGAGCTACTTTAAATTCAAGGTTGGTTTTTGTCAGAGTTACAACAGCGAGCCCCCAAACTCGCTTTTTTTTTTCAGTGGCTTTCCTGTTTCCTGCCCATTTGGCCCTCAGGCATCAGAAAGTAGTTGTCCTGCTGACAGAACTTTTGTTCTCTGAAGAGAGAAATCAATGCTGAAACTCAAGGGGGCTGGCTGGCTTTAAACACACTTTACTTTACTAGAATGACATGAGATGTTGCTTTTTCACCTAAAGAGGAAATGGCAAGTACAAGTATGCGCAGCATTTAACATGGAACAAAAACAGTGTGTACTTCCCTTTAATTTGATTTTTTTTTTTTTTTAAGCGTTTCAAAATAGAAACGTTTGCTTCACTATTGGCACAGAGCATGAACTTAATGATTAGTCAACGTGCCTTCACTTCTTGTTTTTGACATAACAGTCCTGTAGTGTGGTCTGAAACGGTGCTACCATCTGTAAGCTCCGGAAGGAACACTTTCCCTGTAACACATGAACACTCTAAGCACATACGTGTCTGTTTGGCACGGCTCAGACAATCATGCTGAACTCCATGCAAAGACTTCTAGACATAAGACACTATCTTCTGCTCTACATTAGTGTATTTAAATGATGGTTTGAATATGTTTTAAACTAAGCAAGAGGTTATAGGAATCCTTATGAAAAGTTTTAGATTTGAAAGTTAACGTTGTATTTATCTGCTTTATAGATTTTGTAAGCGCTTTAGTTTTGAAAATTTCCTCCCCCCTCTCTCTCATTTTTTAAAATAAAGAGTGAATGCTATCTATACCAACCATCAACGAAGTTACCACACTGTTACTAAGAAAATCAAAGTCTGTAATTAACTACTTCCTAATGTTTTAAATGTCAACTTAATATTCAAAGTAAGTAACAGTGTCATGGCTGAGGAGTGAGTCTGTTAAGTCGTGTCTTTCAGCCTGTTACTATGACAGCCACTTGACCCTCTGACTAAAAGTCCCCACTAAACTTCTTAGACCGTAACACCGGTGGTCTTACCTGCATCATCATGAGCCTCAGTCAGGTAACAGGATGAGTAATCTTGCTGGTGTACCAACAATTTAAACTAATTGCAAATTAACTTGCTTTGGTTAAAAATAAAGGATTGAAAAGAATACAGCAAGAGGATTAGGGCTGCGTTCACATGCCCCTCAGGTGGCTCTAGTTTCAAAGTTCAAGGGTGGTTTCTGACTTTGGTGTGTTTATGTGCTTTCAACTAGGAAAGTGTAGTTTAATGTGTCCTGTCTTATGCATCAAGGTTTAACTCTAATAAATACAAAAATATTGTTTTAGCTAATGAAGCTGACCTCAGTGGAGCTCCCTACATTTCAATCCCTCAATCTTGAACTTTTCCTGAACTAAGCTACACCTCTCTAAAACCATGCAGGTTTTTAGCCAGTCCCAATTTGTTCATAAAACTACCTATAAGTCTGAAAGAGCTGGATTTATCAGCACTGTTAACTACATCCTTATTGCTAGAAGCTCTGAGTGCTGTAAAGCCGACTTTGGCAGACGTAGTGCACAGTGCTTGGTAACTCTCAGCTGCTGTCTGTATCTCTTAGATTGCACGTTGCCATACACTGTCTTCAGATTGAACTGCACTCATTCATAAGATGAAAAATGAGCCTGATACCAACATGGACATTAGCAGAGGTGGGCACAGTTAGTCCAAAGTTTACAATGAACAATTGATCCAGTATTGAAGATATTAACCATGATAACATTAACATTAAAACCTACTGAATCATTGACCACTCCCTTATCTACAAGGTGCATATGCAGTTTGTAAGATACATGGTGGCAAATGGTGGTCCCTCAATCTTACACCAAACATAAGAACACAAGCAAGCTGTTGTGTTGCTATTCAAATTTCTCCCCTCGACACAGCAGGTGTATCATAATCCAGTCAGAGCAAATATGATCTGAAGATCAAATCATTTTCTCAGACCTTAAACAAAACAAAGGACCGCAGTGCCTCAGCTTCTTTTCAAAGTTGTCATTGTCTGGTGATACCCAGGAGAGGGGTTTGTTTCAATTAACAGACAGAAGCGAGGATAGGCTTTCTGTGCCCTCGCCCTTATAATTGGCTTGGCCCTCTGTGCCTGTTGATCTTTCTCTGAAGCCTTCTTGCATCAGGACCGGGCCGTCTGGCTGGAAAATTAATTTAAAAGTTAACGTTGACCATGATAGAATACCAAATCTACTGAGGTGTGCCCAGTTCTACAAAATAATTATCTTGGCCTGTGCAAAGGTTTCCCCTCATCCATCATTCCTCTGTTTTTAAATGTAATTGTTAACTATGCATTGGCTGAAATGCTAACGTTAGCTGAGTTCTGATGTTAGCCAATAATCATACATGATTTTTAAGGAATAGGATCTCCCCTCTGCTTATTAATCAAGAAACTATAAAATTACCACCCTTTGTTGGATTGTTAAATTACTTACAACCTAAAATATATAGACCCTTTCCAAAAAATTTGAATATCATGGAAAATTTTATTTATTTCCATAATTCTATTCTAAAAGTTAAACTTTCATAGAGTATAGATTCAGAGCCCACAATTTAAACAATTTCAAGTATTTATTTGTTTATTTTTACATAATTTGGGCTTCCAACTCATAAAACCTACAGAAACAGGAATTCATAAAATTAGAATACTGTGAAGAAACCAGCCCAAATTTTGCAGGGCATGAATGTTTTAAACTGAGTGTCACACACTAATCAGCTACTAAACCCAAAACACCTGCACAGGTTTCCCCAGGTGTCATTAATTTGCTTCAGTTCGGTTCAATATGGGGAAGACTGCAGACTTGACAACTGGCCTGACGACCTTCATCAATACCCTCCACTGATACACCTGGGGAAACTGAGGCCCGAACTACACGTATATAGATATTTATTTATCAGGATATTTTTGTACCCCGGTCTAAATAAATGTATCTGTCCACACGTGTTAGTTCTCAAAAATATCTGCGTCCACACGTAGCCTTCAAACTGAATCCTATCTGGTGCCGCAGCAGACGCGTCTGTGAGCTGGCTGACTGTTGGATGTAATTGTATAAAACAAGGTTCACTTGCAAGGCTGAAATTAGCCCCAAAAGGGCAAAACAAACGTAAAGAATACCCTGTCTGTCCGCCATCGTTGTTGTTGTTGTTTTTGTTTCGCAAGCGCAAGTTGCGGTTTGACGTCATCGATTATAAAAGTCCAACCCATAGACTGTATATACTATTATATATATCTTATATCTTATATACAGTCTATGGTCCAACCACATGAATCCACTACGGATACGGGATATGGATATTTTTTTATTTCTCCACTTGTTTTTTTCGGATTCAGATTTATCCGGCTTGAGTGTTCCAAACTGCCGTTTTGGTGTGGTAGGGAGGCCTAATTGGACATAAATATGTGCGGTTTGGCTTCAAACTCAACACACCTAGACAGGTTTCCTCAGGTATATCAATCGATTGCATCAATGGGTGTGTCCCAAATGTTTAGTTCTCAAAAATATCTGCGTCCACACGTAGCCTTCAAACTGAATCCTATCTGGTGCCGCAGCAGACGCGTCTGTGAGCTGGCTGACTGTTGGGTGTAATTGTTTAAAACAAGGTTCACTTGCAAGGCTGAAATTAGCCCCAAAAGGGCAAAACAAACGTAAAGAATACCCTGTCTGTCCGCCATCGTTGTTGTTGTTGTTTTTGTTTCGCAAGCGCAAGTTGCGGTTTGACGTCATCGATTGTAAAAGTCCAACCCATAGACTGTATATACTATTATATATATCTTATATCTTATATACAGTCTGTGGTCCAACCACATGAATCCACTACGGATACGGGATATGGATATTTTTCTATTTCTCCACTTGTTTTTTCGGATTCAGATTTATCCGGTTTGAGTGTTCCAAACTGCCGTTTTGGTGTGGTAGGGAGGCCTAATTGGACATAAATATGTGCAGTTTGGCCTCAAACTCAACACACCTAGACAGGTTTCCCCAGGTGTATCAATCGATTGCATCAATGGGTGTGTCCCAAATGTATAACTCAATCCTTAACCCCTTAACCCCCATATGGGATTTCACTATACAGCTTTTGTCATGTAGTGGGCTCAATCACCACTACCACTTTCAGACACTACATCGAAACCGTTGTGAAGACTACTGCTGGAGACGCAATGCATGACGGGATGCCCACCACCAGTGAGTGACCATCGGATGGTCACTACATTTTGCAATACTCCATAGAAAATTCTGAGTTGCCTATATGGGGCATTGGAATTGACCCCTCAGGTTTCGGACACCTCTCAAAATGGCGCTAACACCCATATAGTCGCCTATATAGGCGTTGGGGATCCATGTCGGGCACAGCCAATAATGGTCTACTGGCCAGTTGTCAAGTCTGCAGCCTCCCTTATATAGAACTGAACTAAGGCTGTGTCTGAAATGAATCACTCAATCCCTAACCCCTAACCCCTATATGGGGTTTTACTATATAGTTGACTATTTAGTGAACTCAATCATGGGAGGTTTTGGACACTACATGGCATGATGCAATGCACGACAGGATGCCCACCACCAGTGAGTGACCTTTGGATGGTCACTTCATTTTAGAATACTCTATAGGAGATTTTGAGTCCTATATAGGGCATTGGAATCGATCACTCAGGTTTCGGACACCCCTCAAAATGGTGCTAACACCCATATAGTCGCCTATATAGGGGTTGGGGATCCATTTTGGACACAGCCAATGACAATTGAACTGAACTGAAGCAATTAAATGACACCTGGGGAAACCTGTGCAGGTGTTTTGAGTTTAGTAGATGATTATTCATGCCAAATTTGGGCTGGTTTCTTTACAGAATCCAATTTTTTTTATTCCTGTTTTCGTCGGTTTTATGAGCTGGAAGTCCAAATTATGTAAAAATAAACAAAGAAATACTTTGAATTGTGGCCCCTGAATCTTTAATCTATGAAAGTTTAACTTTTAGAATGGAATTATGGAAATAAATTAACATTTTTGGCAAGGGTCTGTAGTACAAGGACATGAGAGGAAGATGGCCACCCTGGCAATGTTGTCTTGAAGGTCCCCTCCAGGATGATTTTTAACATCCTGCTAAGTAGGTGGTGGTTGTTGGGGAAATTAGCATTTAAATGTTTTTATCATAATATTGAAATACACACAGCATTCCCCATGCCCCCTTATTACAGAGTAATGCAAACATAGTTGTCTAAAGTGTTTTTGTTGTTTATTTATAATTTTCTTGCAGCAAACACAGCCTATGTTGTTGCTGACCATTATCAGCAGTTGTGAGCCTCAATTACTTGGTAAAATGCCATTAGATAAGCTGTTGTGGTTGTAAATTTATTGCTTCTTTCTGTAGGCAAGTGTCGAAAAGGAATCAGGTGAAGCCTGAGCGAACGGAGGGAGTCTGTCGCTTTAAGAAGTAGTTGCATGGAGAAGCTGGTGATTTTCCACTCAAACTGATATTAAACGCGCACCAGGTCGTAGAAACAATGCTCTCACTGAAAATTACATTGCATTGTGTCACTCAGCGCTAAACGTAGACTTCAACACAAGGAACAACAGACTTCTTGATAAAACGAGAACAGGTAAACCAACATCTTTTTACATATAAAGTCGTCAGTATTAAAAGATTTTTGATTACATTTTAATAAAACGTAAGATAGACGCGTTTAAACATTATTTGAGAAAATAGTAGAAACAGATATGTCAGTGTAATTGAAAGGGGGGAAATTAAAACATTGTGTGCCGGAAATGTCATTCGTCGTGTTTTTGATTTTCTGGAGCATGCTGAATGATTATATCTCATGTATATGCAGAACATTTTGCTCTCTATTTTTGACATGATGCTGTGTCCTCTGTGTTTTATTGGTACTATCGCTATAAAAGAGGCTTTTGTTTTTAATTTTAAGAGAAATTAAAATCACAACTTTTGCGAACAGCGTGTTTGCTCTAAAACCCAGTTGCTGCCGTTAAACTGGGTTTCCTGTATGCATATCTCATAAAGCTCTAGTTCCTCTTTGATCATTTTTGTAGGGCTGCTGTGGTGCGTTCAGGCGCACCCTGGCGTCTCTGACAAGTGATTTTTATTTGTTTGCAGACAGAGGGATGTGTGTCGCTTTTGTCATCTACAGGCTACAGGTGCACTTTTATCCCTCACGCTGTGTGGGTGTGGGGGATTAAAGTGTAACTGATTGAATGTTTAAAGAGTCTGCTGATGTTGATATGATGATCTTTGGCATGTATCAGCTAATGGGCTACCTCTTACATGGTGACTCATACTTAACCTGCTTATTACACTTCCCAACCACTCCTGTCAGGAATTGATTGAAATGCATCCTCTAATAACCCCAGTAACCTCACAGCTGGACAAACCCCTGAGGGTCACTGTACTTTTTTTGGCTGGAGGGCTGGAAAAGTCGCCCAAAGTAGGAGCATGGAGTCCTTCGGGGATCTGTAAACAGACCCTGAGGGTTCCTGCAAAATCTTGGTTAATAAAAAACATACTCTTGATTGTAAAAACAAATAATTTGGAGAATAAGTTCTACTGTTGATTCTGGCTCGTTGTAATTACACCGCTTTAACATAAAAAAAGTAATATATAGCCTGTCATGGGTATGTGCAGCTTTCCTGTTTATATATTGAAGTTGGGCTTCTAAAAATACTATAACATATTGTATCTTATTTTATTGCCAAATCCCATCATATGCTATCACATCATAACTTGAATCAGCTTTATGTATTATTTCATGACATGCCATATTGTTTCATTTCGTTTGGCTTGATATGGTGCCATTTTGCATTACATTATGCCATATGACATTATGTCCTCTCCTATTGTCTGGTAATATGTTCTTGTATCATACTGTATCATCATTCATGATAATGTATGGTAGCATTTGGTATTGTGTCATATTGTATCGTGCCATAGGGTTTAATATTGTTTGATATTGTATCATATTGTATCATATCAAATTTTGCCAAACTCTGTAGTGTATTATATAACCTATGGTATGGTTCCATCCTATAGTATCACATTAATTGCATCATGTTACATGTTATTATATGATGTAATTTTAAGAGTACAATTTGAAATAATAACTTAGAGCTGGAATTTGCAAATTTTTAACTAAAACTTGGTTCAATAAATTAAGTATTCAGACTGAGATCCTGATACAGCCAAGGACTACGGTTGTTTTTTGTGTTTGCCAAAAGTGTTTAACTCATAGATTTTTGCCAGAATTTAAAATTCATGTAAATAGATATAAATCTGGTCTCCATTTAGAAATCAATCTTTAACTAAAAACAAAGATTAGTTTAACAATGAAACTTTTAAATTCATGGTTGATGTTTGGGAAAACTACATGACTAAGACTGATTTATGTACATACAGTTTGTATAACTGTAGATCTAGTTTTCTTTAACAATCACCTGACTGGCTCTCTGTGGGTTTTGAGCGATGAACAAACAGAGCGATGGTAGCTCTTTATCAAGGGAGGAACTCTTTTATGAAGTGACCTACATGAAACAGGCTTTTCTTTCCGCTGGATCTACCTTCAAATTACAAATCCTGTGCTCTCTCTCACAATAGATTAGACCATGTCGAATGGTTATGCAACCAAAATAGTACTCAGAGCATGACACCGACCAAAATCTAAGGATTATGGCGCCATGCAAAGCTAAGTGATGTCAAAGGTGCGTGTGGTTTTGTGTGTGTGTGTGTGGGTTCAGAATCATTAGATGATCCTTGTCCCTCTTTAAGTGTCCAGATCCTGTGGAGGACTCTTGTAGTTTGTTTTTTTTTCTTTTTGACTCTTGCATGGTCGTCTTTGTCCCGCCATTGTGAGCTCTGGGAGCAGTGAATGGTATCTAAACAGACGGATGAAGAGCAGAGGAGGCACATTTCCTTATTAGGAAATGTTATAAGCTTGATACTGTATGCGTTTACATTTCCCAGATAACAAACCACATGTCATGAAAGAATGGAGGATGGTGGTTCTGAATGTCCCGCATGCCGGGAATTATCACAGTGAACAAAAATAGTTATCTTACAAAGATGTTGAGAAGTGGCGTGGGGATGTTTTGAGAGGCTTCTAAAAGTCTGAATGCTCCTTTAGTTCGACCACTTGTTCAGTATCATAACTCAAGACCATCCCCCAGTGTTGGAGCAGCCCAGCCTTTCTTTTTCCCTCTGACTTGTCCTCTGTGTCTCCAACATGAATAAGAAGTGTGTATGGGACACACACTCACCCCCCCCACTACCACCACCACTTGACTGTGTGTGTGTGTGTATGTTTGTGAGCAGGGAGAAGTGGGAAGTGGAAATTTACAGTCTCCCACGTCGGTACCTGAGTTGTCGGTCACAGCCTTGCTGCGTCCAATCTCCACTTTGGATTTAATTGTCTTTAGCCAAGGGGCGGGTCCTGCTGTCAGCTCCACTTCTTCTGACCCGTGTCGGCATAAAGGCATTCAGTACAGAGGAATGGTGACAGCTGAGAGAGAGGAACTCTATACATAGCCGCAGCCATGAAGGAAATGTAAGTTTTCTCAATTGCTTTTCTCAAAAAGGAGACTTGATTTTCCAGAATAGGCGTGTGTGTTGAGGAGTTTTTGTTTTATATTCAGGCTAAACTGAAAAAGTTTTAATGCTTGAAAAAAATCTGTTTGTGTGATAAAAGCTTGAGAAGATGTTAAAAGATACAAAAAGGTTTTATTATTGCCTTTGTCATTCAGTATGAGTTGATTTATGTGGAGAAAGAGTGGAAAAAAGAGCGGAAAATCTCTACCCTGAGATGTTTTCTTATAAGGTTAAGGAATGTGCTGTCAGAAATGTCTGGTCTGAATCCCAGTACAGTTTCCCTGAAGTCTTATCTGACCAGCAGACCATGCAAGCAGGTGAAAGCATATGCTGAGCAGACGCAAGCAGAAGAAGAAGGGAAATTGGATAAAGGAGGGGGAGAGCGAGAGAGAGAAACAGGATGAGAAAACCGAGTGAGCAAGAACTGATCCAGTTATGTAAGGAGGTCTGAGAATGGAAAGCGGTTCGAGGTGACTTGTCATGCAAAACAGGAAGAGAGAAATCCTAGAAAATGACGGGACGTGGTGTGGATACACAGAGGGATGGAGGGGTTGTTGATGGAGGGCCGACGGAGAGAAGAAACACATAGTTCCCAGTAAGAATGTTAGAGGAATCTATCTCCTAATGCACGGAGTCTGAGAAACAAACGCTGTTGAAATCACTGTGATGGCTGCTGCTAAGCTTTTTTTTAAATCATCTTATTCTGTTTTTTACTTTCAGTTTTTAAGGCTATGTCTTAGTTTCACTTTTTCTTAATCTGTGGGAACAAAAACATTAAAACCTTGTTGTAATTTTTTCTTTTGTCTGAGCTGAAAGAAAAAATAAACAAGCCAGACAAAAGAAAACCTTCCTTAATAGCCAAACAATCAAGCCTTACAATAAATGACAACTTTCTCATTGTTCTTCTTTTGTTCTTATCTTGTGCCAGCTAAGCGCTTAAATCACCATTCAGTCTGGGCTTGTCTTACGTTTCTATTCCTGTCCTATTAGGGCTTCTTTCTCCTCTTTGGCTCACGCGGGGAAATAGGATACCTCGGTCGTTAATAACAAATCCTGTCTTTCTTGGAAAGGCCGTTTACAGTGTAAACACTCGAGTGAACTTAAGCTGTTGTATCTTCCTCAGAGCGGGCACGGTTTGGGGACTGCACAGGGATCTATCGTCCACTCTAAATCTGGATTACAGTGGACTGACATGCGGCTGATGCGGTAGAAAAAGCTTGGAGAAAGCTTTCTTGGTGGGACAGGCGAGAACTTAAAAGTGTGTCTTGGGTCCTAATGTTCCTTTCCTGTCTCTGGTAACAATGTGCCCCCCTCTGAGCTTCACAAACCCACCCTGAGACACGGAAAGTTTGAAAACAGAGAACTGAAACAGTGATGTAAATGTGAACAGGCATTCACGGAGGTGAGCTGTACGCTGTGCGGCAGGAATATAAAGTCTAGATTCTTAGAAGTTTATTTGCGGAACATATACGCACTGACAAAAAATTCAGTAGTCTATTTGACCCCTATGCATCACTTATTCAGATAAGCCAGATAAGCAACAAAGCAGTGTTCGTCATGTACTCAGTGGTCACAGAGCACGCTGTAACGCAATCAGGAGACAGTATTATCTCCCTAATGCTCCGCCTCTATGTCTTATCCCGATCACCTCTGTCTCCCACTCTTCGTCCTTGTCTCATGTCTTTTTCCCTTGTTGTCTCTTGTCCACAGCATGGCACAAAAAGAAAAGCTCCAATGCCTGAAGGACTTTCACAAAGACACCCTGAAACCCTCACCAGGGAAGAGCCCAGGCACACGGCCCGAAGACGAGGCAGAAGGCAAGGCTCCTCAGAGGGAGAAGTGGGCCAGTAAGCTCGACTTTGTCCTGTCTGTGGCCGGAGGCTTCGTCGGATTAGGAAACGTCTGGCGCTTTCCTTACCTTTGTTATAAAAACGGTGGAGGTAGGCAGAAGACTCACACAACTGATGAAACACTAATGAAACCAGAGGTAATGATAGCAGGGAGATGTCTCACTCTGACTTCGTTTATGAATCCAATTTTCAGGTGCGTTTCTCATCCCTTACTTCATCTTCCTGTTCGGAGGAGGCCTGCCCGTCTTCTTCCTGGAGGTTGCGTTGGGACAGTACACATCTGAGGGAGGGATCACCTGCTGGGCCAAGCTCTGCCCCATCTTTACAGGTTCGCCACAGCTTCAAACACACTCACAAACCCATATATGGAGTCTCTGCGCACCAGAACACAAATCACCCCTGACAAGATTATTTAATATTTAACGCTGAGTTAAAAGCCTCATTTGTCCAAGCAGAAATTCTGCCCTGAGTTACTGCCTGTTTCAGCCCAGTCCTCATTATTTTAATCATTATTCAACATTATACTCTGCACAGCCCCCCTTTTTTCTCCTCCGTGTGTAATTGGACCCCACATTTTCTTCATTAGGGAGCATTTTGTTGAGTAAACATCATTAAAAAAACACAGAAAGCAGCAGCTTAACATGTAGAGCTCTTGACACAGAGTCCTAGAGGGCTCTTTTTATTCAATGTTATACTTAATAGACTTAGTATACAGGGTTAGGTTTGGGTGGAGCACACACACGTGTCTGTACATGTTGAAGTAAACCAGAATACAGTTAAGACACCTGATGCTTGACGGTGTTATAAAAACATTAAGTCACGCCTGAATTTTGATGTGTGACGGAATCAGGAGGTTTTTGTTGCCATGGTAATAGACAGGCCATGAAAAAGACATCAAGTTGCCTAGCAATGAGTACAGTCTTAATGATTAAAGTCATTTTTCTGAGCTTATATGGGATTATACAAACCCCACGTCTTCTGTGACGTGTTGTGGGAGTCCGGTTCTCTGGGGGATCTCTTGACCTGAGATCACCATCAGCTACTGATACTTCCATACACTCCTCAGGCCCCTTTTTGATGCAACCCTAACTACTTTTGCGTAACAGCTGACACTGAGGTACCACACCCTCGGCAGCTGTCGTGACGCCTTTACTCATGTTCACACGTGGGACGTGACACGGCGAGAGTGGAAAGCGTGCGTTTAGTGGATCTCGAGCAGCTGCTCACCGTCTCTCTGCTATTCACAGAGCGCTGAGGTTTGCTGTCTGTCCGTCTGGCACAGCAGAGAAAGTTCACAAGTGGCCGCGCAACCGACCAATCACAAATCTCCTTATTGTCACCCCCCTCTCCTGCATTCATGTGATTTTTCACAGGGAGATTTCAAGACTACTTCCTGCCCAACAGCACACAGTGAAGTACGCACACATACATACCCACACCTGTCACGGCTTTGCCGTCTATCAGTTTGCATTCGGTATGTGGGAACGAGTAGGTGGGGGTGACAGAGATGATGAGTTTAAAAATACTCTGGCACAGTAGAAGAGTACCGGGGATTTCTGCGTCCAGGTTCATGGCAAAGTCATCTAAAAATAGAGGACAAACACTAAGGACATTACAACAGTAGGAAGACAAGTCAAGCTTTGGACATTTTCCCTCTAAAAGATCAGCTGTTCGGAGTGTTTTTAAAATTTTGCTGTTGAAGTTGTTCAGCAGTCTGAGCCCCACCTGAATCGTTTTTTCTTTTTTTCATTGCTCGATGGTTCGTATTTGAATAGTCATTTCACTTCATGCAAAACACCAGCATCACTGGCTTTGTCGGTTGAAACTTTTCTACCAGCAAAGGTTGCAAAGGACACACATATATATATGGTAGCTCATGCTCTATACCTTTATTTTGTAACCCTGCACATGATTGCTTGTGAATGTATCATTGAAAAACATTTAATGTACATTTGCAGCATTAATGCATTAAACAAAAGCATCTGAGTGACCAAAGTATTTGCTCGTAAACCCTCTTGTCCACTATCCATTCACAATCAAACCACAGACACACAGAAGTAGCTGCTATTTGATGTTTTTTCAACAGTTCAGATAAGTTCATATTTGATCAAGACTGTCAGCAACAAGGTTGATGATCACTATATGATACAGTATGTTTTAACCCCGCCTGCTCATCAGCGAAGTGATTAGAGGTCCCCTATGTCCAAAAGGGGCACCAAAATCAAAACAAAGTAAAGTTCCTCACAGGTCCGAAATGAAGGTTTTTACTTTAGAGAGCATTAGCAATGACAACACACATAGATAATCAGCCGGTGATAAAATCTGCTTTCTCTTCTCACCCTTTGCAGGAATTGGTTATGCCTCTGTGGTGATAGTATCACTACTTAACATCTACTACATTGTGATCTTGGCCTGGGGACTCTACTACCTGTTTCAGTGCTTTCAGCCAGAGCTCCCTTGGGCAAAATGCAAACAGCCCTGGAACACAGAGCACTGTATAGAGGACACAGTCCGCAAGAACAAGACCCTGTGGCTCGCTGCCAACACTACCAACTTCACCTCTCCAGTCACCGAGTTCTGGGAGTGAGTATCAACTGACAGCGAGTCAATGTTGTCTCTGACTGAAACGCATGCACACACACACACACACACACACACCCCTTCACACACATATATTTGACTAAAGCAACACAGTGTTTATCTTGCTTACGTAAATGTAGATTGGCACAATCCTGACAAAACACACAGTTGACTTAAGGGTGCAGGTTTAAGGTTCCCTGCACTTTATTTTAGACTTTTGTTTGACAGCTCCAAAGAGTTTGACTTTAATCCTAAAACTAAAGTGAGAAATTAACCAAACTCAGATTGATTTTACTCTGATACTGTCTTGTTGCATGTTTGACATTGACAACTCAACAAAACACCAAATCGGAAGCATTCATGCCAGATCAAACAATCAAATGTTTGAGCCTCAAAACAGCATATTCAGACTAAAAAAGGAAAGTCATGCTGCTGTTTGATTTCCACTTTAATTAAATCTGTTATTAGTCTTTCACCGCTGAACTGTAATCTAGATTTATCACATTAATATCATTTTTGTGTGTATTTCAAAGTGTAACCTTTGCTCTCAATAACCAGTCATATCCGTTTGTATCTTCCGCAGACGTAATGTCCTAAGCATCTCCACTGGGATCGAGGACATTGGGCCCCTGAAATGGGACTTGGCCTTGTGTCTCCTGGCAGTGTGGGTTATCTGCTTCTTCTGCATCTGGAAGGGAGTCAAATCCACTGGGAAAGTGAGTGCAGAGGCGTAGACACATCCTGTACTCACTGCGTTGCCTGGATGCTGTTTGGCCTTCACTTTTTACCCCGACAAGTCATTGACAAAACACTGTTGCTCGGAGAAAAAAACACAAATGGTTAGAAGGCCATTAGTTTGCTTGATTTAGAGACACACTCCTCTACGCTGTCCTGGAAGTTGTTGTTGGCCAGACTCACTGTCGGCTGTAAACAGTCGACTTGCTTCTCTTCAGCTCTCTCTCTGTTTTGTTAGAGAAACTGGGCAAGAGCCAACAGGAGGAACTCTGGGAAAGAAATTATTGACTCTTATCAGGAATTACTGATGGGGTTGTTTCTGTACTTAATACAATATTTATTTTGTTATTTAAACCTCACTTTGATCTCTTCTTATCTTCGCTAAATAGAAAATGGTATGTTTGTTGGCAGAGACTCCATTTTCAGCTTAAACTTTTCCTTTTGAGGGCTTCATATTCACAGACGTGACTTTTCCTCCATGAGAGTAATCTAAGTAGACAGTAACAACTATCAGATCACAGGAACAGATTTACTGCAGTGATAGATCTCTAACTTAAAAAGGAGAACCTGGAAAGAAAGTTGTTTGTTCACTTCACCGAATGATAACGGACATCGAATTGCTGATCTGTGTTTTGGCTCAAATCTATTTGTCCTCTCTCTTAGGTGGTGTACATTACAGCGACTTTCCCGTTTGTGATGCTGATTGTGTTGTTGGTGCGTGGAGTGACCTTGCCAGGTGCAACCGAAGGGATCAAATTCTACCTTTACCCCAACCTGACCCGCCTACAAGATCCAGAGGTAGGAATTGAACGCTCTTCTTCTTCTATCTTTGATTTAATAAAATAACGTTTTTTGTGATTGTTTTTCAAGGCTTGACCTTGTTTATGAAGAGCTATTGAAGTTTTATCAGTGTTTTCATCCAGGTCTGAGTAAATCATTTACATTTACTGATGTGAGGTTTTGCATGCCAAAAGGTTTTTTTTTTTTTTCTTATGTAACTAGATTGCATCATATCCCAGGAGTGTTCAAATAAACATCAAAGTAAATCAGACATCTTAAACTATCTGCGCCAACTCTGAACAGTTTGAATCAGATTGATTTGATAATCCAGAGAACATGATATGTATGAGGTCTCTGGTAAAATTACAGACACGTCAGTAATTCAAGACTTGTCATCGACCCCGTCTTTAAAACACTCCTGTAATCCGGATATTTTCTGTCCTGTAGCCCTGTAAAGAACCCGTGCACTTCTCTCTTTGACTCCCCAGGTTTGGATTGATGCAGGGACCCAGATTTTCTTCTCCTATGCAATCTGCCTGGGAGCCATGACGTCCTTGGGGAGCTACAACAAATACAAATACAACTGCTACAGGTGAGCGGTGTTTCGTCGGGGTCGAGGGGGGTGCGGGAGTGTAGTAGAGACAGCAACTCGTGTCAGAGACAGTTGCGTGAAAAGACAAAAAAAAAAATGGGAACTTCGGTTCCACCTGTGTTCATTAACAACCTCCATGACATATGTGTGACATAGGGACTGTTTGCTGCTGGGAGGCCTCAACAGCGGTACCAGTTTTGTGTCTGGCTTCGCAATATTTTCCGTCCTGGGCTTCATGGCACAAGAACAAGGGGTGGACATTGCCGATGTGGCAGAGTCAGGTACGAGGGTCCAAGGTGATGGCAGCAGTGATGGTGGGCGCTGCTGCCAAAATAAATAAATAAATAAATAAACTAAAACAAACTACAAACCCAATTGGACACTCACTAAAGGCGTAACAGAAAAACCAAAAGTAACCGGATAAAGAAGCTCGAGCTAGGTTTGAAATTCTTGGAAATGCTGAAATGTAGAGGTATCGGCAATTGCACACTCCTTGATTAAATGCCTCAAAGAAACAGAGTTGTGACTTCAGCGTGAATTATGCCCCGCCTTCTCTGAGGGTCGCACTGGTCAAATGTCGTGTGATTTAGCTACACGGTCATCTGTGGGGTGTTTTGAGAGCTCCTGCACTGGTTCCACTGGTTCCATCAGCATCATCTTTGCAGGTGTTCAGCAGCACCAGTTGTTCTCACGTGTCTGAAAGTGAACATGTTAATGTTTTAAGACGCTTTACAGCTTTTCATTTCGATCTAAAAAGCATTGTTTCTGTATATGCACTGGCACTCTGAGGCGGTAGGTCCAGTCAGCCTTTGGATCTCCTGAGATGGACCCCAACGGTTCTGTTTCTGTCTTTCTTTTGTTTGTACTCCATGTGGACTTAAAAAGAGATGCATCCTCTTTCAGCATGCTTACTTGCTGTTCACTTCAAATTCAACTATAGGTTTCATGTATCTCTGCAAGTCAAATGTAATCATGTGAAACCAAACCACAACTGTATGTCAATGATTGTAAATCTGTTTCGCACCTCGATGTGCACATTAATTTTGCATATTTATAAAAAACAGCACAAGAGCAAATTCTGAATCAGTGCTAATGTTCATTAAGAAATGAGCTGCATTTTTCTCTGCTGTTCCATTGAGGCACTTGTTTGTGAGATTGCTGATTTTGTGTCTCATGCTCTTCCTCTATATCCTCTTCAACTGGTTTGGGGTTTTTCCAAAATGCTTTGCATTCATTAGATTAGATTGGATTAGATTAGACTCCATTTTGTTACGAAACACACACACACACACACACAACTCCAACAGACTATAGACTATTGCAACAAACCGTGTCGGAGCAGCTCTGGCATGTCAGCATGTAGTCACATGAACAGACCCAACTGAACAGGATGTACTTTTAAAAACACGGATATGCACAATCTAAACAATTGGCATTTATGTAATATTTGCCTTACAGTGAAAACATGATGCATATATTTCTCTCACAGGGATTGTATTTCCTTTAATCCACTCAACACATAGAATTCGACACTCAATCTGGACAAGTCAGACTCATTAGGTCATGTTTTTGGCAGATTACTGGCAGTGCCAGACCCAGCTCAGCCTCTGGAGCTCAGTCTGCACAATATTTCTTTTTTTATCATCATTATTATTTGATTGAGTCGAAATCAAATAAAAATTCTAACCCCATGCTCTGCCCCTTCTCCCCACCCCCTCTCTTTTCTCCTCCAGGTCCCGGCTTGGCCTTCATAGCCTACCCCAAAGCTGTGTCCATGATGCCTATGCCAACCCTGTGGGCCATCCTCTTCTTCATCATGCTGCTGCTTTTGGGCCTCGACAGCCAGGTCAGCATTCACTCAACCTCTCTGTTGAGGGTTCGTTGGTGTGTTTCCTGCTAATTCCACTCAAACACCTCTCGGGCCTCTCATGGGTTAGTTGGCTCAATGTATAAAACACATTTGGCGTATCTGTGATCCTCATCTAAGGTCTGCAAGACGATCAGGTAACAGGCAGACAAGAAAAGCAGCCTGTTCACACAAAGGTATTTTACTACTGCTCTGTGAGGATTATAGCTCCACTTCATTCCCCTGTAATCAAAAAAAATTGAGAAGCTAATGTTTTTCAGCCAAGTATTTTCCCATCAGGAGTCATTATAACAGCAAGAGTGCAAGCTATCTAACTTTGACGGGAGCCAGAGCTTTGATTAAGACAAGATAATCTAAGTAGACAAAACACAAATGTCCGCCCGAGGGGATTCTCTGGCTATATCACATTTCCTGCTTCCAAGTGTAATTCTAACCCTGTGCTAACTCAGTCCTGCACATGTCCAGCTACTCATCTCAGCCAACCGAGATCAGGCCGACACTCTAAATTTGAGCACATGTAAATAGTTCTGCGAATGGGGCTATTTCAATGAGGGAAACAGTGCTGGTGACGGTTTGTGTGTGAGTGCGAGTGAGTGAGTGAGTGAGTGGGTGAACTTACTGACCATAAATTTCATGCAGATTTACAGCCCCTGAATGCTATATATTGTCAACATCCCTCACACATACATGCCACTCTTATGTAAGGGGGGTTTTGTTTGGGTTTTCATGCAACAATGGGGGCATGTTTCTCCGAGAATGAAGACAGCTTGCTTGGAGAAGTAGAAACTGTTTTATAATTTTGTTATGACTTTATGAGGCAATGAGAAGACACTGGGGAGAAAAGAGAAAGACACAGACGTGGTGGAGGGGGAGACAGTGTTTCTTTGTTGTTTTGTTTCTGTGGTGTCTTGGTAGCAACAAACCCGTGTTGCAGAGAGAAGGCCTGTTTAAATTTCTCATTACTGACCAACAAAGACAGCTCTTATTCTCCAGTCGCTGCTTCATGGAGGCAGCACAGAAAGACACATTGACTTTTTTTTTCCCCCTCTGAGTTTCTTAATAGTTGCTTTTGTGCCCACAGTTTGTTGAAGTGGAAGGACAGATCACCTCCATTGTGGATCTCTATCCATCCCTCCTCAGGAAGGGTTACCGGCGGGAGATCTTCATTGCTGTGATGTGTTTCTTAAGCTATCTCCTGGGGCTCGCCATGGTAACGAAAGTAAGTTCACCCGGCGGCGTCTACCTCTTGTTGTTTGTCGGTTTGAGAGAAGGGGAAGACATCCTGTGTATTTTGATCGGCAGCAGTGATAACACCACACACTTTCCACTTGCCTCACTGCCACGACCAAATATGGCTTCCTATCACCTTCACCACTCACTTCCTGTGTGAGTAAATGGAACAATTCGGAATGCCGTTTTCCATTTAGCCGTTAACCATGCGTCAGTAACGTCGCAGCACCTGTTGAACTTTGCCTCTATTGGTAGGGTGCCAGGAATTCTTGTGTGCTGCTTTCAGCACCCCTTATTTAATGCCTCCCCTCTATCTTCGTGACTTTCTTTCCCTCCACACAAATCAGTGAGGTAATTAATGCTACTATCCTTCTTTCCTTTTTCCAGGGTGGCATGTATGTGTTCCAACTCTTTGACTACTATGCAGCCAGTGGTGTGTGCCTTTTGTGGGTGGCATTCTTTGAATGCATCGCTGTAGCCTGGGTGTATGGTAAGTGGAAACGACTCTCTGTGATGAGTTTCTGTAGCAGTCCAAGTGTGTGTTTGTGTCGTTTTTCAAAGTAATGATCCTGAAGAGCACAAATGATCTCTTTGGTGGTAAACAAAGGTGTCCTTGTGGCTCTTTCCATGTCAGTAGTAAATATGTTTAACTGCATGCAGGGATGTGAGGAGTGAGGGGTTGTGGGGAAGAGAGGAAGGTGTAAGCTCAGTGCTGGTTTTTGATTGGCTATCCAGGATCACTCCCACTACCTACTATTAGGCTATTAACATCCAGCCAAACAGAGAAAACTACAGTAAGAAGGAAAGCATTCATGTAACTCTGTCAAGTAGTTTCTTAAAACAAGAGTTTCTGTAATGCTGATGAGTTAAACCGTGTTTCTGTCGATAACAGATGAGGTTTTACGTTTTGCTGTTTCTGTACTCTCTACAAAAAAAGAAACGAAATGTCCCTCTGTGCACCAATCAGGATTTATGAACATCTGTCTACAAATCAGAGGATAATAACGTGCAAAGTCGAACCAGCCATAAACTCATTCTGTGTTCCTGTTCCAGCTTCTTCTTTTATGATAAAATTGATGTAACACAACAACAACTAAAAAAAAAAACGTTGCTAAAGATTTAACAATCCTGTTGCTTCATGCTTTGGTCAAAAGCTTTACTGATTTTCTTATTTATGTTTTTGAAAAATCATGCTTTGAGCATCATTCTGGCCTGTTATAGAGATTTATATAATAGGAAAACCATGGTCTTTGCCGCCCTGAAAAGAGGCCAGTCAGAGATGCAAATCCAAGCAGTGACAGCTTATGTTATGTAACAACAGGGGCGCCATAGACGCTGAATTTACGAAGAATTTTAAAGGGATTTGATGTAAGCTGAAGACTGTTTTATCAGGTTTGTCCAAAACCATGTCTTCAGACTTCCACAATTCAAATATTTGCTTAATTTGTTTTAAAAGGCTGGAGAGTTGTACATCCTCAGGACTATAAAAGGCATAAAAAGAACTTTTGGCAAGGTGATACAAATCCTTGGCTGTAACAGGCCAGAATAAAAAAAAAGGACTGGAAAAAGCATCTCAGACATTTGGAAAGCAAAGCACTCTTACTACAGATCCAACCGCATTTAGTGGAGTTTATTTTTCTGTGAATCATCTGAAAGTTTCAATATGCAACAGGAAAAACTGTAAGCAGAGCAGTTATCATAAGTCGGCCTTGGCTGTAGAAGTAAAATAAAACAACATACTTAACATTAAGAAGAAGCACAAGATAAAACAGGCTCTTATAAAGCAAATTTAACAGGAAAAGTTAAATGTTGACCTAGTGAGCCAAGTTATGAAGCTGGTGGTTTATGACCCTGGGGTAACGTATACGGCAGTCTGAGACGGACAAACAGAGATAACAGGCCACAGAGCTGCCACATTCCAGAGGGAGGCATGAAGGTCGTCTTCCAATAACAAGACATACTACTTGAACCATGAAGACTGTGTCTATGAGTCTATGTTTATGTAGTTAATCATTAGTTTGACTAACTACGTTGAAAAAATGCAGCAGCATTAAATCTATTTTTATTGTGTTGTGTGTCAGGAGTTGATAATTTTTACGATGGAGTTGAGGACATGATCGGCTACAGACCAAACCCTTGGATGAAGTGGAGCTGGACCATAATCACTCCTGTCCTTTGCATGGTGAGAGATTTTTTTAGAGGAGCAGCTTTTGCCACTTTATTGTCAATGAGTCATCCACACGAGCATGTGACAAATGTTCTTATTTCATGGTCGAAGAGAAGCGTACAATTTGTTCTAACGGAGGAATGTGTTTTTTTCTCAGGGCTGCTTTGTCTTCTCCTTAGTCAAGTACAAGCCTTTGAAATACAACAAGGTGTATGAGTACCCTGACTGGGCCATAGGTCTGGGCTGGTGTTTGGCCCTGTCCTCCATGATCTGCATCCCCATGGTGATGGTCATCAAGATCTTACAGTCTGAGGGACCCTTGATTGAGGTGAGCTGATGAATGACTTGAGAAGTTTCATTTATTGGAAACACTAAATATCTTCTGTCCCATTTTTAACCAAAGACTCATAAAGCAGCAGTGTGACTGTTTGACTTTTATGTTTCACAGTAAAGATTCCCAGCTGCTTAGTCTGCACTGAAAATAGAAACTACCTCCCTTAGTCTTGACTAAAATGGCTTTTGTAGTCCACGCTAGCTGACTTCAGCAGTTACTCCCTAAAACTCCCTCATGCGCAGCTACTTGAAGTTAGCTAACAATAGCCTGAGCAAACACCCTAAGTGTGACAAAAGCTAAGAGGCTGTAAGACTGTCACTAAATGCTATTTTTTGATCATGAGTTCGCGCTGATATCCTCTGTACTTTTTCAAAATTCAGACATACAAAAGCACAGTTGAAGGCGCTGTCGGGATTGTCAAATGTGCAGAGTAATTGGTGGTCAGTTAGTTGTAAACAACTAACAACTAACAACTCACAGCTAAGCTTGCAGAGGTGCAGGAAAGTATCCAAATGCTGTTTCTGGACTTTGCCAATGTGCTACTGGCTGTGCATTAATATGTAGAATGCAGAAATGACTGCCTTTTCATTCAGCTACAGGCAATACAGCAAAATATTAATCTGAAAAGAGCATGTTTTTCATTAGCACGAGGTTAAAAAGACATGTCTAGCATACAAACAAAGCTGCGATGTTTGTCATTTTAAATTTGATAACTGTCATGTTGGGCCTCAGTTTTTAGATGATCGTAAGCCTAATCTCTCATCTTCTTTCCCTCCAGAGGATAAAAGCTGTGGCAGCCCCGGCGAAGTCAGGCGTGAGCTCTCGCCCGAAAGAGTATAACTTGAAGGGCAGCGAACTGACACAGCCCCTGGACCCAAATGGGAACAATGGCTTAATGAAGCCCACCCACACCATTGTAGAAACAATGATGTGAGCGCTCTCTGTGAGAGGAATAAGATTGATGTGCTTTCTGTGTTATATTTGCTAACATTGGTAATGGTAGGTTTACATTGTCCAGTATATTCACATTAGAGATACTCTGGTTTGATTTTTATGGAGAGTTATATTATTGTTGTATTTTTTTTCTCTTGATTTTTTTTTTATTTTTTACTATATCAATATTGTTGATGTTAAAATTGTTGTTGCTGTAGTTGGCACTGATCTAAATTTAGGCAGTATTTTGAGATAGAACATTTTCAATGTTTACTACCTTTCTATTGATTCCGGAGAGATGAGGAATTTGCTTTTTGGTGAATTCAAGATAATTAATGAAATTCTTATGTTACAAAAGTCAGTTAACTAAATTTGTAATTGACTATATAAAAGTTAGAAACTTTCCAAACACGTCGGAGTGATTGTGGCTGTCTTCGGCGCCCAAGATTACTTCTACCTTCATACCTTGTTGATGTCCACGCAGTGAAAATGAATGTACCATGAGCCACCCGCATCTCTCAGAGAACATATCCTTAACATGTTCAGTGGCAATATGCAGCGTGTAGATTTAAATCTTGCTTGACATTCTCTTCTTTAAAAGTTGAACATGGCCTTGGCCAAATACTGTGAGAAATGCATTCATAAGAAGTTCCTTCCTCAAATGTGTTTGAGAGAAAACGATACAGGGATAAACAGCTAAGGAGTGAGGAGAAAAGGGAAGTGGCATTTTTAGAGTATTTGTACACTGCCTGTGTGACTACTATAGTCAGTCCCAGTGCATTTAATGAAACCTCTCTTTGCACTTTATATGTCGTCTCACCTTTATTGTAGTGTTTGTTTTTAATGTTGCAAGGTATTGCAGTCATGTTTGCAACACATTCAGGAGGAAATATTTTAGCTTCTAACTTTTTTAATATTGTAAACTTTGATATACATTATCTGGTAGTCTCCTTGTCAAGACAAGGACAAATTAGTTAGCGATCTGACACCAAACGTTCTGATTCATAAAATTTTTAGTTGGATCTGTGAGAAGGTCATTAGATACGGAAAAACAATATTTTTATCAGCATTCATACAACTCCCTTCATTGTGCACATAATAGAAGCAGAAGTGCTCTGCAGCAGTACCACTGGATTCTAGTTTGTAATAGTCGGTGTAGGCATTTGTAGAAATTGACTTGTTTGTAAATCACATATGCCTTTTTGTAACAATTTTATACTGTACATCCTGTAAACACCATCATTGATTGATTAATTTTTTTTTTCTGAAATTTGAAGCAATTTGTTTTCTTAGTATTGACTATATTGTGAGCCAGGATTACATTTTTCAGTGTGCAATATTCATTGAAGCAACGGTGTTCCACATTCGCTCAAAATGCACCTTCAAATTCAAAATGATTGTAATTTTTGATTGACTGGGGAGTTTGTATCCTGTGGCATGTGCAGGAACCACCACTGTATCATGGTGTTTTGTCTGTAAAAAATCTTGTGCTACTTGGAAATTCAAGTGTACCAAAGTCATTTTGTCTCACTGTTGTCCCCTCTGAGATGCACATTGCATCATTTCTATATAGATTACAAATAAACATCTTTTTTCTTGGGAATTTTACGTGTTATTGTATCTTTTGTACCCCAAATATAACCCTTCCTATTGCACTCTTTAACCATTACCCCTACAAAGATGGAAAATGTCCCTTTATGCATCTGCTGACATCCCGAAATTTTGAGGATTTGTTCTGGAAACTGAGGGGTTTCCAATAACCCTATGAAAATTCTCAAAATTTTTGACAATCTTGAAAATTTATAAGAAGATGTATTAATGTGTCCATGGACATTCCCAGAGACGCATTCAAATGTTTGAGAAATTTACAAAATTTGCGCATAAGGTTTTCTTTCCAATGAACTTTCATACTCAATTCCTAAAAGTAAAGTTACAGTGGAATCTTAAAAAAAGATAGTTAGGTTGTTCTTGGTAAATATTATGAGGTTTAGGGGGAAAATTCTCGAAAATGTTTTTTCCAGAGATTTTTGAAAAATGGTGCAATTTTCCTGGAAAAAAAAATTCAAGGAAATTTCCTGGAAAGTTTGTTAGTAACATTAAGACCATGTTGCTCAATTTCAAGGTCAACAGGTTTACTGTCTTGTCCCCTCCGGCCTTTTAGTGCACTGAAATTAAAGAAGTAACAAACAAAGTTGCATTTATTCTTAATTCATCAAACCTAATTTCACTGTAAACCTTGAACTGTGCTACCATTCATTTTTATTCTTGCTGTGATAGTCATGGGGTATCACTGGGTATCAAAAGTGCTCTGTGCTTAAAACAGTTTTGGCATTGCACGGATGATTTATGTGCAGAATTTTGTCAAGGTATCATCGTATCTGTCTTGATAAGCCTCTATGCCCTGCAGAAATGATCCCCATCTGGGTATCAACACAGTTCTTAAATTTCAAGATTACTTAACTTTGAGCATTTGGTGGCGTTTGCACGGCCTGTGGTTTCTGTTTTACATAAAACGGTTGTAGGATTTTATCAACTGAGCGTCTGTAAGTCCTTCATAATGAATGCCACCCCCCTTAACCCTGCCCTTCGGCAGATAATTGACACTTGTCCAAAATTTTCTCAGAGGGTCCATCCTACTATCAATCTAATACCCCTGGCAGGTGGTAACTGCATTGACATTTCACCCGCAAGTTTTGACCATCTGATTTGGGCATGTCTCTTGTTCCTCGTTCTCTCTCCAATGCTCTTGAGGCACTGCGCCCACAAATACTTCATCACCTGGATGAATAACTGTAGTGTCCCAGGAGAAAACTAGGGGCTTTCAGCGCCTCATAAAAATGGTGCATCCCTCTGAGGAATCATGTCACCCTAGTGTGAATTTAAGAGAGTCATTTGATGAGTTTTTTCTCCTAACTGTGAGGTGCTCAAAGCTTGTGATTCAAAGAGATGAAATAGAGAGGGTACAGATTCTGTTGGGTTAATTTGCAGTGGCTAAAGTAAAGCACAAGTGTGGACCACATCCTTGTTTTTTTGTTTTTTTTTTGTAGATATATTTGTTACAGTCACTTGTGTGTGGTTAGTCAACCTAGCATGGAACATTTTCCTGAATAGCTCTTTGTATAAAACCCAGTCAGGCTTTTGCAAGGTGGTCTAACCGAGTGCAATGGTATGATGTGTTAAAACAAATATGGACAAAGCCAGATTAAACTCTCTCCGAATAAACATTAACGGTTCCATGACTTTATTCTCATAAAAAGAAATACATTTCTTATGTTAAATAACAAAAATAAAATAATATCCAATAAAATTTTCAAGTTCCTTCAAACAATTCCTGACATATTCAGGTAAGATGTGGAAATAAACGAAAATCTGTGCAGTCACATTCAGTATCACAGCTCACAAAAAGATACCACACTGTATGTGCGTATACTGTAAAGTAAAAACAAAACACTGCGTACCATGATATATTATAGAGTAAAATGTGAGGTACAATACAGTAAATTAATATAAAACCTTAAAAATAGGCCTCTGTATACAACATGATATTTCACATTAGACATGAGTCTGAAACAGAGTTTAAAAAAGTTACCGTCCCAAGGATAATCAGTCTCTAAGGCTTCTCTAAACAGGACAGTACAACTATCTCACAACATCTTCACATCAACCAATACGTGAAACAAAACATGGATTTTATTTCCAGAGACGGGACAAATGCTTCATAAAATCAATGTCTTATGATAAAAATGGATCCTGTAGGGGGAAAAAGGAGATTGTTTTATAAGACGGGGAAACTCGCTGACCCACTGCATGCTCATAGTTACTTCAAAAGAGCTACTGCAGACATAAAAGGAAGTGAAAATCAATCCTGTATGATGTGGTGAAAACACATGAGAATCATTCATCACTGAAAAAAACTGAAAGGCCTTTCATCCTTCAATTGCGGAGAGGATGTGATTCGCTTCAGGACGTTTCAGTGATAGGCAACGAACCAAATGATAAGCCAAGCTGGTGCAATGCCACATACAGAGAGCCAGATTTACACAGTGGTTCGAAACTTAATGAAGAAATCATAACAGGGGAAATGTGCGTGAAGTGCAAATGCTGAGCGGGTGAAAAGAAAGGGTGAAAAATGTGAAACTTAAAACATCTTTGTGAACAAACTCCAAATGAGGCATCATATCTGAGTGTCTCTTGAAACCCCTTATTGAATAATCGATGAGGTATAAGGGAGATTCTGTCTACTTGGAGGCCTTGTCCCCACTCGAGGGGCAGGCAGTAAGGGGAAGAAACTGTAAGCACGGGCAGTGAGCCAAATCCACGGCTGAAATAACTCATATATGCGAAATGTGGCTCGAACCTTCAGTCCATTAACACCCTGTGTGAAAATTATGTGTTTCATACATGTGTAAATGTGCATGTGTATCTGGTGTGTAAGATAAAGAATAACACAACCGGAGAAATGTTCTGCCAAAGGGAACACGACGCCTGTTAAAGCAAAAGATAGCATATATGTATGCGGTGTGTGCGTGCAGCATTAAGCTTGCTCCGGAGCTGAGGCATGTGTGTTGACATCCTGGCTCAGTCAGAAGCTATGACTCCGCTGTTATATAACCCTGCATGTGGCTTTGCCTCTGGAGTCGGAAGAGGTGGGTGAGGAGGGGTGTGTGGTGGAGGGGGCCTGCCTTGAAGCCAGAGCCTCCTTTTGAATCTCATCATGTGAACACAGTGACTAAAACCGGCAATCATGAACACATGCACTTGTAACTTTGTAAGTGAGAGATGCTTTCAGGCGGCTGTTCCTGGATGCTCTGCGTGCTGGACATGAGTGTGAAGGTCTGTGTGAGAGGTACAATGAGACGAACTTAACCGTGCATGAAGGATGTGTGTGAGTTGTGAGTGTGTGTGTGTGTGTGTGTGTGTGTTGTGTGAGAGGTCCCAGTGCTGCAGTCTTTTAAAGCTAGTGTTGGTCTTTCTTTGTGGTCACAGGGCGATTGTGTTGGTCCTGCGCTCCGGAAAGCAGAACAGCGAGTTCGAGGGGTCGTCACAGTCGTCGGGCAGCCCGTTGTCTGCCGCTGCCAGTGGATTCCTGCTAATGACCAAGTCCAGGCTCTCTCCTGCCTCTATAATTAGGGGCACAGTCAGACAACAGTCCAAGTCCCTGGTCCGGACACGGTTCACCTGGAAGATCAGAATCTATTAAATCAACATTTCAACATGCCTCATGATCAAAATTACTTAAGAGGAGTGAGAGAGCCAAGTAGAGGAGAAACACTGAACTCATGGGCTTGGCTTTGTGCAGAAAGTCTAAAATAGATTGAGAGTAAATGCTAAGCTAACTAAAGCTAACATATATGTTTCTCATGCTTCCAGTCGACTTTTTTTATGATGTTGAGCTTGAACTTGCTGCAGGCTTTAGCTTCATATTTGGCCTCATCTTCAACCTCTGAAAGGACTTAAAGCTGGAGTTTTTGATGGGTCATAAAACAGACTGAAATAAACAGTGTAGTGCAGGAGTGGGCAGTTATTTTGACTGAAAGATAAGATAAGAAGAACTTAAAGAAGATAAGAACTTTATTTATCCCGAAGGTAAATTCAATAAATTCAAGAGAGAAATTGACATTATAAATTCATGGGCCACATTGGCTTTTTCAAGGGCCAGCTAGGTAGTGTACGAAACAAACCCCCAAATGCAGATTGGAAGTAAACTCATAATTGTGCTTGATGTTAGGGAAAATATTTTGAAGAGCCTGTAAATTGGACCCACCAGAGACCGTTGATGATGCTTTAAATGGTCTTTGTTCCCACTTTCCTGAGAGGACATGTTAGCAAACTAGATTTCTAACAAATGAAGCTTACAATATTTGGCTCATGGAGTAATGTTCGTTTTTTTTGTGATGGCTCTGCGGGCTGGAAGAAATTGTTAATCGGGCCAAAGTGTCTCTGTGGTTCTCAAAAGCATATAAGGTCCTTGATGACAAGATTAACAGTGTTTTCATTGTAGTTTTTAAAGCCTGTAGCTGCTGTGAGGGGGTGAGTGACATATTTTATCATCAAAAATCAACAGGAGGGGACCACAGTCAAGATCAGATGAAATCAGTAAGTTCCAGCACAGCAACTTTACATGGCTCATTTCTGAAACGGTCAAAATCCAAACAAACTCTACCTGAAGAATACGGTCAAAAGGCTTCAACCCCGCCTGGTCTGCAGGGCCGTTGGGGCGAATCATGTTGACATAAACCCCTTTCTCCAAGAGCCCATCAGAGACGCTGAAACCAAAATCATGGCTCTCAAGGTCCTTCCTTATAGTCACCTGTGAATGAAATGGGAATCAGGAGTTACACAGATTGCAGGGCTCAACATACATGTAGACTAACCTAGATATGGACTTTGGTATTGCTCTGTAACCATTGACAGGTGCCCTCTTTTATTCCATTAATCCTGTATCCTCTCTGTATACTCAACAGGTAAAGATTTCATGGACACATGCCTCTGGGTCAGGTTTTCTTCTTTGGGCTCTATAACAAGGTCATCAAGGTTTAAACCAAAACAAGAAACAGCTTCAATGTGGGACTCTAGATGACTTTCCATGATATCATTACATGTTGTGTCTACTGCAAACACTTCTTATCTGCACACTGAAGGACAGGGACGATGACTAAAAGGACAGTGCTTTACGTTATTTTTGTTTCCATGAGTGGAATTACAAATATTAGACAGATGTAGATGAAGCCTCAACATTTAAATAGTTAGAAATTATTTGTAGAAATCTTTCAGGATCTTAAGCGTTGCTTTCCTGTACCCAGTTTTCCCCACGACAAAGACAGAGCAGTGATGACTCTAACAAGACGTCCCAGCGACAACATAGGCACAGTCCGGGGTCACAGCATGTGCAGCTGCTAAGGAAATATTTAATGAGTGCTGTGTGTTTTTGTCATACACACAGCAAGTCCTGACTGGCCAGGTTATCCACTGGGTCCAGTTATACTGTACCGTCAGGCACAGTGAGTCAAGTCAAGGAGTTGTGCAGGTAGAAACTTAATCATGGGCAGATTCCCTCAGGGCACGACTGTTTGTACAATGTTTATCAAGCTGTAAGTGAAGCTCAGTGATAAATTTCCCCTCAAACTTGGGAAAAATATACAAAGGTGACATATTTAGAACAACATCAGAGAAAAGTCTTTATCTTTGAGGAGTAGGTGTTTCTTTTCAACTTCTACCATCTCAAAAAAAAGGTATGATACCATAGCAACGAGGTGAAAAAAACACTTTATCGTAAACACAAAAGATATAGTATTTAGATTCAAGTGAAAACCAATCTAAGAGACCAGTCTGAGTATTTTAGTCCTTTTCGATGTTATAAAGGCACATGCAGGCTTATTTTATGGGTCCCCAATTTGCGCATGATTTGGCTCGACTTCGTCTTAGAAATCAGAGCTAATCTTCAAGCTCAAGTTTTATTTGCTTTGGCAGAGGCATCTGATACTCCTCCCATTCAATGAGATTTGCATCCGACCTGATTCAGTCACAACCATTTGTCTAACAAAAGGGTGAATTTAAATCGCTGTTCAAATAAATAAATAAGTAACTGAGACGGCTGCTGTGCATGTGAAACTTCCTGAGTTTATTATCGTATCACTGCAGGACGGAAAGGATGGTAGTTCAGGTTTCTTTTGCTGCAAAATCGTGTCAATTCTCAGACACGTGAAATCGGATACTAAATTTGTAGTTTGACTTATTGTTGCATTCAAAGGAAGTTTTGGCTGCACTAATTGATTAAAAAGAAACATGTTTATCAGATGATGAGATGCTTCTTCTAGGACCGTCCCTTGCTCCTTTTTAGTTATTTCTTATGATTTTTTATTGAGGTTTATGTGGGGAAAATGTGTCCTAATGCAAGATCTACCTTATGCAGTGCCAGGGTGGTGGGGGACAGGATATCAGTGGGGTCTCCTTTGCCTCGGGAAGTTGCATTTCTGGCTCTGGATGACATGTTCAGGCTGGTTTTGTTGTCTGACTCTCCATGGACCCCCTCTCTTTTAATGGGACTAATGTCAGACTGAAACATGGAGTCATCGTTGGTTTTGGTCTCATCTAGGTATAGACTAAGAGCGCTACCTGTCATGGATGCCTGAAAGAGCATAAAATAAAAGGATATTAGAGCATTATGTTCGGATAAAAATACACACACACACATACACATATAGTATATAAGCTGTCACAAAGCCTGAGACTGGAAAAGCCTCTCTGGATCAGTATGGCAGCAGGTGCCCGGCCTGTCATGTCAGATTTGATAAGAGATTACACTCTAGTGATTATCATAATGCTTCATCTGGCATGTTCATTTAGGCTGACACTGGTCTATGAACACATGAGCAGGACTAAGCAGATGGGGGAGGAGAGGAAACAGGCGCAAAGAGGAGGCGAGGGGAGGCGAGTGCCAGGTGGGGCCTACCTCCAGCTCCCTGAGAATCTCAGATTGGCCACAGGTCTCGAGGTCTTGCAAAGCCTGGGACCAGAAGCTGTCGTCCTGGTTCAGGGTGCCATGGCAACGAGGGGGGCTGACGAATCTATGACAACGCAGGAACCAGAACATGAGAGCAGCCCTGGGATCTCGCCGCCGCTGGTGCAGCATGGGAAAAGCAGTTTTTTTGGAGGCCTGCGTGCTGGAGAATCCCCCCTTCGGAAAATCTCTCAGGACCTCATTGAGGACTTTATTTTTAAATTCTCTTGTGGCCGCTCAATAGCCGAGGAGTCCACTAGATTAGATAAAGCCTTTAAAAGGAGTTCATTTGTTCAAAGGTAACGTCACGCAGAAAAAAAGGGCAGGAAATTGAAATCATGTGACACAGAGTTCAGTGGAAAAAAAATAGGAGGTGTGAAGAGACAGAAAGCTGATGTATCCTTGGGCGCTTTAGATGCTTTCAAGGGAAACATTTGTTGTGGACAAGGGGATGACACAAAAAGATGCATCTATGTGAAACACCAAAGAGCTCGTGGGCAGTTAGTAAAGCAGATGGGAAAGAGAATACCTGAGAAAGAAGAGAAAGGGACAGTTTGGAAAAGCACAAAACAGGAAAGCATACAATACAAAATGGAGAGGAAAAAACAGACAATACAGTTTGCATTTGTCAATGAACCCAAAGAGGGGAAATAATAAAAGACAAGCTTCTACATACATATGCAGAAAAAGGGAGCAGATTATTTACTTGTGGGAAAGTAACAAGATTAAAATTCAGATTTAAAGCCCTGGATTCAAGAATATGAGGTACTTTTACACATCTTGGCCCTCATGGAAGAGTAATGCAACATCAAAATGGGATACTGATGTAGATAATCTAAAAATTACCACCAAAGAACACTTCTGGAAAAGTAAATAGTTTTACTTAACAAAGAAAGAAAAAAACACTTAAAGTTAAACAGAAACATGTTGACAGGGTGACGTTTGCATACCCGGGTATCTTGTCCCACTCATCCTCTGTAAACCTCCCATCATACAGCGAGGTGTGGTGAAGGAGGCCCGCAGAGCTTGAGCTGGTTTGGCTCCTGTGCTGCGTGCGACGCCACTCACTTGGATTGAGCAGAATATCAGACGCTTTGTGAAGATATGTCCCTGAAAAAAGAAAAAAAAAAAGAAACAACACTGACTTCTTTGTACAAGAGGGTAAAATGGGTAAGCGAGAAACCCAGTATGACTCACCTTGGCTGCTGTAGCCTGCGTCAAACCCTGAGCTATCCCAGGAGCTCATTGCTGAGTCTATACTGGGCACAGTGGCAGAGTAGATCTCTGAGTGTTTACTGGTCTTCGGGAAGTCTGTCAGATCATCCTCTGTGTCGCTTAAAAACGCAGCTTCTCTGTCTGTAAAGCGACGTCTATCAGACCCTGGGAATAAACAGTTAAAATCACCATTTAGAAGGAAAGATCAAACTTAAGCTCTCTTAAAATGCAAATATGAGACGTGAGTGCCTTCGAAGCTAGACTTTAAGGACTCAATTTGGCACAATAGGAGCACAAGAGAATAGACTAGCACAATATCTAAAGGGAATAAAGTCAAGAGGAAATGCCAAACAACCAGGACAAAACATCCAAAATCTCAGTGGAAAGAAGGCTCTCCAGCCATGAAACAAAAAGTGATTGTATGCGACTTAATCCTGTTGAGAATTCACTTGTTTCTTTCATTTGATTTCTCTTCACAAAGCAGCTTATTGTTAAAAATACATTCATCTGATTATCTTTGCACTCAACAAGTGAACCAAAACTTAAAGAGACATACGGTCGGCTTGTTTTTTAATCTTGAGGGTGACCGACTCCCCGGCCATCTGCAAGAGGTGGATGGCCTCGCTCAGTGGTTTTCCTTTCAGACTGACCCCGTTAATGGCAAGGACTCTGTCCCCTATGTGGATGGCCCCGGTCCTGCAGGGTTAGGAGGGCAGTGGAGACAGAGACACCAGATTATACCAGACAGTACCGATACACTGACCGGGGTAAACTGTCGTGCTGCCAGCCCGCTGACTGAACCGTAAAACAAAGAGGCTTCTTGTTACAGAAAGAGACGAGACGCTGATTGTTTAGTGAGTTGTTTATTTTAGAAGAAAAAAAGTTTCTAAGGGGCGCAGAGAGAGATTTGACTCATTCTAATTTAGTGCTTGGGGTCACCATCTCCTCAAATAACTACTCTGACCCACTGCTCCCCTCCTCACCTCTCTGCCAGGCCTTTCTTAGTGAGGCCAGAAATGACGATGGGGTCAAAGGGCTCCTCTGTGCCAGAAATCGTTATGCCCAGCGGTCCGTTATATCTCTTCAGCTCGACTGTGTAGATTATGGAGCCAGACATCTCCAACTCATCTATAGCACATGTAGAGAAAGCAGATAACAGGTTATTTGGTTGTTAAAGCCCTTTGAAGGTGAAAAGAACAAACATTTATGAGAACATGAGTTCCTGTGATAATGAAGAGGTTTACCAAACAAGATATTAAATCCATCGACCTCTCAACTCATAACAGGTTGTAATGTAACAGGAACATGGTCACAAGATAAACCTGGTGGTTTTTGAGTTCAGCTGCACTCAATTTAATCCCTCTGAAGCACTTTTTCTTGGCTCTTTTCGAAAGATTTAGATAATATTTTGTCTTAAGGCCTGTAACAGTTAAAAAATCATGTGAGGAGTCAAAAAGAAGGAAAGGGTAATCCCTTTTTTGGTTAATGTGTGTTTTTTGAAAAGGTTACAGCTAAAAAAAAAAGGAGAAAAACAACCAGCTACTGTTAAAAGTTCTGATTTGTAAGATTATCTTGTCAGACAGAATCCTAATTTAAGAGTGAATTGTGACGTAAGGTGTCAAATTAATGTATTAGGGGAGAAAACATAACCACATCTGAATGTTGGTGTGTTTGAAGTGAACTCTAGAGTCAAACTGAAGCCTAAAATTTCCACTAAATCTGCTTTTATTACAAAAGGACGACATGTTTTATGTTTTAGGGATTTTTGTACCAATGTTGTCCTCATCCTTCTGGATTCGGAGTTTGACCATGTCCTCGGCCTGATCCAGGACATGCATGGCGTCCTCCATGGTGCAATTCTCCAGCCGAATGCTGTCTATGGCGAGCAGCCGGTCTCCAGGCTCTAAAGTGCCTGTTCTGCCGGAAACAAAGAGAGGAGAGAACCGCAACTGTAAACTGGGGCCGTGCGGGGTCTGTGCTGCTTTCTCCTGACTCCAAATGAGAATCCTATTAGCTTTGTGTCCCACTGGGATCCTTTTGTGTGACCCTAACCTCGCCTTCAACCTAATCAACACTGAGCCCTTCTGAAATGTGTCTGCATTGTCCTACTGATCCAGTTTTGATAGCTCAATCCAATTAGGCTCGTATTACACAGTGGATTCACCAAACATTTTTATATTGTTCTTGAATAATTCCATATAAGCCTGCAAAACAAAGTTCATGCTGAGCTGTTAAAAGGTTTGGAAACTAAATCCTTCAGGTGGCTTTATATAACAAATATGTTATTTATATGTTTTGCCATGTTTGATGATAGGACATACCTGTGCGCTATGCTTCCCTTGCGGATGTCAGAGATGATAAGGGGCTTGCCGGGTTTCTTACTTGCTGGTAAAAGAAGAAAATACTGTTTTTTATTTTTATTTTTAAATGTCAGTGTTGTTGAAATGAGGATCTCAACATCTAAACAAGACGTTCCCTTTTCTCATACAGCTCCCTTTTTTTTTCCAAAGCCATTTGGAGCAAAAAGGGTTTGATGATGAATGCTGGTACAGGCCAGTATTATTCAGAGGAAATGAGGTATGTGCTCCAATTGTTTTGTGAGCCTGCGTTTTATGGATCACAGAACATCAATTCAAAGGAGATTTGCAATTTGCAGCCTGCATGGGGTAATTCGTAGCAACACTGCCCCCTGCTGTATGTCTAGAAGCTTCTAAACTCACCACTGATGGTGATGCCCAGCTCCACTCCTCTCCTCTTTGGTAGTTTGACATGGAAGGTGCCACTGCTGGGAACCACTGACTCTGTTTTTCCATTGAGATAAACACAAATTTAAGTAATTACACACAAGAATACACATGACAAGAGCAGTAAGAAACAAATGGGATACCTGCAACATCAAACTCGACCTCCACTGTGACTTTATTTGCCAGAGCGGAGTCTCTGAGCAGCTGGTGGGCTTCCTCCAAAGTGCCTTCTTCAGCTGGGATCCCATTAATGGAGAGGAGTCTGTCGCCGACCTGCAGCAGCCCACACCTAAACAGACAAAAAACAACAACACAGAGAGAAACAGACTTTTAAACTCAAGAAAATATTTTTGTAAATATATGATCAGTTTCTGGTTTCCAGGGTTCACCTAGCTATGGAGGGGAAATTAACACCACTCTGAAACAGCTTCACAGAGGTGTTGCTTCAACTTTTTAGTTAATGAGGCCAAGTCTGGTCAAAGAAACACTCGCTGTCATCACAGAAACTTCGACATGCACAAGGTCTTACACCAAAAGTATATCAATGAATTGTGCTTGAAATAAAAGTCAAACTTTTGCTCCATTAAAACTCAATTTGAACAGCTTCAGGCAGCTAAATTATCATTTTTTATCACAGCATAATATTATTGTCTTCATTGTCTTTAAATTAAAAAAACATATCTACTACGGCGTCTTTTCATCCGCACTAAAATCTGTTTCCTGCTCACGGTACAATTATTCCGATGAGCCACACATTCATGCTATGTGACACCGCATTCGCTGAATAATTTGAATACCATCTATAGGATTAAATACGGCCTCCAGCCTTTAAATAAACACTGACCTTACATGAACTTTACCAGTCACTTCAGCAAACGAGCGTACGCACACGCATACAATATGACACAAATATCACACATTTAATCAGACGCCTAATTGCAAGGGCAACCACCGCAGCACTGTCAACTGTTATTAATTCACTAACCACCACCGCTTGCTAACCTTGCATTGAGGCTGAGACACCAACATCACAGGCAGAAGCTGTATTTGAGTCACTCCTGGACTAAACAGTGGTACAAGACCCAGGGGAGACAACCCTGCACTGCCCGCAACCACCATCATTAATCTCACAAGACAAGGACAAATACAGAGCGTACAGTCTGAGCACAGATGGGTGTTAATTAGACGACAACATATCAACTGGATCAATAGAGTGCTACATATCAATAGAGGGGTCCTCACACCATTTAAGTCAACAAAGTTTATCTTGCGAGACTGCACTCTCTCAGCAGGGATGAGCTACATTGTACTTGGTAAAATATCAAACAAAGAGATAGAAAGAGATGGAAAAAATTGACCGGTGAAAGCGTCCTCAATACAAACACTGATGATATAATGGAGAGAAGCAGCCACTGGCATTTAAATTTCAGCGATAACCTCCTTTGAAAGTCCTCCTCGGTGGAAAACATTTCTCCAACCTTGTGACATTTCAAGCTTGACCTTCTTCATTAAGAGATAAATGAATACCACACCACTAAACAGGGAGTAAAACCTGACCTCTCTGAACAAAAAGTGATAAAAACTAAAATATGTTCAAAAAGAGTTTCTGCTCATCAAGTCTACAGCCATGCTAGTCAGGGGTGGAAATCAACTCATCTTATTCACTTAAGTTACTGTCATTAAGTAACTTTTCTGAGTAGAATTTGAAAAAAACACTAAATGTTACCTCCCTATGTTTTACAAAGCACTAGTTAGCTAGAAGAATTGTGCAAACATACAGAACAAGCTTTTGATCAACTGCATGACAGCCGGCTGAGCAGATGACGTCTACCCTGCAAAACTCAAATGACTGGTCTCATTAGCCAAAATATCTTATTACTCTTATATTTAACTTAGCTAACTATGAAAGGTGAGGTAGGCAGTGTTTTTTTATGTCTGTGTAGTCAACATTTTAAAATTTCAGAGCACTCCCCTCTTACTGAATGTAAACAAAGCCATTCCCCACCTCCTCCAACCTGATTGGTTGTGAGGCAGACGCTGCTCCCCTGTGTCGTTCAGGAGCCCAAACAAAGTTAGCGTGCTACAATATCGGACAGTAGAAACCGACCAGAAAGTACAGAAAATTGTCTGAATCCTCCTTAAGCCACAACTGCCAACACAAGCAAGAAAACGAAGTAAATACCGGAGACTCTGGCGGGATAACGGGCGCTTAAAACGGAGGTAGACCGGACAAGAGCTAAAAAAGCTGGGTCAATAATGATGGGGGACGATTCGGGATCTTACGGACCCTGTGACCTTCCTGCTGGACAGGAAAACTGCTTTAACAAAGTAAGCCAAGTGTAACAGAAGTGTTTCTTATCAAATGGGACCTGCTGCGTGTTGTAGCGCCGCTAAACTGTTCACCTCGGGTCCCGGAATATGTCACTTTATCCTAGTTGTAGAAGTCCTGCAAACATTGTGTTTGCTGGTAGTCTGTTGGCATCTACAGTAGCACCAATGCTATTTACTTTCATGCTGACTGGGCCTCATTTGTAATTATCTGAAGTATTTATCTGCATTATAACTGAATTTAATTGGAACGATACGAGCGAGCAGGAGCGTCTGTTTGTGGGCGGGGCTTGTTGGAGCAGAGAAGGAGGGGAGAGGAGGAGCTGAGGTGAAAAGTGTTGTGAGGGGTAAAGTTTACATTCAAAGATTTCTCCCCAAAACTGGCACTTCCTCAGATCCTGCCTACCCCACCTTTAACTATTAACTATTTATTGTTGTTTTATGTTTTTATGGTATTATGTACAGCACTTCATGTCAGCTTTGGTTGTTTTTAAAGTGCTCTATAAAAAAGTTGAGTTGAGTTGAGTTAACTTTAAGTTCAAGATACTTAAAACCAAATTACATCTTGGATCTTGTAAAAACTTGAATGGCTGCTGTATGTGCAGCCATTTTTACTCGTAACAATAAATGAAATCCTCCTAACAATCCTCTCTGCACGGCCATGCCTGACATGAGTCAGCAGGGACCGTCTACAAAGTGAAATACTGACTAAAAATGATCAAAAAAATTTATAACTTCACCCTGGACAAACTTATTTCACATTTTATTGCTGGTTATCATTTGCAAATATGTTTTACATAGTTTGGGCTCCATATCTTACACTCTCACCTTCACCTTTGAACACTACTTCACTGTCCTTAGCAGATGTGTTTTTTTGCTACTCTTAATAATTTCAAAACCCTTTTAAGAGCACATGTCTTAAAATACTCATTGGACAGGACGCCAAAATCAGCTGTATTCACATGTGGCTAACTGATGAGCACAAGGACATCTAATTACAGGTGAGTTTTATGATTTTTGTTTAGAGTGTTACCTTTCAGCTGGGCTGTCAGGCTCAATAAAGCGGATAACTGGGGGAGCAGACAGGGTCTCAGTGGCAAAGACCCCTCCCTGAAGCTGAATCCCAAAACCTGTGAGTGGGTCCCCCCTCAGGATGATTTCACTTGTTTCCACATGGAAAATCTGTCCCCCTGGACCAACAGAGCTGGACGCCAGAGACACTGTGGGACAAAAATTGAGATATATAAGTGAAAAAAAAGAGGCAAGAGAGGGATTGTGTTGGTAAAAATAGGAGGAAGGGTAAAGGGGAAGACACATGCACCCACAGTGAGGACTCAGAGTTTACATCATTCACGCTAACATTAGTAATCAGTCAAATCTGTTCACACACTGAGGGGAAGTTTGTTTAACAAATCTGTGAACATTAAAAAAAAAAAAAAGGTCACTCCACCTGAGTTACAAAAAAAGCCCTTAGCTGTACGATAGCTTTCAGTTTTCATTATCCGAGTTTTATGCCTCCAGTCCAATACAGTGAAGTTAATATGAATTTCCTCTGTGGTGCTAACAGCATTTAAAAAAAAAAAAATTAACAAAAATAACTGTACAGCCATGCTTGGAGGGCTGCACCTGCACTTAAACACACGCTTACGTAAGAAGGTTAACCACTCATTCGTAGCTCAAAATGACATGCTATTATCATCTGTGTGGGGGTGTTTCTAGTTGCGGAGGTATTCCTGTTTTTATTTTTATTTTTTTATGTCTGCCTGCATTCATTTATGTATTATTCAACTGTGTAATGTTATAAAAAAAAAGCAACAATGGGCAGATACAGCTAAAAAAAAAAAAGGTCATACATACAGCAAAGGCAACATGGAGTGTGACCTTCAAAATAGCATCTCATGGCATTAAAAAACCTTCATATAGGTAGCATTTACTTCAGGGCTTTTGCAGCTTCCTATACAAGAAATAAGACCGCTAGAACTCTAGGCTTTTATTAAGACCACTTTGTCTAAAAACAAGAAGCAGGTTTGTCATACATGAGCTCTTGTGATCTTTCTTCCTGGTCCTCCTCTTGCCGGTGGAGCTACGGGGACTGTTCGGGGCGATGGTAGGGATGGGGCAGGGCAGGGTGTTGCTTCCCTGGCTGCTGAACCCTGAGGTGGCTGTGGAGGAAGGGGAGAAGCCACCACTCACCAGAGCTGAAAGAAGACATAGCAACTACGCATTTCAAACCGCAGGTAACCAGCGTGACATTTTATTTTCAGAGACAGCAGCAGTATCAAAAAAGTGCTTTAAAAAAAAAACATGCTACAAAAAGAAAGAAAAGCGGTTACACTGTTGGAGTAAATCAATTGGAAAAGATTTAACAAACGTGAAGAAGAAAAGGCTCCCTCTATGGTGTCTCGCCAGCAGCAGTGCTGTCACAAGCGATAACTTACATTTGCAGTGGTCCTGCTGGTTGTGTGGGTGGCTTGGGCTGCTCCATGTCTTGCCGTGGCTGGCATGTGGGGGATGGCAGTAGTTGCTGCTTTGGTCCCAGTGGTGATGGTTGCTCTTCTGCACTTTTACTGACACAAAATAAGAAAAAAAACACATTCAAATCCATTAATATGACTTAAATATCTCTTAATTCTCTCTGTGAAATCACCCTTTAATTTTCACGTCTTGATTCGTACCACATTGCACACTGCCTGGGGATAAATCAGAGCAGAGTAACTGATGTTCAATGGTTTTTTGTTATGATTCACGATGATACTCTGGATTAAATCCTGTGGTTTAATGCATTTTGGTGAGAATATGAGAGTGAGTAAGGCACAACACAGAGCTGAATGTGAGGTGGACAGGGTTTTAAAATAAAAAAAAAACAATAAACTCTTACTTTTGCTAGTAAGTTTCCAATAAGCTGAACACAAAGTGGAGATCATTTTCATAATTTCATTTTCAAAGGAGCCTAAAGGTGCTAAAACAAGCTGAGAAAGTTGACTGCTCGGCATCTTGTTGCTGTTTTTCTAGCAGGAAGTGAAGCATGTGGCTCAGCTTTGATTGGATGCAGCTGGGACCCTGATTGCTGATGATGAAAGGGGCGTGTTCCTGTGTCTGATTGGTTAAGATGCTCTTAATCCTGTTGGTTATGTTCATGTGAATTTCCAACAACTTTGCAGACTTTTTCAAACTTTTAATGACTGCAAGAGCGCAGAGTGATGATACCTAAAGGCAGTCTTTTAAAGGCTGTTTGACAAGGTGCATTTGGTCAAACATCTGTGAAGCATTCAAGGGAAAAAACTGACCTCCTGTATGACACACACCTAAATAATTAACTTTTCCTTCACAGATTGAAGCTGCTGAAATTGTCACAGAGATACATATGACAGTAATCCTTGCTGCTTCATTTGCGGGGGTCTAATCTCCAGAAATTTGCTCACATGGATGGGGGATTTGCGGGAAACATGGTTGACTGCGGTAGCGCCTGGGAGGTTTGCCATTTTCATGAAACCTGGTTAAATCTAGCTGGATGTAATCAGAATACACAGAGGAGACCCTCCGGCCCTTTTCAGAGAGCTAGTTTCTATCAAGCTCAATCAAAAACCTGCGCAGATTCAGCTCTGGCGGCTTATGCTAAGCTCACCTAGGGGAAGCTCTCCAAGAAATGATGTCTTTTTGCGATCCACGCGGGTGGAAAGAAACATTAACTCCTAATCTCTTAGTGGCTGTATCAGTCTTATTAAATCCCCAGAGGAGATTAAACAAATTGCATCCTTTAATCACGCCTTATCCTAGCAGAAAAGAGGCTGTGAAAATATGGTTTTATTTTATGATAACGTCACAGTGCATTATTCATAAGTGCATCATCATTAAATAAAAATAACAGAGTACATGCCTGTTACTTTAAAGTGATAGAGACAGGTCAATGGTCAACAGACGCACAAGCAGTTCAAGCAGTCTTTTGAAGCATTAATTTGTATGCTTTCATCAGAGGATTAAACCCTCTGTGAATGTACATATCAGTACCTAAGGATAAAAGTGAAACCCTGCAGATAAAGGAAAAATATATGTATTAAAAAGGATCCAGTGACCGCAGAATCTGAGACAAAAATACATCTTATTCCCCTTTATCTTCTTGCTCACATGTTAAGTACCCCCGCAGCTGCTGACCCGGAAAGAGTACGTAAAACGTGGCGTAAACATAATCTCTGTATCCTTGTGAATGTGTGTGTACGCCGTGTACAGAAGTAGCATGAGACCCAGAGCAGTGGAGTGTGGGCAGCGGGACTGTGGCTGACGTGTGCATGAACACACACACGGGCTGATTCACGGCATATAGAATAAGACAGCTGGGAGGCAGCCAGGCGTCTTACAGCTGTAGGTAAAATAACTCGCAGCAGAGCCGTCAGAGTACATATGTTGAGGACACAATGTTGAAACTGCAGCCGGTGAACTTCCAGTTGAATACGATTAAAATGCAGAACTTGTATTTGGGTCAACATCCTCTGATTATTCTCTGCATTTGTAAAAAGGCTGTTTGTTTCTCATGTTCATTTATTTATTTAAGATTTTACAGGAGGCTCATGGTCTGTTTTCATTATATAAGACAGCTTGAAACAGAGAGAGAGATGGGAAATGTGGGGAGAGGATGTGTGAAGGCATTGTTAGCTGTTAATAAAAGCTTAATAAAGGATTTACTAAACTTTATAAAACAATGATTAGGGTCCCACTTTAGATCCAGCAGCTGCAAAGGACATTGTTAGCTGTTAATCAGCCCGAAACTTTAGCTATTTTTATTTAAGTATTTTTTGGGTAAATTTTGCCTTTTATTGATAGTACAGGGTGAAATATGGGGAGGTAGAGAGAGGGGGGAGGACATGCAGCACATGGTCAGGGCCGGACTCGAACCTGCAGCCGCTGCAGAGACCCTGGTCCCCATACATGGGGCGCTTACCCATTCGACCATCTGCGTGCCTCCAAATCTTTACCCTTTATAGAGTTATCAAAATTGGAAAACACCTAAATAAGCTTAACAAGTGGTCTTTAAATTGTTAAGATTTCTGCAAGTGCTCAAAGGGGGCCTCCAAGCAATAATAAATATTAGTTTTGATTTTAATAAAGGGTCAAACTATTATATTAATGTAAATAAACATCTGTGTACAATAACTGGTAATACATTTCCACAAGTGCGCTGCAAGCCGATTGTAAATATGTTTATTTAAGTAATTAAAGTAATTCTTATAAAGTCTGATCAATGTTAAAAAACACCCACTCAAGTATATGAACAAGTATTTATTAAGACCTTATAAATGTCTAATAAGTAATAATGCACATGCTCAAGCTTTTATTACACTTACTAATGTTTATAAGCATATTATAAGGTCTTATAAGTAGCATATTAGCTATGACTTAAATGCCTATTACAAAGACTGTAATATAAAGAGTTACCTTCTTATCAACTCCTCATCTCTCCTGATTCTCACCCCTCTCTTATGTTTCCTATGCCTCACTGAGATCTATCATGCTGTCTGCATCACCTGGAGGACGTACCTGTGTCTTGCGGCCTGACAGGAAGTCTGCTCTGACTGGCTGGGAGAATCTCCAGTTTTACAACGTCAAGGCTGTTCGCGAGTAGCTGCGTGGCCTCCATCAGAGAGCAGTGCTCTGTGCTGGTCCCGTCTATACACAAAATGATGTCTCCTACGTGCAGCGCGCCACATCTGTGAGGGCGGCACAGGGGAAGATAACGTCAGGGAAACATCAGGGAGGATGAGTGAAATATTTTCTAAGAATATGCGTTTTTATATACCTTTCCACCACACTGGCTGGCTTTATCTTGTCAATGATGATGACTTGTTTGCTCCTGTATATTGTCGTGGTGAGGCTGATCCCCAAGCTGGCAGAGGGACCTTTCACGATCTCCACCAGCAGAGGGCCTGAGGCTTGCTGCACCGCCTCTGAAACAGAAAAAAACACACAGATATGATGGAGGTTGACAAGATCACTTGATACATCAGGAGTCAGTGACAAAATATATCTTTAGCAATCTTAGACTACAATAAAAACTTCTTTTCTCAAGTTTTCTGCTAAGCTCTATCAACAAAATTATCAGTGTCCTTGTGTGACATGCTCATAAATATTACACTTTATCTAAACCTCTTAAAAATCACATAATCTACTCTTTGGTAACATAAAGATTTGAATGCATCTGACAGAGACCCTTGAGGGACTTAAAAATAAACCAAAACATTAACTATTGGAGAAAATATCACAGTAGAAATGCAGCTACAGTCAGAAGCGTCTAAAAGGTCAATGAGGTGATATGTTGATTATTTCTGAATGGTCTCTTTTTTTGTATTATCCTTTTGGAAATGTGTACTTCATATTCAGGATACACAGGAGACACATCCTGGACAATGAAGGACATGTGATGGGATATTTTGACATTGTTGTCTAGACGTTTGACTGTCTTGACTTGATGACAAATGGACCTGTGAGTTCATTCATGACCTGATTGTTGGAGTGTTTTGCTACTCTGCATAAAAATGATATGACAATCCCTCTTAGCTCCCCTCCTCAAAATTTTTAAGCTACTATTTCCTGACATTTCAGCCAGTAAAATACATTTCTCCGAAAATTATGAGCCTTATGACTGATTCATCACGCAGGCAGGAGGGCTGACTCTTTAACTCCCACATACAGAGAGATAATTTGTGTCAAAAGTCCTCAGTGACCTGCCCTATTTTGCACAGGGAAGAGCAGAGTTTGCGATCTTCAGGGGAAAGAGTCACTGCAACCAAATGTTGTAATGATCTGGAGTGAAGTCATGTCAGTATTTCACTCATTTCTAATCACACGGAGAGGATACTTTTTTGTTGGATTACATTTTGCCTTTTTTTTTTTTTCTAAAAGAACAGCTAAAGGTTGAGACTAAGTGTCGAACCACATTCTCTTGGTGCACCAGCAGTCAGTCTGACCTAAATTTTTTTGTCTTTTCCGTGCACAATGTATGAATTTTGGCGAGATAAAAGATGCCAAAATTCATGCTTATAAAAAAGTGGCCAAAGCTGCTCACATTTTTGGGGTTAGGGTTTCAGCAAAACTCATTTTTTATTTCTAACATTTGGTTTGGTAGTCGAGCTGATGACTATGTGGGCTGTGTAATGCGATTTCTGTACCTCTAGGGGAGCTGATGACGTCATAGGCATGTCATCAGGGTTGTTTCGGCGTGGACAAGGGAACTGCACATTTTCATTTGATAACCTATTTTACAAACTGTGGATGTGGTGTTTAAAAGACCATCGAGGTTGCCAGGTGGACAAAGGGGGGGATAAAAATAGCGAATTGCATTGCAGGGAAAGTAGGATACGGTGGTTTTGGAGCATGACTCACCCTAAAACCTGAAGATGGAGATGTCATGGCCTCTATTGCTTCGATTTTCATCAGTTCTCTGTTTATTGTCAAAACTCATCTTTCACAGAGGTTAAAAGATGTGTCAAGCAAAGTGAGGCCCCTGTCTGAAAAGTTTGACATGTAAAAATGATTGAAATTGAACTCGACCATGGTTGTAATAATGCTCTGAATATTTCCCATCTTCCCTTTCCTGGCTGAATTATGCTCCTGGGCTATTGTGACTCCCCTAGTGGCATCCACAGCACACACTCAGTCACATCCACACAGCCATAACAGCCACATTATTTACCCTCAGAGCAACGCTACCCGACCGTGCTTCCACATATTCCCCGTGTGCGTGTGCTCACCCATGACAGAGACGTCATACTCGATCAGGAACAGAGCTTCCTGGCTGCTCTGCATCAGCATGGTCAGGGCGTCGGCATGCTTCTCTCTGTTTAAAGGCATCCCGTCTATGTTCAAAACCCGGTCTCCAGCTTTCAAAGTGCCCTCTCTGGAGGGACGCAGAAAGCAGAGGGGGGAGAGAGAATAAAGGAACCTGTACAAGATGCTTATACAAGCGTTTAAGCCGCAGTCACAGTAAATCATTAAACAGTTCCACATGAGTGTTCGCTCCCAGGTGAGATGGAGGATAAGCGAGATAAACGGCCATAAAAGTCTTTGATGGCAAATTACGTTTGCCTCAGTGTTTTGGTGCTTTGAGTTTCTTTTCTTTTTTTTTTTTTTGTGGGAAAAGTGCAATGTTGCATTAGCCTCAGGATGAGCGGTGCCCTTTCTGCTTTGAAGATAAAATACACTGAACAGAATGTGTCACAGTCACAATTTCAGACTGAGAGTGGGCTGATGCAATAAAAAATAACGTGCACATGAATTTGTACGCATAAAACTGGACTTTCAGTCATTTCTATGCATAATCTAATGACTCCAATATGACAAAGGTTAATATTCATGTTGCACATAAATATAGGGCAATCTGTAAAACGCATATCCATTCGGGCGTGCATCTTCAGTAAATATAAACAGTACAGAGATGCACACGCATGCATTTATTCAATCGCTTCAATAGGCTCATTCATGCACAGTCAGGATATACAAGAGACAAAAATAGCAGCACCATTAAAAAACATACAAACGTTTCCTCATGTTCTCACCTGTCAGCAGGACCTCCGGGCCTCACGTAGGTCACCACCAGAGGACGAGATCTGCGCCAATCCTCATGGAATCCTCCTTAAAACAAAAACAAGTAAATATCAGGGTAAAAATATCAAACTCAATATTTCTAGAAAAAGTAAACGAGCACCTACCCCGCATGACGAACCCAAAGCTGTTTCCTTCCTTGTGTAAACACACCTCTATGGTTTTGGTTATGACTCCTGAGGGGGTCTGGACTGCAAAAGAAGACCAGAAGAGGTCTCATTCAGGTATTGTACAAAATTTTCAGGTCTCCAAATAATGCTCAACCATACGAATAAAAAGAAACATAGTAAATTAATCTCAGAGGAGTATTTAGTCTTCTGTCCTGACCCTCAGTAATGTTTGGGGAGCAGAGACTATACAACTCCTGGAAAGCAACTCTGTCCTGACGGTCGGTGTCATGATGCAGCAAATCCAATAAGGAGTGATTTGCAGGTTGAAAGACATCTGGATGTCAAGGTTAAATGATAATGAAGCTGACCTCTTTGAAACTTACGTCAATGTGTTTTCAAAAATACGTTTTTATGGCATGAATGTCTAAAATGTTTTATAAGAAACAAAACATTTGAGTAATTATTTAATCAGAGCTCAATCAGAGATGCTATTTTAGTGGAGGAGTGAATTTAATCACCCCAAAAAACACGAAAACAAACAGTGAAAATGAAAATATATGGCTACTGCTTCAGTTGAAGTCAGGGCTGAAGACATGTTTAAATTTGATGCCGAGCCTCCTGGAGGTGCAGTGACCTCAGCATGACTCTCTAAGGCCCTGAGGCCTGTACGAGTCTGTTTCAAAATAGCCAGGATATCTTTGTTTTTCTGTCTTTACAAACACAGTAAACGTGATCACATTAAGTGGACTAACATACAATTCCCCTGGCAGAAGGGTGACATGTGTTCACAACCTAAAACAAACTATAAGATAGAAAAATATGACATTACACACGTAACCCATGAGTGACACAGCTGCAAGAGGGACAGATGGCAAAAATCACTGACTGTGTTAATGCGCATATTCGGGCTTATAATATCACTGCTTCATCTTTAGGGCTCAAGTAGATCTAACTGCAAATAAATCTGTGTAATCCATTTAAATTTATGCGTCGCTCATAAGTATTCTCTTTTTGTTTGATGTAGTTTCAAGTCTTACAGCTGCAAAGAGGTTCATCCTCCTGAATCATCTCTATTATAAATCTCACCACAGAAACATCAACTATTGATGCTGCTATTCTTACAAGTTGTATGTTTGAGTTAAAATTTCACATGCGGTTATAACATGTGGATGAGAAATGGATTTGACAGCCCGGCTCTAATGGATCTGAAATCTTGTGTTCTATTTGCTGTGGCAGATGTCAACATCTAGTTCAATTTAAGTTGAGTCAATCACAACCATTTATCCAAAAACTGGACGGGCGTTATTAATAAAGATGGCTGGGGCTTATGCAGAGTCAATGTTTGTTCCCTTTCATTCATCTCTCGGAGACGGGGCACTGTAAAGTCAGGGCGTATCTGATGGTGTCCCGCTCTTGTTCTGCTGGACCAAGTCTATTGGACTGTGTGTCACCTTCTACAAACTGAAGGCCCTTATCTACGAGATCAAACCCACGTTCTACTGTCACATGCTGATTCTTATTACTGATAAAAAGTTGCTGATTGTGATGTGCTGATGCTGTCTGGACTTATAAATGTCTTTGCTCTGATTTAACTGGCAGATAGCGCTGCCTAATCTGTGCCACTCATATTTTAGTGTCATGCCGATTCTTAGCGTTATGCAACTTTGACTTTGTTTGGATGACAGCACTTTCTCCAGATGTCAGGGCAATTTTTTTTTTGTCTATCAGGCAGAATAATCTACTTGCTGGAGTTCACATACCAAACGGAGGCAGCTCGTACTCCACCTCTAGCACGACTCGCTCACCGATGTTCTTCAGCAAGCTGATAATCTCATCATGGCGAAGTTTTGACAGGTTGATGCCGTTTACTGACTTGATGTAGTCTCCTACATTCAGCTGGTCACTCCTGTGAAAAGCATGGACAGTTGCAGGGATTATCTGGTTTTTGTGATTAACTTTGGGTTAAATTGAGACATATTAAAACTAAAGATGTCCGTGATGTGATGAATGTTGTTTAAGCTTAAAAGCTGTTGTGTGGAACTTTTGGTTCACGTTGGTTTTAGCGCCCCTTGTGGACAACCTCAACCCTAGCCCTTCTTATCTCTTTGCTGATTTTTGTTCTGAACATGTATAAGTAGGGTTTTGTTTTTTAGAACCAAAAAAATCTCCTCCTCCTTTCATTAAAATAGAATGTGTATAGTTCCTCGTAACTTTGCTTTTTGAGTCCTAAGGTCCTTTCACACCGGGGCCGACACAAATATAGAACGCGAAATTTCGAAATACTCTGAGGCGAATTTTTTTGACGCCCCTGTACACATCAAGCCCAATGCGATTTTGTGACTTTCTGGGGGGAAAAGACGCATCGTCCGGCCTCCTTCACCTCTGATTGGCTAGAAAAGGTGGAAACGTTATCACACGCTCAAGCCAAACGGTCAGCACTTATAGCCAATCAGAGGCGATAAGATAAGCACATGAAACTATGGTAACAACCGTTAGCTTACATTAGCACAGATGAAAGTTAAAACAAAGACGTTTCGCAAACTGTTAAAACACACAAACCATTGTCATATGAGAGAGCCGACGCTATGACTCTCCACAAGTTGTCCTTCAGGTCCGTATCTTGGTAATGTGTGTTAACGATCATAAATAATCAGCCGGTCGGCCATGTTGGATATACTGGTGAATCTGACGTCGCAACAACACGAAATATGATTGGTCAGAAGTGGACACACAGTACGCAAAACTTTGGAAAAATCGACCATGATCTGAAAAAAAAAGCCGCAATATTGCAGGACGGAAAAACATTGTTGATGTGAACACTTGTATTGACAGGATACAGGTTCGAAAAAAATATTGACAGCCGAAATAATCGCACTCCAAAAACGGTCCCGGTGTTAAAGGACCTTTATACATAGACTGTATATACAATGGACAACTTGGTTCCATCTTCTGCTAGTATACAGATTTGAAGCTGAAAAGCTATCGGTAATTCTGTGTTTTCTCTCCACTTCCAGAAACCAACATTGCGCAATAGCGTTGAGCTCAAACAGCGTATCCCCTGGATGAGCTACGCCCATAGGCTGTATCAAGTGTCAATCATAGAAAACATGAACCCCCTAGTAACTTTAAAAAACGGATCTGTACTGAAAAAGAGGACTTAAGCACAAACCAGTCTTACTGTAACTACATGTCATCATCACAAGTAGGGGGGAGAAACATTTATATTCTGTGTAATAAATTTCTGAAGTTTGTCCACAGCTCCATAAGCTTTGCCGGCGGAGGCAGGATTTATGACTTATACTGCAACCCGTCAGCAGAGGGTGCTGTTCTCGGAGTGGCTTCACCCAGCGAGGAGGCAGACTCTGTCCATTCTATATACAGTCTATTGTCTTATATCATCATGTGATGCTGCTGTGTGAAAAGATGTGAGATTTTAAACTGTAGTATCACTAGATGAGAACATTTACACAAGAAATTATGACTGGGGGCAATAACTTGCACCCGTAAGTAAATTACTCCAATTATGACTCACTTTGCAGCATGTTAACATAAAGAGCGGGTGCTGGGATGGGTATAACTTGGATGCATTCTGAGTCAACATGTCGTCCATTGAAGATCAAATTAATCAAATCTCTCTGCCTGGGTCAATCCTCTCACCTTTGGGCTACTGCCAATCAGTGCTGACAGCAGACAGAGAGAGACGTCTTAACCAGCAGAGCCGGGCGGCATGTCATCAGGTCCGGTCTCATCACACAATGTCACTGCCAGTCTCTCTCCTGTCTGCATGAGTGTCTCTCCACCCAGTAAATTAGCCAGCACTTCCACACAAGCATGAACTCAGTTGTGGGAGGACAAGCTGCTTGGAAGAATTAGCACAGTGTCCGTCTTTAAACCTCCCTGGATTTGACAAGGGATGTTTGGCCGAGGCATTTTAAGCGAGGGCTGCGTCATTCTCACAAAAGTGCGTATGTGTGTCTGATTATGTGTACATGTCATACATGCTGCTTCTTCACCACAGAACGTGACTCATCACTACATTTTCCTTTCATGTGGTTGATGTCTGAGAAAAGAAGAGTTGAATTCTGTTGACGTTGAGAGAAATTGGTTTAATCTCATGTTAATTAAGCTATAACAACAAGCTCCAAATCCTCTTGTATTTAATAATTACCATCCTGCAGTAAATTAAGCATGAAACAACAAAAAGATCAACATCTAAATTCATGTTTATGGACATGTTTAATGTTTTGGTTTTAGGGGATTTCTAATTGTGGGATGCATTAAGCAGATCAAACAACGCCTACGGGCCAGCAGTCAGGGCAATCTGGGTGTAACATTGCAGGATAACACATCAGGACATCTTTCTGTGGTTGCCAGCTTTTGACCACATCACCGAGCAAAGATCTCACCTGGCAGCTAGCCCACCTGGCCGGAGGTTTGACACTCTGGGCTTGCCGTCCTTATCAGACCCTCCGGATATAGTGAGGCCAAGGCTGCTGCCTTCCCTTTTCATCAGGTCTACCGTGGTCACTCCTCTGTACTCATCTGCTGACGGAAACACACACAGGCACAGATCCACAGTCAGCATTAGCATCTGCTTGACAGAATCCCCCGTCCGAAAGGCAACAAAAGACCCTTTTTTTCCCTTTTTTTTCTCTCTTTCATTCTGGAAAGTCTCACAGAAATGCTCTTTGACACACGACCGCATTCTGTATTCTCTCGCCGTCCTGTCTTTTCCTTGTTCCTTCAAATCCCTCAATCTGAGTGAATCCTTGTGATGGGTTCAGAGAGAGGAGCACGGGGTCAGTTTTATTAACACCACACCGTTTATCACAATGGAAAGAAATTCAGTCCATTATCACATCAAGACGCTGACTGAAAATTACAGCACACTCATCACTTTGTAAAATGAAATCCAATTGCGATCTTAATTGTGAATGAAAATAGGTTTGACCCTGTTGGATGTGTAGTAATAAAGTGTCATCAAAGGACTCATCCTGTCTTGTAGACCACATTGTGCTGTGTTGTTCTTCCCGAAGTAGAAGTGTGGTTTAGTGCAAATGACAGGTATGCCACACAAGCATGTTTTCCCTCTTACCTAAGCATTTAAAACAGTGCAACATCAAGCCAAAAACAGCACACAAAAACCCTCAGTCAAAGATAGCACAACCCCGCACACAACTTCTCTGTTTGAAGTGAACTGGCTACAGTGGCATGAATCAGGTAAAAGACGGAAAACAAAATGAAGTCAACTCTGACTGAATCATACCTGAAAAGCTGCGTCTCTGGGACGAATGCGATTGGTCAGTTGTTCCAGACTCCTTGCTCCCCTTCGAGTATGGTCCTTCATCTGAGGAGACAGCAGAGAGGCATGGAGGTGCTGTTAGGAAGCATTGCGGTGACATGAAGTGAAGCTGTGAGGCAGGAGGCGAAATGAGCACAAGCATCCATTGCACATGACAGCTGCACACACATGCTTACAATACTGTTGAATTCACCGTGTGCATATGGCTACCGTTTTCCTCTGAGATCATACCCATCCTGCTCAAATCCTTGTTCTAGATTGAAGGCTTTAAAAGCCTGATGCACATCTGACAATCACTATAATGAAGCCATAAAGCTTGTTTCAAGGTGCATAATCATGCCATGACAATCAGGCCACTTACTGTCACTACAACTTCTTGTGCCAAGAAAGCTCTCCTGTCTGTGTTCAGCTCTGCTCCTAATTAACAGCAACTGCAAATGTCAGTACAAACCTCCCAACTTTCAACACCTACGAGCCTTGTGTTGTTGTGACAGTTATATTTAGAGGTAGGGTTCGGGTTAGTCACTAAAAATGGTTACGTTACACGCCAAAAATGCAGTCATGCCAATGCAATGCACTAGGTGGTGCCACTGCGAACAACAGAATTGCAGTCCTAGAAATGCAGTCCTGAATCTGCAGGCTCCAGGTCTGCAGACACATTTAGCTCTCTTGACAGCTGCATGTCAAGACTGACTGATACACACACAAATCACCATTGAACTTTGACTCAGGGATGTTTTTCTAGTAGCTGAAACAGTAACAGTCCTGACTGACCTAGTTTGACCTAAAAAAAACCTAAGTGTTGGAAGTGTGGTGCATTGTTTAATTATTTCAGTGAATTAAACCAGGACAAACTGTTATCTTGCTGATATCAATTATGTCTTAAATCATAATGTATGGTCATTTTATTCTATCTTTTAAGTCAATGACAATGTTAAGTGTAGTCCAAATTATTCATTTTAATTGTTGTGGATGCAGTTGAGCACAAATTTCGCCAATAAGACAATAATGTGTATTATATCATATTGCAAAGCATCACAGTGTAGCGTATCTTGTATGCAAATTAGGTGTGACATCGAATGCTCCCGATTGGTTGCTGCGGCAGCCAAATGAGGGCTAGTTCTCGTAGTACTTCTTCCTCGCTTTTCGCTCAGGTAAGTGTTTTTGTGTGTCGTCGTATTTAAACCTCAAATTAACAAATGTACAAAAGCTTGTTTATCGTTGAAACGTTTTATGATGCCCATATTGCCTACAACATGGACATCATAAAACTGAGTCACAACATTCCAGTATTGTATATTGTATTTCGTGTTTTTCTTTGGCCGGAATGTGTCTGGTGTCGCCTATTTTGTATGCAAATTAGGTGTGCCATCGCTTGCCCCTGATTGGTTGCTACGGCAGTCAATTGGGAGCCTGTGACTTTTTCCTTGCTTCAAGCTCGGAGAAGTTTTTTGTGTCGTAGTATTTCTTTACTGGTTTTTTTCTGATTGTGTGGGGAGGAACGTGTGTAGCGTTAAACAGACATGGAGTTTTTCATAGATGAGTTTGTGACCAACTCTTCTTGGGAGAAAATTAGCAAATCTACAAAGGCTGATATGTTTCTCGTCGCTACGTTTTATTATTTCTTTGTTGCTTACAACATATCTTGTATGCAAATTAGGTGTGCCATCGCATACTCCCGATTGGCTGATTGGATGCTCCGGCAGCCAATTGGAGGCTCGTTTTCGTCGTACTTTTTTCTCGCTTTTTCGGAGGATGTCCCTTTTTTTAAACTAAAACTTGAGAGGTATTCAGCGTATAGTACCATACCATGTTATGTCCTAAATATGTGGTTTTGACTTGAAATATGGTCTAGTTTATTGCCACATTTATTCAGACAAAATATGTCCCCAGCCAATATCCCTGACTTGTGACGTAGGTTACAAGTCAAAAAAGTTAGATCTTAATGCTGCTATAATTTTTAAAAGGAATCTATGTCAGACTATGTGAAAAACAAAATAGCAAAACGTTGTTGTGCACAATATGACTTTTTGAAGTTTATGACCATTGATGGAATATTCTGTCTGTGTTCAGCTCTGCTCCTAATTAACAGCAACTGCAAATGTCAGTACAAACCTCCTAACTTTCAACACCTACGAGCCTTGTGTTGTTGTGACAGTTATATTTAGAGGTAGGGTTCAAGTTAGTCACTAAAAATGGTTACGTTACAAAAGTTTCTGACCATTGATAGAATATAATATGCCTGATATGTTGATGATTAATATGATCATGCTGGCAAGTCTTGGACCAAATTCCTTCCCTAGTATTCAAGTTGTTGTTCATAATGCATTTCCAACTTGGATACTCTTTTTTTTTTCACTTTAATTTTGCCAACACAGCTTACTGAGATAGTAGCAATTTGCACTTCAAGCCAGTACTGGCCAGATAATAAATTGTATCGTTTTTTTTAAAACCTTTTATTCTTGTTACCAGCAAAAGATATACACAAAATTTTCCAGAATCCTGAGCCCTGAAAGGTCTCTCTAGTTGGTTTCTTCTATAGTCAAAAAGCTGGGAAATGTTCAATCTGCTCTGCAGAAAGACAAGTGTCTGTCTTTTTTTCTTTTTATCCCCAAAGTGAAACTGTTGTCTCATACGGCACAGGTCTAGCCTTAGATTAGCAGGGCCACTGCACAGCAGCAAACTAGATGTGAATGCAGCCACAGAAGTATGTCAGCAGTCACAGTGATGAAGAAACTCAACTTGGCACTTCTCTCATCTTGTTCACTGTGTATAGGCCTTATGGTAGGGGGAGGTTACCCACCTCAGCCTTACAACAAGCAGACTCTCGTTTTGAATACCCAAATTTAAGTGTGTCTTTGTCAAAAAGGTAACACTACATGGTGTTGCATTATTGTAATCATAAGCACTGCTGCACACAACTACCACAACTACATGGTCCTGCGGAAAAAAAAGATGTTCGACCTTAAATGAAGCAATAGAAAGTAGATAAACCTAAAGTTCACTGGCAGGCAGCACAGGGGTGTCGTAATTACCACTGCTGCCTTGTAGTAACATTGATTTGAAGTCGGCGTTGGCTGTGAAAATTAGAGTGTACATTGGTTGTGTGGAGGAATGAGAGAGAAAATAGAAAGAAGGAGAGGAAGAGAGGAGGGAGAGTGAAGAAAAAACACAGAATGTTCTCTTTGATTAAATATATCCTGATTATTTTGTAGTAAAGTACTCTGATTACATGACACAATGAAGTATTTTTATCACATGTAATCTGATGAAAAAAAGGACTCTGAATTAGGGTTGTCCCAAAATACTTCCAATATTTACAATTACCTTCTTCCTGGAAAAGTGAAATATTAATATTGTGAAAAAAATACTCATATGGTAATAACGTGAGTTTTTTTACACTGATGCCACAATTCATAAAGCTGGGAGAAACGAGAAAGAGGCAGCAGTATCAAGCAAGATAGTTTGTGACACTATACCGCCAGAAATAATTTAAATACTATACAATCATTCAAAGGCCCACCATGAATAGCAAATTTTGTTGCTCTGTACTTGTGACATGTGCAATGACGATAAATTCAATTCAAGTTAGAGCACTAGTCCCCTTGGATCTCTGACCATTTGTACCTTTTAACCCTTCTTCAATTGTTTTTTAGTTCAGAATTCAGACGCTTTACAATAAGTGAATTTCACGTTTCAAAATAAAAGCATCCTAAATGCGAAAGAGTAACAAATTCGATTAAAAGCATGACAATATTTTTATTGGGCAATGTCTTCTACAAACAAGTTTCATTCACAGGTCTGGTGATGTGGATAAATCTCAGATTTTAACGCTATCAGGATGATGACATCTAAGTCAATCTGGTTTACTGGCAACACTTGTTAGTGAAGTGTTGCTCTTGAGCCTTGGTAAATTTTCAAACTTTCTAAAAATATCACTTTAATATCATATGTTTTACATAAGATGAAAATTGTGACAGCCCTGCTCTGAACACATTTTCTGATAACTGTACAGTAATTTCTACAACAGCTTTTTTTTAAAATAAGTATTATAGTATAAACCTTGATAAATCCTCCCAAAGTTCTGTAAAAAAGAGGCTCAGTTTAACTTCGGAGCTTGACGTTTATGAGTTATGCTGTCAAGTTTGTATCAGTGTCAAATAAATCCATTCACAGTGGAGTATTAATCTACTGGTTAAATGTAAATGGGAACCAATGTTGGCTGATTAGGCTTGAACTAATTTGGATTCATCCAAGACAGGTCTTTTTCTGCCTCTAAATGAGATGGCCTGTTTAAACAAAGGTTTAAATAAACAATAAAACAGTCAAATATATACATAATTGAAAAAAAGGCCTACTCCTTGGTAACATTTTGGACTTCGGTTTGTCTACAACTCCAAAAATGAAGGTTATGATGATCTACCAAGTGAGCACAGAGAATAAAAGACTAATCTGCCGTCTACTATGAATTTCATTCATGTGGCACTATTGTCTGGCACAATTTCCCTTAGCTAACCTCAGGTCAACTCGAGCAGGGATCACTTGCTCATGGTCTCTGGTTGGGAAACTAGACCTGTCCTCATTTAAGAGGTATCAGCCCCGGTCTGACAGCTGATCAATTTAACTTGTAATGACACCCCCCATTTCCCCCAGTTCAATCTGTCTTTGAACTGTGCTAATTTGTAAAGACTGAACTGGGAGAAACAAGTGCTCTAAGGCCATCAAATCCACCGTCCACATCATATTTCTACATCTGCCTGACTGAAGATGAAGCCTTTAGACAGCTGAGAGGCGCAGATCCTTTGTCAAACCTCCCCTGACCTGAAGCCTTTGTGTGGGTCTTGAACACAAGGAGGACAGAAAATGCAGCCTCCCCGTGCACACAGCTGTATTATTCCGATCTTGACTACAGGAATATCTCAACAGGACTCTGTATTGTGATGTAAATGTACGGAGAAACCATACAGTTGGGTGTGCATAATATGGCATTTCCCACTAAATTACACACATCCTTGCACAAATATCCCGTCCTCTAGCTGTAAGGCACAAACACAACGTGAGTGACACATCACAAACACATTAATCTGGACAAAAGCCTCGTAACCACGCGGGCTCCTGAGGGTCCCTGACAGTCCAGCAGCTGTCATTGCAGTCAAAAGGCAACGTTAGCTCTGGGTAACGCAGAATCCACGCTCTGCACGTGACTGAGCCCTACTGTACCTTCAAGTCATCCTCCTCTAGCTTAAAATAACCATCATTCACCCCAACGGCAAGAACCCGAGTCAGGATGGAGCTGATTAATAAACAGCCCCAACAATTGAAACAAGTGTAAGGAAAAAATCCACGCTCTGAGGAGGGCAGTGAAGAGGTTTGGCAGATAAGGTCTTGGAGCATAGGCTCAAATAAAGTCCTGTGCTTCTTCATGAATATTTGGTGACTTCATTATCTCTTTATTTAATTTAGGACCCTGAATGCACCCCCCTAGAACCAACCAGAATGTAGGTTAAATAGGAGCGGGCCACTTACAATGACGACGAAATCATTACGCTATTTTCAGATATGAAACTTTATGTATAAACTGGGTCTCGCCAGTCCTAGTTTACGTTGCGAAATCTGCCCCAGTTGCACATGACATGATGGTATGTAGAGCTCCACAGGCATTTGGATTAAACACATTCACAGCATATGCGTTTTAATCTGCATTTCAGCTGTGCGGAAGACAGCTTTTACAATATTTCCAAGGGGAAGAGTCTGCCCTTTAGATGCACCACACATCTGAAGACATAATCCACTCTTTACAGCTTACTAATTGATCCTGGTGATCCCTGAACCCCATCCTGACATAAATACTACACATAGCTGCGAAGATCAAAGTGTGAAGCGCTTACCAATGCTGTTCTTGGCGTCTCTCCTCAGACCACACAGCATGGCTGTAGTTTACACAGCGCAGCACCCCTCTGGAAGTAACCTTTGCTGCTTTGTAGTAGTGGGCAGAGAGCTGAAGGTTCCCACCACGCTGAGCTGAGAGTACTCGACCCCGGAGACTCAGCCGCTCACATAAAGCACCATCTTCTTTCCTCCCTTCCTTTGCAAAACATTTCCTTAACCCTTGCCCTCTGTTTGTAAAAGCCAAAAATGAAGGAGGCTCTGGAGGGCGAATGTCTATTTAAACTTGTTGACAAAAAGGTATCAAATCATAATCTTAATCCCTAAATATCTAAATCTACAAAACCCTGATTTTTCTTTAAAATCCAAAGCAGAGAGAGAGCAAAGGTTCATGTCCTTTTCTTGTCATCCTGCCGCAGTTCCATTTTTGAGCTATTCTTACTAATCATTCGTCCTTTTCCAGAGGGGTTTATCATCCCCCGTTTATACGCTCACATGAGCTCACACATAACCCTCCTCTTTCCCTTACAGAGCTGGAGTGAGTGTGTCTGCTCTCTCTCTCTTTCTCTCTCTCTCTCTCTCCCTTTCTCTCTTCCTTTGCCAGAGGGGTTCAGTGAGGCAGGCACACACGAGAGTCACTCCCTCCCCCAGCACACACATTTAACACACAGACACACACATACACGCGTACAAGCACACACTCTTTATCCATTTCCCACCAAGTCAAACACCCCTGTTCCGCTCATCCTCCAACCCACCCACACTCTTAGACACACTCTGAAACTAAACACGACTAAACTACACACGCTCAACTCCCGGCACAATTAACACCACCTGCACATTCATTGTCAGACTGAGCCCCAACCAGTGTCACGTTTTTCTCACATAAGAGACTGCACCCGCTTTACACAGCCTGTATCTCCAAAGTGCTAGTATCTCTCTCTCTCTCTGGCTGTGTCTCACCCACACACATAGACACACACATGAGCACATGATGCATACGCAAAATTCTTGTGCAGAACAGCTGCCCGTTTGAGCGCATGTTGATACTGATATACATAATAAGTCATGACTGGAGGCCGTAATGACAGATTCTATTTCTCATCTCGATGAAGACTGATGAGCAAAATATTAACATTTAAAATTGTGACAAAAAAAAAAAAAGAGGTCTGGCATCTCGTGTTTCTCCCTCAGGGATGCGAAAGGACCCAAACACAGAGGCTCTAATGGGGTGTGCTGTCTGACCCGTCACCGCACACCTGTCTGACCATTTGTCTCGCACTCAAACTTTGACGCCTGACACTCTCTGAGCCCCCCCGCTGCACCCAGTAACAACAACAACAGACGGCCTCCTCCAGCCTCACTGACGGCCCCTTTAAGCCTCTTCTGCCTCATTTGTTTTGGTCACTGCGGACAAATTTCAGTCGGCGTTCAGACTTAAGAAACAGAGATGTGCAGCACGCCAAAGTCAGACATGTCTCTTTTGACATGTGGTCACAAACGAGAATTTCATGCGTCTACCTGCTGTTTCATTGAGCCCAATTAGTCAGCTGCTCTAGCGGACACAATGCTCTTTAGGGTAGATAATTTCCTCTGAGACTTTCGTCCTTAATACCCCGTTTACAATGTGTGCGAGCGTCGTCTTTTCAGAGCGAGACTAATTAATTTCAAGATAGAATAAAGAGAAGTGGGAGACAGGGGAGTGCATTGAACTGATAAAAACCTCAGAGAATAGATGTTGGGTTGTAGTAAAAATGACTCTTTCGCACTTCCTCAATCAAGATCATTGATGCAGCGTTAGCGATAATGTACTGATTAGACTGACAGAGCAGAATATGTGCAGTGACCTTGGCGTACAAACATGCAGGAATGGTGAGGGAGAAGCTGAATCACTGCACCTGAAAGAGGCTGATTTAAGTATTCTGCTGATTGGTGACTCATTTTAATATTTCATCAATACTGTCATTTTAAAGATCTTTATTGTAATTATTCCTTGACAGAGTGGAATAAAATGCTTTTATAACAGGATGCCCTGAATCTGAACCTGCTGCTCTATCAAACTGACCATACTGCCACCTCATGGTGATTATGTTCCAGTGCAGCTGTCAAATTCGTGTCTGGGAAGCAAGATTCAGGAATAAAGTTGTCAGCCAGCACTCGTCATAGTTTGACATAAAGAGGGCCTGTAGGTGAGGATGTGTCATACACACTTATACTTAAGTTTTCACTTGTAAGGTTGATTAAAAGTCAGGTTTCAGGCATAAAAAAAGCTGTCTTTGATGGAAACATGCTTATATTTTCTCAGTTTTAGAGATCTATTTATGTGACAACAGATTAGGGGTGATTAAAAAATGATGTATTTGTTTTAGTGAGGTAACTTTTCTGACAGTTTAACAAAATTTTCAAAGGTCAAAGGTCTATATGATTAAAGGCAATCTGATTAACTGTCCTCAAAAACGGCACATCTTTTTTTTTACCTTTGGTTCTGCCTTTGATGACACCCAGACGACATCTGATAGAAAAAGAGAACATCCTCCTCTTCCCTCCTGCAGACCGGCTGCCTTTCCTCAGGGGATCTGTCTGGGGGAACGCAAAGGAGACCTGCTTTGAAGCGAGTCGTCCCTTTCCGAACACGATCCTCGCTGACATGTTCATTTTCTGAGCAGGGACGAGGAAAAAGTAAAAAGCTTCTTCTTCCTAGGACTCTCAGCATCTCTGAGATATTCCAGCTTCTGCCTGTCCTGCTGTTTTCATGTTCTCCTCCCACTTTGGAGGACTTCCAGTCCTCTGTGTTGAGTCTTTATCCAAATCTCCCCACTAACAGGTGCAGGTTTTGTGAAAAGAGGAAGGATTAAGATACAACACTGTAATCGTATTTTTTTTCAGTTTTCAGATACAAGTCAACCGGCTACAAAAATGTTATGTTTTTGCATCTCTGGCAATGTCAGTGTTTCAGGGACAGATGGCAGAGGGCTCAGGGCTGTGGGGCACAGCTTGTCTGCCAGAATGCAATGGAAACTTTCTCTGCAGGGAGCAGTCTCTGAAAATGCACAAACAAAATATACAATCTGAGCCAGCCATCTAAAGGTAATAACATATGATAACATTATCTATCATCTGTTATTACACCGGGGGCTTCTTTACATGATGCCAAACTGTATCCTTATAATTAGACTCCAAATATGGCTGAATCTTCTATTTTAAGGACTGTTGATGAAGATATGGCATTCAGGCACAAGTCTAGGACACCTCTTTGGGTTCCTTTTGTTCTTGCCTTTAAGAATTTGCTTTTGCTGAAGTTCCTGTCAGCTGAGACCACACTTCAAAATCTGGAGTTTGTGGAGTAACTTTAGATGTCAGACAAATTTAAAAATCTAAATATTGCAGCTCTCACATGTAGTCAAGTAGTTGTCCGCAGTTTAATTGACATGACATTCATTTAAAAAAAATGTCAAACTAAAAGATATTGCAAATAAAAAGGCTAAATGAATTAAAACATGTTGAATATCATCAGCTTTGTGCTCAGCTCTACATCAGGAAAGGAAACTGTTCATGTTAAGTTTTGTGGTCTTTGTCATTTAAGACCCAGGTCCACACTCTTCTCCTCTTCAGGGTCTCTTTCCTTGTAATTCTATTCTAAGTTCAGGTCACCCAAAAGGTGCTGAGAGGAAAAAGAAAACTAAACAAAAAACTACCATCAGAGAAGAGATGCCAGTGAAAATAGTTGTTCCCTTAAGTATAATACTGAGAGTGAACGTCCAGTCAACAACTTAAAATCCAGCATTTGTACATTACTATTGAGGAAGAAACTCACTGATCCCTATCTAAAAAGCGGTAACAAGGATTTGTTCAAGTCTTCTAAAAAAAGCCAAACATTTCACCTTATGAAAGGTGCCAATTGAATTTATTTTCAATCGGCTCCATTGCACATTAAATTCAGATTCAAAGGTACAAATATTACCTTTTTTTATCCTGCCCATTTCAGTTTCTTAACTTTAGATTTTTACCAAATTTTGAGCCACAGTCAACCTCTTTTCTCCTCAAAATAAAGGTATTAAGAGTTTAATTCTTAGACATCAAATGTGTATTATGATTATTTTAACATGTACAACAACAAACCCAACAAGCAGCATGTGTACAAAAATGACTCACAAGCAGGATTCAATTTTAAAGTGTTTATTGTGAATAACCAGTTTATTCATTCTCCTCACTCCTGAGCCTGGCGTTGGGATTTGTGATCTTGATGGCCAGCTGAGCTGCCCTCTCCACAATCACCTTCCTGTTCTTGGAGGAGACATTGTGGGCAATCTCAGCGCAGTGAGTCCTGCAGAAACACAAACACAAAAGTGTTAATGACAGGAAAATGTCCCTAAAATTTTACAGACACTGAGCACATACATGCATCATAACTTCACAACAAAATGAAAATTAATCTGGAAATATTTTTTTCTAGATCATCAAACCCGGGTCCAAGGTGATGTTTGGGATCCTTTGTTTTGTCCATGGAGGCAGAACATTAATCGCATCTTAACAGGCTGAAATTAACCAGTCCCTCTCTAAGCATCAGTGTTTATAGAAAATACTAAAGTAGCTATAAGAAAAATAGGGTTGCAAAGGAGGTGGGTCACATTTGATATCCCACTGCTCACCAAGACTGTTCCCAAAATTACCCAAACCAACTTAACCACCGGTGTCACCTACCCTGTCCTTACAGTAGCCATCCATCATAAATCCTTATCCCCTTCTTTCCCATTTCATCACACAAATACAGAGAATACAAATGCAACATCGAACCCACAGCTTTGCCTTCTTCATGGAAATGAGCAGTGTGATTTTTAGTGCAACCATACCAATTGAATTTCATTGACTCAGTAGGCATTTTAAAGTTAAAAACAAAGTATTGACAATACAGGAATAACAAAGGAAGCACATTTCGAGTGCTGAAGACATGTAAAAATTTCAACAAAACTACAATTTATGAAAATGTCTCACCCTTCTGCCATTATCAACAGTAGCAGTGCCATGGAGCACATATGTTTGTAAGTGAATACTCATTGCAAACATCCCTCCTCAAACACTCTCGCAACTTTATTTGAATCAAAAAGAAAGCTGATCAGTTCTGATGTAGACATTAATTTTGGATCGGGTTTGTCAGTTTCAGATTTTAAAGCCAGTGTTTAACATAAAAACATAATGAACATCCAGCACAAGATGTTCTTTTTAACTCACCAGTCTTTGCCAAGCATCCCCAATAACTGGAATGCACTCAACTTTTATCACAATTTTTTTCTTCTTCTTTATTATCATTTATTATGCATTTATCATCATTTAGTATTGATCTCAGCAGGTCTTTACCTGGTTAAATAAAAGTTAAAAAATTAAAAATCCCCATTAAAAATGTTTAAAAGAAGGTTTTAAAGGATATCCCTGCTCAATTATCAAGAGTGGCCTCATTTTTCACTTGACAGTCTTCACAGTCTTCACGTTTCTCAAAATCTCTGCAAATATAGCAGACCCTGAGAAAGATTGACATGTGTGTTGAACAGTGTATGGAGAAAACTTACTTGTTGCTCATCATCAGGACCTCAAGTTCCTTGACATTGTGCACCAGGAACTTCTTGAAACCGGAGGGCAGCATGTACTTGGTCTTCTTGTTGCTACCATAACCGATGTTGGGCATCAGCATCTGACCCTTAAACCGCCTGCGAACCCTGTTGTCAATACCTCTGGGCTTACGCCAATTTTTCTGCCAGAAACACAGACATGATTGGACAATTAATCACCTGAAGGTCAAATACGGTGTATTTAAATTAGAAGATATCCAGTCTCTGTCCAGTTTGTTTTAATACACTTACCGCAATCTTCACATATCTGTCAGACTGGTGGCGAATGAACTTCTTGGTTCTCTTTTTGACGATTTTGGGCTTCGTGAGGGGCCTGAGGGCTGCCATGATGACTATAAGCAAAAAAAGGACACATCAGTCAGTGTAATTGAAACATTTTTAGAGCCTGAACAGCTCACTGACAACATGGAGTGCTAGCTTCACCTGCAAAAAGCACGAGAGCACACAACACACGAGTAAGGCTTTACAACAAGTGTGGAGATTTCAACAGCTGACTGATTTGGGACGACTCCTCCAAAGAAACACCCAAACTTAAGACACTCCAATATCATCATCCCAAGTGAGCCTGTAAACGTGTTTGCATGCTAGCTTCAGCTGAGCAGTCAGTGTTTAGCCTGTTTGCTAGCCATTACACTGCCTGTCGTTATCAACTGTATTGCTCTGGAAAACGCATTAATTCAACACTAAACCTATTTGGCTGTAACCACCTGTTATATCATGATTATCAATTTGACAGGTCTCAATGCGCCTTTACGGAAATGTGTAACACGTTAAATAAGCGGAGCTGTAGCAGCCGGTGAGCCGCCATAGGAATAGCACTCCAGTCCTTAACGATATATTATGGACGGCAAATGTGATACATACGAGCTTAATTTTACCAAACATAAGTTGGGTGGACGTAATAGTGTGATAAGCTATGTCAAGATGTTTGTATTATCTCACATTTAGTGAGGATTACAGTAGATACGGTGAACTCACCCGCCGATGTGAATCCAAAAGGGACCTCAGCGACGGCGGAAAGGAAGAAAAGGACTACCGCGAGAGTTGCAAAGACTTATGGGTAGTGTATTTTTTCAGAGTATAGTTATTCGGGGCGCTTTCCTTGTCAGTCACATAGACAGTATATACGTAGACGCCTCATTGCGTGCTGGAGCGTAAACTACAGAGCAGTGGATTAAAACACTGTTTTAATCCACTGCTCTGGTTAACTAGCGTCACCGCCATCTTGGATGTGCCTACTCTAGGTTCGGGTCAATGGAGAACGAGCAACTAAGCCCGTATTTTTGCACTCTGTGGTTGAAAAACCTGACGCAGTATTGAAACCAGATCACGTAGATCACATTTCACAAATAGGATTGAAAAATATATTTATTTTTTATTTTTAATGTGTGACGTTGTTTTTGTATTATGGCTACATCCATGCCGTTGTAACAAACCAAAAAGTGTGAAAATCGGGCAGAGATTTGGAGAGTTATTATTAATATAGAGGTTGACAGTTTGGGTGAAATGTTGACCCTGTTTGGCCCTCAGACTAGACCTAGATCCAGATTATGGCCCTTACTGTGGTTGCGTTTAGGCATACGGGGGACCCATCCAAGATGGCGGCCGCGCTGAGACGAGAGCTCCAATAGGCAGCATCAGGCGTTGAGGCGTCTACATAAATAATGTCTATGGTCAGAAACTCACCCTCAAAAATGTTTCTTTAATTAGTTTAATCGTTAAAAGTTTTTCTTACGTTTGTGTCAGTTGTTGTGATAGCTTATTTTTGTCACATTTTCATCATTTAACGTGAATACAGAAGCAGACGCCCACCTTTCATCATGTTTACTTTTCAAGAATGACAATGTGCGCACTTCCTGAACATTTTTTCGAGGGAGGTCGGGGGAGTTTCAGCACATTCCCCGAGTTATCAAGTTCCTTTCCCCCCACAATACCAACTCTTTACTGCGCAAACACTTGAGCTGAACCACGACCCACAATATAAAGTGTAGTTTGGCTCCTGTTTGTTTGAGAGGAGGCTGTACCTGCTGACTGACCATGCATTACACGGGGGTGGAGTATGATAAAAGGTAAATCATCAGCTTAATGTCACATGATCATTGGTAATCGACATCCAGGACGTGATCAGATCACGGAGGAGAGCTTGATCAGTTCAGTCCTTTCTTATCACAAGTTGATTGTCTGTGTTTGATGGAGCGTCAGCCTATAATGAAGTAAGGGTCATTTAAGTTTGCGATTTGACTTCTAGGCTAATTTTTTTTAAGTAAAAATCTCAGTGGCCTTAACTTTCCTTTTCTTTCGTTCCTCTTTTGCAGCCACAACAACCCAGGCTACGGAATAGCGAACCCCGGGTATGTCCCCGCGGCAGCAGGAGGACCTGGTAAGATCAATAAATTTGTCCTATCAACTTTTAAAAACAAAATTAACCCGTTTTAAAGACATATTTGTGGTTGGTTAACGGAGTTAAAAATACACTCTCCCGTTACACGGTTCAGCGTGCCGAGCAGTGACGTCATTTCGACGTGCAGGTTAAGTGAGGTGTCACGTCTCGAAGACGCTGTGGGTTTTTTCAGCCCTACTACAGATCTATAGGAGTTAGAGCCTTCGGGGGACAGCTTTTTTCTGTCTGTGAGTTTTTAGTGTAGCTGTAAAACATCTTACGATGTTTGGAAACGCGGGTAATAACATGGAGGCGCAAGGTAAGTTCCTCAGTCACTCGCGACTATGTCCTCCTGTGTTTTCATGTATTGACAGCTATACATCAGATAATTACAAGGATTCTGTCTGAGTTTAGGAAAAGGTACAGCTATGAAATCTAGGTTTTAATTGTGTGCTGTATCTTAAACTGGATTTTTGTATTGTGCATGAAAAGTGAATTAGATTCAACTTGTGAAAAGCTAGAGTTGTCCTCATGACTGAAACTGGTTCTTCTGGTTTTCTTTCAGCGCTGTTCGCCCCACCCGCAGCTGACTCCCAGGGCCCCAGCGCTCCTCCGGCCAGCATGTTTGACAGTGTGCCTGGCTACGAAGGAACAGTGGCGGGAGGAGGAGGTAAACCACATATTGCATGCATTCTTTAGTGTTTTTCGACACCCCTCCTTAACCCTTGGACACTAAAGCTAAAAATAGTAACACCATCACCATCGCCAGGAGATTTTTACCCGGAATAATATACCCAGGAAAAGTACTTGTCATCAAAATATATCAAAACAAGACAGTACATGATAAATTGAAGTAGTTTTCCTCCATTTTCAACTGTGCAGTGTTCAAAGAGAGAGAAAGAAAGTACCATGAGGGACCACATAAAAATGCAACAAAATAACTGAAGTTAGGCATTCATGAACAAAAAATTCCGACATATATATATATAATTTCTTTTCCATCCATTTGAGAGTGTAGAGAGAACCAAAATATGGCATATTTTGAGTGGGTAAATATGACCAGCTGTCTAAAATGTTTCTTATCACCATATGAATTCCCTGAAAAATCACTACTTTATGATAGTTGTTCATAACCACTGCACTAAATAAAGAAAGCATGCAAATTCTAGGGCCACTCTTACTGACCTTATTCCCTACATGCAGCTATCAAATCCACCCAAACCCACTTACCCTCTATCACTATTGCTGGGTGAAAATCACCTAAACACGTGCCTGTAGGAAAAAGCAGGTGTTGGATCAGGGAAATAAATATGTCTTCAAAGATGTCAAAGGCAATGCTGAAGCTACCCAGGGACCCATGATACTCAGACAAACGCAGCATAATGAAAATCACCTAAACATGTTTAGTCGTGTAAAATCACCTGCATATAGTGTTCTAGGGTTAAGAATTCTGTGCTTCTAATAGGCCATCTTACCCTCATGTGTTTGTGAATTTATTCAGCAAAACACCACCAACACTCCTCAATATTCATAATCTGGGAATGCATGTTGTATACAATTTCAAAAGCATGCCAAAAGGAATGACCGCTGAGTACATAATACTGTATGATCAAGACTGGAACTAATGCTCCTAGGATAAACTGATGATACTGTCATGTCTGTCAAAGGTGGATTTCTTCCTCCTCCAATGCCTACTTTCCCAGCTGCTCCGCCTGAACCTTTACCCCAACAACCAAGTTGGAAGTAAGTCTCTAACCGTTTCTTTTTGTTCACGCATGAGAAGCCTTGCAAAAGACTTTCAGTTAAAATATACAGTAATAGCAAGCTAAGCACTTCCTCACTTCCTCTTAATTTTAAGACCCCATGCAATAATCTATCTCATTCTCACACTACTTACAGTATTCCATCTATCAGTGAGGACACAGCCAAGGAGGCGTTTGTCCTGTTTGCCTCCAGTAAGTGCTGCTACAGCACAGCACCAGCAAAGGATGGTATGATAACCAAAATGGACGCGTTTAATACCTATAGGGTAAGAGGATGACTGTTTAGGGGTGTATGTGTTTTGAATATGAGCAAGAAAAGCATAGAACCCAATAAAGCATTTATGGTGGCTATTAAAAAATAAATGGAGCAATATGATGACTCCTGCTTCCTACTTCAATGTTTGCTCTAGTATCGCCTGGAAACCTTCACTGAATCAAGATCTACAGAGTGGAGTCAAGAGCCATACAACGGTACACTAGTGTTATTTTGTTTCATGAGGGTCAGTCTCTTTTGCAGTCAGTCAGCTATTTACAACCTTGTCTAACATTATGCTGTTTTATTTGGATCAGGCCAGCCAGTGGATGCCTATTCCCAACCTCCACCAGGGCCGTGGGATATTCCGGCGAAATCCCCCAATTTCTTTGTGGATGACAAGCAGACTATCAAGGTTCCCTACACGTCATCTGTGAAGGTAAATCTCATTAGACTGATTTGAAAGAAAAACAGCATCTGTGATTACGCCAGTCAAGTCAGCACTGACTTGTGTTATTTTATTCACAGAGCTGCCACGCTTGTGTAGGAATGGGGAGGAAACCTTGCAATGACTGTGCCGGTGCTGGAAACGTAAGTATTTTCTATCACCTAACTGAAAGGGCAACTAAAAAAAACTTGAATTAGATCATCTGATCATGTGATTCACCTCTGCTTCTACCAGAAAGTCTGTTGGGTTTGCAATGGATCTGGTTTTCGCCACGGAGATGACCGGTGCCACCACTGCACCGGCAGAGGGAGGGAAAAGTGAGTGTAATGTATTTATCTCTTCGATTTTTAAAAACAGAGAAAAGATGCTGCTCGATAATAAAGAAACAACTCTGTTTTCAGTTGCAGCCGCTGTCACGGGCAAGGATCCAGACAATGTGATACATGTCAGGGAAAACAGCAGCTTCTGGTGTACATCAAACTCAATGTGAAATGGTACTGCTTTCTCTACATTTATGAAGAATGTCTAATTTAACTAATAGGACATAGAGTCATTGTTTTAAACTCAAGTGTCAATTTATCTGGTCACATATCTGCCACAAGTTGTAAATTTTGTTTTATTCCTGAATGCTTTCAGGACCAACAACATTGATAACTATACTGTGGAGCAGTCAAGTGGACTGCAGTTGGATAACCTGAGTAAGGTGACTGGCAAGGAGCTTTTCAGAGACTCTCAATACATGGTAAAATATACTTTCTCTCTGTCTTAGTGTACAAACTACATATTTTGGTTTTGAGGAGAATTATTTGATAAACTTGTAATCAAGCATAAATCTAAATGGCTTAGCATCTACTCCACCAAATGGTTTGCAAAACTGTCAACACAGGATGTGTTTCAGCCATGTTGTAATCTCTTGTGCCACTTAAACACTTTCAAGGTGATCTACTAGAAAAACTGTGGCTAAAAAAAAACCCTTTGGCCCCAAGTCGGGCAAGAAGTTCACAATTTTGCCTTGTGCACCCTGCGTGTTTTGAGAGAAAAAAAAAGGTTGCATGTCCATCCATAGTTGCACTGAAGGCTTTCACCACAGCCAATATATGAGCGACCACATAGAAGCACTGTGGCTGACACATCTGATCTAACTCTGATCACATAAATCTGCTTCTGCGTGCTGTCACACACGTAACCTTATGTTGACCTTTTGTTCTAAGGTCTTTGGTATTTTCCCACCCTGCACAGCTTCTGCTATAAAGTTTTATTGTGATTCTGTAAATTAATAAAGAAAATAAAACTCTTAACATGGTTTTAAACACCCTGTACAGGTCTATCCATTGCTGGGATTCCCAGATGCTGCAGTGGTGAATTCTTCACAGCGCCTTGTGAGTGAACACCAGGCCAAGTTTTCCCAGTCATCCCGCATTCTGCAACAGGTAACTGTAACCAAATCTTGTATATAAATTTACATTTTGTCTGTGTAAGTGTACTCACTATCAAAGCACATTTTTCCTTTTAATATGTTAATTGTTATTTTCTTTCCTTGTCTGCAGCGTCAAACCATAGAGCTGATCCCCGTCACCAAAGTGACTTACTCATGGAAAGGGAAATCACACCTTTATTTTGTTTACGGGAATGAGTTCAAAGTTAATGCTGATGATTATCCAGCTACTTGCTGCTGCACTATAATGTAATTGCAATGGTTGCTTATGAAGGTTTTTCAATTACAGATCAATGGATAAGTTTTTTCACCTCAGTCTGAACAGTGGGGAGTCCTCAGGCATGAAAACATGTCTATCTGAATCAGAGCTTTCATTCCAGCGAAGGCAAACAGAGAGATTTCACCAAAGAACTCCCACTTTTTCTGTAGAACTGATGAAACTGTTTTAAAAGTAATCTCCAAGGCTAGACACAAAGCCAGTTTACCTTTGAGCCACTAACGCGGTGTCTCTAACAGTTTTTATTTTGAGCTTTTTATGCACGCACCAAAGAAGAAAAATGTTTGCTGGCACAATATTAATGAGTCCAATGTCGAAATATTGACCTTTCTGATACTGAAGCGATATTATTTTTACATTTATAAATCAACATTTTTGATACAGTGTAGTTGTCAAAGTATTAACATTTATATGAGTTACTGCATTCTAATGTGATCTACTGCTGTTATGCTTGCATGGTCAATCATGTTTGTTTGTTTTTTTTAAATATTCATGTCAACACTGTTAACTTTATGATCTCACCAGTTCAATTTATCTGAAACCTGCTTTGTATTAATCCATCCATTTAAATAAATGCTATTTTTTTTACTTGATTTTATTATCAACACTATTAATTTGCAAAAGACAACATTTTTTGCCAGTGATATATTGTATAAAGCATCAGAAAATATATTATACATGCTCATTTAAGCCCATATGACAAAATATCAATCGTGTTCACAGCTCTCAATGAGTACAGTATTTCTATAAAAGCATAGTCTTCACAACTTTGAACTCATCTTATGATTAAATAGAGTACATTAAAATAAAAGAGAAGAAGGACTTGTTACATTTAGTTTTTGTGAATAGAATATTTAGATAGTATGGAAGAGTGGGTAAGATGAGCCAGTTTTCATATTTCGGATCACTACATCAAGGCAATCATAGTTTTTTCTCTCACTAGTGTATCTGCATTTATTTTAAGATGTTGTTCATCCCTGCAAACCAACAGAATGAGTGTAAACATAACTGTCTTAATAATATAGCATGCCAAAAAAGGGGTCTCCTATGGTCATGTATGGGGTAAGTTGACCATAGGAACGGGGTAGGTTGAGTCATATCCCTACTACCCCCCACTCTCCACCTCAGCCCTCTCTCACCTCTCTCCCTAAATAACAGTCACTTCCTCACATTCATGTGTATTTTCATCTATTAAACGCTACTCAACTGGTACAATACATTTTTATTATTATTGCATATAACTGCTAAAAGACTGTTTTTGAAAAGACATTTTAACATGAGAATGTCTTTAAGTGATTCAGAACATTCACAGCTGTATTTTTGAAAAGAAAAAGTAACACATTTCAACAATCTGAACTGAAACTCTGATCCTCTCACCAGACTCATTTATTTTCTCAGTTGAACCACTGGTTTAACTTACCCCAGAACTACTATTATGACTTTATTAGTCCTCTAAGCTAAAATGATGGACTTTTATACTAGGTCTTTGACCTCATGTTGTAGCTCATAGATACCACAATTGATGTATAAACAAATTAAAAATAATCATTTTTTGTCTGAACACAATTTTAATAAAACTTTTAACAGACTAAATTCACTTTCAAAAGTGAAAAATATCTAACCCCTTCACCCATGTGCTTCTAACCTTCACAGACTCCATGGATTGATGTTCATCTCCTAAATATTTGGTCACATGATCAATTTTTTTTACCATTTCCAAGCATCAGGGGCTCAACTTACCCCACTCCCCCCCTACAGTAACTCTCCGACAGCATAGTTTTCACAGCTTTGGACTCCTTTAACAATTCAATATAGTGTATTGAAATAACAGAGAAGGGCTCAAACTTGTTACATGTAGTGTTTGTGAGTAGGATATTTAGGTAGTAAAGCTGGAAAATAATGATCTTTTAAGCAGAAAGGAATACGGAACTCAATAAACTCGACCAAAAAAAGGAATTTGTAAAACTGCATTTCTGAGAAACGTGTTTAAGGTGATTTTTAGTGCTAACAGAATGAAGAGCTTCTCTAATGTTTTGCTTTTGAAAGTGTCGTCATCAAAAGTGGCCTGTCGCTCGTCAAGTGACGTGCGGAACGTGTTCGCCATAATGATAATAAACCGTGAATACAAAGCTACAATAAAGCGCGTTAAACTTTGGCATTGAAACGCCGATTGATGCGAGAATATTCACCTTGGACTACCGAGCTTGGACCGGCTTGAGCGGACGTAAGCCTCGGTGATTGTTGAGAAAACGGAGAAGAACTGAGCGGGACAACGAGGTGAATTTAGCATGCTAGCTAAGTAGCCCGGCTCACCTGTGATGCTGCTAGCTCGCACCTCGGTGTGAGGTTACATGTACAGGCAGGTTTCGTCGACTCGAGCATGTTATGAATTCGGCATGAATAGCTGTACATGTCAGGGCACCAAAGTCTCAATGCAAACTATAACGCTGGAGCTGGGGAAGGGACGCTTAGGAAAGACGCTAGCAGGATGTACATGATAGCAGTCTTGGTTAGCTTCAGTCTTGTTAGCCAGAATATCGCAACAGGCAGGTGGAGGAGATCACACAGCTGCGTGATCTAAGAACTGAGAGAGTTTAGAGCAGCTCAGGAAGTGCTGGGGGTTAGGTAATAGTTTCTAAATAAACCGTAACTTTTTATACACATATCTGAAAGACTAGCATAATGTTAGACTTAATACAAAACTACAAATCTGATCATTTTACTCATATTTACATCACAGTTGTTAAACATGATTTCTAGTATTAATACTTTTACATTTTGAACACCTAAAAATCACAGTGAAACATATGTAGTCTTCAGATATGCCCTCTCTCTGCTCCTCTACAGCACTGCAACACAACACTATCCCTCTAGTACACAGTACATTAACACTTGGGGTGCACCGATCACAATTGTCTGGCCGATCACAGATTTTGGCCGGTACCGATCTTTTTTTTTCTTCTTTAGAATTGACAACATACACCTTCCATGCTCCAATCTTATTTTCATGAAAAACATTAAACAATACTCGTGGAACAATAGAAACTCTTTGTGTTAGTTTTAACTGCACATGAGGTAGTTCTCTCAAATATATAAATGAAAAGTTTAGAGTAGGACTGGGTGATTATATGATCGGGATTAATGATCGGGATAAATTTAAGTTGATCACGGTGATCATCAGCTGTGAGCTTATTTACTCGATCAAACATGGCGAACATGTGCATCACAACAGCCAATCAGTGTCGAGCTTTTCCTGCTCACTTCTGTAAGTTGCTGGACATGTAAACAAAGTAACCGAAAGTGGAGCTGAGGGCAGTAAAATAGATGTCAGTCATGACTTGAGTCATCCTCCAAAGATGTTATTGTTGAGAAGAAAAGTTATTTAACGTCTTATTTAGTATTTATCTATTTATTTCTTAGTTTTAAGTACAGATGCTTTAAAACTGGCAGTTAAAAAAAAAATCGGGATAATAATCGAGATCGGACAATATGACAAAGTATATTATGATCATCTTTTTAGGCCAAATCGCCCAGTCCTAGTTTAGAGTATTGCTGTCCAAACTACTAAATTATATGAGTTCCTTTTGTCTTTTATTTTCCACATTTTAAAAATTAACAATACTTGCACAACAGGTCACACTGCAGGCCTGTTTTGAGCCTCTTACCAAAAAAAAGTTCACAGCACTATTTTGCTTTTACAAATAAAGGAAATCACAAAGTTTGAGGAAGTTAGAAAAATAATACTCTACAGGATAGACTAACACAACAACTTCAACCACCAATTAACTGTCCTGAGTTTCAGGTTTCCTTGTGGTGGGTTCAACATGCTTGGTTGATCATGGTCCGGATAACTGTTATGTGTGCTGCTGGTGCTGATGCACCCGTGCGTGCGTGCACATGCGACCTGGTGGCCTGTCATTCTGGCAAAGCAAAAGCTACAACGGCTGACTTTCAGACATCTGCTTAGGTAGATAAGAGTGGTGGATAAAATTAGATTCATATGTAGGGATCAACCGATCATCAATCCCCCAAAATTGAGAAGATCGGCGCCAATTTATCGGTGCATGTTTAATTAACACATTTTTGTGTGTCTAATAATAACAATAGAAAAACTTAATTTATTTTGCACTTTTAAAAACAGGGTTACAAAGTGTTTTGCAAATAGAATAGAAAGAGAAGAGGCACATAAAAGAGATGCGTGAAGAATACAATGACTAAACATTTAAAAGTTTGAACAACACAGTGATGATTTAACAACATAAAAGGTATAAAAACAAGCATCGAGCAAGTTAAAAGCACTTTATGTGTATATAAAAATGCATATATGTATAAATACATACACACAAAATACATTACTATAGACACACTCTTAAACACATATGAGTGTCTTGGTGGTGTTTCTGTTTACTTCTTATGATTTAAAGTCAAGGCACACAGCAGCTTATTTTATTATTATTTGTAGAATTGCAAACAGTTGTGGCTATTATCAATTATTGATCTATTTGGATAATTGACAGGCTTTGCAATGGCGTCGGCATCTGCCAGCGTGGACTCCAAGGCAGAGCTGACTGCTCTACTGGAACAATGGGAGCGGGAGCAGCAAGGCAGCACACAGGAGTTGGTGAACATCCTCACCAAGTAAATAGTTCTTCTCTTTTTTTGTTTAAACCTTTTATATCTGCTAAATCATAATGCCGCAGTGGTTACACGGTGGTGTGTGATTTAAAGGGGGTCAATGTGCTTTTTCTCTGTGTCTTTTAGGATCTCAGAGCTTGTTGAAAAAGAGACAGAAGAGTACCATAAAGCAGACCCGGACCCTTTTGATGATCGACATCCTGGTATGAAAAAAGATATATGATATTGTAAAATTATCAGGGATTTATACAAGGAGTATGTTTTTGACGTTTCCCTTTTGGCCACCAGGGAGAGCTGATCCAGAATGTGTTCTAGGGCACCTGCTCAAGATCCTGTTCAAGAATGATGACTTTATGAACACAGTAAGAGACTGAATGGAGACTTAATTCACTCCAAATTCAAGGCAGCTTTAAGCATCTGAGTCAGAAAGTAACTAAAATTTCTCCTTTTTGTAGCTGGTGAATAGTTATGTCATGACCAGTCGGGAGTTTTCCCTGAATGCAGCAGCTTGTCGCCTGCTCCAGAACATCATGCCTGGGCTGGAGACAGCTGTGGTCTTCCAGGAGAAGGTGGGTCATCCTTCATGATGTAGAAAAATACACTTAAGGGGTCAAAGGTAAATAAAGTATGTTTTGTCATTGATAATAGGAGGAGGGAAAGAAAGGATGCTCAAGAAAACTAAAAATGAGACTATATGATTTGGTAACGTCCATAAGTTCTGCTATCTGTGAGTCAGTGTTATGTAAAAAAATGAAAAACACAACAAATGTAGGAAACCATAGACGACACTGGTGGTTTGAAAATGTTCTTCTGCTTGTTTGCTCACAGTCCAGCTTGCAGGTTAGTCACACTTTGACCTCCACTCCCTGACACCTGATTCCAGGATATGTATAAACCTTCACCTGTATTCGTCTGTTTTTATTGTTACAAAGACCTGTTTTAAAGGAGGAGTTGAATGGATAAACTTAATATAACCTTTGACATGCTCCTTATTTGCTTGGAAAAACAAAAACTTGTTCAGCAACATAACTGAATTTTTTAAACTTCTAAACCTACTTTCCTTTTTCCTTTGTTTGTCTGCCACAGGAGGGCATAGTTGAAAGGCTTTTCAAGTGGGCTCAGGAGGCCGAGCAGCCCCTCAGGATCTATGCCACAGGATTGTTGGCTGGAGCCATGGAGAACCAGGACATTGCAGCCAACTACAGAGAGGAGAACTCTGTTCTGGTCAGTGTGGGTTATCTGTGGTCTCAAACGTGTGTTTTATTTTCGTGAAACACAGACGTCTACAGTGATTTACAAAGCACTCCAACAAACAACAATTAAAGTTGTGCAAAGACTCCGAGCACTTTGCCCCCACAAGGAGACTTTATTAACTCGCAGCTTTCTTATCAACTCGTTTTTCATGCTTTTCTTGACAGGTGCCTTTGATGCTGCATCGCTTGCGTGAGCTTCAGGATAAGGATGCTGAGAACAAAAGGGAAATCAAACGGCCCAGCCCTAGGAAGATCCTTGGTGAGCCTTTGCTTCCTTTGGATGAGGAGACCATTGACGGAGGCTTTGAAGACAAGCCTTTCACACTGGGCAGAAACGGAGCAGAAAGGGAGGGGACAGGGACGGAGGAGGACAGCGATAAACCCCTCTCAACCATAGAACCTGAAAACGAGCTCTCTTTCCGTCTAAACTCCCCTCACAAGACCAGCAGCCGCGCCAACTCGGCTGTTAAAACCATGATGAAGCCCATGTCTGCCCCCGGCTCGCTGAGTCATCAAGGCATGTCGGATGGCGGCAGTTACCTGAGAAGGAAGGCGGAGAGGGACAGCGGCAGGATCTCCAAGCAGAAGCTGAATTTCTCCTTGCCAGATCCGGAGAGGAACTTCAGTGAGCTCTCAAACAGCAGCTGGTCTGAGATGAGCCCCTGGGTGATCGGGAACAACTATCATCTCTACCCCCTGACCCCAGAGATTGAGCAGAGGCTCATCCTGCAGTATCTCACCCCTCTGGGAGAGTATCAGGAGGTAAATGTCACTTGCAGCACAATCGAGGGTCACTTTGAGCTGTTACTTCCCATGTCCTGTCAAATAATTACCAGCAGATGTCAGTCTTCTTCAAGTTTTATGAAAAGATGGTTTTCCTCTGATGCAGTGAAGAAATAGGCTCAAAGAAATACCCTGCGTATTTTTGTTTAATACAAAAAAAAGTCTTTTTTTTGTGTTTTTTAAAGTTGATTCTTTGCTGTTTAAAAGGCTGTAATGTTTTCTTGATGATTATTCTTTCTTCTACATGCAGCTTCTGGCCGTGTTCATGCAGATGGGAGCTCGTGAGCTGCTCATGCATTACATGGATCTAAAACAGACCAATGATGTGCAGCTCACCTTCGAAGCCCTCAAGGTGAGAGCTCTCTCCTGCAGTTCACTCTCCACAGCAAACAAAAGTTGAAGCGTTTTTGCCTCACTGTTGTTTGTTTTCTCTCTCTCTCTCTCTCTTCTGCAGTACCTGGCGTCTCTGCTGCTGCACAAGAAGTTTGCTGCAGAGTTTGTGGCTCATGGAGGGGTTCAAAAGTTGCTGGAAATCCCACGGCCGTCGATGGCAGCTACTGGAGTGTCACTGTGCCTCTACTACCTTGCCTATAACCAGGACGCCATGGAGAGGGTACAAAACAGACATACATGCAAATAAAATAAATATTAATGACCATATTTGTGCTCTTTTTGATTACATTTTTGCATAAAAACACACATAAATTCAGGAACTCATCTTGACAGTAATTTCAAAATACCCTCTGTGTTATGACTCCAGATTTCATCAGTGTTACACACCTTTTGTTGCAAAGCACATTTGTATTCACTGGTATGTCTTCTTTCCTCAAGGTGTGCATGTTGCCCCACTCCATCCTGTCAGATGTGGTTGGTTACACGCTGTGGTTGCTGGAATGCTCACACGCGTCGGGGTGCTGCCACGCCACCATGTTCTTCTCCATCTCCTTCTCGTTCCGCGCCGTCCTGGAGCTCTTCGACAAGCAGGACGGGCTCAGACGCCTCGTCAATCTGGTGAGACAAACCAGCGCTCGCCTTTCTATCGCAGGATAAATCACGGCAAATGCAGTATTAAAGTAACAGTGCGACTTCACCTTGTTCTCATCCTGTATTTACAAGTGATACGAACTGATTGTTTACAGATCAGCACCCTGGAGATCCTGAACCCTGATGATCAGGGAGCGCTGCTGAGTGATGATGAGATTTTCTCAAGCAGGCAAACAGCCAAGCACACCTGCATGGCCCTGCGCAGGTACTTTGAGGCCCATCTGGCAATCAAGGTGGAGCAGGTGAAGCAGTCCCTTCAGCGCACAGAGGGGGGCGCCCCCATCCATTCCCAACCTTACTATAAGGTATGAATAGCGCAAAGGATAAGTGAGAAAGACATTGTTGCTAAATAGGTTTTAATGTCCCAAACAAGTTTTCTGATTGGTTGTTCTGATCATGATTTAACCGCTCTTGTCTTGTTCTCCAGGCGGTCAGCTACAGTCGTGAGCAGGTGGTGGAAATGATGGAGTTTCTTATTGAGTACGGTCCACTCCGACTGTACTGGGAACCAGCAGAGGTCTTTCACAAGCTGTCATGCGTTCAGCTCCTCCTGCAGCTTATTTCAATTGCGTGTGACTGGAGGACCTACTATGGCAGGTATGAACCAGGCAGTAAATCTCCGCTTTTACTGCTTTAGCTCATATCCTTTTCTCTTTTTAACGAGCGGAGTAACGAGCAGCGCTTAATCCCAGTGTCTGATATCGAGATTGTTCCTCTCGCCCTGTAGGAGTGATACAGTGCGTTATGCCCTTGACATCCTGAGTATCCTCACAGTCGTTCCAAAGACCCAGCTGTTGCTGTCTGAGGCTGTTGCTGTCCTTGATGAGGGAGGGTCCAGTGTTTCTACTGTCGGTAGGTCTAATCAGAATATGACACAATTTCAGCCTGTGTAATGTAATGAAAATATCAGCTATCAGGCCTTATTCACAGGGTTCCTACACAGTTGGAATTTCCGTACTTTTCCGTACCCTTCTTTTTCGAGTTATTTTTGGAAATACCTATTTTTTTATTTTAGACAACTGTGGTAATAGTATGGACACATCAATATTTTTCCATACTTCATTTTTCATTTTCCATACTTTTTAAAGGGATATTCCGGCACAAAATTGATTCAGGGTCAAACACACTGTAACACCGAGTTAGACACCCAAATTCACCAACTTTAGTAACGACCGCATCATAGCAATACACAGCGGTCTCAGGAGCCACACACAAACCTCAACCAAAACGCCACTCTATAGCCACAAATAATGCTCAGAACAGCACCTAACTTCATCAACAGTACATATAGAGTCCCAGCCACAGCACTAGCCACCAAACATCTGTTTAACTTTGCCTGATTTCTTTAACAAAGAGTCTAAACACAACTCACCTACTCCCTTCCAGCAGTCGCTTGTTTGTAGTGAGACCTCGACCAGTCCATTACAGACTGCTGCGGGGTGCCGCAGCTCAAGGAAAAACATTTATGATCATTATTTTATCATTTCATTGAAGTAATAATCATCATATTAATCATTTTGCACTGCAGACGAGGTAGTTCTTCTGCCTTAGCGCCTCAGTCTGATTGCATTTCGATGAAGAATTATTTAATTTTACGCCGGAATATCCCTTTAAGACCTGGTAATTGATTACATCTATTTCCATACTTTCCATACTTTTGTGGGAACCCTGTATTCAAATTTTTGCAAATACGGATTCTGAAATAAATCACTTAGTTTTATTTATATTAAACAAAAATGCTAAACTGCTAAAAGTGGAGCAGCATTGCATCAGAAATCACATGAAAAAATTAGGATCAGTGATCCTACTACTAGCCATTGTTAGTAGTAGCAGACAGAAGCTTTGTAGTTTCACTTTTGTTTGTTTCATACAGCCTGTGCCCAGTCCCGCTGAGGGAATGGCACAACTTCAAGTAATATTTCTCTGCGAGGTTTTCCATTTCAGTGTCCACTCTTTTTCCCTCTAAGGAATGAGTATTATCCTGGCGGTGGCAGAGGGAGAGGTGTTTGTGAATGATGCCGAGATTCAGAAGTCGGCTCTGCAGGTCATCATCAACTGTGTCTGCGCTCCAGACAAACGCATGTCCAGCATTGGCAAATTCATCGCGGGAACCCCCCGCCGCCGCCTGCCCCAGCAGACCAAAGCCAGCGAGAGTGTGCTCACCAAGATGTGGAATGTGGTGCAATCCAACAACGGCATCAAGGTAGAGTTAACTTTCACCACTTAGCATGTGTTTTGTGGTTTTTACATTCTAACGTCTGTTTTTGACATTTTGATATGAAACCTCAAAGGCTTTTATAGTCGTTCTGTAAGACGGGCTGTTTTCAGCTGTGACAGTGGCTGAAAGGCACATTGCTGCTTTGTGACAGCTCTTGCTAAGTGCTGCGGCAGTAAATGGACTGGTTATAAAGTGCCTTTTTTCTCGGGAACAGTGCACATTTTTAAACACTTTTTTCAAAGCCTCAAATTCACAATCTATGAACTGGAAGACACATTCCTGCACACAAGGAGACCTAGGATTCAGATATTGCAGAGGGGATACTAGATGATATACATGCTGATTCACAGGCAAATAGACATGATGTGGTGCTATTTTCTTATCAACATCAGAAAAGAAAAATTTATCAGGCAGAGGAATTTTGTGACTAAATCTTGATTTGCTGAACAATTATTATGCTAAGAGGCTCTTAGACTGGAGGTCTGGAGGTGACACAAACATTGGATCCAAAACAAATATTAACGCTCGTGATTAAATGCCTTGTTGGTTCTGTAAATGTAGTCGTATCACCAAAGTAAAGTACTTGCACAAAACAGAGCCTTTTAGTCGGATATGTCATCAGTGTTGGCTGTGACCCCCAATTTCCACCGCATCTGGAGCGGCTGCGAAAACGCCGTACGCGCCTATCGCAGCTGATCGTTTCCGTTCAAGTTAATGTGTCGATTTCCACCGGCTTCTTTCTGTTCTGCCGCAGTTCAGCGGACTCTGCAGCCGATCGCCAAAGTTCTATTTTATCCGGACGCAGCAGCATGCCGCGTAAATTCAGCACAGATTAGCGCGTGCTAGAAAGTCAGGCACAGACACAAAATAAAACATCGGGCTTCTTTTCAGAATAAAACACTACATGTTTCAGGCGGATTGTATTTTACACCATGCAAACAGGCAGAGATGAACAAGTGAAAGGTTTTTAGACAGCATTTCACCTCGTTGACATCACGGATGAGGAGATGCTGATTCTAGAAGTCTAGAAGTGGATTTCCTCCTCTGGAAGGACACAATCTACTGCTTATATGGTTATGTGGCCGTTTTTTTTATTGAGACAACTCATTATCGCGCAATTGCATGTGAATCTGCGGGTTCTTGTGAGTTCTCGTGTTTTCCGCTGTCCTTAATCCGCCATGAAATTTGCCTCACAAACGCATCCGGCAGGAATTGGCGGACAATCGGTGCCATTCCATAGCAGAGCTGTCCCGGATGCGGTGGAAATTGGGGTTGAGACTTTAGGGGAACCACGTCTCTTCTGGATCTTACAGAAAGATTGTGATTTCCTCAAATATTTTAATAATTCAGAGTCATTAATGACCGTCCAAATTTCTTTCTACATCCACGGCCTCTACCAGTCAGCACACTCTGTCAGCCTTTGTTTTTTTAATACCCATTCTGCATCCATCCTGTAGGTGCTGCTGTCTCTGCTGACGGTGAAGATGCCCATTACTGATGCAGATCAGATCCGAGCTCTGGCCTGTAAGGCTCTAGTGGGTCTGTCTCGCTCCAGCACCGTCAGACAGATCATCAGCAAGCTGCCTTTGTTCAGCAGCGGACACATCCAGCAGCTCATGAAGGAGCCCGTGCTCCAGGACAAACGCAGCGAGCACGTCAAGTTCTGTAAGTTTGCAGCCGAACTCATAGAGAGGATCTCCGGGAAACCGCTGCTGATCGGCACGGACGTGTCTTTGGCGTGGCTGCAGAGAGCCAGCGTGGTCGCTCAGTCCAGGATCAGCTTCCCTGAGAAAGAGCTGCTGCTGCTCATCAGGAACCACCTTGTTGCAAAAGGTCTTCACAGTACCGCCACCACGCTCACGAAAGAGGCGGACCTTCCCATGTCTTGTCTGTCTCATTCAACTCCTGGGTTTCCTCCTGTCGCTCCTCCTGTCCCTGCATCCCCCGTTGCTACTCTCCCTCGCACCCCACGGCTTGCTAACGGTGTCGGCTCAAGACTCGCGAACCACCCCCCTCATTCATCCACCCCAGGACCCAGCAATCCACAACCACGTCCCTGTCCATCCCAGCCCACTGTGTCCTCCACATCTTCTTCTTCTTCTTCTGCTGCTGCTGCTGCTGCTCTCCCCTCAACATCTGTCCCCCACTGTAGCAACGGCTCACCTCTGATTGGACGGATTGTTTTCTCTCGTGAACGGCAAACAGGGTGCAGCGCCGTAACATGTAAAAAACCGCGGGTGCTGAGGCAGAAGTCTGACCACGGGGCGTTCAGCCAGAGTCCAGCCATGAAGAAACAGTTTGATAGACACCTGCCCTCCCCTCCTGCGTTGGACAGCATCATCACAGAGTACCTGAGGGAACAGCACGCACGCTGTAAAAACCCTGTGGCAACATGCCCGCCTTTCTCTCTTTTCACACCCCATCAGTGCCCAGAGCCCAAACAGAGACGCCAAGCACCCATCAACTTCACATCCAGACACACACGGCGAGTCATTTATCCCAAATACGGAGGAGTGGATGGAGGTTGTTTCGACAGACATCTCATCTTCAGCAGGTAGGAGGCTTTGTTAGAGTCAGGCCTCCTTCCTTGAACACAAACACGACGCCCCCGAAACCATTTCTGTACACTCTCTCTCTGTCATTTTCCCAGGTTCCGTCCCATCTCCGTGTTCAGGGAGGCAGACGAGGACGAGAGCGGATTCATGTGTTGTGCCTTCTCAGCTCGCGAGCGGTTCCTGATGCTCGGGACCTGCACGGGGCAGCTCAAACTCTACAATGTGTTTACGGGCCAGGAGGAAGCAAGCTACAGCTGTCACAGTTCAGCCATCACTCATCTGGAGCCTTCACGGGTCTGTAAAACAAAACAAAAAACTTTATAAATGTATTTATAATGCGTTATAATCACGTTATTATGACGGAGTATTAGGGCCACATTAAGAAAAAAAAAAAAAAAAAATTAAGACTTCGTAATTACTTAAGAGAATAAAGTCATAGTAAAATCATTACTGACGAGAATAAAGTCGTAGCTAGTAGCTATTCTAATCTGTTGTTAGTTGTTTAAATGAGCGCTCTGGAGCATTTAGGCAAATTGAACTACAGTAGCAAGGTTTCACAAACAAGCAAATCCTTTGGCGTTTCAGCATCACATTGTCACAATTATCAGGACATATGCAAGAAATGCGTCTTTCTCGCAGAGGGATACAGGCGGATTTGGAGGGAATCGCTGTTTTTGACGAGAGGGAAATGGCTGGGCAGAGGCTAAATCCCTCAATAGCAGTAGCAATAGCATATGGCTTTAGTTTATGGTATCAATCTATATGCCGTAAGGTGTTGGTGCCGGTGTTGTGCCGGCATCCAAGACAGACGCGGTGCTTGTCGGAGCTCGACTTCCTCTGAGTCGCAAAAGTTGATCATCAGTTGGATTGTTTCTTGAGAAACCACAAAAGCTCCATGAATGGCCCACTGATGCACCCACGGATAACTCTGCAGTTGACCAGTTCCAGACATTTCCTCCTCCACAAAAGCAGCTTTAAGACTTCATTTACTTTACGACTTTATTCTGGTAAATAATGATTTTACTACGACTCTATTCTCATAAGTAATGATTTTTCTTAATGTGGCCCTAATACTCCATCATACGTTATAGCTCTGTATAAGTATAGTTATAAACACTTATAACAACAGTTGCGTTGCATTATCTATGTGGGCATTGTCAGTGAGTTGTTAACAGTTATGAGACATTATAATACCTGACCTTGTAAGTCATGATAAAATGCTTTATAGTGTGTTATGATTATTGTTATAAAGCATTACGATCATTTATGAGTGTTTATAACTATACTTACACAGTGATATAACGTGATTATAACACATTATACATATATTTGTAATGCGTTATAGGGATAGACATCATATAAAGTGTTACCAAAATCTGTCTTTAAAGCTGAGGATTTGAATCCTTAAACTGTCATATTTTGTATTTTTAGGACGGCTCTCTGCTCTTAACATCAGCCTCCTGGAGTTACCCTCTGTCTGCACTGTGGGGCATGAAATCAGTCTTCATCATGAAGTAGGTGGCGTTTGATTTTTAACGACTGCATAAAAAATTCATTCTTTCAAATAGAAATCTGAAATATTCAAGTATCTGGAGTGTGTCATTGCCGGTATGTGCAACACAACTTCTGCCTCAGTGTAGGCTGTCAATCAACAGTCAAGCTGAACTGAACGTATGTGGATAAGCTGAGAATACAGCAGCTTTATTCTGCCAAAGACAGAGGGGAAGGGAGGATGCTGTTTAATTATGAACGCTTACAGCCTGAGGCCTGCAGTCTACAGTTCAGAAGACACAAGTGTTTTCCTTCATTCATCGGCGCAGTTTACTGAGGCAATACTGAGAATCTCCTGATGTGGATTTTTCCTATAATGTCTCGAATCAGCCGAACTTTGACACTCCTGCTGTGTGCGTGTGTGTGTTTATGTTTTTGATGAAATGTTCAAATAATGCTCTTGTTGTTGTTGTTGTCCTCAGGCACTCTTTCCTAGGCGACCACTATGTGGAGTTCAGTAAGCTCTCACAGGACCACGTGATTGGGACGAAAGAACATGTTGCACGTGTAAGCATGTCAAGACTTTTTCCTCCGAATTATATATATATATGTATATGTTCAATTATAAATGATAAATGCTTACATGCAACTCTCATCTCCTCCAGATTTATGACATCCAAACGGGTCAGGTGACTCTCACTCTGAACAACCCTGATTTGGCCAACAACTATAAGAGGAACTGTGCCACCTTCAACCCCACAGACGACCTGGTGCTGAACGACGGCGTGCTGTGGGACGTTCGCACGGCTCAGGCCATCCACAAGTTTGACAAGTTCAACATGAACATCAGCGGCGTGTTCCACCCGAACGGCCTGGAGGTCATCATAAACACAGAGATTGTATCCTTGAACTTCAAACTTCAAAAGCTGATAAGAGTCGAGTACAGTAGGAATTAGCCTTAAAGTTTATTTATAACAAGGAGCATTTTCTAGAGAGGTTAACCAACACTTTATATCTGCTAACATTGCAGATAAACAAATACAGGTTGCTACATGAAACTGCACTGAGTGGTTCAGGCTAGGGCTGGGCGATATGGCCTCAAATCAGTATCACGATATATTGAGTAGTTCACCTCGATAACGATAAATTGACGATAACTACTCCACAAGCCGTTCACCCCCTCCCACATTAACTTCGTCTTCTTCAGCCGCTACAACTTTTAAACCGTCCTCCATCTCCTCACCTGTCTTTCCCTCCTTGTTACAGACTCCTGCGTCTTAAAAGGACATAAGACCGTAGCTTAGCTACACACATCGAAAACCAACTTCTATTTATTTATTTTTTTGACACCGAATATCTTGACATGGACAAAATGTCGGTTATTGTCATAAATTTCGGTATCGGTAAATTTTCGGTTTATCGCCCAGCCCTAGTTCAAGCTGACAAGTGGGTACTAGGTAGATAAAGGCCAGTCTTAGGTCCACTTCTTTACCTGACTGACCAAAAGCTTTGGTAAATACAGCATAACATCTCTTCAGTAACAATCTGGTGACAACACTGAGACTACATCTATGTTTTACACAGTCTGAAGTGTTCATCTCTCAAGTTTGCTGCTGAGATTTAAGTTAAAGATAAATTAAATGTAAAAAAAAAATTGACCTGGGCTTAAATTTGGCTACACTTTGGAAGATGTCATTTGTATCAGCTCCAGTGATAGGACGATTATTGAGCTTTTACTTCACAGCCAAACATTAAATATTTATTGCAGTAAAAATTGATTTTTGCTTCCCTGGAGATGGTTTTAAAGGCTCTGTAATAAAATGCATTAAATGTATTTGATACAAGTGGAAAATGAGGACTGCGGTGGACCTTAGTTTCAGTTTCAGTGGGATCTGAGGACCTTCCACCTTCTCCACACAGTACCAGCTCTGGACCAGTGCAGAATAGTCTTCAACAACAACGGCACCGTCATCTATGGAGGTAAAGCCGCTGAATGATGGGTGATGTGGAGTGTTTGGCGTCAAGCCCGTAACCGGCTCCACAGTCGGTGTGAGTGTGTGAAAGGTGTGTCTGATATGAGGGCTTTTAGTTATGAAGCGAAATGAGCATGTGCGTATTTAGAGACAGAGAGGTGTGAACAGGGCGCATAGAGGTGTGTGTGTGTGTTTGTGTGTGTGTGATACCACAGTCACTCTGAAAGCCATATGGGCAAAAGCCTCAGCGTTGGACTGGCAAAAGAAGGAACCAGCTGGTTTAAGCCGCTTCACAGGGCGAGCCCTCGGCGTGCCATGATGATCGCCCAGATGAAAGCAAATTCGACTGATTCTCTACTCTGCTCTGTGTTTTTCCAGCAATGTTGCAGGCTGATGATGAAGACGACATGATGGAGATGCAGATGAAAAGTCCATTCGGTTCATCGTTCAGGACCTTCAATGCTACAGACTACAAACCGATCGGTAAGGCTGTCAGCTCTCTCCTAATTTTGACTGGTGTTTTGATGAGTCTTCGGCTCTTGTTGTTGATTTCTAGAAATTCACTTTTGACTCAAGTTCTTTGCTGTTTCCTTTTTTTTTTTTTTTTTAGCAACAATCGATGTCAAGAGGAACATATTTGATCTTTGCACTGATACCAAAGACTGCTACCTGGCTGTGATTGAGGTCATTTCCTGTCTTCATGGCTTTAAAATGCAGTATTTTTAAAATGAGTTTGAAAAACTTCAGTTTAATTAAAAAATCTTCCTGTTTGTCGTGTAGAACCAAGACTCTGTAAACACCGACACGGTGTGCAGGCTGTATGAAGTTGGCCGTCAAAGGCTAGCTGAGGAAGAGGAGGAAGATGAAGAGGATCAGGTATCTTTTTTTCAATTGCTCTGTTTTAGTTTTTTTGACCTTAACTGCTGAGAAAAAATTAACTCTACCTTTTTTTCCTTTTGTGTGTCAGGAGGACGACGATCAGGAGGAAGATGACGACGATGACGAGGATTCAGACGACGACGTCGACACGGATCCTCTCATCGCCGAGCTCGAGAACGAGAACGGTGGAGAGGACGAAGACGACGAAGAAGAAGACGATGGAAATGACGAATTTTCTCCATCCGATGAAGAGGTGGCGCGTCTTCTCGAAGATGATGTAGATGCCGGAGATGATGAGGACGAGGAGGATGACAATGATGATGACGACTCGGATAATGATGATGTTGATCTGGACGGGGACAACGGTGAGTGACTCTGAACCTGAACGAAGATTTCCCAGAGTAGTCATTCATTCTTAAACAATTATTGTGCGCTTTATTTTCATCAAATCGATTTTGATTCTTTTCAGAGGGAAGTATTTGAATTTATAAATCTCAGCTCTTGTCTCTTGTAATGCATCTGACACACTGCATGCAGGTGGAGGCTAAATTAATGATTAGCCACAAATACTGATCATAGTTTTGCTTTCATTTTAAGTAAGCGCGAACTGTGGAGCAACTTTTTGTTTATGCAAAAGGAATTAATCCCTTTCTGAAACCTTATCTCTGACTGCAGAGTTAGAGAAGGCTGCAGTTTGGTCCAGTTGTTGTGTTTTTGTGTCTGTCTGTTCACTCTTAAGAAACTGTTCCTTCCCAGTTGAATTAAAAACTGCTGTGTAGGTTTATTCATGCCGGCGAGAGACGGAGAAAGCGAGAATTTATGGGCGAAAATAAATGTACTGCTCTTTCACATTTTGCCAAACCTGCACTGTATTTTGCCTTTTTGGCAGTTTTGCTCCTGACCCACTGACCCCTGCTGCAACACATTTCTAAATCTGCTTTGTCTATCGCGCAAACAGACAGCTCCGACAACTCTGACCTTGAGGATGACATCATATTATCCCTGAACGAGTGAGGAGCCGTCAGCGACCGCGAGCGAGAAACCGGGCAGCGTGTCAAGACTTGTGCCTCATAGACATTTGAGCTGCTGGACAGGAGGCTAGAAAGAGGAGGATAAAATCGGCGGATAAGGTGGGAGATAACATGGAGCACTGCCAGTTTGAAACAGTAGGTGTCTGCACCCTGAGTGGCAGGACCAAGAAAACAATCTCACAGAGGTAGAGGGTCTGGGGGGGCACAAAGCGACTTATTAGTGGGCAAAATGATTGTTTGATCTAATTTTATAAAACAAAAGCGGGCTTGATGATGAGCCAAATGGGTGAGTGTGTGGATGCAGCAGAGAGAAAAGTTTTATATTTGAGCACATTAGGGGCTTTTTAAATGAGCCTTTTCATTTGATATTGATTCACTCACTTTATAAGCCTCTGTTTGGTCACAGATTAGAGTTTGTAGGGGAAAAGGCTTACATTTGCAGGGCTGTGCGTCTGCATTTGTTTGGCAGGGGATACAATGCTCTCCAAAGCTTGTATTTTGCCAGACAGCCTCAAATAATCACCCAAAAAGTACATAAGTATTGAATTAGGCAGCTAATGCAATGCACAAACATGTTTTTCGATATTTCAACAAGTGTCAAACACACCTAAAGGTTTTACTTTTAGCATTTACAGATGACCAAAAACCCACACCTGGTAGTGCCATTTGTGAACATCACCCCCCCCAGATTTCATTGTGTAAATAGGGAAATGAAATCGGCTTTGTGCTGATTTCGAAGATAACTAGTGTGGACACTGTAACTATTGACACACCTGCTCACTGTCATCACATGAAGGGCATTTAGAGGCTGCCATAGCGCTCTATCTGCGAGTTCTTTTACGACATGTTGTTCAGCCCTGGAAGGTTCCACCTCGAGTGGATGCATCTTGAAAAGATTACTCTCCAGTGAAACTTTTTGTTCATTTAACATAAAAAAAAAGAGATTTTTCAGTGACTTTTGTTTAAGGCAGATAATAAACTTAACATCATCATCCCATGGAATAATACCAATCCACACAAATCTAAAAAGTGAACTTGGAAACTCTGCACACAAGAGACAATTTCAGCAAAAGGTACAATTCAGATCTGTTTTTTTTTCCCCTGAAGGAGTGACCAGAGGCTTCGAACTCTGAACATGGTGAAAACAAATGCCTTGTAGTTGCACACTTTTTAAAAGTAGTGCAAACGTTCAATGATTTTTTTGCCTTGTATTCATTTTGTCAGTTTTCTTTCCATAAGGAGACTTTTATGTTGACTTTCTTGAGACAGTTTATGTACAGCTTGTATGTATTAAAGTATTTTTACTATAAATAAAGCCACAAAATTAGATGTTTTTGTGCTTCTTTTACATATTAAGATTAATGATGACCAGCAATGGATGCGCAGAAAACTGTGGTAGCTTTGTGTGAGTATCTGGTTCAATTTAACACCAATAAAAATACATTTTACCAGGAGAGTTATCTGCATGAAAGGAGCTCCTGAAGGATAGATTCTCAACATATGGAACTTAAATTAACCAAAGGGTTCCCATCAGGTCTTCTGCTTTACTTAATTTCTTTAATCCTCATGCGAATGGCTCTTTTACAAATCAAGCTTCCTCAAAATTTTACCCCTTAACCTGCACTGCTCCTGTGAAGCAACTGGTGTAGAATCCAAAGATAAAATAGTACAATTTCTAACATCTAAATAAGTATTCTTCATCTTATTTGGATAGGAAGCGCATTGACACCTGTGTTTAAATATACAGTATTTTGCTACTATTCTCCTCATTTCACCTCTAACGTTCGAAAATGTCTTCCACTAAAGCTGCCTCAAATAAAAAATCTCAGCTCATTAGATCAAAAACTAGTCCTGGCTAACTCTCGCTACCCCACTGAACTGGAACTGCCTCCCAGCAGTTGGCACCAAATAAAACGGATAAATCACAGAGGTCTTCCAGGACCGATCTGAGGAGCCAATTGGATGAATTTGAACTTGTACTTTTTGACTGGTTCTGGTTCTGTTTCTGGTCTTGGCTTGTCTCTCAGCTCTAATCCTTCAGCTCCAGTGTGGTTTATTTTTCAAACATTATTATATACAGTAAAACTTATCACTAAATGCTAATTCTTTTAAGTTGACGAAAATGCATTTACAGAGAAAACAAGTTGCAGATAGACTAATATACTACAACCTGTTCATGCAACCTGGCATTAAATCATTTCTTTTATACTCTCAGAGTGTTTAAATGGCTCACATTTCCTCTAAGTGACACTTTGGAGGTCTCTTCATTGTCGAATTGTGCATGCATGCATTCGCCACCACGTTTTCCCGTGGCCTCCTCCACAGTTAATAATAGAACCAATTTAAATAGTCTCCAGTACCACATTGAGACGCGTCAAATAAGTCTTCTTAATTGTGCTTTTGCTGCACGGGCATGCGTGTGTCGGTGTGTGCAGAGATTACTTCAACAAGGAACAGAGTGTGCATGAAATGTACGACCGTGAGGAGTGTAAAGAAATCAGAATGTGTGTGTTTTTGTGAGGGCAAGTGATGGATGAGCTGGTGAGACACCCTTCTTATTACCTCCTTGGCTGGCTCTTATTGTCTGCTGGCTTCGGGACTGTTGAAACAGATAGCAGCTCTCACTGTGTTAGGCAGTCCCTGTTTGCATTGGACCAATGTCTCATCCTCAGACTGCTGCTGCATCAGAGCAGGAGCTAAATGTAGCCACTGCTCTTTCCCAAGCTGTACCAGTTATATATATATCCCTGTCAATGAGGCGTTTTTCACATCTTTAGGGGTTTTAAAATACCCCAGAGGCCTGGTTTTAATATTTGTACAAAGCTTATGATTAGTTATATTTTATTTCCCCATAATGTTTATCATCTGGAATGCATATTTAGCTTACAAAACGCCCCACACTCCTCCAGCTTTATGTATGTGATTGGAACACCGCCCACAGTGTTCCACTTGAAGTAATAGACAGATGGGAGTCAGTCATAGCGCTGTGTCGCTGTGATGGAGAGAAATTACCCTGCTGAATACTGCCCTCCCTCCCACACTACATCAAACTCACTGGACGCTCAATATTCACCAAATCACTCCTATTTTTCTGCCAATGATCGCTTGTCTATAAGACTAGACAGCTTAATGCACCATCATGATGAGACGTGCATCTACTGATGAGTGCAAAGAAATCTGTTGTAGATCCTCTGTAGTCATCGGGTTTAAAACAGCAGCTCTTCAGCATTTCGTTCAGTGTTTTTTTATTTATTTAAATGATGCGATCAAGGTTGTAACAGGAAAGCTTTACAAAAGAGGTAAACACTCATAAAAATCCAGGAATCTCAGCCTGTGTTAGGCTTTGTTTATCGAGTGTCTTGTGCGTCACGCTGGGACTCAAAGTCTTTCGCCCCTTTAGTCATATTGAGACGTTAAGAAAGTCACCAGTGGTTTCAAGTGAGCTGTTAACTAGTGTCTCAGCCAAATGCGATTATTGTAATACATCCGCAGCTATTTCCTCCATGAATCAATCACCTGTGTAGCATTTAAAAAGGCTGAAATGTCAAGATGCTCCTCAAACTCCAATTTTAATTCTCAAATCTCTTGTCGAATCAGAAAAAAAATTACACGATTGAAGTTTTGATCAGAAAATTAAACTTTTCATTTTAACAAGGCTCAACTCAATTACTCTGTTTTAAAACAGTGACTAATTTTTGACACCTCACCAGTCAACCTGGACTTTGTTGGAGCGTTACAGCCAAGTCATTTGTTTTATGACATTTTAAAAGCAGTGACTCATGTCAATAAAGTCAAGCCTAAGTTAACTGCATCACATATACGTCACTGCATTTCAGATAATCCAAGATAAATCAGTCTCCTGTAACTTGGTTAAATCTCATCATGGGACCACATCCATCTTTGAGCATACAGAGTTTATGCCTTTTATTTCAGCTGAGGTTTTAGCCACTGCCAGGGAAGTGACTTTCTACAATAGCAAGTAAAAACCATTACAAAGTAGCCTGATTACTCCTCCTTTTTCAGTTGATATATTTAAATACGGCTCTTTTAGGCCTTGAAAAGCTTGGTGAGTTAATGGATGTTTAGCTCAGTGGCACCTCTTAACCTGTGAGTCGTTTCCAGCGAGGTGAAAGCTTTGTTGAAGAAGTGAGACCTTCATTTCTAAAGTACGACATTTTTAGACAGAATCATTTCACATTGAGCAAAATAAAACAACTATACAGAGATATAAATACATTCTCCAGCTTAATATGAATCACCTACACAGCTACAGTTCATTTAAGTCAAATACTATGATAAACAAGAATCATCCACAGACCAAAAATCATAACTACACGTAGTTGGGCTAGTTGTAGTTTATCAGCAAGCTGATTAAATCAGCCAATTTTAGCCCGTTTGAGACTAATCAGTAATCGGACAAAACTCACCGATTTTCGCCGATACTTTTAGAAATAAAATGTTGAAAATAAGATTCAGTTTCACTTCGCAAATGTTCCGCCATTTGAAAAGTTCCCCAACTTATCCTGTAGATGGCGCAGCGACCTCATGACAATCTTCATCCTCTAACTACCTCACAGCACAGCAGAATGACGGATCTGAAGCAGGCAGCCCAGGGACGCACGGAGGAGAGTGGTCCGCCCCTACGGTAAATAAAACCAGTTTGTGAAGTACACAATAAGTCAATAAGTTTCAGTTCAACCCACTTCACGATGTTCCCCGCTGTGCTGGTCTCGGTCGCACCAAGTTAACGTTAAAGCACCATGTGAGCCTTGCTACACTGTCAGCCGTGCCAGTAACGGTAGAATAAACAACAGTACACATGAAGTGATTGAGTTGCTTCTCTTACTGAGGCAGCTGCATGTCTCCAGATGAGATCGGACCTGAAATGTGTAATGTGAGTGAAGACGAGGCACGATCGGCGGTGGCGGTGGGAGGGGGGTTAGTTGAAAACGCTTTTCTGATCCAACTCCGATCAGTCAGTCTGTCGGCATGAAGAGCAGTAGCCTACAGTGTATCTACAGTATACTGTGGATATCTACAGTGTACATATTTTTATAAGTTCATTAAAAAAATTGAAAAATCGGCCGATTAATCGGTAATCGGATTTTTTCCGTAATAATCGGTATCGGCATCGGCCCCATCGGTCGGGCCCTACTGTAAAGGCATCATGAGTCATTACCACCTATTAGATCCCATAAGTGAGGTTTTGTGAATTCATAAATCAGGCATTATTTGCTCGATTGGTGTCTTATGTGTAATCCAAGAGTTTGCCAAAACTATCAATCTTATTCTAACGGGAAGTTGCCCTTTAGGAATTAGTTGCCTCTCATCTGTGTGGGAGCGTGACTGCACTATGACAAAGCACCGCCGGTAGTGGCTCTGTTTCTCTGAAATGACTCAACCAGGAGGTGCTTCCCCACATGGCCTGCCCTGATCCGTAACACCGGGAGCTACTTTATGGCCAGCAGGCCCCCCTAAAGCGACACATTCAATCAAAAAAGGCAGCATTCAGCATCCGGCGGCAGGAGAAAATGCACTTTGTGTTTCTGATGGATGCAACTGCCATGCGGAGAGGAAGAGAGGAGGGGAAAAGGGAGGGCGCGTATATTTGCAAATGCTTGACATATCAGTGTTGACAAAACGAGTCATGTGACGACCATGAAGATGGCGCAGCTTATGGTATAATGCAGTTTTCTCGGCGTTTTCCTGCATTTGCTCATCACTTGTGACAACTGAGCGAATCGCGTCCTTCTTGCACACTAATAATCCACCGATGCCGCTCGCTCATGTGCGTCGTGGATCAGCTGGACTTGGTGCGCGTAAAGAGAGACAACAAAGAAAATTAAAGAGAGGGGGGAGAAATATCCTCGAGCGAAATACACCTCTTCTTTCCACTTGAAATGCGGCTGCAATAACACCTTTTGTGGAGAGCTGAAAACCGCTCGCTCGTGCGTGTGCGTGCGAGCGTACGCGCCTGCCTTCTTTCCTGCCTGCTTGCTTGCCTGCCTGTGCGCGTGTATTTTTGTGTGCGTTTGCGTGCGTGTGCGTTACATTAGGTGGACACGGAGACTGCATCAGACTGGAGACACACGCCGGGACATAATAGAGCGGAGATATTGAGGCTTTGATGGTCCCTTCCTCCTCTTCTTCGCGCACACAAACGTCAGGATACCGATTCCGGTGGAGACATGTAGTCCCATGAACGAGCTGCCTGGATCATCTGTAGCCTTCAGCTCTCGTTTTTTAAGCGGCATCATCTCACGATATCGACATAATGTGGCTTGCTCTACCGGAGGGAAAATAACCAATTATGTGGATACCAACAGAGGAGGAGAAAATCGGAGTTGGTGAGTCAAAAGCATCCTTATTTTTCTTAATTTACGACGTTTCTGTTGCAGCTTTTTCATTGACTTCAATCATACAGCGTTTTGGTGGCAGAAACACCCAATTCTATCCATCGACACTCTGCGTATAAGCTATCCAGCCTTTTCTTTCGTGTTGTTATGTCCATTACACCCACTGAAAAACACATACACTTCTAATGGCTGAAATGCAAGGCCAGTGACTGCATAGAAAGGGAAATTGCGTGGGATGCTACAGCCTCCAACCCACCGCCTTACAGATGCGATCGCAGTCTGTACACAACCGCAGGCGGTGCTTCAATTCAGGCTCCATCTATGTAATCCTATATGGTTTTATAAGGGGAAAAACTGCGTCAATGTAGCATTTTAGCTCTTTCTTGGAGAAGCGTATCTAGAGAGGGGGAAGAAGGGGAGGGAGAGGAAAAAGGCGATTCGAGTTGAAACCACGAGGGGGCATCGTGACTGCGTCCCTCCAACAGGTGTAGGCTGGAGTGAAGCTGGAGAGGCTACCTGTAGACACAAAAGTGCTTTTACTGCTGCAATAACAACTTCACTGCATTGTGGCACACTGAGCATTTCTCTCTCTCCTTGCTGCATGTATAAACTTTGACACCTAGAAAGAGAGCTAAACAAATGTCAAAGAAGGTTCATATCAGTCCAAAAAGCCTTGGAATAAAAATAAAGAAGAATTGCGCACACAAGTGTCCCTATAGCATGCGATCTCACTATAGAGGGGTTTCATTATAGGGGGGATGACTCATGTCCAGATGCTGTACTGCTTGTTACTTGCAGGGCTACTCACATGCCGGTTCACACATGAAACTCCCCGATCCCACATCCTCCCACACATTTACACTTTGCATTTGTCATGATCGTTTCACAAAAGACTGCAGGATGTGTGCGCCCCGGCGGCGATCCACCACCATCATCTCAACACTTGGAGGCTGTGGAGTAATATGAAGGCATTTGGTCGTGATATATCCCTCCCAGGATGACTGCAGGGGTATAAAAGGCTTCGTATCGGGGTTGTCTTATAAATAAACAGAGTGAGGGAGTAGGTATATGTAGTGCTGTGTGAAGCAACAGTTCGGCTCAGCCTCCGCATCAAGTGTTTGCGGTGTGACCTGGCGCTGTCCGCGGTGCTGAAATGCGGGGAAGCAGAGTCTGTACCTACCTACACAGTACACACTGTACCTTGTAAAAGGAAGCCCAAATTACTCCTTACAGTCCCCCTTTTTCTTCGCCTTTAGATAACATGTTGACATGCAACACAAGGATCAATATCCCCCCTCTGTTTCTGTAGATGAAGCCCACGCTGCTGGCCTGCTACGCTAACCGGCTGTATCCTCTTATCATTCCTTTTCTGTGTCATCACTTGCACCATTTCACTTCTTCTTTCTCCTTATCTCGCCTATAAATTGTCTCTCACCAGTGATACAATAAAAGTAAGCGTGTCTTTCTTTCTTTCCCCTGTGGTACTTAATAGGCTCCGTCTAAACAGGAAACAGTCGGAGGCCACCTCATGAAACCTTAATGCCTTTCTTAGAATTGCTGCCTATTCATTATGTTGTTCTTGGTTGTGTGTTTGTGCGGGGAAGAGATAATATTAGTTGCTAAATCATTTTTAGAGTGGCACCAAAGGACCAGGCTGCTTTTTACTATTTTAAATATTTTAATTACTAATTAATCTGTAATTGCGTGTGTTGTTCTCCAATTAAGATTTCGTCAGTGAAATTTCAAAGTGCCCACAAGCACATTATCATTAAGCTGCAAAATAAAGAATTACAAGCTTATTGACTAACAGTAGGACTCGGTGATTATATGATCGGGATTAATGATCGGGATAAATTTAAGTTCGATCACGGTGATCATCAGCTGTGAGCTTATTTACTCGATCAAACATGGCGAGAATGTGCATCACAACAGCCAATCAGAGTCGAGCTTTTCCTGCTCACTTCTGTAAGTTGCTGGACATGTAAACAAAGTAACCGAACGTGGAGCTGAGGGCAGTAAAATAGATGTCAGCCATGACTTTGAGTCATCCTCCAAAGATGTTATTGTTGAGAAGAAAAGTTATTTAACGTCTTATTTAGTATTTATCTATTTATTTTTTTATTCGGAAGTACAGATGCTTTAAAACTGGCAGTCAAAAAATAAAAATCGGGATAATAATCGAGATGGACAATATGACAAAGTATATCTTGATCATCTTTTTGGCCAAATCGCCCAGTTCGAACTAACAGTGATTCAAACCTGAGGCCAGTCTTTTTAAAAAATGGTTTGCCTGTGAATGCTATTTGTAGACAGTAATATTGAAACACTTTCTTTATACTTTTATTGGACAGTGCCATGACTGCACAGCAGTACCTGCCCACATGAGAGCGACTGAAATGAACGAAATGGATCTATCTGAGTCCACGTGATGCAGCTGAGACTCAAACTCCTGTAGCAGTATGCTAAAATATATAACAGACTGTAAACCACTATTATCTGTGAAGGACCACTCTTAAGCCGTGTGTGTTCATGACAGAACAATAGGTAAAGCTAGGATGATACTCACAGAGATGAAAGTGGTTAAAGTAGCATTTCTGTGTAGCCTAAGCCATCATTTTAACCCTTACTTTCACTACAAATACACTTTTTCTTCCATGTATGCTCGTCATGCACATGGCCCAAAAGTGCTCCATGATAAGGTCATCATTTCACAGTTATTCGCAGACCCTGCGGCTGAGTAGCAATGCCGGGATTTCTGGGACACTGCTTTGGAATCAGACATGGTAAAACGCTCCTGTGCCTCAGCGGCAGAAATCCTGAGGTTAGCAAGACTCGGACGCAGTAATGTGTCTGTGAGTGTGCGTTCAAGTCATGCTGAACAACATGACTCAGTGGGCGAAGCCTGGAGACCGTCGTGCAATTTTGAACTTAGCCAGATCTGGGACAGGATTGCACTTAGCCGTGGTCTGCATACTCGCAATGGTTGAGCTTCACACTCGTAATCTACAGTAGACTACATTGAAGTAGAGGAATGTCTCAGAAGCTTGTTTATTTCAGTGTTGCAGTTTAAGTACAGTTTCTTTTCCAGTGATTTGTTTCTCAATACGATTTTGCCATTACCTGCTGTGGGAAAAAAAGACAATTTATAAGCCCTAATAGTGTTTACTGGTGTACTGGCAGCTTTCTGATGACATCTGCCCTTTCTCAGCAGATATTTCTCCCCTGTGGGCTATAGTACTGTAACATACTGTATATGTTTTCACTGATTCCAAAGCAAGGTCATTGGGCTGCATATACTGTGTTGAAAGCTTCACTATAAACTATGAAGAGGAAAAACATTTTTTAAAATGGCAGCATGTTATAATATTTACACTGATTTAAGTCTCACTTTATCTGCTGTACAAGAACAATGCATTTATTTTGACTGAGTCGCATAAATTTTAGACTTAATGATACTATGTAGCTGCTCTGATGTCAAGTAAATGTTTTTAAAGGGTGTTCAAACCCGAGAAATTTCTCATTTTGTACAAGTGAAAACATGGGTATCACCAGATTAATTGCATAGAGTGGAATAAAATGACATGGGTTAAATGCTGCAAAGAAAACCTTTAATTACATTTTCCTATATTAGATGAGATTTCTGTCTAATAACTTCTAGATGTTTAAAATGAATCCAACTACTCATAATGCAGAACAACTTCAAAACTACATCAGCCTTGTTTTAATGTTTTTGATTACGAGCTGTGGGAATCTGAGACTGTGGGGGAGAGCAGTATGTTGTACAGTTTGTATACTTGAACGTTTGCATGCAGACAGCAGAGACTCGAAGTCATTTCAGGGGAAAGTTCCCGTGGTGTGTTGTTGTTGGGTTATATGAGGTACATGTCAAGCGAGTGTATCACCCACTGGGGATCCTGGTCAGCTTGGCACCGTTGTTGAGAAACCATATGTCACAGTGGCTGGGCAATAAACTGCGACTTTAGTTCATTTTAAGAAACTTAATTACAATTGCTTAATTATAAAACCTGTTGGGCTTTAGGGTGTTGTTCTGCTTGAGTGTCTCTGCTGTTGGTTTGGGTATAGGATGAATCAAGAGCAGTATATATTGCCAGTAATTAAACTCATATACAACTGAATTTCACTGAAGAGGTCTCTTTGGAGGATGGTATCAGGATTTGATATTGTATCACAGCTTTAAATAAGGTAAAGACAGAGATCATACCAACAAGCTGTCTAATTAAAACTGCAAAAATGCAAAACACAATTTTGTGAACAGATTAATGCTAGAAAACTACAAAGACTGTTTGCCTCAAGACCAGCTGATTATCATCAGAGAGGGCGGTTTAAAAGTCGAAATTCATGAGCTACACTAAAGCAAACATTGATTTCAGTATGTGGAGCCATTCAATGGGGAATAATAAATCATTTACAACCATCATTCAATTAGAGTAAAAATATTCACATTGGCGTTTGGAGCTTGTTGAGTAAAATCCTTATAAGGTTATTTTTTTAAGGTTGTGTATGTGTGAGATTTGATCTATGCATTCCTACAATGAATACTGAGTTGTACATCATTTACATTACTTTTGTTGACAGATAAGCAGATAATAAAAGGCCTTTGATAGAATAAACTGTAGGATGTGTTGATTAAATTGTATATTAAAGTCATGTAAAATAACCCAGCTCTTATTCATGATCTTGTGTTTTAGTTGTTATAGCGTGGTTGCACATCCCTTTGCTGCAGTGAACATGTTACCTTTGCTTTAACTACATCTGAAAGTCAAAACAGGTAACTCAAGGACAACCTGGGGCCCCAAACTGAGAGAGCCCCCCCTACTGAGTCTGGCTCAAATTGTGTTTGGATGGTTTTTATATTTAGATTTTTCTTTTTTTTCCCCCATAATGAAAAGTTATAAAACAGGGATTAGATTAAACCAACAAACCCTCATAAATAAGGCGCTCTTGATACAGGAAACTTGAGCTGCAACCCTGTGAGTGACTGTTTTTCAAGCAGGTCAGCATCTCAATCCCAAACGTCAATCAAAGATATGCTAGAGTTATTGATTTGCTTCAATAGATATCTGTTATCCATTGAAGAACGAGGGTGCTGTGAGGTGAGAGGAAATTAGAAGAGCCCAGAAGTCCTCTTCTGTAATAAAGCCCCATAATCCAGTTACTGGTTACATAATAGCCGCCATAAGATACCATGTGAAACTCTGAATGTTACTCGATGGAAGGACAGTCTGGCCTGGTATATTGTTGCTGAGTATGAGGAGAGTTTCCTTTGCCAACATTTTGCTACAGCCTGTCCCGTCACTCCTTCCAACATCCTACGTTCAGCATGTTGAAAGAAAATTTGGTTGGTGATGTTTTGAGGATATGCTAATGCTCTGTAGCTTCCACGCACAGTAAAAAAGTGTTTACACAGCTTGGAGATTTTGTGAGGGAGGACGATGAAAATATGAGCCTGTGTGATGCGCCGTCTCTCTCTCTCAAAACATGACAATCCCATCTTGTTCTGACGTGGCCTCTGCTAAAGAGTTCTCAAATGGTGTGTGAGTGCAGGTTTTGCAATTCAAATGACATAAAGGCCATTAAAGAACAGGACTCTCAGATTGAAAATACTTAGCCCTGGCAGGAAAAGGGCCAGAGGCAGACTGAAAAAGGTGACGAAGAGGCTTTTTAAGTCTATCCATCTCTCTCCCTCTAATGCGTGCCCAGGACGCTTGACTTTAGCTCCTCTGCCATGCGGCATCCATAAGCTTGCCATTTTAAAATGCTCAGATCCCTGCAGCAGTTACAGTGAAGAAAGCCCTCCAGTTTGTGGATGATCTGTTGCCATAGTTACCGAGTGCAGGAACTGAGCACTTGTTACCCTCAAACAGGCAACAGAGCCGAGCTGTAGCCCCTCCTTCTCCTCCTCCCCCTCACTCGGTCCCCTGGCTAGCTCATTAGCATAATGATTCACACCAAACTCTCCTTGAAGGGCCACCATTTGTAGGTTTTTTTTCAAATCGTCAGCGGAGCCGTGTCATTTTCAAACATGTTTGTCTTACGTGAATGTTATAAAGCCCACAATATGCAACACGGCTCATGCTGCAGTGCTGCACAGACCAAAAAAGAGACCCCAGAGGCCACTCTGCTGTGAAGGCCTTTATTGTGGCATCTTTCCCCTGAGGTGTAATCGTGTTCTTAATCAGGCTGTGAGTCACAAGAGAAAAATAAGCTGCATGATGCTGTGAAAGCAGGTGGCATGAAAGATTTCTGCTAATTCCAAGGCATGATAAAGCACATTTAAGCCACACTACTGAGCACTCGGTGTGGGCTTCACTTTGGGAGACAATTTATTAATTTAACATGCTCAAAAATTAGGCCGCTTAAGAATTAATTGCCTCTTAAAAGGACAACCCACTTCAGGATGGGAGCTTGTTTACAGTTAGCTAGGCCATGGCTCATGTGTGACACTGTTAAGAAGTTTGTATTTAACAGCTTATTAAAGTCAGACTAGAGTCCCAAAACACATGCTGTGTGGAGAAACAACAATACTCATGAGGTGGCTGGCTTAATTTGAGGTCACAGAGCTGAAACAAGGCATAGATCTTATTCTGTGACGTTGTTTCTCTTCACAGTTAGTGCAAAAACTACCAGAAGGTCAAATATTTAACCATCGCTGTTGTGTCAGAAGTTTCTTTTTCTTTCTCTGCAGTGATCTGCAACTTCCGGTCACCAATATGTCAGGCCCTGGTCCTGGAGATTGGGGAAACTGTACAGATCCTGGAGAAGAGTGAAGGTAAAACCACCAAATCTCAGACTATATTTATTTATTGTGCATTATATCAAAAGATTGTAGTTATATGGAGTTCATGGTATCATCCTGCATGACGTCGGTATATACCCCATATAGAGCTTAAAGTCTCCCTTGTTTTAATTTAACTTTTAAAAATGAAGTTCTGTATTTCTAGAATCATAGTGAAGACTAAATTAACGTCCCGAGCTTCTGTTTGAGAAAAAAACAGTATATTACTTTACAGGCTGATGTAGTCCTGCCATGTTTGTTGGGAACAACTATAGAAAATTAGATGATTTTCTATCATACATTTCGATTTAAGTCAGAACACATTGGTTCAAAATCAACTACGGAAAAGCTGTAAGCCAAATTAACAAAAAATAAAATGAAAACTTTGTAAACTCAAAAAATAACCTTTGATAGGCCACAGAAAAGTAGTAAAACTTTTCCTTTTATATGCAATATGTCATATCAAAATTTCCTGATGTATTGTCTTTGACAGTGTTGAGAAAAACTACTACTATGAGCTTTAAACTTGTTATTCTATGATATTGCCTAGCCAAGTGTTAGAATTAAGCGCTCCACCACAAGATTGTTTTCTCTTTTACTGCAAATAAATTACCAACATCAGATTTTTTTAGGAAACAATCAAAAACAGCACTTTTAAGAACTTTTGTGTGGAAATTATTCTGATACTTTAAATGTTGCAACAGAACATGGTAGAACTTAGACTAGTCTCAAGCCAGGTTATATAATTATGTGATTTATTTATAAAAGATGTTACTGATCAGATAAAACAGATAGATATAACTGCAGAAAGTACCACCCACACTGATATTTCAAGAAAGAGTTTAGCTGAGATTTTGTCATGCAAACTACACTTTCACCCTGAATATGTTGCTCTAAATGTGTTTTATTTAAAAATAATTAGGTTTCCTGTGTGGATTTTGCTCTTTCCCCAGGTTGGTACAGAGGCTTTTCCACCAAGAAGCCTTCTATCAAGGTAAATATGTCATTAGACACACAAATGTTTTCACATTGGGTTTCCTCTTATCACACTATTACTTACTAAAATGAACTAGAGGCATCATTGAACTTAAACTCAGCTTTATCAACTTTATCAAAACAAGAAAAATAAAACAAGTCACAGATTTTAACCTGCATATTTGAAGAACACAAAGATTTTATCATTGATGATGCATTTTGTGAATGATAATATGATGTTAACACCCCCAAAATAACCGTGTCTAGACAACAAAGACCTTAATGGCTGGTTAACTCATTGAATAGTACTGTGATAGGACTGAAATAGAAATCTCCTGACCTGTATTTCCTGAGGTGCTTTCATAAAGGCACAGTTTCTTTGAGCTGTTTCTTATTTTATGGCACAAAATGTAGCATCATCTTTGAGATTAAAAGAATCATGAAATTAAAGACACAATCAGTTCTCAAGAAAAGAGGAGGACTGCACATGAATCACATCACCTCAAATGAGACACATGGTAGTCCTTTGTTTTAATGAAAGCGTAGTAGGATTCTTAACAGATCATTCGAACCTTAATGCAGTTTTACAGGATAATAGGGTGTAAAGGTATTTGGGAAATCTAAATTTTGTTTTTCCCACAACCAGCAGATGGTGCAGTTAGTAATGTGAAAACAAGCTATTTTCAATCTAAAACGATTGAAAATCTACTTTTTATCTTGTAAATTGAACAAACAGTTTCACTCAGTGATTGTAAAGCACAGTAGTACACATATTTGTCTTTTTAATTTACAGAGAGCAAAAAGAACATCAGGGATCAGAGTCTTTATGCAGAGTCTTGAAGAAAATAGGCATTACTTAGTGAGAAGAGGACTTATATGAACACCATTATCACTGACAGAGATCAACACCCTACCCTGCAGCGAGTGGTTATTATATATGACTAACTTAAGTGATAACACGTATCAAAGATGGAGGATTATCATAAAAACAGTTGTAAGGGCAAAGATCAAGTCTGTACCACTCAAATATGAGGTAAACAATGAGAAACATGAGTGATGAGATAGGCTATATTTCTCCTTTTCTATGCAGTAGCTCCACTTTGCTTTTCACTGAAATATAAGTAGCTTGTAGAGTTATGTGGTGTTGCTGGGATGTTGTAAAGAAAGCACAAAAGCTGTCCAGTCCTGCTAAATGTGGGTGTTAGTGGCTACATACTGTCCTTCTCTACTCTCTACTCTCAGCTATTTACAGTTCTTACTAACACCCCTCCATTTTGTTATGTACTCCGCTGCCCACATTAATTCGCCCCCATACTCTCTCTCTCTTTCTCTCTCTCTCTTCATGCTGTGAGAATTAGTTGTGCTCACTGTGGCCAATTCTTCACATCTGGCAGATTAGAATAAGAACGATGAACTGCAAGGGTGGCACCACTCGGTCCCTCGTGCTCTTGCACCGTTAAGCCGAGCCACAATAGGGGCTCCCACCCATTGCTCTGCCTCTCGTTTCTGTAGTGTGTGCAAATAGTGAGGGATCTTTTTTTTATGCAAAGCTGAAAATGTAACAGACAGCAAAGCAGGAATTGTCGAAATATATCTAAAAGAAGTGTGATCCCGCATTTCCTTCAAGATAGAAGGTGATGCGGGCATGTTTGTGAAATCTCTTTATTTACAGTGGCACTCAACACAGCCAGGTTTCCCTTTCTTACAGCAGATTCATCACACAGTACTGTACGTTTTGGTTACATGTTGCAGGAGATTTAAGAATAATCCTGTCACACTCAGTCTCATCTCCACTCCTTCTTCTGTCCACAGGGGATATTCCCAGTCAGCTATGTCCACTTGAAGAAATCCACAGTGACCAACAGAGGGTAAGCTGTGTGATAACTTTAGTTTGAGCTTGCATGGCATCATTAGGGGGCACTTATCTAACTCATATTACTTTGAACTCTCTGAAAAACATGCACCCACCACAATACAATCTCCACATTAGAAGCATATCTTTATAAACTCTCTTGTCAAAGCACAGACATGAGGAGAATTCTGATTGTTTCAGACCCAAACTCTCAAGAATCTAACCACACAGAACATGCAATGCCAAAAAAGAAAAAAAAATTAAGGTCTTCCTGACAACTACAAGAAAAAATATGCATTGAGGGGTAGACTTGGGTTTAAAGTGATATGGTGTCCCATTTTCAACTGAAATTTGGACCCTTTTTTCCCCCAAGTTTTAGGTCCTTAGACAAAAAAAAAACTTGGAATTAGGCCTGTGGATCTCCTTAGCCTGCAGCTTTAAATGTCAGATTGGTATTTCAAGTGTTGTGTGAACTATTATGCATTTACTCAAGCAAAAGTTCTCTCTCACACTTCAAAACAAGCCACCATTGTTGTCCTCTTTCAACTAATCATGTCTGTTGAGATTTCAGAGTGAGACCTCCCCCATACTGCAGCTCACGCTCCTCATTTCAACAGTTTTACCCTTAAGTAACAAAGTCTGTGTCCAGAGACCCTTTCTATTCTTTAATTCGACACTAAGGGCCTGATCGACTGAGATCCCGAACGGTAATTTGCGTGCGCAAACTAACAAATTGCACGTCCTATCAGTGGGCGTGTTGCGGGTGATCAACTATCATTGCGTGCGTAATTGATAACAGGTGCGAAAGGAGGGTATCGGCGTGCGGTATCGGCTGTCACCAGTGAGAGTTTGTGAGAGTAGAGTGATCGTAGCCAAAAAATGAAGTCCGAAGCCATGGAGTTGCACATCGTTTTGGGGAACTGCGTAAAAGGCGAGCAAGGCAAGTTTATCTGTCACGGCACTTCCTCCCTCTCCCCACGATGACCGTGCGTAACGCTGTGCCAGTTCGCCTTTTAAACGTACTAAATATAGACGCAAAACAGCGACCGCAATTGGTTTCCAGGTTTGATAAATCACATTGCAGGTGCTTAATGACCGCATTTAGCAGAATTTTGCGTGTTCTGATGATCTATTCTGCGTATTCATGAAGGCAAACACGCTAAATCGATTGCGCATGCTGTTTGACTCATCTGACGGACGCAATCCTCGGTGCACCCGGTTAGTAGATCAGGTTTGTGTGCGCTATCAAACCTTTAGTAGATCAAGCCCTATAAATAACAGTCTGAGTCTTTCAGTAGCATTAAAAGTGATTTAAGAGGGCGTGTTTTCATCTTACACTGAAGTCACTGCAAGCTGTTTTCCAGCTGCTGGATGAGGTGATCCCCTGGACCAGCTCCAAAATGTTTGGTACCTGTGACTCATTTAGACCCCATGAGATTTTACAATAGGGCCAAAAGCTTAACAATTCCCAAATTACCCTCTTATCAGACTTTATTGGGGCTGCTGTACTCAGCTGTGATGCTTGCCAGTAAGTTTGACATTTTTCAAAGTTGGCTGTACGGGGTTCACGTCAGTGTTTTGAAGTATCTAATCTGGACACGTGCTCAGTTCTGCAGCAGTAATCATATTTTATCATTACAGTCTCCTTTCCAAACTTTTTATGCTTTCTAATGTCCATAAAATTATTCTGTTGCATAACTTTTTGTCCACAGCTCAAGTCAAATCCATCAGCCCCATTAAGTTCAGACAAAGAAAACACCATGCTGGCTGTGTCATTGACTTTGAATGTGTCTTTGTAGCCAAATATAGCAGAAAAAAAGACAGTTAAATTTATTGCAAAACAAGATATTTTATGTAGGAGGTGAGTTCAGACTTGCTGTATAGCACTGCTTTCTCTACTCAGATCCATGACCTTTATTGAGACATATTGGAGGAGGATATGAGCAATGACGATAACAAATAGTTTTATTTATCTTACATGCATCAGGAGCTCTTCTTATCTTACATAACACAGGGAGTGTGATACACATTCATCTGCTTATCAATGTCAAAGCATGAGCGATTGTGACGATCTAATCTTGGAGAGAACTTCTGCCAAACGGCTCAAAATCGCTCATACACACATGTGCACGGCAGTCATGTACAGTTTAGACACAGCCGTGGGCCATAGCTGTGGAGGCCCAGCAGAAAAGTGAAAACAAAGGAATGCAGCATAGCTCTTTATCAGCCTGAACTCATGGATGTTAAATCTGCAGGCTGGGAGTTCGCTGTTATATCACTGCCCTCCAGTCGAGCCTCAACATAGCAGGAGGACTCCCGTTTGCACTCAGACAATTAAAAGTGCAGACTAGGAAATTGACATTATTACACTCGCTCGCTCCAGGAGCTTCACTTTGGGGAATCTGCTTTGCTGTCTCATGGAGTTAATGAGGTGACACACCCACTGCATATCTGTAGCTCACCCAAAGCTTCCCTGCCAGAGACAATCACCCCAACTCATTGTGTAATGGACGGAGATGCTTCCTTTGTGGCAAACACAATGATACAGTATGAGAGATAAGTCTTCACAGCACAGGCAAGAGCTTAGTGAGCAAAGTGCAGAGTGTCACGAGAGATCTAACCTTTGGTTTAATGTTTCTCTATGAATGCAGCCACACAGAAAGGATGTGCGCAGTTGTGTAGACTTGAGTGCTCCTCCCCCATCGCTAACTGCAGCTATAGAAAATCTCATGAATATTTATGATAATAACCTTGTTATCTCATCGCTGAAATTCCTTTTTGTTTATGGGGTTGTATTTGTCAATATGGGGCTTGGAATGCAATTTATACATCACATGCATGAAAGGTAGAAAAGTTATTCCACTTCTGTATTAATAACAAATCAAAACAATATGTTACTTATCACTGATTTTGACTCAGTCCTCTTCTGTCGCTGCTGCACTCACATTTTTACATACCAAAGAAACACAGAAAAAGAAAAGAAGTCACTGTGGTTCAAAAACAGGCGGTCTATTCTATGTTTTGATACTCTGACCTTCGACAGGTAGCTAGCATGGCCAAGGGTACTCAAGCAGTGTAGGTCAAGTAATGCGGTTGGGTTTTTATTTTCCTGACCTTCAACAACTAGCTTGACATTTGCCCACTAATTCAGAATACTGCACTAATTCAGACTGTGATTAGCAAATCCTCTAAAGGTGATTTTCAAGTATAAGGTGAACCCTTTCTGACTGGTTTCTTTGCTTGTAGTTAAGTGCGCGCACATTTAGCTCTGCTGCTTGTGCGAGTAGTTGCTGAAATTAACATTTACATAAATGATGCATCTTTTAGTCGTCAAACACACAGCATTTTTCTCATTATCTTAAGGGCTGTGAAAGCTTTCTTAACATTTCACAAGAAGAAATTAAGCAACAGGTTGCAAAAACAAAGAAAAAACAGGACAAATACATGCATACATACTCGGCATGCTAAAATTTGACAATAACCACACACTTTTTATTTATCCAATCAGATAGCCCAGCAACCTCTTAGTTAGCACAGTCGCTTAAATGAAGGATGTTAAAGTTTATGAAGACATTTAAAAAAGGAAAGCTCTTCTGTTACCTGAATTAATTTTTCCCAGAGACACACAATTTACAAACTAACTAAGTGCTGCCAATGCAAAAGAGTATCAAGACATGTACTGTATATTGCTAGTGTGTGCTTAAAATTAGCGTAGCTTTGTTGTAGTATTAAACAGTGTTAGTGCACATTGTAGATTTGAGACCAGATCGATATTGGCCATCTATCAAGCTAACAGTGAGACTAGGACTGGGCGATTATATAACCGTGATCGATGATCATGATAAATTTCAGTCTGATCACGGTGATCAGCTGTGAGCATATTTACTCGATCAAACATGGCGAGAATGTGCATCACAACAGCCAATCAGAGTCGAGCTTTTTCTGCTCACTTCTGTAAAGTTGTCAGAGAAGTAAACAAAATGACCAAACATGGAGCTAAACGCGGAGCTGAGGGAAGCAAAATAGATGTCAGCCGTGACTTTGAGTTATTCTTTGAAGATGTTATTATTGAGAATTTATAGCCAACTAACGAACTAACTAATTTAACTAACTAGACTAGTTTCTTTAGTTTTTAGTGCAGATGCTTTAAAACAGGCAGCTAAAAAAAATCATGATAATAATTGAGATCGGATGATATGACAAAATATATCTTGATCTTTTTTTTTTGCCAAATCGCCCAGGCCTAAGTGAGACGACAAACTGACACCAGCCCTAAAATTCTCAAAGTAACCAAAACCAGTAGCTGTAATTTTGTCCCCTCATTTGAAGCTTACCTCAGATTATCTCAGTGCTGATATTTTTATTTGTGTCCTTGCTCGTCTATCTGCTAATATTTCTGTACGTTTTTTTCCCCTCAGGCTGTGTGAGACCGTGGTGCCCCTGGAGGACCCTATCATCACAGAGACCACCTCCACACTGCAGGAATGGGGCGTCTTGTGGAAGCAGCTCTATGTGGTTGGTAGCACTGTATTACAGCACATCTCACATATATTGAAACAAAACACTAAGTAATAAATATGAGACGGGGGTTTTAACATCACCAAGGTTTTCAAGGGAATTGGGCGAATCACAGCTTTTTGCAAAAAGGAAATTGCATCTGTTGTTGTTTCATCTGCATCCTCCTCAGGGGAGTTTGATGGAACAGCCTTTTGTGATGTTTTTCTTCTCTGCGCTTAATTTAACACCTCATATAACAAGGTCTGCCAGCAAAGAAGGTGAATGTGAGTTATAGCACAAACATACAGTGATATCTCCTTTAGATGTATGCCCATAGCATGCCGTTCTGACTGTCACCCTACATTTCCATACACTATCTCTTCAGGAGCAGACACAGATAATGGCCTACAGACCTGTCATATGCAATTTCATGCTGTGTCATTCAGCCACTGATTGATCTTGGCCTCCCCCCTTGTAGTTACCGCATCATCTTAAGATCCGGCAGAGCTCACCAATTTCACTCAGCTTTTACTTGCCCGGCACAAGTGATTACTGGAAACCTAAAGCATCCTTAATCCTGCTCCATGTCGAAGGGGGCAGGCAGAAGAGGATGGTCGGGTTTTGAGTTTGGAGCTGAGTGGATGTATTGTGGAGCTGGCACAGAGTTTTTACATAACCTCTCGCTGAGGACTGCTCATGCTCTGAGCAAACTAAGGAGCCCGAGGCATTGGTGTGGTGATGTAACTTCCTCTGAAGCTCGACTAATGTGAAGCGCTGATTTAACAGTGCTCCTTTTGGTGCTCACCCCCTCTGTGATATGGGCCATGTTGCCACACTTGCAGCCATAATAATAGGATGTAGCACTGACTGGATGTTGATACATTTCACCTTATTGTTGCCAATTACAATTCATGGTATTACTTAAGGGAGCAATGGCCTGGGCATAAATGTGTATCTATTAAAACGCATGTAATTAGCCCGGTCTAAAAGGGCTCATCAACGCAGACAAAAAATCTTTGTTTCCCAGCAGCTACCAGCCTTTAAAAACATGCAGTGTTTATCCTCATTAAATTTACATGGGCGTTGTGGTGGCGCTTAATCTTTGCATTTATGTAAACAAACCTGGGTGGTAATGTGTACTCGTCATACCATTAGGGAGAAGAGAAAACACTGGAATTAGAAGCGCTGCCTTGGCACTTGGTTGTGAAGTAGTGTTCGAGTTTGTGATCATGAGGAGGTCAAAGCGGACCTGCAAGGAAGTATTTGAATTTTTTCATTAGTCAGAATCAAAATATATCACTCTGGAAATAAACAAAGCATGATCAGAGGGTTCATTTTGTCTGAATCATTCTTGTTAGTGTTGTCTTTGTTGTAATTTGGCTGCTAATCGTGACTCTACAGGACAGATTAAAGTGAGTGAAAGCTGGAAGGAGCTTCAGAAATAACTCTATTGAATGAATCTACATCCCTGAAAAAGATCCTTTTGACCTCTGTTACAGAAACATAAGGTGGATCTATTCCATAAGCTTCGCCATGTGATGAATGAGCTGATCGACCTGCGTCGGCAGCTGATCCAGGGTCACCTCGCCCAGGACCAGACTCGTGAGATCAAGCGGCACATCACAGTACGGCTGGACTGGGGCAACGAGTGAGTAACTCTTGTACTAAGTGCACCATATCGACAGAGTGGGCATGCTCTACAACAAACATTGTCTTTAAGCTGTTGTCTACCAGAGAATGCAATATTTCTTTGGCATTGGAGAGATCTACAGCCATGGATGAGTGGGCGCGTAATAGCATCCTCTATGATGTAATTTCATGGTCATTTAGCAGATGAGCGAATCCCAAGCGGCTTAAAGTCAATGCACATCCCCCGGGAGGATCTGTAAAGCCATATTCCTACTGTTGACACTTTCTTACTCCATCCAACTGAGCTTTGACGGGTGTTCATGGCAGAGACAAAGATATGAGGGCTCCTGAACTGCAACAAAGAGCTTTTTAAGTCTGCCAGTCTATAAGTCTATAAGATTGTTTCAGTGATTTGCAGAACTAAGTTAATAATATTTAGAGTAAAGCTTAAAACCTTTTTCTTTATTTGAAAAAAGCATGAAGTGTAGTCCTAAATACATGTATTCTGCTGCCTTTATGTGTTGAAGTTGGTGCATTATTATGCATTGGTCAGTTTCCATAACATTAATAACCAATGAAGGATATTTCTGATATTCTTTTGTAAATTTGGGGGCCACAGAATTCAAGATTAAGTTTGTGGTTGATTGCTAATGAGTAAGCAGTAAAGAAAAGAAGAAGTAAAAAGCTCAGAAACTGCATGGGAGGTTCAAGACTGTAAGGGATTTGTCGCCCCAAACTACTTACGATGCATAGAGGTTCATTTCAAGCTAATGTATTGATAGGACTGTGAGAAGATCAGTTTATTTGGTTGGATATGTAACTCGGTAATCTTGTGTTTGCTATGTAAAATCTTAAAGCAAAAGTTTGACTTTTTGGAAAACATGCCACCTCTAACTACCACTATTTTTTTGGCAGTCATCAGTTGCCTGGCAACAACCAGAGACTTGGGGAAGTTATTATGCTTGGCCAAGAGACAGTCTGGCACGTCACCGCCTGCAGTAAAACAGCAGAAAGTTGTCTATGTATTTAAGTTTTTGTATGGATTATAAACCCGACATTAAGTAACTCAAATTAAGAGCTTAAAAGGTGCTCAGGGGCCAATTATTTTTCTTACTTTTGGTCAGAGACAGTACCATTTTTTATTCCTCTTCCAGTCAGCTTGTGTCTGTTACTTTAAAGGAACTATAAGGAAATTAGAAAGTTCTTAATCTTTTTATTTCCCAATGTTTATGAGACAAACTTGTGATGTGAGTTGGGAAATTATGGTGGAAAAAAGTTTTTCTTCAGTGAAGAAGCAGGACACCAAAATGCTATAGTCAAACAGCAATGCAGTATTTCAGTGAATACATTTTGTAAATGTGTTTTTTTCTATTTGGAAATATGGGATAAAAATGTACCGGGCTCCACTACAAAATCCTGTCAGATCCAGTGATTCTTACTGGAAGAAGCCTGTCTCTCATTTCTGATTCCTCTGTCAACAGGCACCTCGGCTTGGACCTCGTCCCCAGAAAAGAGTTTGAAATGGTGGATCCGGATCAGATCAGCATATCAGAGCTATACAAACTGGTATGTTAAGTTGATCACTCTTGAACTGGTGCTTCATATACAATATATTGCAATGAATGATTAAACTTGAGCAGATGTATATTCTTTAAAGATAGTATGTAATTAACTGTATTTCAGCTGCATACAAATACTTGAGATATCTATGCTGTACTTACACTTAATATGCTTTTTTGTGTAGCCTAGTTTTGTACATAAGGATGTGTTGTTGTTGTTGTATATGTAAAGATGTGTGAATGTACCGATTATCAAATCATCCATAAGAAGGTGACTCACAAGAGAAAGCAGCACCGAGAGAATCAGCTGTCGAAGCTGCCTCATGTGACCTTCTCTTTATACTTATCCTGCCGCCATATTGAGTGTGTCCCTTCTTTTGCATGCACGTGACTCTCGCAAACATGATTGCTGGCTAGCAATGCAGACGTAACACAAAGCGACAGGCCCAGGTGAGGCTCCAGGAAAATGCGCACAAATGTATTCTTTATTGTTATTTTTGGAAAATAAATGACATACTTTAGATCAGAGACATACGATCATAAATAATTGATTCTTTTAAATGTATTTTAAGTTATATGGGGATTTCAATCTATACACACATACACAAACACACACACACACACACACCCAGAGGAGACTTACTGATGCAGATCCAATTTTAGAAATCTGCGATTACAGCACAGATGTTATGAAATCTACTGCTGGGGAATGTGTTCGAGGAGGGAGATCCTTCCTGGTCAGTGGCTGAACCTCCATATGTTGATCAAAACACTCCGCAAACTACCCTGCAGCCTTCCTATTATCCCACTGCTATGTTTCTCAGCTTTGCACAGTGAATGTTTGTGCACTAAATGCCCTGTCCAGAAACAACAGCGTAGCTCCTTCTTGCCAAAAAGCCTCCTGACTCTGTCGATGAAAGTGAGCTTGTTTTTGGCAGGGCACAAGGCTTTGGCACCTCTTCAGGTAGGGGAGTAGAGGAGTTCTTTTAGGCTGCTTAGCAGAGAGGCGTGTGTGGGCGATACTGGCTTTGTCCTCTCCTCTCCCACACGCTCACGTTTTGCCTCGTGTGGGCTTCTTTTAGCACTGCAGAAACAGTAGTACAGCCACTCTGCAAAGCTCGTAGGTGAGATTTTTGTCAGTTTTGAAGCATCAGCTGAGGCATTGCTCATGTAGTGTGTGTCTGAAGCTGCTATAAGGTAAATAAGTTCAAAGCTGTATGGGAAGAGTGGAGAATGTACTGACTGATCTGACATCTCTCCTTTGTAATTCCCTCTTTTTTGCAGCATGTATCCAGCAGACACTGTGGTCAGCAAAGCACAAACCAGGTAATTTTTTTTTTCAATGCTGTTTGTTTACATAATCATCAGAATCTTCCACCTCTTGAACTTACATTTTATGTTTCATTTCAAATACTACCTGCAAAGCCCAGAGTCATGACACTGGCTGTCTCCTTTTGACTCCTACCGTCCGCCGCCTGAAGTCCTTTCGAGGATTTCTGCAGCTGAACCAAGAATAAAGCTTGGAGTCTAGAAAACACTTTATAGTGAATATAAATAGCAAGATGTCACTGCCAGGCTCCATTAGAGCCTCACACAAACGCTGCCAGAGTGTGAGAGTTGAATCCCACTGGGGCCACATATGCTACTGCATGTATGTGCAAATGGCAATTTGAAGAACACCAGTTTGGAGACTTGTCACAATTTGGCTTCTTAGATGGACACAGTATTTTATTTATTCATAGTTGGCTACTTTTTGATTGGGAAGGTCAAGCTACTGCCAAAAAAATAGCTAAAGAGTCTTTTTTTGACAGTACCTCAGAAGTCCAACTATGACATCTTAGTGTTAGAGGATCCTATCCTTTCCCTATAATCGTAGACCAAGAAGACAACCCATCACCTCCTATCTGGATAAGCAGAGGATCCTTCCCCAAGGAGAGAGAAACCTTCAAGAACTTTAAAATGTTAATGTTTCAAAAGTAAATTTATAGTGATGCTATCTCTGTTAAAGACGTAATTTATATCTGAAATCTGACTGGGCTTCAACTATAATCATATGTTGGTTTTAAAAAAACAGTATTACATATAAATCTCATATTTAAACTGACAAGCAGCCACACTTCCAGCATTTACAACTTAAAAAACAAAAAGCATGACGTGCAAACTGTGTAACAGGTAATGAAGAGTATAATGTCTTAACTCTGTAGCTTTTCAACCCCCCAAAATACCGACAATGAATCAGAAGAAACTGGAAAATCAGAGGGAAAAGGCCTGTTTCATTTTAGTAAAACACTTTTATTTCAAAGACAGTAAATACAGTATGAAAATAAAGGTCTAAGTTAATGGCAGAGAAAATTAAATCCTTGTCTACAATTATCAGAATTTAATAACTGCAAGACAGTCATAAACAAAGTAACACAATCTTTTGATTTTCACTAAAAGTTTAGACTAAGTTAAGGCTTTATCTTCTACACTTGTTAAACTTTGGTCCTCATAACGACAGGTATTTAATCTGTGGCAGGGATCCTAATAGTAACCGAGATCATGAGCTTGATGAGTGATTAAAGGCGGCAGTCAACTAACTACTGGGACAGATTCGCATTTCTAACTTGTAATATGGAAATCAACTTACTGGTAATTTCACAATAATCAGCCACAACCATCCATACACGCTGGAGTCAAATCACATCTATTTCCTCTTCCTTTTTTATTTTTAACTACACCTGCTATTTTCTCGATAACATTAGCTTCTTCTTTTAAACAACTTGAGGTGGCTGACTTGTATTTGCAGCAACCACTTCATTTGTGGTATTAAATGTTAAGGGTATAACAATAAGGGTATAACCACATTAGATTAGTGGTGAACCACATCACAGGTCAAGTCTGTACAGAATAGAGTTGAAAAGAGTTGGAAAAATTAACATGAGCAAGATTATGGCAGTAATAGGTTCTGAATGTAGGTTTTGATAAATTTTTCAATCTCTCTGCCCTGAAACTGTCTTCTACACAGAAAGTCAGTTACTTGGTTTCTCTCACGACAAGGACCAGTCTTACCAAGGGTCACTTTCTTCTTTGTTCCCAGGGTGACAGCATGAGACAGCGCCATGGTGACGGTTGCCGTGTCCCCGTGTCGCACCACCTCTTCATCAACCTGAAGAGCTTTACTTACAACAGCATCAGTGAGGATGCAGACGTCTTCTTCTCTCTGTACGACACTCGTGAAGCCAAACAGATCAGGTACGGCAGGAGTCTCTCAGAGCGCACGAAACAGCCTACGATGACCCCTGCGAACATTCGCACTGACACACCGGCAATCCACACAACTCCGCAAACTTTTTCTGACCCGCAGATTGATTGAGATACACTGTGTTGGCAGAAACTCTAACACTCTGAGCTGACTTGTTTTGCAGTGAGAAGTTCATGGTGAAACTCAACAAAAATGGAGGACCAAAGAATCCGGAGAAAGTTGATCGTCTGTGTGCTCTCTTTACGGTAACAAAGACATAATCCTTTCTTAAAATAAATACAAGTATTTTCTAAATAAATGAATACACTTGGAATAACAGAATTATGTTACAATTTTCCTTTCTCTCCTCAGGACCTGAGCAGTAAAGACCTAAAGAGAGACCTTTATATTGTTGCACATGTCATAAGAACTGGTAAAAGCACCATTTGCAAAAACATGATCAAATTTTAGAGTTTAATAACAAATATTTAAAGATCTCCTTCATTCCTTTTTGTTTACAGGTCGTATGCTGCTAAATGACTCAAAGAAGGGCCCACCTCATGTGCAGTACAGACGACCTTATGGCTGCGCTGTTCTCGCCATGAGTGATGTTTTCCACACCATCACAGACCTCAAAGAAGAGAAGGACTTTGTGCTTAAAGTTTATACGTGAGTGTACAATTCAAACTCCCCTTCTTGATTTCATGATTTAAGCACCAAAGAGGATTTCATTTTGCATTTTAAAGCATCAAACAGCTTAAAAAATGATGTTAACACCCTTAGTTGTTCTTGGACGTTTAATCACATTTGTACATTTGAAAATTGACTCACACTCTTTGCAGTAAGATGAGAATTTGTGAAGGTTCTGCGGATGTCTTGCATGACAACTTGGCGTTCGCTGTTGATGCCTGGCATGTTTTGACCAGAATGATAATGAAGTGTCCTCTGGAAAATCAATAGCTTCTCACCCTGGGCCTGCGATAGGGCACTTGGCGTGTTGTGAATCTGGCTGCCTCTGTTAGGCTTCACCACGGAGAGCCACTCCTGTACGCCGGCCAACCCCAGCGAAGGAAAGAGGCACAGAGAAGGAGAAGGGAAGAGGCAGAGAGGGAGATGACACTCAGATAATTGAGCAAAGTTAGAGGACAAAGCGAAATAACACCAAGCTCAGCATTTTCTCTCGTAGAGTCAACAGCTTGAATGTCTCCTTGGGTCTGCGCTGTCCTTTTCAGCGCTCAGGGTCAAAGGTCAAACATACACTTTACCATCCTGTCGAGTGACATTTTTCTGGTGTGCTATTTTCAGGATAACTGCGCGGCTCAGTGTGAAATACAGACTTTTAGGATAGAAAGCTGCCTATTTCATTGGATTTCTCGTGCTGAGGCTAAGAGCTCTTCCCTTTTTAAAAAAGCAAGCAGTGATTCAGTGCTGAGCTGCCTCCAAACTGTCGACTCCTATAATGCTCCAGTCTGTGCATTTCCCCATGCCATCCCAGGGGCCTTTGGGCCCACAGTAATGAAAAAGGCTGGTAGAGAGCTGGCTGTCAGGTTTGCTTAGTGAGCTGTGCATTTGGACTAATGTGCTGCTTGATAGCACCTCCCCCCGCTGCTACCTTTTCTCCAGGAGGAAATCGTCTCTGGGACACATGCTGTTCGTGCAGTCCCCATGCGCTCAATCCTGATCCCTCCATCTGGGCCCACTAATGGGAGTGTTGTTAACAGCCCTGCCCAACTGTTTCTCTCTCTCTCCAGATGTAACAATGAGAACGAGTGGTACCAGGTACATGAGAACATCATCCGCAAGTCCAACACCAAGTACTCTGCTCCGAGCACCAACTATGGTAAACATGATTGATCTCTCACCCGTTTGATTTCTTTGGGGTTAAAGTTTGATCTTTCTTGCTCTTGGTGTGGAAAATTTCATGGTAGTCAAAATTTGTCGCTAAGGTATGAATCTGAATGAGTGTTTACAGAGATGATGTTACTTAAGGACAGTTGCAAACAGATGTTGTGACTTCTCTAAGAATGGGGGAATATCCAATTCTGGTTTTGAGTTCAAAACTTTTGCCCATTTTTTGAGAGTCATGCTGCGTTTGAGTTACCTCGGAATGATGTCACACCTGTGTTACCAGCATTTCAGTTACCAAGTCGAAAAAGGCAAAATCGGAGGCGGAAACAAGATGGCTACATCTAAAAGTTATTTAGCGCTTGCCTCGTCCAAACACAACAAGGACATGGTCAGCTCTAAAATAACTGTCGTAGATGTAGCCATCTTGTTTCCGCCTCTGATTTTGCCTTTTTTCAACTTGGTAACTGAAAAGCTGGTTACTCGGTGTGACGCCATTTTCAGCTCCGACATCTGACTTCTGAGGTAACTCGAACACAGCATTATGCTTCAATCCACAGTTTCTCTGCCTACAACAAACAACTGTAAATGTCTCAAAGCTGAGTCAAGATTACTTCATGTCTGAAGGAGTTACTGTTATCTTACTTTGTACAAGAAAAGGGTTAAAGCAATTTAAGGAGTATTTTCTTGATTAGTCATTTGGTGTGTGAAGTGCCGAGTAATTTTGCCCTAGGTTAATGTCTCTAAATTGGTCTTTACTGTGAAAAAGTCAAAGGATATTAAGTTTTGTATCTTGCAGCTGGACTAGCCATTTTTTTTGCACAATGATCAACTAGAAATGCGAATCTCAAGATTTTATTTTCGTGGCTAAATGCATCTTGATTATCTTATTTTTCTCTCTTTTTGCTCCATCACAGATTAATGGTGTTTTTTCATTCTCCAAATTTGCCAGAAATTATTTCTGTCCCTCAATTTTGCCAGAACAGAAAATAAAATGTGTAATAATTTATCTGGATATGACTCAAATCACAGTTTGCTTCTGTACAAATAAGATTCAAAATGATCACACTTGGGAGGATCACATGAAATAACCTCACATCACAGGTTATCTGTCACTATGGTGATAATTGTCCAAGAGTAAGAGCACATTTTGCTTATGTGCTGGCGAGTGTTAAAGATGATACAGGTCTCCTGGTCTTGGTGTTACATAATCTCGCCTTGTGAATTTAAAATGGCCTCACTGTAAGCGTGAACTCTCCTTATTCACTGTTACTTCGCTCTTTATGAGCGCGTCACAGTTTGATAGATGACTCATGCCTCACAAAAATCTGTCACTACATTTGTACCCATATTTTTCCTCGCCTTTTTGCGTAACTTCAACACCACTGTTTTCTTCTCCCTCCCTCTGTTCCTCCCTGACTTGGATCACGTCTCTCCATCCTCTCCTCTCCTCTCGTCTCCTCTGTCTGTCTTCTCCTCCCCCACATTCTGACTAATGTCCTTTAAATACCCCTCTGTCCCTCCCTTCTCCCATCTCCACTTTCATTCCTTCAATTCCACTTTCCTCCCACTGCCCTGCACCTCTTCATTTGCCCTTTGCCCCCATTTACACTCACATTTATGCCCTTCTTCCCCCCGTCCCCCGCCCCCCTCCAGGCCTGATCATTTCCCTGCAACTGCTGCGGGGTGAGCTGGAGCAGATCAGAAGAGAGAACCAGGCGGTGTTCAACAGGGCCCTGGCACTCACACGCAAACTGGGTTTCCCAGATGTCATCCTGCCAGGTAAGGAGGCAAAGAGCAGGAGGCGGTAATGGGGGCAGAGAGATTCAGAGAAGGAGGTGGAGGCGAGAGGCCAGATGGCTCAGAGGAATGAAAAGAGGGGAAGGTCACGGATCAGGTTATAGAGGATGGAGAGGAAGGAGGACAGGGAGAGAGGAAAAGGATGTAAGAAGAAAAGGTGAGAAAACTCTACAGGAAACAGGCGCAGAAGATGTCAGAGAGAGAAAAAAAACAGGCTTTAGTGTTAAGAAAATGTAAACTACTACTCTAATGTGCCCATTGTGTACTTTATAAACATTAATGTGTCATATTAAGCCCAAGTTTATGATTATTCTTACTCTCCTGACCAGAATTAAAACATGAAATTAATTATAACAGTACAGACTGTTCAGTAACAGTGTCTGTGTCACTCAAGTAAAGTGGCATTTCTCCTAAAAATGTGTTAAATGTTCCATTTTAATAACCGGGCTAAAAGACACTCAATGTTACATATTTATCAAAAAGCTGGAGGAACAGGTCCAAAACACAAATTCAGTTAATCTTCTTTAATTTGCCACTTTATCCTCACTTTAGGTCTTATATTCCCTCTCTGTGGAGAGGTGACTTTGCATGACGTACAATCCAAATCTCTCCTTATTTATCCTCCTCTGTTGTCTGTGGAGACTCTCTGTCTGACACAGGTGATTTCAGGTTCTGTTTCTTTAAGGACCCTTCTGTACAAGTCTTCTTTCCTCTAACTGGCCAGATCTCAGAAGCTTGGGCACATCCTTTTGCCACTGTGCCTTGGGCAAATGACTAAAACTGTGTCCCAATTCAAGGTTAGCATCCTTTGAAGGACCCAGCCTTTGTAGTCCATCGGGGTCAAACTGGACTGGGAAGGTCTGGTCTTTGGAGGATTTCCTGCTCATGTTACCAGCTGTTCCTTCACTCACTCTGTCATTACTCCTGTCACCTAGCAACCTACAGAGCTGAACCAGAGCTAGATAACATGGTTTACGTCGCGGGATTTCACCTCTTATAACTTATATTGGTGACATAAAGATCCAAGAGCCATTTGGTCATTGTAACGGTTATATATCACCTGCTGTCCACCATCCTATTTGAATGGAAAGAAATGAGTCATGGGATATGTTGGGTCACAAGGGATCCTTTAAGTCTGGAAAAATCTTAAAGATGGGACTATCTTTGATGCACAACTTTAACACAACTCGAAATGTGTCCTTTAAAGATGTAGCCCCCAGAGCTGATGTAGGGGGGCACATGATTTAGTGATGTCAGAGAATCTCCAAGGTGTGAAAAAACTCAAATTCAGAACAGCCTACAAACTGACTGCTGAAGATTAAAGGGATATTCCAGCGTAAAATTAAGTTAGGGTCAAATACAAAGTAACACCAAGTTAGACACCCTGTCGAAGATGAATGTTGCCGACCGCTTGCTTCTCTTTAGTTCTCAACTTTAGTAACGACCGTAGATAGCAATACAGAGAGCCATGCACTCAACCAAAAAGCCACTCTATAGGCACAAATAATGCTCAGGATAGCACTTAACTTCATCAACAGTACATAGAGGGTCCCAGCCATAGCACTAGCCACCAAACACTTTTTTTTGCTTTGCCTGATTTCTTTGGTAAAGAGACCAAACACAACTCACCCACTCTCTTCCAGCAGCTGCTTGTTTTCCATCGACTGCAGCGGGGTGACACAGCTCAAGGAAGAACATTTATGATCATTAATTCATCATTCAGGTAGAAGAACTACCGTGACTGCAGGGCAAAATGATTAATATGATCATTATTACTTCAAAGAAATGATAAAGTTATGATCATAAATGTTCTTCCTCGGGCTGCGTCCCCCCAGCTGCAGTCGATGGACTGGCGCGGAGGTCTCCATACAAACAAGCGGCTGCTGGAAGAGAGTGGGTGAGTTGTGTTTAGTCTCTTTCTTAAAGAAATTAGGCAAGGCTAAAAAGATGTTTGGTGGCTAGTGCTGTGGTTGGAACCCTTTATGTACTGTTGATGGAGTTAGGTGCTGTTCTGAGGATTATTTGTGGCTTTAGAGTGGTGTTTTGGTTGAGCGCATGGCTCTTTATATTGCTTTTTGCTGTTGTGTTGGACCCTAACCTAATTTTACACTGGAATATCCCTTTTTAAGGAGTTGCCTGGACATCAGGTTACCCTCTGATATGAAACTAGTACAATTATCCAACATTTGAACAATAAATGTATCACTGAAAATAAGGAAGAGCACAACAACCTCTCTTTAAGTTTCTGCCTCAAGCCTTTTAGATGCAGCTGAGCCTCTCGATTAGAAACCCTAAATTTACTAACCCTGTATTCACTTGTCAGCCTTGATGCACATTTAAACAGCTGCAACAGTAAACTGCCATCTTACAAATTGATGCATTTAATAATAATGAAAACTAATATCATCATCCCCAAGGCAACAGTCTTCTGCCAAGCCGGTGTTCATAGAGGGATGTTTTATTATTTCAGTGAGGATCTGAATAGTTCTTAAACAACAAGTATTTTGGAGAGTCTCAGTCCGTCACTCTCTATTTGCTTGAGATCTGCATTTAGGTCAGGTGCTGAGTAAATGATGATGTAGAGCAGAGGTCTTCAAAGATAACTGGAGGAGAGATAGAAAGGAAGAGGTGTGTGTTTATTTCTGTATATTTCATCAGCTTTAAGTTGCTCTGCTTTTTGTCTGCAGAGAGTGTAAAATCCTTTTTTCTTTCTAATCCTCCTCCTGTCTCCTCTTCTCTCCACTCTCCTTATTCCTCTCCCCTTATCTCCTCTTCTCCTTTCCACCCCCTATTTCTTTTCTTTCTCCTTCTCCCCTTTCTCCTCTCCAGCTCCTTCCCAGTTAGCCTGAAATACCTCCCAATATCAACTCTTGTGACTCATCTGTCCCCAAGGAAATGACTTAGATATAAATAACCATAATCTGATTTTATAAATAACTGCAATATCTTCCTCTGCTGTTGCCACTGATATTTATTTCATTAAACACTGACCTCGCAAAAGGTGCTGAGGCAGTCATGGGCCACAGTGTATCGCAACTCAGCGGGGTCATTTTTCATTGACTAGAGCAATGTCGTGTGGTGCACATCTTCGCCTGCACAGAGGCTTAATTTATGTTGACCACTCTCAGTTCATCCGTGCAACAGAGGCTGACGTGTACATTATAACTTATTTACATCGCAGAGGCAGGAGACATAGTTGTTGTCATAGTCTGAGACTTTCTGAGATGTACTCGGCCTGTTGTGGTGGGTAACATTCAACCTCCAGAGAGGCTAAGACAGTGCTGCAGGGCAATGAATTCACCCATGACATCTTAGCGAGCTTGTCAAGCTTAAACAAGTGCAAGGAAAAACTGCAGCAGAATTAGAAGTATCCTCTCTCATGTCAAACCCTGACAATTGTTAATTCAAGGTGTAGGATGAAAGTGTATCTAAATTGTGCGGATTTACTCATTTAGCCTCAAGCAAAGTGGAGGAGTGGACTATGGGGGTATGAGCACTTCTCAATCCAGAACTTGAAAATGGCAGAAGAGCTGGACTCAAGCTTTAGTTCGCACCATGGTAAAATCACCCCAGTGGTCACTTATAGTATTGCAATTTCCAGTCAAACAGTATTTGTTCCGTAAGACACCAAAGATATCCGTAAAGCTTTCTACATCTGACACAAGCAGGAAGTAGTCCAAATTTTTGAACAGGGGTGTCATAAAGAATGTAGTAGAGAAAAGTAAAGAAATGTGAAATGCAACTTTTTAGAAAAACAGCCAAATTAGTTGATGTTAACATAAATATTGCCACAAGCAGATTTCAAGTCATGGTTAGCAAATTAAGGTGGCACCAAATGAGCTACTGCCAACATTGAATCCCCCTGCACATATGGTCAACTGGTACACACTGAGAGATGTTATTCATGATAAAACTGGGATCTCTAGATGCCTGTACATGTGGAAATCTAGAGATCCCAGAGGTTTTAAATGTATTTTTTGCTTTTGTTTCTGGTGTGTCATTCACCCAAGCGCCATTTTTGAGTCCTTGTTCTTCTTAAAACATCATCCTGTGATTTAAGGGATAGTAAGGCGTCATCCGCATATATGTTTTTTTTTTCTTTTTTGCCCATAAAGACATGTAACTGATGTTAATATGTTCTCCTTTGAATTTCTTCTTCGTAATTACTATAGGTGACACACGCAATGACCTGTATCTGACCCTTGAGAGGGGGGAGTTTGAGAGGGGCGGCAAGAGCGTCCAGAAGAACATCGAAGTAACGCTCTATGTACTCTACGCTGATGGGGACACACTCAAAGTATGACGCATATGCACATGCATTTTCCACTTCCCTATCAGTAAAATATAGGTCATGATGAGTGTACACTTGAATAAGATAAATGTTAAAGGTGGATGTAACTAAAAGCAATCTTCCATGCTGCTTCTCTCCTCAGGATTGCATCAGTTTGGGCAGCGGCGAGCCCAATACGAGTGAATATCGCTCTTTCGTCCTGTACCACAACAACAGCCCTCGCTGGAGTGAGATGGTCAAGCTGCCAATTCCCATAGACCGTTTCAGGGGGTCTCACCTACGTTTTGAGTTCAGACACTGCTCCAGTGAGTCAGATCTGCACCCCAGTGACTGTCATCCCTCAGCACACGAGTTCATTAGGACACATTTGGATCACAGTCTGAGTTTTGGCTGTGGGGATACAGTTTGATGATGCATGATGTGCTTCCTTTCAGCTAAAGACAAAGGAGAGAAAAAACTGTTCGGTTTTGCTTTCACTCCTCTAATGAGGGAAGACGGGACGACACTTTCGGATGAGAGCCACGAGCTGTATGTTTACAAGGTATGTGCAGGTTGAACACACACGTTTTAGGAGACAATTACACACTGTCAACAAAAAAACAGTTACAGTAGACAAATGTTGAATATTACCTTGCTATTGAAATGTATCCCCAAATAAAAGACTCATTTATTTGCCTGTTAAACTTTGATTTTTATCTCTTTAGCTTCTTAGTGAAAGGTTGAGTGCGCTGAGAGCTCAGGCTGTGGAGCAGTGTTTGTTTATGATGGGTGTAGGGGGTGTCCCACGATGGGATTAGAGTGACTTTTTGTTTGTATTTATCACATAATAAATCCAACATCACTCTGTTTGCACACAGTATTTACTCTGATAGCCGGGCTGCCCTCAGTGACTCAACTGTATCATTAAAGGGTTTTATCTTAAGGCTTCAGTTGGCATTTTAGGGCCTGTGACATAGTTTTTTTTTCCCTCTGAATACACGACCAATCAAGAACTCAATGAAAACACTAAACTTTGAGCTATGTAGAGCTGTATTTTCTAACAGCAAGTTGCCATTTTTTAGCATGCTGATGGACAATTTGGCTGTTTGCAATCATGGCAAAGTATTCATGTGTGCTAATATGCTAAGGCATTATGCTACAGCACAGGAACACCTCGCAATGACTCTCCTTTTACTCCAAACTTCCTCTAAAATTCGACACATCTCTTTCCTTTTGCTTCCATATTTTAAGTGTGATGAAAATGCCACCTTCAGTAACCAAGGTCTGTACTTGAGCCTGCCCTGCTGTAAAGAAGACTTCAACAGCTGTCCAAACCTGCCGGCAAACCTGCCCTTCCAGAGAAGCCCCAAAGAAACCTTCTGGGTCTCTACGATACTCTGCTCCACCAAACTCACACAAAACGGTAATCTAACACCTCGCATGCTCAGTTTAGTTTATCTTCACCTCCTGTTTGATGTTCTCCATTTCAGTTTGATTTTCTTCTTCTTTTAGTCGACCTTCTGGCTCTTTTGAACTGGAAGGCCCATCCAGACAGGGTGTTGGACATCCTCGGACGATTACGCCAGATAAGCGGAGAGGAGATTGTCAAGGTCACTTACACCTCACTATTTATATGATTCTAAATTCACAGTAGAAATAACTAAAAGTAAAAAATCTGATATTGTGTAAAACACAGATCACACTCTGAAGTTGACACATAATCGTTTCAGAATTTTAAAAAGGTTTTGTTATTTTGTTTCGTGATAAAGGGGCTACCCTTTGTTTCTATTTTGGTTGCGAGGAAGGCTTTTCATGTGACGGTTGCACTGAGTATTGTTCTTTTTTTTTCTCTCCTCACAGTTTTTGCGAGATGTCCTGGATACGCTTTTCTGTCTTTTAGATGACAACACAGATAAATATGGGCCGCTGGTTTTCCAGTCACTGGTAGGAGACTTGAAGGAGCGCAGCTACTGTATGATTTATTTCGCCTGTAAGCATAGAAAATGAGCATAACGCCTATTTTTACCTCTGTGTGTGTGTTGTGTTTAGGTGTTTATCATTAACCTGCTCAGGGACAGCCGTTTCTACCACTTCAGACCCGTCATGGACTCCTACATCCAAAACCACTTTGCAGGAGCCTTGGCGTACAAGTACAAAAACATTCACTTACTCTTTTCTCTGAGAAATGTTCAAAGCAAACACGAAAATAAGAGCCTGATGTTTTTCACTTCAAACCTGCAGAGAGCTGATCCGATGTCTGAAGTGGTACATGGACCGCTCTGCGGAGGTCGTGCGACAAGACCACATCCAGGAAGCCATGAGGGTAGAGTATCACACACACATATCCTCCCTTGTCTGTCCTGTCTCTTTAAATGGGATCAATTTGTAAGACTTGAGGAAACGGCCATGCAGGAGAGCTGATAAGGAGTGAAGTAAACCTTGCAAGCCTCAGTGAGTGCTGAAAGCTTGGTAGCTGTAATAAAAATTAAAAATAATGATAACAATAATACATAATTTTTGATGCACTTTACATTTGAAACAAACCTCAAAGTGTCACAAATGAACAAAAGCTTAAATTAAGATAATAAAAACAACACAGATGAGAAAAAAAAGAAGAAGCATTCAAGGTTGATTTGTCAGGACACATCCGTCAGGTAAAAATGCCGTTTTTAAGAGAGGAAGGCTTTGCGTTGTTTTGCAAAAAGGTTCTGCAGTCTGTGGGGCCCTCAGGTGTTCAGGAAGAGCATTCCAAGGGCAGGGAGCAATGGAGCAGAAAGCCTGATCCCCCATTGTGAAGAACAAAGTCTTGGGGGTATGGAGATGATTGCAGGTGCTTGTCTGAGTTTGTTGTGGTGGTTTCAGGGAGGGATTCTTTAAGGTTGGGGGGTGGGGGTTGCCATGGATGCAGAATCAGAAAAAACAAATGGTGCAAAACAATGGTAATAAATAAATGCTAAAATGAAAGCCTTTTAAAAACACAGAGATCAGAATAAGAAAAGAAAAGTAAAATGCAGAAATATATACAGAGTATATACAAAACAGGAATGATATGAAAACCCAATTATTGCACAGTGAAGCCCAGTATTATTGCACAGTTAAATGATACATTTATTGCACTGTGATCAATGTGATCAGTATATATGTTGGTTGAAGGGGACAGGTTGTTATTGACTGCAGTGATAGCTCTCGGGAAGAAGCTCTCCCTGGGTCTGTTGGTCCTTGTTTTGTCTGACCTGTTACCATCGGCCCGACGGTAACAGGTCAAACAGGTGATTTGCGGGGGTGGTAGGAGTCTTTGATGATGTTGCCAGCTCTGCTCAAGTAGCAAGAGTTGGCAATGTCCTCCAGGCTGGGCAAAGGGGAAGCCTGTGATCTTCTGGGCTGTGCAGGATGACCCTCTGTAGCGCCCTCACCGATAAGGAGGGAACTCTGCAGTGGATGGGAATCAAGTGTAGGACAGGGGGAGTATGTAGGAACTTTGGCAGGCCATTGCAAGGGATGTGGAATATGTTGCAGAGATGATCCTCCCTGTGGATGAGTGAGGGCTGCAGAAGAAGGAGCTCTTGCACAGATGTTTATTGTGTGCATCAAAGGTCAGGTTAGGGTCAGATTTTACGCTTGGGTTAGTAGTCAGTGATGAAAGCAGACTGTTCTGGCCGGAGAAGGACAAACTGCAGAAATCTCCTAAACGCTGCTGTTTGTCTTATCTTGTCGTCTTGAATTTACTTTTCCACAGAGACTAAGTGGAGAGGTTTTGCGTCACAAAACCTGAAAATCGAAGACAAACAAGATTTTCTGTATTCATCGCTCATTGCTTATTTATTGTCAGAGTGCACGCTGCTGACTGTGTGTCTCTGTCTGCTTCCTCAGGCTTTAGAGTACCTTTTCAAGTTCATCGTCCAGTCCCGTATCCTGTACTCGAGAGCCACCTGTGGGATGGAGGAGGAGCAGTTCAGGGCAAGCATCCAAGAGCTCTTCCAGTCGATCCGCTTCGTCCTGAGCCTGGACAGCCGCAGCTCAGAGAACCTGGTTTTCACGCAGGTCAGACACCTCATAACAAACATAATCACTCTCTCATTTTTATCTTTTTGTTATACATGTGTTTAATTTCTTTTTCATCTATTAAGTTAGCATTCTTGATTTATTTTTTGTGTTTTCCTTCTTGTTTTATTCTTCTTATTTATGACTTTTTTTTAATTTCTCAATTATGCCACCATTTGTTTTTCTCATCCCAACTGTTACACCATCCTTTGGCTTGCTCTCGGACAATTTAGGTGTGTGAGCAGCTGCATGACTGTCTGTGGTTTTACTGTGAGGCTCTCTTCCATCAGCGTAAGTCACAGTGCCTCCTTGTGTTGGTTTCACAATACAGCAGAGGCCGCGCATCCATCGGTCTATTTAGAGGGGATGATGCATTGTTCAGCACCATAACAGATATGCAGTTGTTGTTTTTTTTTTCCTTTGCAGTGGTACATTAAAGACTAAACAGAGAGAAACTGAGTGATAATATAAAAGAGATGAATTGTCGCCCTTTATTAAAGCTTTGTGCTCCTTTTAGAAGATGAATATGAGGCTTTGTTTGTTTGCATCAATCAGAGAAGACTTATAAATTGTCTTCATAGTTGAGTTTTCAAACATGTTAATCTGGATGTGCGCTACATATCTCGTCCTTTGTTCCTCCCCGCAGGCGGCACTGTTGAACAGCTTCCCTGATATCTTTGATGAGCTGCTGCAGATGTTCACTGTTCAGGAGGTAGCCGAATATGTCAGGGGCACCCTAGGGAGCATGCCCAGCACTGTGGACATTGGTCAGTCCATGGATGTAGTCAAACTCCAGTCTATTGCCCGCACAGTTGAGAGTCGTCTCTTCTTCTTCCCTGGTGAGATTAAAGCCAAGTTAGTTTTTAAGATATGGAAGAACCTTGTTAGTAAAAATGTGCATGCAGTTTTAACAGAGTTGTTCTTACTTTCTTTCCTACAGAGTCTCGGAGTATTCTGCTGCCGGTGGTTCTGCATCACATTCACCTGCATCTACGCCAGCAGAGGGAGCTGCTCATCTGCTCCGGGATCTTAAGCAGCATCTTTTCCATAATTAAGACGAGCTCCATGGTAGATTTCTTGTTACTATGCAATAAAATGTATTTTCAATTAAACGTCCTCTGTGATTACACCAAAGAATAAAACTGAAACAGGGAGGATGATATAGAATGACCTTTTGAGAAACACTGGCTTAAGGCAGTGCTGCTGCAGCATTTCTGCATCCCTGTTATTAAATCCCTCATCCCCCGCTTCCCTTCTCCGTGCTCTTGTGTATCAGGAATCTTCTGTTCAGGAGGAGGTGGAAATGATGGTGGAGAGCCTTCTGGATGTGCTGCTGCAGACTCTGCTGTCCATTATGAGCAAGTCTCACTCTGTGGAGACATCCAGGGGACAACGCTGTCCCCAGTGCACCGCTGAGATAACGGTAAGCTTTTTCTGCTTGTGCCACTTTGACGTGAATTAAAAACAGGTGGGATTAAGGGAATATTTTGAGTTGATTAACCTTTAAAGTACATCTGCCGGTATTTGTCATTTTTTCTCTCACACAGGGGGAGTATGTGTCCTGTCTTCTTTCTCTGCTGCGGCAGATGACAGAGATCCACTTTCACCATCTATTGAACAACTTTCACAGCAAGGAGGAGCTGAAGGTGGGAAACTCTGACTCACAGAGATGAGTATGATTGCAGCATTTTGCAGCAGCCGGCTCACTACATACCTTGACTGCATCGCTTTCTTAATATATTCTTCGGCAGGAGTTCCTGTTGAAGATCTTCTGCGTGTTCCGCAACCTAATGAAACTGACTATCTTCCCCCGAGACTGGAGTGTCATGAGGCTTCTAACGAGTCAGTGAGTTCTGCTTTTACATTTCTGTCATGCAGTCTTTGTCCTGAAGACGGTAAGGGAATACAGCCAACCATTAGATCAGACCCTCTCTAGATAATCCTGCGCTGAAGGTGACGCTTGTGTTGCAAATCTTTTTATCTATTTTTGGCAGCTACTTCCTTTGGTAAGCTGATAGTGTAATGTTTGCTTTCTGCAGTATCATCGTGGTGACAACACAGTTCCTGTCTCCGGCGCTGCACAAGAACTTCTCAGAGGCGGATTTTGATTTCAAGGTGTGTGTCTGAACCGCAAAGACGGACTTTCAGGAAACACTAAACCACCATGAACTTACAAAATATCACTTTGCGTTCATTTCTATTATTTGATTCCTGAAATATTGCTTCTCTGTGTAGGTGTGGAACTCCTTTTTCAGTCTCACTGTACTGTACATCAACCAGCCTAGTCTGCAGCTAGAGGCGATTGGCCCGGCTAAGAGAAAGAAAATCCTCGACAAGTAAGAAACTTTCGTATTTTTCTATCCCACATGTTAAATACTTGACGAACAAATTCTTGTTGATTTTGGGAACTTCTCTTTTCTAGGTATGGCGATATGAGGGTGATGATGGCGTATGAGCTCTTCAGCATGTGGCAAAAATTAGGTACGTTAGTCCACTTTGAAGAAAAAGACGACGCCTATCATAACGAGACTAATGCATTTGGATTTACATGATTTTTATTTATCGATTTTTTTTTTAAATTCATCGCATCTTATTAACTTAATCCCAAAAATAAAAATTTAAATAATAGAAAAATGTATCAGTGCAAATTTAAAAGAACAGAAAAAAACAAGTTCGTAACAAAACAACACAGGCACAAAGACAGACACAGTTTCTACGCAAGTATGGAATTAAATTTGATCAATTTCCAGGTCTTAGAAAGTATGGTAAATGAAAAATAAAATATGGAAAAATATTGAGGTTTCCAGACTATTACCACAGTAAAAAAAAAGATACTGTTTTTTTAAAATAGAAAAGGAGGTAATTACAAAAATAATTCTAAAAAGTAGGGTATGGAGAAGTATGGAAATTCCAACTGTGTCGGAACCCTGAACAGACCACAGTACTTCCCCATAGATCATACATCTACATATGTATTTGTTCACACATGCACTGAATTATTACACCTCTAACAGCAGTAATAGTAATTGTAATTGTGTATGTCAAATAAATCAATTTTGAATGCAGCGTAAGGATGAACATAGTGAGTGCTGAGTGTAAACAAAGAGAGGTAGAAAACAAACCAGCTAAAAAGGGAGTAAGGAGAGAAACATTAGAGTGGAAACTGCTTAAATAAGCCCAGGCCCAATAAACCTCGGTAAATACAATTCCCCTAATGTCCTTTCCAAATCTGCCCAGTGGCTCCCAGTCCAGGAATCTTAACCAATCAGCAGAGAGAGCAAGACGTGACAAATGAACAGAAAATCGAATAGCTTATACGTCTACATATCCATCTGCACAGTCTTTGTGTACAAACACCTACACAAATCACACCCACCATTTCTCTCTACACTCTTTAGCTGCGTTTGGCTTTTAATAGAAGTTACAACATTGCTGTTGTTTTCTATGTGAATGTGTGTAGGAGACAACAAGCCCCACTTCATTCCAGGAATGATGGGTCCCTTCCTCGGCGTCACCCTGGTGCCTCAGACTGAGGTTCGAAATATCATGATCCCCATTTTCCACGACATGATGGATTGGGAGCAGAGGAAAAACGGCAACTTCAAGCAGGTCATAATGACGTTATTATGTAATGAACTGCAGATTGTGTGCCTCAGCAGTTGTTGTGGAAAAAAGAAAAATTCGGACAGCTTTTTGGCACCTAACACACCCCGATGATTTGGCTGAATATGTGTGCGCTTGTGTAGGTGGAAGCAGAGCTGATGGATAAGCTGGACAGCATGGTGTCGGATGGGAAAGGCGATGATAATCACAGAGAGCTCTTCAGCCTTTTGTAAGCACCAAATTCATGTTTAGTGAGCTTGTGAAGTGATGCTCAGAATAATGCTGCTCTCGTTGCGTTTTCAACTAACATACCTCTCTCTGTGTTGTCATCACAGGACTCAGCTGTTTGGTCCTTATCCAAGGTAATGTGTAATGCCTCTCAGCTTAGACTGTGACACATTTTGATTCATGTTTACTGTGCTCGTCGACTTCTTCAGGACAAACATCTTACTACTTTTTTTTTTTCTCTCTCTATGCAGCCTGCTGGAAAAAATCGAGCAGGAGACTTGGAGAGAGACCGGGATCTCATTTGTCACATCGGTTACAAGACTTGTTGAGCGATTATTGGACTACAGGTATGCAGGGAAAAAAAAGAAATGTAATGTTCGGACAATGAAGAGAAAATAATCGATGTTTTTTGTTGTTTTAAGGGACTGCATGAAGGGAGATGAGATGGAGAACAAGAAAATTGGTGGCTCTGTCAACCTCATGGTGAGATATTCTCAAAGAACAGGATTTGAGAACGATATTGACAAATGTTTCTCCACATGATATAATATTCCAACTCTTCTTTTCTTTCTGATTTTGTCACAGAACTTTTACAAATCTGAAGTCAACAAGGAAGACATGTACATCCGTTATATCCACAAACTGTGTGATCTGCATCTCCAAGCAGAGGATTTCACAGGTAACAGACACACCGCAGCACCACCATAATGAGTAGAGGCTTTTCTCTCTGTAAAAGTAGATGTTTATTTGTTCGATGCAGGCTTTTGAAGCTTTCCAAGGTCAGACTAAAACAAAACTTTGGTCTGGCGCTGAGAAGCAACAGGTCTTTGTCTGGCTTTTGCCCTGTTGTTCTGCGTGTCCTGTCCCCTTTCTTTTCTGTTTACTTTATTCTATCTGAGAGGTTCCTGGAGAGGAATTTCAACAAACACAAAACTTAGATGAGATGAAATAAACACAATATGTGGAGAAGTTTTAGGCTGTATTTTAGTTTGGTGAAGACTCTGACCAACAAAAATCTTTGATATTACTTTTTGTAGGTGGGTCTTGGATGTGCAAAGTGTGTTTTGATCATATTTCTTCTCTAATTGATTAATTTTCTCTCCTATAACAAGTCTATAACAAAAAATTGATGCTTTTACTTTGAATTTAAAACAGGCTTGGAAGTGATAATAACAAGAACAAACAACAATAATAAATACAAATAATAATAATGACATTTGCAATTTTGTGGTCTGCTATTGGTTGCTTTCAAGGTCTGCTAGCTCTCACTGACTACAGGTGCAACTTGACCCAAGCTATTTTCCGCCATCTTGCCATTCATTGCGCCTCGCAGGTGAATTTCTCTTAATGAAATGTGGTTTGACTACAGTGCTCCTGCAGGGTAGCGCAAATGTTCACCATTAATCTCGATGATTATTATTATTATTAGTGTGCTGGGGTAAAGGACCTCCCACACTTCCAAGCATAGCTCCACCCACTTTCACTCGAAGTGGCGGTCCAATTAGCCAGAGTAACTGGAAACGTGTGGGTGTGTAGAGCCTCCAACGGCGAAGTTTCACAGGTCAAATGGACAATTCACCAAATGTTCCAGGAGCTTAACACAGCCACAGTCCATCGGGAGTTAATAACAGATTAATCCAAGTATTACAAAAAGGCTAAATTTGTTATCGGCAGGGGGATTACATTAAATGTTAATCAGGTCTGGTAATGCCACTCTTAATCATGTAAACAGGAAATCAGGGGAAGTTGTCAGTTTATATAATCGTGTTAATAGCTTAAGTGGTCTTGCTTTACTCACATTATTGGCAGTGGAGGCTTTATTGTGTGTGTGTGTAAATGTAGCCAAATATGACTAATTAAATGCAACCTTATTCATCACTTACGTAAAACAAACAGGCAGCTGGCAAGATAATTGAAGCACATTTCAGTGTTCTGCAGGGCCGTGATTGCACACGTTTTGCAGAGTGTGAATCATTGTCTGCTCAAAAAAGATGTTCTTTTCTCCAGAGACGTGACTTCATCTCACTGTTTGTCATCGGTTTTACTTTGCAGATAAATGCATTTAAATGTTTCGCCTTGCTTTTCCATTCAGAGCTGGTTCAAAAATTGTATTGATTGATTTATTTGTTCGTTTTATTCTCTGTCAACCAACTTAACTTTGTAAATATATATAAAAAATAATCCTACAAGTCAAATGTGAGGCTATTGAAATGCATGTTTTGTCCTCGTTACATAAAAAAAACAGAGTCTTTAAATGATATCTCAAATGTCAAAGAAAAGAAGCAATATTCTGAGATTAAGAGGCTCTGAGTGTCTAAGGAGCTATCGCTGAAGAGATAAAGGTCATAACGTTGTGTTCTTTCTCATCGAGACTTATTTTATTGCACCCAATATTAACTTAACACTATTTCTGGGACCTATTTCATCTATAGTGCAATAATAATCTTTTAATTTCACCAATCTAGAGTGTCCCTCCTTCCCCAAACATCTCTTAAGATGTAGCAGTGATGTGCACAGAATGAAACGGATGATTGGAAAAGGAAGAAAATACAAAAAATTGAACGTATATAGTAAAAAATGATGAGGAGATGTAGATCTTTAAATGAAAGGTGTCCTGAAGTGACTATACCTGACTGATCTAACAGTAAGAAAACACTTTAAAAGGTTCATTTCTATCATAAGCTGCTTTTTCCATCCTAAACCAAAATATCCAGATATTTAAAATATTTGTGATATTCTTTCAAAATCATGCTTTTTCTTGGACGGTTGTGACAAAGACATTAAAGATAAGTCCAAGATGCTGATTTAGAGAGCAGCTGATTAGATTTCCGCCGTACAGGTGCTCTTTGCTCCTCTGCCTAATGACATGCAGAAACAGCCTCAGTGCGAAGGGCAGCTCGCACCACTGAGTGTCTACCATCTGTTCACTGAAACTGGCACCAAATTATGTGGGAGATATCTGCTCTGTTCAACATCTGCAGCATCACTAGAAAGTGCGTAAACACGACGGTAGCCTTTTATTTTGATGACTTGTGTTTTTATTGATCACAGAGGCGGCGTTCACCCTGCTGCTGTACTGGGAGCTGCTGCAGTGGGAGGACCAGCCCCTCAGGGATTTCCTCCACTACCCGTGTCAGAGCGAGTGGCAGCGCAAGGAGAACCTGAGTCGTAAAATCCTGCACTACTTCAACAAGGGAAAGGCAAGTAAATCTTTTACTGGCCTCCACCACCCCACCCCACCCAGCCCCCTATTATTTTTTTCAATTTACTTCAAGACAGTGTTTCAAAGGACGACTAAAACCATACCGTTTTTGACCCACATCAGCTGCTGGCTCTCAGGCAGTAAAACACCCAAGGCTAGATTTATGCGACTGAACGGCACCGACAGATTTATGCAGGACAAGTGACATTTATGAATGAAACTCACATCTACTGTAAGGTTTTTCTCTGTTTTAAGACGCTGTTATTGTTCAAGTGACTATTTCTCCACATCTGCAGTGCAGCTGTTTTTTTTAACGTGATTATATTTTGCCCTCATTAACATCGGAAATGAACGAGAATCTCCAAACTTCCCAATTATTTTTCTGTTTCCAATATTTGGAGGTGTGTTTTTAATGTCACTGACAAGCTTAGCAGTATAAAACTGTAACAAATCTTTTATTCAATCCAAATTTTTGGGTTTGAAATTTTATTGAATATTACTTGTAAAGTCGTGAACTGGGAAATGGTACAAAAAACAGTATTTCATGTTAATTATATGACAATTTTCTGAGATGCATTGTCCCCAAAAGTCTCAAGATGCACTTAAATGTGTTATTTTTGGAGGATAAAGCTTAATTTCTTCAAATCCTGCATGATTGCATAATATTAATTTGTCCGAGGTCATATATTCAACCGTTAAGATCATCAAAAACAAGGTGGTAAAATGAAAATATTTTGTAGCAGTGGTTTTAAAGCTTAACCAGCTACCATCCTTGTTTCTTTCTTGCCTCAGTGAATGTCTTCTTTCGCTTTGTATACTGAGACAAACACTGACTGCCGTATTACGTCACATGCATACAAACATTACCTTATTCCACTGCTTCTCAGTGAGGGTCAGCTGTTTGCTTGGAAGGGATTTTTCCTCCCTAAATACATCCCCCCCCGCCTGCCTGGTATTCATCCACGAAATTAAATTAGCGGGCTGGTCTCCGCACTTTAGAGACGGCGATGCCCTCTGGACTCTGGAAAGCGTTTGAGGAGGGAATAAAAGTCCCCTCCGTCTCTGACTCGGTGTCATATTCAGTTTTTATTGCTGAGCTTGTGCATAAAATCAGTGGCTGTCCTGAACTTGGGGAAACCTCTGCTGCTACCAGTCTTGAAACTCAAACACTACAAACAGAAATCTATAAGAAATTGAAAAACTGCTCAGAGATCAGTAACCAAGGTGAGGCAGTAATAGGAAAACAACACGGTTGCTAAAAAGTGGCTGTTTAGCATCTTTAGGAGGGATATTTCTTGGCCTAAAAAGTCCAAGTCAAGCAAGAAATTTCTCCTAAATACTGTCAAATGTGAAACATAAGAGATGTTTGTTGATGTATGTTTGATTTCCTGACCTTTTATTGAAGCTTTTTTCCTTCATATTCTTATTAAAAGGCGTCTCTTTTGACTTGAATGTCTTCCCATTTTAAACGTATATTTAGGGAGAAAATAAACCAGTAATTGCTTGCATAATTTTGCCGTCTTACTCAGTCAGGTGTCTCTTGATAATAAAGAATAAATTTAGCTTTTATTATTAGTTCAGTTCTCATGTGTATCTGTCTTTGCAGTGCTGGGAATATGGAATCTCTCTGTGCCGGGAGCTGGCTTTCCAGTACGAGACTTTGTATGATTATCAGAGCCTTAGCTGGATACGGGTGAGTAAAGTCTGGTGTGCCACCCTTTCTTTTTTTTGAGTGCGATTGAATCATTATTAATCATCACTCTTTTGCATGTTCGTCACTGCGTGGCAGAAAATGGAGGCAGCCTACTATGACAACATCATCGAACAGCAGAGGATCGAGCCAGAGTTTTTCCGGATGGGCTTCTACGGCAGAAAGTTTCCTTTCTTCCTCAGGGTAAGGCTTACAAAAATCTCGTCTCATCTCGTCTGTCCTGACACAGTTACGATTCTGCTGATGTGGAGGAAAGCTACACCGCTTCTCCATGCTTCAGTAGGCAGCAGTGTCAGTTACAGCAGCTCAGACCAGACAGAGAGCCTGGATGGGAAGTGGATGTTGGTAATTTGATCAAGTATAAGAGGGTGTGATACTGAAAATTATCTAATATGGAGGGATTCAAAACGTTTATTCGGAGCATAATTATTGCTAATCTCTTACTGATTTACAGTTTGGGCTTTTTAATATGACTTTTAATTAGGAGTTTTTCCTTTTTTAGCCTAAGACTTTATTATAAGCATTGTTTAAACATCATTTATTTTATTTTATTCAATTAGTCATAGTTTTTGTCTGGTATTTATCTGCTCTACTTTAAGTTATTTTTTCTCTGATTTTAATTGTGTTTATTTTACCCTTGCACAATAAATTTATTTTAATGTATAATTTTTTTTAATTTTCAAATTAATTTTGTTTGGTGTAGTCTATTTTACATATTGATGTAATTTCCTGTCTGTCTATTTCTTTAAGAAACACTATAGGCTGCATGCTCATATGTACCATATTTTTCGCACTATAAGGTGCACTTAAAATCCTTTTGGCTTGTTGGAGCACTGCAGCTACCATAGCCTTGTGGATTTATTGAATGAGTTAAATAAAGTTTGATTTACCTGACTGTTTTGTTTTGCTTAATGCGCTCTATAATCCGGTGAGCCTTATGTATAAAAATAGACACGTTCATTGATGGTGCGCCTTACAACCAGGTGCACCTTTTATAGTGCAAAAAATATGGTATTAAAAGTTGCTATATGGTGAATTGAGTTAAGTTGTGCTTGTCAGAAATAAGTCATTACTTCATATTTATACCCTTAGCTTTAACATACATTGTTTATCCAATTTTTTCTTGTGACATTTAACCAAGTCTGTTTCAAGTCTAAATGTGACATGTCTTATTCTTTATTCTTAATAAACATAATATAGTTGACTGTTAATAATATTCTTGTAACGAAGTATTAAATGATAACATAAATGAGAGTTTACAGGTCCTTTTGTGGCAAATTTCAAAGAGTGAAGACATTTATTGCTCCTCCCGTCTCTACAGAACAAGGAGTTTGTCTGTCGTGGTTATGACTATGAGCGACTAGAGGACTTCCAGCAAAGGATGCTGGGGGAATTTCCACAAGCCATCGCCATGCAGCATCCAAACCAACCTGATGACACCATCCTGCAGAGTGACGCACAGTGTATCCTACTTAACCCACTGCTAGTTGTTCCAGCGATGAAGCCAACACTCTGCTGTATAAGTTAAACTGTAGATGTGACAGATCAAATGCGGCTGTTCAGGTTTTGTTCTCAAGTCAGACAGTAAAGGCAGATGCTCTCTGTACTCTTCTGCGAATATGCATGTCTGTCTTTATGTCTGTCATTTCCTTGACACTTGGCTTCCAGATTTGCAGATCTATGCGGTGACTCCAGTGTCAGACATCTCTGATGTGCCTCAGCTGGAGCGTGTGCCCGAGAGGATCAAGAGCTTCTACCGCATAAACAACGTCAGCCGCTTCCACTATGACAGGCCTTTCCACAAGGGGCCCAAAGACCGCGAGAACGAGTTCAGGGTACGTTGAGCCAGCAGTGCCCCCTCTCAGTCCATCTCTGCTGCACAGTACACAGATTCTCACAAAAACGCTGACATTTAAAAAGAGAGAATGAGGTCAAATATAAACCTTAAAATGTTTGACTGTCATACCTCTTTAAATTACTCTGTTGTTAAGAGTCAGTTTTGTTTGATAAAACCAGAATCTGTTTCTGTATAAAGTAAAGCTGGTGATGATCTTTCAGTTTTTTCGCTTTTTAGTACATGTAGGAAGGAAAATATGGGACATCCAGTTTATTAACAGCAGACAAACTTCTTCCAATTTTGTCATTTGTATCTGATCGTCCGCCCCAAACACATTTGGCTCATACAAGATAATCAGCTACCCAAAGTAATTCAAGAGTGTGTTTTTTATTTTTTTGTCTAAGAGGTTAAACTTACCAGGAAAAAAGTTGAGGACTAAGGATTTAGCCATGAGGTACTCCATGCATCACCTCTTAAATTCTTGATATTGTATGACTTAAGGAAACACCTTTTTGTTTCAAAAGTCAGTTGTTTTCTTTCATTTATTTTTTTTTGCATTAAATCCAATGGTCATGACTTAATAACAACTAAGGTTAGAGTCCTGTGATGAACACATGGTGTTTTTAATTGAGATGTAACAGCTAAAAACTTGGCTGTCTGCTTATAACACTCACACTTCCATCCAATTTGGTCAAAATGTTGCCAAACTCAAAAAGAAAGTGCCTGCCTTCTCATTTTGCTAAATAATCTCAACTCATGAGGACAAAAAAAAAAGATAAAATATCTCTAATCAAATAAACTAGACTGCATAATCTTTTGCTAATGTTGGAAAAGTTGTGCTGGGCAGTGAACATTACTTACTTCCCCAAATATGACTTCTTTTGTAGCAGCCTTCGTAATTGAAACTCACAGTATTCTCTTTCTTAACTGCAGGTGCATTAGTCATAATCACTGCAAAATGATGTAATGTGGCAAGAGGAAAAGTTTCTAAATTCATGACGCAGGATCCAAAGACTGAACACTGCAGTAAAACAAAGGACAGAAGCAGCAGCTGATGTGTTTAATGCAGGTTTTTGCTTTGTAGATGCTTCATATCGTAATAAATATGGTGTTTGTATTGTTTGGTCTGTCAGATGATGAATTTAAAAAAAAATAAAATATTGACATACGACTGTCTGAAGTCAATACAGATATTTGCAAATTGGATTTAGTCCAGTATACCAATCTCAGATTTTGAAAAGCAGAAAACTAGGATCACATTTTGTCCTCAAGAAATGAATTCCAGTAATACAGATATAACCGTTATTTAAATAAGGTTTTACTCTCTTTAGATCCCCATTTCTATTAAACATCTCAAGCTCAAATTTTATCATGCTCTGTTGTTACAGAAACTGCTTATCCTGTTGAAAAATTCTACAATCAGGTCAACAGAGACTTGAACCAGACATGGCACACGACTATATTTTCCACTGACACACTTACCTAAATCTGGAATCAAACCATAAGGGGACTTTTACTCCTCACTGAGCTGACCTAAATGCCACAACACAACACAGCTCTGAGGTAGTACTCCTCACAGCCTGGTTATGTCTCTATTATTTCATACTGTCAGCTCTCCAGTGGACCCTCCTGTTGTTAACAGGTGTGGTTGATAGACCGCATAACCCCCTGTTATCTCTCTCTGCTTGTTTAACAGAGTCTGTGGATTGAGAGAACAACCCTGATCCTCTCCCGTCCTCTCCCAGGGATCTCCCGCTGGGCTGAGGTGGAGAGGAGAGAAGTGGTGAGGAGCTCAAAACATTCATTCTCTATTATCACATAAAGCGCATGCTGCTCCCCGAAGGCCGCTGCGACAGTTTCCTCAAGCTTCCTGATGACAGATGGATCGGGGTTAAATGTATATATTTATTTCCAGGTGGAGGTGAGCCCTCTGGAGAATGCCATTTATGTGGTGGAGAATAAGACCCAGGAGCTGCGGACTCTGATCAGCCAGTACCAACACAGACAGCATCATGGCAACATCAACCCACTCAGCATGTGCCTAAACGGGGTCATCGATGCTGCGGTGAATGGAGGCATCGCCAGATATCAGGAGGTACAAAGAGATTCGGGGATAATGACATTTAATTAGACCCACGATTGAATTGGTGTTCATCTTTTGACTCATCTGCCCCTTAAACAGGCTTTCTTTGACAAGGACTACATTAGCAGTCACCCTGAAGACACGGAGAGGATCACACACCTGAAGGATTTGATGCAGGAACAGGTCAGATGCACCCCTGAATTTGGTCACGTGTGAATTCACTGGTTCAATAAACTCACATGACAGTGTTGTAAGCATCTTTACTTTTTCGTAAAAAGGTGCACATTCTTGGAGTGGGTCTGGCTGTTCATGAGAAGCTGGTGCATCCAGAGATGCGCCCCCTGCACAAAAAGCTGGTGGACCAGTTCCACATGATGAGGACAGGTTTACATCATGTGAGTAGTTCAACATGAGTTTGTTCGGTAACACTTTACAATAACCATAACTTATAAGTGGCAATAGACCATTTATAAATGGTAAGCAGATAGTTTATTAATGTTTAATCATCATTTATAAATAGCATAAAGACCATTAATAGATTGTAAATTTTACAGTTTTAAAAACCTAACCCTAACTTTACAATAACCATCTAAGTAATGTTTTTATAGGTGGTTTATAAACAAAATATTAACCATTTACAAAGTATTACAAACATCAGTTGCAACTTTACAGTAACCATCTAAGTAATGTTTATAGATGGTTTAAAAACCAAATATTAACCATCTACAAAGTGCTACTGACACACATTTTAATCTAGATGTTTTACAATCAATATTTAAACCCTATATAAACCTTTAATAAATAGTCCATTAATAAGTAATGAAAATTATTATCGTTAATAGTAAAGTAACTATTAACTTACATTAATAAACTATCTATTTGCCATTTATAATTGGTCTGTATGCTGTTTTTAAATGATGATTAAACATTAACAAACTATCTATCCTATCTATTTACTCGTTATAAATGATGGTTATCTGCCACCTTTTCAGTCCATAATTGTGAATCAATGTTAACATGCAAATTTTCAGATGTTTGTGTATACAGTGTTAATATTCAGAGTAGTATATGGTTGGATCCCAGCAGGGTGTGCCAGGTGTGGATCGATTTGGCCCTGCAGGCTGCCAGGGGGTCAATTCTCCGAGAGGGATCCTCTCCTCACACAGCCACATGAGCCCTGAGAGTGTGCGCCTCATGCACAGACACAGGTCAGCCTCTTAAAAACACAAACACACCCACACACGGAGACACATCGGTAACCTAGACTGTCAACCAAGGGTAAAACAGAATTGCTCACACACATGAATTCACGCCTTAACACAGATTCCTTTGGGAAACTGGGGAAAATTTAAGGTCACAATTAAAACTGAGCTCCATTTGACCACTTAAGGTGATAAAGTTAGTCAACTGCACTTCATATACATCTAAATCTAAATCCGATAGGCCTACAGTTTTAATCCAAAATGCTTAACCTAAGATATAACAACACAAGATTAGCAAAAACATCTTCTCTTTGAAACTAGAGCGTGAAATTTAGCTGCACACACCACCAAGCAGACTCTCACACACACACACTGACATGAGACACTCATTGACGCAGAGATAAATATCTTTTACCATCTCCAACATAATCTCTTTCCTGTAGCCCTCTGAACCTCCAGGGCTCAATCCGTCACTCGTCCTCCTCCCTGTCCTCTCACACATCGAGCGAGGCGGGAAACCTCGTCATAATGACAGACGGCTTGATGGGAGAGCACCCAGAGGAGGCATTACACATGCAGGTAAGGCTTGAGAGGAAAACAACCCCGACACCACTGTACTGGAAATTGCATGAATTTATGCCGCACGTTAGCCTCAGATTTAATGAAACAAGACGGCAAGTAAACCAATTAAAGAAAGTATATTTCAGTTCTGCTTTGCAGTAGGTTTTGTTATATGTAGAATACATTTTGTTTGCAGCCGAGCCCCTCCTCCTCCAGCCTGAGCTCTATTCGTTCTAACTCTTCCCAGATTATTAACTCGGCTCCCTCGAGTGCCAGAGGTAAGTAACACAAATGCAGACAGACACACAAGAGATGGTTACACAGACTGGAGCAGTTATAACTCTATCCTGCCCCACCTCAACTATATTCTCCTTTATGCATCATATATGACAGTTTTATCAACCATAGATGCAAAAGAATAAGAAAACACATATTAGATATTATCAACTGGAAGCTAGCATGACAAATACCTTCATTTATACGATGCACATGTACATCCAAGTAATATAAAATCAGACGTTTAATTATAGTTTTCCTTTCCTCAGGTTCTCCATCGTTGCCTGATAAAGCTAAACACAACAGAGAAGTCATGATACTGTTACCGTCTCACCGTGAGAGGGCCAACAACTCCATGTACTACAACATGGCAGAGAACGGACAGGTAGGTCTGATTTCTGGGATGAACATATTGCATGCAACCATGTCAGTAGCTGATGCATAAGACTTTTTCTAACCTGACATCACTTGCATCGATGCTTTCTGCAGAACAACCATATGCAGCGTGCCTTACTCCAGCAAGTTAGCCCCTGTAAGCCGTGTGCTGATCCTCACATGAACCTGCCAGAGAAAGGTATCACTCAAACACAGGTTGAGATGTGCGGTTTTGTTTATGTGACATGTCTCATAGTGTTTTTTATGTGTCCTCCCCTGCAGTCTTTCCAAACACTCCCAACAGCTGGGGTCTGGATGGAGAGAACAGGGAGCAGGTGTCCTACATGCCCGCTTCCACAGGTGGAGTCATGATGCCTCCAGTCCCACCCAGGTCCTTCCCACCAGGTGACTTTTACCCCATACTGGTAGATTTACAAAGAAAATAGTCAATTTTTTGAATTTACAAGCAGTCAGAGCTGTATGTAAAGATCTTTTTCTCCTTTTTCAGGACACTTCTTGATGCACTGTGATGCGTATCACCACCAAAACAGCGACCCCCCTCCTGCCCTGCCTGTCCGCTCACTTAGAAAGGTACAGATATGCAAAGAAGGATGCAGATTTAGAAATGACAGGACAGACTAAAAAAAATTAAATCTTACTTGTGTTTTAGAGTTATCGCATTTTTCGCACTAGAAGGCGCACTTAAAATCCTTTTGGCTTGTCAGAGCACTGCAGCTACCGAAGCCTTGCGGAGTTATTGAATGAGTTAAATAAAGTTTGACTTATCTTACTGTTTTGTTTGGCTTAATGCACTTTATAATCCGGTGCGCCTTATAGTGGAAAAAATACGGTACTTTGCTTTTGTCAGAGTGGTCAAAACTGAAATTACTAAAACAAACATGATGAAAAAACATCCAGCGTAAGTACTTGTGCAGTGAAATGAGACTCAAATGCAGTAAATGCACAATTCTCTTTTATTTGTTATTTGACCACGCTGGTTTTTGCACAAATCGCTGCAATGCAAGGTTGGGATCAATCCCTGTTCTCACGTCTTTCGATCATTTCTGCTTTCTGTGCATGTATGAGCGTGTACTCAAACTGGTGCAACACAATCTGTCACACCTTGAACGCTCTATTCTTCTCTTCTACCCAGTCTCCTCTCCACCCGATCCCTGGCTCTCCCACCAGTCCTCAGTCTGCTCTGGGTGGCAGTAACTCCACTTTGTCCGGCAGTGCCAGCAGCGGCGTCTCCTCTCTTAGTGAGAGTAACTTCGGAGGACAGTACCCAGAGCCCGGTCCAATTCGAAATGACGCCTTGGAGCCTCTTCCCAGCCACCTGTGGTCTCCCCCCGATGAATACCTGCCCTCCCCTTACCTGCACATCCACTATGGTGGACCAGAGATTGACTCCATTGATCCTGTCCGTCCCTTCCACTACCGCAGCCCCACCTCACACCCCCACCAGCACAACCACCCTCATACTCATGCCCATGCTCATCCTGGAATGGACCCGCACGCTCATGGGCCGCCGCCTCACCACCACCCTCCTACTCACGGCCCTCACCACATCCCGTACCGCCGGCCCCAACCTCCCGCCGTGCCGCCGAAACCCTACCTGAGAGAGGGCTGCATCCCCGAAGAAGACCTGCCGCCTCAGCCCATCCCGCTGCCTCGCAGGATCTTCCACTCTCCTCACGGCCACAGAGAGGAACAGGGGAAGCACCCATGGGAGCAGTGCATCAGTGAAGAGCACGAGGAGACACAGTGATGAGCTGTGGCTACATTTATGTTCGAGCTTTCTCTTTCTGGTCTTCCTGCCTTCATTTGCATCGAGTTGAAGGCAGTCATAGGAAGAATCTTGTGACTCCTCTTGGTGCACATGAAGGCAAGAAAAGAAGAAACGAATCTCTTTTGAATCTCCAGAACCTACAGGCACAACTGCCCTCACAGCTCCGTGTGGCCTCTCAGATACGGGAAAAAGATCCGTTGAACAATAACACAGACTAACTCTGTTCGGATATTGATATTGATTGTACACACTTGTACAACTCGTCTGTGAGCATGTTTTTTTTTTTTTTCATTTGAGAATAATAAGACAACAGTTTTGTGAAATACGACAACCGTGATCACATGATCCCAGGTGCAGTATAAGCTCTGAACTCCCTCGATTTTTTGCTTTTCATGTCATTTTCACCACAAGAGGCAAATCCAGAAGGTCATGACTCAGTGAAGTGACTTCTCCGCTTTAAACACGACAAGTTCTTATTTTATTTTGATAAATACGAAATACATTATAGTGTTTTCAAATGCTTATGTCCGTTTTGTTTTTTGAAACACTGTTAAGTGCTCCTTAATAGTGAATCATATCAAATGGCACACTTTAATACGTGTTGCTGTCGGGCTGTCATAAACCGCAGGTCTCGAAGATTGGACTCTCCTCTTGGACCGGCATCTCAAGGGACATGAACTTCAGTCAGTGACAATTTTCCGTCCATACATCACGTATGGAAACCTCCGTGAATGTATTCAGATGAGATGTTCGTGTTGCACAAGCTGCAATGCTGGTTTTTGTTCAAGTGCTTTAAGTTGAGTCTCTGTTGCAGAAGTGTCTGTCTCTCTTTTGTGTGACAAAGGTATCTCTTTATGAAGCAAAGTGTGGATTAGACAGGATGAAACAAGAACTCTGCGCACCTCCACCACCTGCTGGATGCTTTTAGCTGACATCCACTCCACTCCCACTCTATCTCTCTCCCTCCTCTCTATCTCCTCCGCTGCATGGCTGTCAGACCATATCAAGCACCGAGCGCTGCACCTGGACAGCGGCAGTGTGATGTGTCTGACGACGCTGTCTGGACCCCACACCCCATCCCAAGATGTTGAGTGATTCCCACTCAGACATTGTCTGGTATCGCCTACCTGCCTTAAGTGCACTCAAATGCAGTTTGACCTCTCATCCGGACTGTGAGATGTTCATTTAGCAACAGCCGCTGTCCTTTTCATTCTGCTCTCTCAACGCTCCCTGAAGGAAAAAAAATAAGATATCTACCTATAGTGATGTTTTTGTATGGTTTTGTCCCGCTTTGGTTTCAGGTTGTTGTTCAGTTCGTAGCGCTAATATTTCTTCTTCTGCCTGCGGCTCTTTCTCAATCACCTTCTGTTGTGTGAAAACTAAAGATGTGTTTCAGAAGACTGAGAGAGGATTTACTTTTTGTGGAGCAGAAGAAGAGCGCTCGTTCTCGTGATGACGTGGGTTTGGAAGGATATAGCTAATATTTTAACAACTACTTGTTTTCCTGGTTGTTGTTTTTCTTTTGCAGGTGGATGCTTTTGTGTTACTGTACATCAAGTTGTCAGCTGACTAGACAACATCTATTTTTGTATGTGAGATCATCAGTTGTGTGAACATATTTCAGAAACCGTACCGAGACAGGAGGCCCAGGTACTGCATGAGCTGCTGTACTGTGTATGGAGATGGACCTGAGGTTAGATATCAAATACAGTATGTGAGTATCTCTTGTGAGTGTGGTGGCATTGAGGATAACTGGTGACTGAAGTGATACTCAAATATAGGTACAATAGAATTTTTCAATGTAAATTCTGTTATTGTACATACAGCAGTATTGTGAAATATTTTTGAGATTTATTGCAGAGGCCCCAAAAAGGTTTATGTTGTTTTGTGTATATACATGTACTCCAGAGATCAATGTAATTGATAAATATCTATAATCAGTGTTTGAAAAAGGACAACATACATTAGACTGTGGCTGTCTCCACCATTCTTGACTTTGAGTCCTCTCATATAAATACTTTATACACTTTTCAATGTGCTTTCCTGTACATATGGTGTTAGCATGATCAAACAGTGTTTGGTTGTAAAAGTGGTTTTCCTACTCCCATAACTGCTGTGGTATGGAATTCATTAACGATGCCAAACATTAAAGACAATCTTTTATCAGCTCTACCCCCCTCCTCTTTGCCTTTGCTTTGATTTGTGGTTTGTACTTCAAATGGACAGTAGAGGGCGGTGTTTGTCCAAAAATACACAAACTGGTCGCTGAAGTGGTGAAAATGCGAGTCTTTTTGTGTCTGTGCGCACTTGAGATGTAAGCACCTAGATATTCTCCTCAAACTGTGTCTGAGGAATTGATTCAAATAGGTCACATGTCAAAGAGGATTACAGAGCAGGTTTACCTGATTTTGCACCCTTTGCCCAAGCTGTGAGTCAACCTCGCAAGCTCTTTTTAAATCCTGAACTAAACCAGCACTTCAACTCAGATGTTTTTATTGGCTTTTTTACTCTCTCATAATTTTGTTTTAGACTCAGATGATAATAAAGAACTTTTAAAACATAGTTAGACAATTACCTAGCACTGACAGGAATGCATTTTTTGTTAAGTGGTGCTTCCAAAAACGATTGTTAAATTTGGCACCCAGCTCATAATCAAAAGTGAGCTATTAGCAGTTAAAGTCCTACATTTTTCACCTTTAAGTGACTAGAACCAAAAAGCAGACCTTACAGAGATCGCAGTGGGACCAAAAGTTTGATTTGCCATGTCAGTGGAAATACCTTCATTAAAACCATTTTTTGGGTTATGTTTATGCAAGGCTGCTTGCAGCTGCTGAACTTTCTCTTTTGTTGGTACTGTAAGCAGTGACTTGATGTTAATACAAGATTATAGGCACTCTTATTGACAACTTACTTTTCAGTGCTGAGAGATTCAGATTTACCAGATTTAATTGTTTCCATTTTTTATGCATTACCTTCCAAAGTTAAAGATGATTACAAGAAAGTCAACCCTCCATGGGGAGCCTTGACATAAGTCAGTGCCCCTAATTGGCCACCTCAGTCCAAAAAGAGTCTGGCTTTGCAACTGGAGGGAGAGTACATGCATGCTTGAAATCTACCAGATTTCTGTAAACATGAAAAGGATATTTATCCGCTGATACACAGAACACAGCTTTACCATTAAAATGATAATTATGCTTAATCATTGGAGTTGACGTGCCAAAACATTTGCAACAGAAACTGCAAACATCTGTCTGCACCACTGACTCAAATATTGTGAGGAGTTTTACTTGTTTTGATGGCAGTTACTGTCATGCTGAAGTTAAGCCAAAACTAATCAGGAAAAATGCCTTACCAATGCGTGTCATAAGAAGCTTAAAAAATCCACCAAGGAAATTTGAAGCCTTAAAATACAAACACTAATGAATTTCAATCAAGTAAATTACTTAACTTTACTCTGTGACATGCTGGTGTGCTGTAATTTGAGTGTGAATGTGTCAAACAACCCCTGGGTCCACTACTGATGGGGGAAAAAAAGTGAAAAAAAAAAGACAAACTACTGAGTTGCAGTGACAGCTAAGGTCCCCTCTCTCACCATCTCGAGCTTTACTCTGTCACCAACTGACTGCTTTGATATTCAAATGCATCATGTTTTCAAAAGCTGAGATGCAGTCAGGCTCAAAGTCAGACTTGAGTGACCACAAAAAGACCAAAAATAACTCCATGAGTTATTTAAAAAACATGCACTTGTATTAATAAATGTCATGAGCACCGATCTGCTTCAAAGTCATTTAACAGCAGCACAGTAATTAGTACTGATGTGTGGCCTACAGGTGGCACAAGTGACCCAGAAAGACTTCACGGGGATTGTCTTCTTTTTTTATATTTATTACATATTAATAAAAAAACAAGGAGAAAGGAAGAAGAAAAGAGGAAAATATTGGCTTTATGATGTTAAGTTTTGTTCCTGATTTTAGTCGTAGCAAAGTTCAGAGTCTGAATTTATTATTCCACCTGATCTCCACTGAGTGTTTAGAGAACTGTCGTGATTAAACGTGAAGATATGAGACACTTTAATAGTCTGCCTAAAAGCTTTGAGGTATCATTAGTCAGCAGTACATTTAAAATACTTCAGATTAGTTCAGGGAGTCGCCTCCAATATGGTAGTCCCCATAGCTTTCTCCTTGGCCTCCTTTGGGGTGTTCTCCAGAGCTTTGAAAACAAAGGAGTCAGATCCTTCTGGAAACCTGGACCTATGCCTGTCTCTCTGGCTCAGAGGGAAAAAGATGGATTTAGACTCCTGAGGTTGGAGGTTCAAACCCTTATCCAGGTCCTGCTGAATTTTAAAGTCCAGTGGCTAGAGTGGAGAGGAGAGTCAAAACCTGTCACCGACACACCATGCCTGTGTGTCCACATGGCTCACAGGATGAGAAGACTGACTGGGACTCCTGAGCTTGTGGGTTTGAGCCTCGTAAGGGTTGAGTAGGAATAGGAGTTGAATAGGAGAAAACCAGAAAACTCCTGTGTGTCCACATGGCTCACAGGGTAAGGAGACCGACTGGGACTCCTAAGGTGGTGGGTTCAAACCCTACCTTGCCCAAGTCTAGGAGAATTTTAAAGTCTAGTGTCTAAAAAGAACAGTTGAAAGGGACAAAACCAGCAAACACCTTTGTGTCCACATGGCTCACAGGGTAAGGAGACTGACTGGGACTCCTGAGGTTGTGGTTTCGAACCCTACCTTATCCAACTCTCTGAGAATTTTAAAGTCTAGTGTCTAAAAAGGGACGGTTAAATAGAAGAAAACCAGAAAACACCTGTGTGTTCACATGGCTCACAGGGTAAGGAGACTGACTGGGACTCCTGAGGTTGCGGGTTCTCACCTCACCCAACTCTCTGAGAATTTTAAAGTCTAGTGTCTAAAAAGGGACAGTTAAATAGAAGAAAACCAGAAAACTCCTGTGTGTCCACATGGCTCAGAGGATAAGGAGACTGACTGGCACTCCTGAGGTTGCGGGTTCGAACCTTATCCCAGACCAATTTTGAAGTCTAGCAGCCAAAGTACCAAGATAAAAGGGCGCAACGCTCATACCCAAGTGCGGACGGTATCCGGTGGCGCTGGGGGTATGCAACTGACACCCAAATACCAAATGCTGGTCAGGCGGGCAGCCCTAGTTCGATACCCACTCGACACACAGGAGATCCTGAAGCAAATCCTGGGGAACCAGGCCCGGGGGGAGGTTTCCCCCCGGTGTTTCCGGAGAGGTAAAACAGGGGGGTTATGAGGCAGGAAGTCAGAAGCCGCTGAAATTTTGGAGAAACTAACCAAGAAAGACAGACATAGATGACTTTCGTCATCTCTATTAGAAGAATAAAGTCACTATATTATAGTCATCTATAATACTATTATTTAAAGATGACTAAAGTCAACTATAATATAGTCATTATAGATGACTATAATAAAGTCATCTTTATTCTAATATAGATGACTATTATAGTCATAGATAGACTAGACGACTATATTATAGTCATCTCTATTAGAATAAAGATTAGACTACAATATACTATATTATAGTCATCTACTATTATAGTGATGACTATAATATAGTCATCACTATAATAGTCATAGATAGACTAGATGACTATTATTATAATAATACTATATATAGATGACTATAATAAAGTCATCTTTATTCTAACATAGATGACTATATTATATGACTATATTAGAATAAAGATGACTTTATTATAGTCATCTATATATAGTAGATGACTATAGTCATCTATATATAGATCACTATAATAGTAGATGACTATTATATCCATCTTTATTCTAATATAGATGACTATAATATAGTCGGCTTTTTTCTACATCTGTATTAGTCTCGTGTCTTATAGATGTCATCTTTACTCACTGTTCTTGTTTTAACTGTGTCATCTTTCTTGTTTGAGTTGGTTGTGTTTCTCCAAAATTTCAGCGGCTTCTGACTTCCTGCCTCATAACCCCCCTGTTTTACCTTTCCGGAAACACCGGGGGGAAACCTCCCCCCGGGCCTGGTTCCCCAGGATTTGCTTCAGGATCTCCTGCGTGTCGAGTGGGTATCGAACTAGGGCTGCCCGCCTGACCAGCATTTGGTATTTGGGTGTCAGTTGCATACCCCCAGCGCCACCGGATACCGTCCGCACTTGGGGATGAGCGTTGCGCCCTTTTATCTTGGTACTTTGGCTGCTAGACTTCAAAATTGGTCTGGGATAAGGTTCGAACCCGCAACCTCAGGAGTGCCAGTCAGTCTGCTTATCCTCTGAGCCATGTGGACACACAGGAGTTTTCTGGTTTTCTTCTATTTAACTGTCCCTTTTTAGACACTAGACTTTAAAATTCTCAGAGAGTTGGGTGAGGTGAGGTTCGAACCCGCAACCTCAGGAGTCCCAGTCAGTCTTCTTACCCTGTGAGCCATGTGAACACACAGGTGTTATCTGGTTTTCTTCTATTTAACCGTCCCTTTTTAGACAATAAACTTTTAAATTGTCTTTGACTTGGGTAAGGTAGGGTTGGAACCCACGACCTCAGGAGTCCCAGTCGGTCTCCTTACCCTGTGAGCCATGTGGACACAGAGGAGTTTTCTGGTTTTCTTCTATTTAACCGTCCCTTTTTAGACACTAGACTTTAAAATTCTCAGAGAGTTGGGTGAGGTGAGGTTCAAACCCACAAGCTCAAGAGTCCCAGTCGGTCTCCTTATCCTCTGAGCCTCATAGACACAAAGGAAGATCCTGTTTGTTTCTTCTTTCACTGTTCTTTGTAGACACTTGATTTTAAAATTCAGCTTGACCCTCATGAGGCTCAAACCCACAAGCTCAGGAGTCCCAGTCAGTCTTCTCATCCTGTGAGCCATGTGGACACACAGGCATGGTGTGTCGGTGACAGGTTTTGACTCTCCTCTCCACTCTAGCCACTGGACTTTAAAATTCAGCAGGACCTGGAGAAGGGGTTGAACCTCCAACCTCAGGAGTCTAAATCAGTCTGTTTTCCTCTGAGCCAGAGAGACAGGTATAGGTCTAGGTTTGTTGTCAAAGCTCTGGAGAACACCCCAAAGGAGGCCTTGGAGAAAGCTATGGGGACTACCATATTGGAGGCGAGGCGACTCCCTCCCTGCCTGAACTTATCTGAAGTATTTTAAATGTACTGCTGACTAATGATACCTCAAAGCTTTTAGGCAGACTATTAAAGTCTCATATCTTCAAGTTTAATCACGACAGTTCTCTAAACACTCAGTGGAAATCAGGAACAAAACTTAACATCGTAAAGCCGATGAACTTCGACCTGAGGGAGACACAGGGTGGGGGGCAGGGGAGTGAGGCAGGGTGCTGATTAAAATAAAGAAAGACAGAGTCAGGAGTTTCCGGGACGGGTCGGGTAGCGACAGGGATTACAAATCCCTAGAATATAATTTGATGTCTTTAAAAAGACATGACAGCGCACATTAAAACATATAATTATAGCAGAATCACCACATTGACTCTGGATACTCTTAAAAAGCAAAATAAAAGTGTCTTCGCTTCTGCTGTCTTCTAAGACTTATAGAGAGACAGAGGGAGACAGAGGGATAGAGATAGATGGAAAAGACGTTTCATGCCAAAAGATAAAAAAGCAAAACCTCAAGGCCCCTCCTTGTCATGTTTTAGCCTTGCCGTTTGTTGAAGTCTAGCTGAATATCTGTGAACTTGTAGGCGTGGGCTGTGCGTGTTTGAAAGCAAGTGTGTCTTTGGTAACAATGAGGACTGTGTGCACTCGGAGTGTCTCGCAGATCCATGATGCAGTCGCAAAAAAAAGGGGGTTGAAAAAAAGGAAAAAAAGAGAAGAGTTGGGATGAAAGGATCCTCGCTGCCTCTCTGGAGGATGATGATGCTGTGGTGCATGCTGATGCAGAAACTGAATTTCATTTTTACACCATCACTGTGGCGTCTCTTATTTTCTCCTCTCATTTTCGTGCTGCTTTCTGTCTCCCTTACAAACTTCGCCGTTAAAAAGTCTCACTGTATTTTGTCTAAAGAGACTTACAGTGAGTAAATTTGGTGTAATGATGTTCTCTCTTCACAGAGCTGGATGTGATTCTGAGTCTGGTCTTTGTTAAAGCACACTGGCATTTTTCTTGGCATGCAAGCTGAACTTTTTCCTCTCCTTGGGTTGCTCCGTCTCATTCTGCTGTTATTGTTCGGGGTACTGGAGCACAATGATGTGAGAAGCGCCTCTTATAATTTCTGGCAAATGGAACGATGAGGTGCCATCAGGCCTGTTTTTTTTCAAAGAAAACAAAAATAACATGGATCTGGCATTGAATCTCTTTGTGTCCTCATTTCTTCCTTCAAAACATGTGTCCCAGTGCAGCTGCTGCTTTATTTATTTGACATTGATTGGGTTCAAATGCTGTTTCTAGTGCCTGTGGAGACGCGCAAACAGACTGACAGGTTTCCGTGACACCCAAAAAAAAGACATCAAACTAGGACACACGTACATCCAGAAACAAAGACTTTTAATAAATGAAACAGTACTAATAAATAAAGATTAAACAAGTTGCACATTCAAAATAAAATCCAACAAAAAGGAACATAACACTGAACAGGAAAGTACAGTACCATAGCACAGATTATTAAAAAAAAAAAAAAAAACCCAACCCCTCAGACATTTACAAATTTTCTTAAAAACTTCCAGAGGCAAACATAGACATTGTATAAAAGCATCATACATGAGAGCATTTGTCATCTGAGTATAATTTACAAATTTTATTGAAGGATAAATACTTGTAGCTGATCTCTAATCTGACAAAGACGTGTGAAAACTGATATTTGAACACATGTATCTCAGGTTAGAGAGCAGCCGTTTTTTTTAGTGATCAATAACAGTGATGAGGTGACGATGAAGCAGTCCATCAATTCATGGGAAACTCACAAATTATCTATAACTGTAAATAACTTTGAATAGCTTTACCCACATTTCCATTGGTCTCTTCTCTGTTGGTGCATCATAGAATAAAAGTCAAGAGCGTCTCTGCCAGCGGATATGGCTACATCAGGCGTTTGTGGAAGAACACTGCAGCTGTCCTTCGTCCGATTCCCCAGACTCGGAGCTGTGTCAGTAGGGGGCAAACTTCTGTCTCTCTGGCTTTTTAATGCAGTTGGCTGTGGAGATTTTGGCGGTGTAGGCGGCCAGAGTAGAGTGGGAGGGTGCTGCGGTGACGGCCACAGTGGGGGCCGGGCTGGACAGAGTCAGAAAAGGGACAGACTTCACCCCCAGCAGGCCTGAGAGGGGCATGGCTCCGTACGGGGTGCCCAGCATATGAGCTGGGGTCAGGGCGCCCACGGTGGCCAGGGTGGGTGCAGGGGAGGCAGCAGGGGAGGCTGGCTGGGTGAAGGCCATGTTGAGGTCGACCGGAGCTGCCATGGTGGCTGCCTGGGCCGTGGATTTGGCGGTCTCTAAACTATGAGGGCAGAGAGGACGGGGGAGGACAGAATGAAGAATAGAGGATTATACTGCGGCTGAAACAGTGGGGAAAGTTTCTTATCTTTAAAAGGGGAGCTTCACTGACCCCTCACTGCAAAGCCTGCTGACAGGTCTACAACAAACTACGAGTTTGTAGCTCTAGAGAAAGACCTAGAGATGTAACCTGACAACTTCATAAAGAAAAGGATAAAAAAGACAAGAATTCTGCAAAACATTGTACAAAACAGTGGCATGAAAGGAAGAAAACACTCCAACCTCTACAAGGAGTCTAATACACGGCAGGCTAACATGTAAGCTTGCATACTAGCCTGTTCACAGGATGTTGACGTCATTGTATGGAATTCTAAGCATCAGGGTATCAGACCCACTCTGCATCTTAAATGACATGAGGAACCTAAAGAACATGCGAGTCCCATAACCACAAATGTATTACACAGCAGCTTTTTAGAGGTCTAGTGTGCGCTTCATATGACAATGACTGAGCGGCTGAATAACGTTGGGGTTGTGGTGAACATTACTACATTGCTAATCACTTCTCTGTGGTGACTCTCAGAGAATGTGGCCTGTTAGTGCGATACACTTCCTTAAATGTTTTCCATGACGTAATGCAGCCCGTAGTGAAAATAATATCCTCTAGGTTTGGCGCAACTTTATAATAGCCATCCAAATAATATAAATATATTAAGTATTTATTAAGCAGTATTCTACACAAGAGTTGCAACTTTAAAACTGTTAATCAGCTGAAGATGTGAAAAACTCTGTGTGATCAATTAAGTCCCTTGGGAACTAATTCTCACATAATACCCATCCAAATAAGATTTATAGCCTGTTAAAAGTCAAATTATTTACCCCTGACAAAGTATTAATGTTCTATGTAAATTAAAGTTTGGGATGCTGTATAAAGAATTTATATGAAGTATTAAATAATAAAGTGCAACTTGAATCAGCCATTAAAACCCCATTTTACAACCTAAAACAAATACTGAATAAAATACTTATCATAAAATGTAATAATGTGTAAATTAATGATTTTATTTGGCATTAAGTGCTGAAAAAATAAATCAGAATTATAATAGTAAGCCAACATTATTATCAATTTAAATAAAAATTATAAACTAAAGTGAATTAACTCTCAAATGATCATCAGTTAGTCGTCATTTAACCGTATATACAGTATACAATGGTTATTATAAAGGGTTACCACAGTGCTGCACCAAACCGTGACTGAGTCTGAATGTTTGTGTTTGAAAGCTGCTCGCTGCCAGAAATAGTTTCAGTGAACACTTTTTCTTTTTCCGCTCAGAAACATGCTGTCTTCACTTGAAGACTATTTTTACAGAGGAGCACAGAGCCCTGATAGATAGAGAGGCTCGTCACATGGTGCAACAATAATCACTTGAAGCTCAAAATCTGGGAAACCAGTAAGTGTGTGTGACACAGCAGCAGAGGAATTAATGAAGATTTTTGGCAGACATTATGATATCACGCTCCAGATGACCTTCTACCTTTTAGACATAAACCACTACTATCTCACCATTTTATCCTGTAGGGCATTGTGGGGACTTTTTAACCATCATCTCATGATTTCTTGATTTTTTTTTTCAACTTGTGTTTATGAGCTATTCCTTGCTAGTCGTCATAATCATATCTGAGTCTCACACACATTTTTTTATAAGGGTTCCCTGTAACTTCACATACAGTAGGTCTATTTTTTCCAAGTAATGATAATTTTGTAGAGTTTCATACTGCACAATCCTCTGTCTGCCAAAAAAAGGAACATTTGTTTAAAAAATAAATCTGAAAAATGATCTAAGAACATAATCATTATTTTAATTTTCACACTTGAAGCAGAGCACCGGGCTCTTTTTGGCTGCAGCACAGCCCCGCAGTAAGTATTCTTTTGTTTCGCTCTCTTTGTTTTTGGCAAACAGTAAAAGAAAAAAAAAAACATTGAGAGGTGAATGCATTTATCATCCCCACAGTCTCTACTGCTACAAGGCGCTAAATATCATCATTAAGAAAGCATAGTTCTATGAATTTGGCGCTCATATTTAATTAATATAAAGAAAGAAAAAATGGAGGCTAAATGTTGCTGCTGTATTTACTGTGAAAGCAGCTGCCTTCTTTTATTGTTCACACTGTTTCTTATTTATACATTGTCTCATTTATTTCTCTTTTTATTCTCTTTATTGCTTCAGCTTATGTAATCTGCATAAGTACTTTTATATGCAAATAGTCGTCCTGTTTTTATTTTTCACTGATTAAATGCTAAAACATTGTGTCTTGTGTTGTGTCACAATATTTACGGATGGAGACAGCTGATTAAAAACGACATGCCAGAGCTTCACTGCAGACAACGAATTCCAACAAAATCACCGCCTCCATGTCGAGCTGCACAACCAATCTTTCACTCACTCCCTCGAGGCCAATTACCAGCAGCACAAGGACATACCTCATTATCACTTATCACTCTATCGAATGACCTTTGACCCTTTTAAACCAATGCCTTTCTTTCTCAGGCCTGCACTCGCAGTGATTCATTAGACGCCTGTACACCGGGTCTTACCAGGAGGTAATGAGGTACTGGGCCAGGTTGATGCTGACCGGTGTTCCTGTGATGGTGACATGACGGTCACTTGTCCCATCTAGCTGGCTGCCAATTTTAATCTGAGCACCGGACACCTGCCTGATCTCGTTGATCTTGGTGCCCTGCCGGCCGATGATCGAGCCGATCAGCTGCAGCAGAGAGAAGGTGAGAGGGGTCAGGTGGTTAGTTAAAAAAAAAAAGATGAATCATCCTGTAGATACACAGAAGAGGAATAGGCATTATTTATAAGGAAAAGGTCAGCAAATCACTGAACAAAGCTTGAAATGAAAACAATTGAACAGAATCCAGAAGAGGAGAGGAACCAAAACAAAAGTTTGCACCCTTATTGAACCGACTTACTGCAAATCCACTTCAAAAATTGAAATTACATTGTCTTCAGTGGATTGCTCATCCATCATGCATGTCAAAACCACTTACCCCCACCCTTACCCCCCACCTCTGAGTCTCCCTTAATTGCTTCTGCACGTGCACTGGTAAAAGAGACCAGAGAAGGCACATTTGCCTCTCATTAATCTGAGTGGCTAAAAGGTTATTGATTCCTCAGAGTGGTGATGACTTCCCAAACAAATCACTTCCCAAACGCACGCCCGGCGAGATGCATCTCTGCGCTAATGGAAAAACATAATGGGAAAATAACTCCGATATATAATGTACAGACCTGTCGGCTTCTCCCTCAGCCGGGAGTGGATTAGACAATGACATGGGTTTTTATTGTATTCCAAAATACATTATCACTTTTGTTGTGCTTTCATTAGCCAACCTGGACCCCCGCCTCTTAACACTGATAGATATTTAACAGAGCAGGAGCCCAAGGAGTGCATATCAGCTCAAGTGCGCAGTGTCAGAGCTCGGTGACAGGGTTATGCTGCCAGATATGCATGTGAGTGAGGCAGACAGTGATGAAGTACTTGTCATATGTTTGTGTGTGGTGGCAGCTAAACAGCAACCAACACACAGGTCCAAAAAAACACACACACATATATATATATATATACACACACATATACACACACACAGAGTGTTCATGCTGCACTTGTCTCTGCGTTTTGCATTCCTTTCCTGAGAAGTAAGCAGCCTGTTCCACAATGTCTGATTTGTCACACAGCGACCTGTTTGGTCCGCCCGGCTATTATTGGCTCAGCAGTTTATTCATGGGAGGGGGGCGGAGCTTCAGAGGGACCGATCCTACAGAGCAACTCCAAAGACAATAGCCACTACAGACCTCAAATCACAGATAACAGCCCCCCTCCCCTCCAAGCCAACACCTCCCCTCCGAGACCAGGAATCTCTTCTGGACCCTGGGCTTTTAAAGCAGCTGTCAATAGACGCCAGCTGTCAACAGCTCACCCACTTTGGTGTGTATGACCTCAGACAACAGCATTCCTGTATGAACAACCTTAAAAAAACAACACTTTAAAATTGCAGCCAGAGCTAAATAAATCTCACAGGAGGCACCTCAGGTATGCTGGCCGTGGTGATTACTTTTCCTGAGTGTGCGATCATTAAAGCTGCCTCTGCTCTTCATATTAGTGGCCTATATTTTGTTGAGTTCCTGCTGAGGCAGTCATTTGAAAGGACAACAGGAAGAGGGATGGGATGTTGAGGGTGCAGCCATTTTTCTTCAGGCTAAATCTTCCATGTGCAGAAGAAGTACGTAATATTCTGCTGACGGGGTGCGAGCAGTTTTAAATGCATCTGTGTGTGTATGTGAAAGTCCCCTCTGTGTTCAGTGTGTGTGAGCACACAGGGCGGGATTGTGTGGAGGGAGCGCGCTCCGCCTGAGGGAGGACGGAGGGCTGAGGAGGCTCAGTCATGGCTGTAAGTCCTCTCTTCTGGAACAATGGCTGGAGCTTACAGCTGTCCCTGTCACGTATAGAACTGGACTCCCTCAGTCCTCTGATGCATTGTGCCACTCGCCACGCGGGGGTTTACATGGAAAGAAAAAAACCTGCAGGCATTTTAGAAATGTTGCTGAAGGGTTTAGCCTATAGCTGATACAGTACAGAGAAACTCATCAGTCTCTTTTGTCTATTTTAAAAACAAAGACAGCGAAGCTAGAATGTATGGTATCTCTGTCTGAAAATGTCCTCTTTGCTCGGGCATAAAATTTGAGATGAAGTTTTATTTTTTTCCCTTAAAAGACAAAAAAGCAACTGAACAATATAAACATATGAGAGTCTTTTGTCCCGTACATGTTTATCTCCTCTTGCCCTCTTTAAACAGCCAAATGTATCACTCAATAAGAGGCATGAGAAAAAAAAAAGGCTGTATCTGACATCTACCCCTCTGCCGGTTGATTCAGACAGTAAAAATAAATATCTAGAAATAGTCCCTCCTCTTGTTGATGGTCTTGTTTGCTTTTTTAGGTCATAAAAAGACTTCAGTGTTAATTTCAGTCTGTTTCATAACTCACTAAAAACTCCTCACAGGAGCTTTAATGAAATGTTTCATGTCTAAAAAAGGAAAGTATCAAGAGAGCGTATCCTGCGCTGTTTTGCATATTTGTAGGATTTACGTCATTTTCAGAGCAATAATTCACCCTGGATGATAATGATTATGCTTCATACTGGATGTAACATCTGCAAATTAAGTTATACATTATAAATGGCCTAATTATAAATTTCACTTCAGAGGAAAGCTTCCCCCATCCCTCATTTTTCCAAAAACGAAATTCAATAGGAAGCAAATTACTGCAATTAAAAGCCAGATGCTTTCTGTCCAAAACCAGCTGAGCGGATTACAAGAGTGACCAGCCGAAGGGAACTGCACGCGGTCTTTTTTTTTTTTTTTAAAGTGAACCTATAGGTTTGTGATTTCCACTCTCAGTTTGGAGAGACATCTCATCAAACCCTGGCGGAGGCTAAGTGAAGAGGGGAAAGGATCTTTGTCTGTTTTCTTATTGGCTGTTTTGACAGCAGACAGCCTCTAAGTAGGTCAGGGAACATGAGAGGATTTACTGAGCACTCATGGGAGTCACTCTAAGACACTGCAACTGCAGCACAGACAATAATGCCAAAGGATCCATATCAGCTCAGAATCCCTTTAACCTTGGGTTAGTCTGAGGTTAGAATAATGGGGATAATTAGGAAGTTGCCAACATGTCTGCCATCTCTTTTGAAGTCTCTGCAGATGCAGCTACTGCATCTAAAAATCTCCTGCTCCTTTGCTGTGTACATGTGAGATGAGCGATGACTTCCTGTTTTTTTTCCCCCCTTCTTGTTTGTCAGATGTGAAGGCAAAAACAACATAAAAAAATGAAACTCGGAAAGTAAGTTGTTGTTCTTCTTACATCATTGGGAATAAGCAGCTCCTGGGATGTCTGAGAGTTGGAGTCCATCCCTGATGACAGAAAATACAAACATCCTCAGAATCAAATTGACATATCAGACATTTTATTATTCATTCAACTCCTTTAGTCACAAAAATACACTATTCAAATGCCGAAGAAAAAAAAGCCTTTGAGCGGTGAAGTGCTAGATATAGTAAAGCAGTTAATTTCCATTTTAATGGACTGATGTTTAACGCGGCACTCATTCTTTTCTCTCACCCAGTTCTCTGACTCTGCCGAACGTATCATTTCACATAATAGTTTCTATGAGAGAGCTATAAAGCCGCTTCTCCTCCCTCCTCACTGACACAAGCTCATAATCAGTGCGGCTAATGTAAGCGATTCTTTTCTTCTCATGTCTGGAGCAGGTTGAAAATCTTCGGCAAGTTACAGATGAAAGAGCAGAGCAAAGACGAAAGCAAAGACCGTTTGCTTTGTTCAATCATTTGTTCGACTTAAGGGACAGAATCCAGAGCTGATACTGACGTACGTACCAGGTATCATAGTGGAAGCAGGCTGGGCAATGGGACTCAGGCCTTGCTGCATCGACAGCTGATGTAGCTTGGCCAGCTGCAGAACAGAAAGCAAAGCATAATGCACTAAAACTATAAACTACTCATGTTGTATTTAATTATGATATTTCCACAAATGGCCGTACCTCAGAGTGTGGAATGCCGTATTGGTTTTGCAAAGTGTAGGCCTGGAAGAGGAGAGCATCCTGCATTAGGTAAATTACAGCAATAAAACATCACGCACAGGCAATAAATCTGCTGCCTCTTAATGGAAGTGCTTCACTGTCAATACAAGCCTGTTTTTCACAATAAGAAAAATGAGTTTTTGCGGTTTAACCCTGAATTTAAACAGAGAGAAGGCGATCAAGCAAACAGATCGTATTTTTCAGACTCACATCTTGATCACTGCAGAAGCGAGCCACACTTTTAAAATATTTTTGTTCGGGTTTTTGAAGCAACGTCAGACTTTCTGCCTCCGCCCTGATGCAATGTAGGTTAATGGAAGTTTGTTCTCCCAGCATAAAAGATGAAATATAAAATATTCAACAGGAACATTTCTTTCTCGACAGAGTGTACCCGTTACTCGGGATAATCCACAGACCTCAGTGTGGATGGCTTTTATGCGGACTGTGAAGTAGGTTTTGTGAAAAGTTTTGGTGGACTATCCTGTCAAAGAAAAGTCAGTTCATTGGACATGTGTACTTCGTTTATCGATCCAGATTGAGTAATTTCATATTTTGATACTTCATACATCAATCACATTCAAATCTAATGCTAAATTCAAATGCTTTGTACTCAGACCTGTGATCAAATACCTGCAAATTTCCTCTACTATACTGGGGCGACACCAAGAAGCCCACCATGAGAGGGGGGAAAAACAACTTAAATTGTTTATATGACATGCAAAATAAAACAAGAGGTGAATAATTGAAGTGTACTGCCCCTTTAAAGGATTTGTCAGAAGCATTCATTAAATAAAAATAGTCCCTGGTTAGAGCCGTAACAGATCACTTATGCGGTCATGCCGGTTAGCTGAAAGTCATGTAAAATTCAGTCCTTGAATCTATCTCTGAAAATCTCTTTGTTTTACTCAGGATAGAGGATAAATTTCCCGCTTTATTTATACAAACAGTCGCCGGTGTTTGACCCGTGCAGTACTCAGCCTTTTGCCCCATTTCTTTGCAGTAATCTCTCTCGCTCATTTGCGTTTCTTTCATCGTCTGAAGCTCTACCTGAAGCATCACCCATCCCCCTCCGTCATACTGAATTATGCAGACTCACATATGTTAACCCCCTTTTCTCTCTCTCTCTCTCTCTCACTCAGCCCATCCATGCTCACTTTACTTTCATTAATCTTCACTTTTGTACATCTATCTGCAGTATGTAACCATGCATCTGTGTCCAGTTATCAGTCATTGTCTTTCTGTCTGTCCTCCTATCTCTCTCTCTATCTGCTCTAATTCAATTCCCCCTGACGCCAGCAGTCTGGCTACTATTCCTACATGGTCATAAACTGAAGAGGAGATCCTGGACATTATGGTGCATCAGCACATTACAGCTTTGTTTTTTACTAGGAAAGAACAAGAACAGATCAAATCAGAAGCATTAATCCTCTCATTTGCAGCATGAGTGATCAAGATTGTAAACTTTTAAAACTCATTACCCACAATTACATTTTTTCCCTTCAAATCCACGGCCTGATTTTTCAGAGGCTTATGCTCCCATTCTGATATTATGACAGCGTCTGCTATTGCTGTCATGGGAGGAATATTCGTAAAGCCGAAATGTTTCTGGTGCAGAGCTGGGTAGGATTTAAAAAAGAGCCGGCAGAGCTGCGGTAGTGCTGTGTGATGGCATCGTGTTTCAGGAGGGGGTTATAGCTCTTATGACAGGGGGGTAGAACAATAGCTACAGCTTACGCTCAGCTGTTGTTTTTAATGCCTCGCGCCAGATGATGGGCTGTGTAAATTTGGACATGCCATACAAGCCCTCGCTCTCATTTGCCACCCAGCTCCACACGGCCCTTTAAACTCACTCTCGCACTCCTCTCTGAAGTTAAAGATCCGGTGTTTAAAAGAATAAAAGGATATCTTGTCCATTTACCTGCTGGAGGTCCAGGCCACCCTGTGTGACTGAGTAGAGAGGGTGGGGTGCAAATTCTGACGCCTCAAACACCTTCAAAACAGAAGAGAAGCACAAGGAGAAAATATGTAACTCATTACTGATAAATCTTCATATATACATCTGCTTACAGTTGCTATTTTTGGAACCAGAGTGGTGATTAGAGGAAGTTAATATGTGCTTATGAGCTGAACCCTCCGTGATAAATTTGACGTCAAAATAATGAGTAAAAACCTCCAATTCCGTATTTTTAGGCTCTCATTGCAGATCAAATTTGTCCCAAGATGGTCTCTGGAGGCAGCATTTCTGACACTTTAACACACCTAACAGGCTTATAGGCCATGACTCATCCTCAGACCCTTTCCCCATTCCACTCCATTTCCTCCTCTGACAAATTACACAAACATTTCTTATCACTGCGCAGCCTTCATTAAAGCCTTCTCCCAGTGACCACTGCCTCGCCCGGGGTTTAATTTGATAGCTTATTATGGGGAATATCAAAAACACAAAGCCATTCTGTAAATTGAGCGGAGTCTGAGGCAGCACAAACAGCGTCAGAACTGCTGACAGCTATGCAGAATATCTGGCTGCTGCTGTAGCTGCAGGAGACGGCAGGCAGACCTCCAGGCTCACTCGCTAATCTTGTGACTTGCTCCATGGGAGGGCGGATATCTGTCCCTTCTCAAACAGCGGCATCTGCACCACTCAACCCCACTCTCACACACTCTCCAAAACCACCCAATCCCCCACTGAGGAGCACCTATGTGTCGTGTTTCGACAGTGAGCCAAGAACAAAATATTTGATCGATGGTGAAACCCACTCCTGAAGCTCAATGATGCTGACTCTTGGCTCTGTGTTGGTAGGGAAGGTTAGCATGTTTGCAGTTAATGCTAATCCACTGTCATCCATGTAGACACTTTATTAGGTTTGCACTGACATTTCTATGCAGGTATTGAATACGGTAAACACAATCATGGTGCCTAAGCTTGAGCTATAATGACCACAGTGATCCTTATTTTCCCCATTTTGTGCCTTTAGCAGGTTAAAGTCTCCCCTTATCTCTTTTGCAGCACCACCACCAGGTTGATGAGAGTAAATCACAGTCAGCTGATGCTGGCTAGTTTTAAACAAGGTGTTTAGCTTATATAGATAGAGTCGGCGACAAGCTCTCATTCCCTGAAAACCATACCCACCATGGAGAAAAACATCAACAACAACCAAGTGCTGACAGCCAAAAAAAACATCATATTTAGCATGCCAAAGGATTATTTTAGCACCATATTTGTAACACAGGGGGGGAGAAGTACACAGAGTATTCAGTGTAGCTCAGTCTCCTATCTGCTTTCCCTGGAAAATTATACCTCACTGTATACCCAGAGGTGGAGTGGTATATTTTATAACAGGACTGAGCAATTAATCATCATTTCATCATGAGCATTTGTAGAGGAAGCCTCAATCTATCTTAATATACAAGAAAAGTTGTTCCATGTGAATAAGCAATAGTTTTTCATTCAATATGTATTATGGCCGCAGTTTGACATCATTTACTCTTTCTGAGGATGTCAGGCAGGTAAACTCTGTGACCTCTTTTAAATCTCTTCTTACACTCTGAAACTATCCTTTGGCTTTTGTTCTACATGTGTCTGAAGCCTTGAATTACTATTAAAGTATTGGATATTACTTGTTTGCAATCAGTTGTATTTATTTGAATTTTTAAGATAAGCTAAGAAGAACTTTATTTATCCTTGGGGGGGAAATTCAATATAATAAGATAGATTTGAATAGATTTTATTCACCTTGTTCGCTGATATATTGCTTTTTTTAATTGGCCACAGCCGTTTACAGCTTTTGATTTTTTATTTTATTTAACTGTTTTTAATTGTTGATCATTTTGCAACTTTTTTTTGAGAAGAAATTAATAAATATGTATCTATTTTTGTTATTTATCCATTTATTTAAACCTGTTTTATTTTATTCTATCTATCTATCTATCTATCTATCTATCTATCTATCTATCTATCTATCTATCTATCTATCTATTTGGGGTGCGTGGGGGCTTAAGCTTAAGCTAGCTTTCTGCGACCCAACTGGAGCCAATTTAACAGTGAAAAAAAAAAGGATAATATCCAGTGATATAATAACACATCACATATTTTCCCTGTATTGTGAAGGCCTATTAGATCATACTGGCTAACCAGATAGGATGATCAGACCATAGCATAATCTAAGCCTCTATTTCTACTTTTTGCTCGGCCAAACCAGCAACTGTGACTCATAAAATAATAAGCAAGGCGCATACCCTCGGCTCTTTCAAAGTTACATCCCTGATGTTATAAAAGATCTAATAAAAGCTTGGCATGAAAAGAGCACAGAAAGCCTTTATGTGCACACTGAGCATACCAACTGTCCCAATCCCATAGCTTTCCCTTTCTTTCCTCCTACTGATGCATCTTTCCTTATTGCCTGTATCCATTTTTGTCTTCTAAGAGTTCAATTTTACTGTCTAGCAGCTTACAAAAACTTAGCTCTGGGTTCTTGACCCTGCTAGAAGTTCATCCAGCCACACAGCAGGTTTTACATCACTGTATTTTCTGTGTTTTCTTCACCAGAAGACGAAAGAAAAAGGAGGAACCATCACAGCATACAAAGTAAATGAAAAGCGATGGACTGTTTTTGCGACTGGATGTGGCAGGACTTAATTGTTTTCACTTCCTATTGATAGAACTGCTAGAATTGATCACGATAGTCATGTTTCCCAGGAGATGAACTGCAACAACTTTGGTTGTCCATCACCTTTTTCTCTCAATACCACACAGAGTTACCACTTGAGTTACTTCAGTTTTGGTTTACCAGAGTGCAAAAAAAAGATGGAAAATAACCAGTCTGTAAGACACGCTGTCACACCTTGTCAGAAGACTGAAGTAAATCAGTGACATTCTCATCAATCATACTCTCTCACAGAACCGCTACCAAGGATATAGAGTTCTGATTTTGTTTTGTGATGGCCTCTAACCCCCTCTAAGCATCTGACTTTAAAAGAAAAAACATGAATAGTATCAGAAAAATTGAAGCAAAAAGAATGAGATCATGAACTGTGAGTCTATATGTGCATATACCTGATAAAACCTGAGTGATACTTTGTCGAACTGCAGCAAAAGACAAATCTATAACACATGCAGCAGTCGCCTATGAACGATTGAGCTCAAATGAATGTTTATGAACAGATATCTGTGTGTAAGTGCAGCCTAAATTCTCAACACCAACTACCTTCTGGTTTTCAAATTGCTCACAGGACTGTAAACTCTGATGACACACAAAGTCGTGACTGAGAGTCCCTCTTCTTTAACCGCTAGCTACACTGGAAGCCATGACATATTGGCTGTCTCCGCCAGAGGCCACAACATCATCGGAGGAGAGCCACCGGGTTCTGACATTGTTTTTTTTTTTTTTACTCACTGGCTTATTTTTGTGGTAAAATTTCACTCTCTCACCTGATTTCCTGCGATAAGGACTGCAGCTGGTGAGGGACTCGGTCGATAGGGGATGGTGGCACCCTTTGGAGGGGACTAAGGAGGAAAAACAACACAAAAACACTCATAGACATGAATCCACATGCTCTAGGGTGTCATCAGCATCAAGAAAGAGCCACTTAATGTATCTGTTATTAAACTCTCCAGTACGTTAAGATACAGCAACTAAACCACTCCTGATGCAAGTATTATCCCCGTCCTTGTTTTCTTTGATATTTTGACTCATTCATTGAATAATTGAAGTGTTAAACTAAGATTTCTTGGAGGATAACCGCTCTGAGCTTCGGTTTGCGTTGAAGCTGCGGGCCCTGCAGCGGTTCATCCTCTGGATAAATCAAGCACCCACTGACAAGCAGAAATTTAAAGATAAAATTCTTCAAACACCAATCAAAAAGGGGGGATTATACAGTGTACACGACACTGTATATCTTATCGAGTGGCTGCAATGTTCGTGATACTGTTTCAGGATTGAAAATGTAGAGCATCTTTTCTGCCGCAGCAGTCACAGCAAATTCTTTGTATAACTTTGCATAATTTAAATCTTGGAGCCAAAAGCAAGCGGCCGCTGGTACAGAATCCTAATGAAACTTGGAAGCCTTTGAAGAAAGCCCTGGAAAACTGGATCAAACTAGCAATTAGTCAGTCAGGTCCAGCTGCGATGCTAAAACAAAAAGGACTTGTGCACTTCCATGAACACACAGGGAGAAACTGTGCTTGGGGTTGTTTTTTCTCTCATCTCCTCCTCGATTTTCTCAAGAGAGCTGTTGTCCAAAGGTGGACAGATTTCGCTGCGGGGAGATTTGTTTTCCGTTAGCAGCTTAGTGTCCTCTCCGACAATACCGAGTTCTGACCTGAGCTGCACCTCTTGGCTCTGTCGGCTGTCTTAACCCGGCAGATTAAAGCAGTGAAGGTCCAAACAATAAAGGAAGTGTGCTCTCTCTTTATGTTTCCTCTGTGAGATGAAGATAACGGTACTGACTCCCCGCTCTGCAGCACTCTATATCCAGTCGACTTCTTTCAGAGGTAGCATTACATAACACACAAGACTTCGGCGGCCTACTAAAAATGCATTAACTTCTGCTGCAGTGGAATAGACATTAACTTGTGAAATAAAACATGCATATTAACAGCAATTATTTCCGTCACGTAGCAGCCGCAGCAGAGATCTGACAAAATGTCAGCGAGGTGAATGAAAAGAGGAATGGGACACTTCCTACCTCCAGGATTACCGTGCAGATGAGCTTGACACACTGGATTACAGAGTCCTGATTCCCAGATATCGTCACCCCTCGCTCGGTAGAGTTGGGCAGCAAATCCCCTGCCACCTGTATCTGAGCTCCGGTGCTCTGCAAATGATAGGGGTTTAAAAAAAGAGATTAAGTTTGATTCGACAGACGAGACCTGCCATGATAATATGGCGATGGCTGTCTTCTGTGATTCCCATGCTGGCTTTTTAATATCTTATGTTTTCCCACAAACACTGACAGAAACTACGCATACTTTGTTTTCAATTTTTGATAGAAATACAAAGTCATCCATGGTCAGCAGACCTAATTCTCCCAGTTTTTGGTGATTCGTTTCTGCTAAAGCATGTCTGCAGGCCTGAAGCACATGCTCTTTATGATTTATCTATTTGGTCGATGTCTATATCAGGCTGCAGTGTTTCTGGAGGCCATTGTTGAACCACACACATAACAAAATGCTTCTATATGAGAGCTTGTGTCCTGTGGCAACCAAACAAAACAAATCTGTAACTGAAATAAAGAAAATCTGTCTTACCGCAGAAAATGAGAGCAGCTCTATTTGGAGATGAGTGCAGAGCTAAAGTTACAGAGTCAGATGTCTGCGGCAGTCGATCTGATCAGTTTAATCCTGATGTTTCAACTGAGCCTCAGTGAAGTCAGGAGGTTTTCCTTTTTAAAACTGGCTCTGCTGAGTCATCTGTCCAGACTATGTTGTCTCATGCATTTCCTGCTTTTATCATCGCTTATCTAATTTTAGTTTGATATCCACACCACACAGAGATGTTAACAGCAATAGGATGGATTCACATGTAATTGTTGGGAGGTGTTCTTGGTCTCCAGGGGACATGACCTGACCTGAATTTTTTGTGAAGGTCAATAGGTCAAAATTTTCAATATGACTAGGATGGTAGATTTTGGTCAAATAACTGTAAAAGGATCAGCAGTATTGGGAGGAGTTTCACTAAGCTCCTACAAAAAAACATTTTGGGAGTGAATGTTTGTGCCTCCAGCAGACAAAGTAGTACCCTTTTACTCTGCACCGATATCCAGAATATGTTTGAGTCATGTTTAATGACAAAAAAAGTCCTGCCTCTGCTTGTCAGCATTCAACTGCAGCCCTTATTTTGAGTTGTTGTTGTGTAAAACTCATTTAGCAGCATAGAGTTAATCACTTCTGACATGTACTTGCCGACAGAGTTTACAGGCACTCATTTATTACAACGTAGAAACAATCACTCTTGTTCCTCATGGTCTCATTTTCCTTTGTATGTGATTAAAAGTCATAACTATTAATTTATCTGTTTTACAACCAGCTAACAACTACTCACAGGAGCTTTGTGATGCTAACAATGATCCAATAATGCTAATAATAACCTAATAATCGGCTCTGTTTCTTTGTATAAAAAAGACATGCTAACTAACTACATGTCAACTAAAACTCTCAGGTCCACAGGTGGTTGTCTCCTGAGTGAAAGCAGGGGAGGCAGTATTCAGCCTTTATGCCCACTCCACCTAAGGACCCCAACATTGAGCACTTTTAAAAGTATTTATTCATTAGTTTATGCCTGTATGTGTGTACATGAGCAACTGTACTGTATGTGTTATGCTATGTACATTTTTAATATCTGTATACATGTATGTTTGTGAAATGCATGTCTGCTCCTTAATATACAAATGTGATTTAATAATTGAGAAGCTCATTGCATTGCCTTGTGTTTGACTTGACTTAAGTGGTTCAGATGATATAAAGAACATAGAGACCACCAAGTTTTTCATATACAGTAAGTAGTTGATACCAACCAAAGAATATGCATATTAGCATTGTTAAAGCTAGTATTTAGCTTTTAAAAGTTGGCTAAAAAGCTGTATTTTTTCATTAGTTTATGCCTGTATGTGTGGCCATGAGCAACTGTACTGTATGTGTTATGCTATGTACATTTTTAACATCTGTATACATGTATGTTTGCGAAATGCATGTATGCTCTTTAATATATGAATGTGATTTAATAATTGAGAAGCACGTTGCATTGCCTTATGTTTGACTTTTAAGTCTTCCAGATAATATAGAGAACTTGGAGAGCACCGGGTTTTTTATATTAGTAGCTGATACCTACCAAAGAATATGCATGTGAGAATTGTTACAGTTAGCATTTAGGTTCGCATAATTTGTGCACATTTTTATTTACTGTATATCAAAGGGCTCATTTGTGTTACTGAACATACGTGTTACTTTCTGGTGTATTTGTATTGGCTCAAAAAACGTAATTCAACACACTACTTTTGACAGTACTTGACAACAACATCAGATACATGAGCCCCAAGTGACCTAAAATGTAGCAGCACATAATTGCTAAAATAGCTCTAAGCTTTTTATACTGTAGCAACTGTAAATGCATCGTCTTTTTTGGTGTTTGATGTAAATCTTGTAGAGTTCGTTGTTAATTTTCATGTTTTCTTAGAGGGATAATCGAACGGATCATGCATCGTATAATATCGTAAGACACAGAAGTCAAAGATTCATTATTATAAACTAATTTTTGCGGTAGATAAATGAGATCATTTAACTTTTGAATATGAATATGCCTGGACTGCAGTAGTTCTGAATCAAATGCATATCTAAAACGTACCAGTGCAAGCGGTAGGACCTACACTCTAATAGGGCAAAAGCACAGCAGGGTAGAAAGAGCGGAATTGTGGTGAATGATATATCTCTTCCTCACAGCTGCAGTTTTTTTTTCCCCTCATCTGTGGGAGCAGCTTTGTTCTCTTCATATTTCACTGTTAGACCTTCCTGGCAGAGGAGGATGGAGTAGATTTGCGTTCTGGCTGCTCACCTCTCTGATCTCCTTTATCTTTGCCCCTCCCTTCCCAATGAGGGAGCCACACTGGCTGGCAGGGATGACCAGCCGCAGGGTGACTGGTGGCTTGGAGCTGATGGTGCCGTTGGCCACCAGTGTAGTCAGGTCCTGGAGGGAGATATAAGCAAAGAAGGAAAGTGGTGAGTGGTGGAATAGAAAGAGGAAAGAGATTCCCAGTGGAACTGATCAGGCAGCGAGGGTGAAGGTGGATATGGAGAGAGAAAAGCCACTGGAGGGATTAACTCCGACAATTAGGACTGTGCAGGCACTGATTTAGAATCGAGCTAATTTTATTCAACAATTTAGGATTCACATTCATCCAAACTCACTTTTGATTTCAGTTTCATCAAGTCTTCAATCATTGAGCACTTGGCTGACTGTTTTGAATATTGGAAATCAAACGGGGAAAAAAAAAAAAAAAAAAGAGAGTGAATCGCCAATTATGCCGAATCATGTTGAGCCAAATCAACACATCACTGCCTATTAGCAATGCCTCAGCACTGTGAGGACCTAAGCAGGCGCCATACATATGAGAAGCAGCCAAGCTCAATTTAAACTGCATCAAACGAATCGAACAACAGAAAAAAAAAAAGCCAATGGGATCTATACTGGAAATGGCAGGTGAAGCCTGAGTGGGGAGGAAGAGCGAGCAAAGAGCAATCCTGCATTTGCACCTAATTAACTTCTGCATGTGGATTCTTCCAGTGTATGAAGGAAACCAGGAGGCGGACTGATAATGTAGAAAATCCAGTCTAGTGTGGGGTCTGAGAAGGATGTACAATCCTCACGTGTGCTGCTGCTGCTGCGATGTCCATGAAGGGAAAACATTAATTGCAGCAACGTTATTGAGCAAAAACCGCACTTTGTGCCCTTCATCCGGCTGAATAACACTGAGCCACATCACATTGTTCATGTATCCTTCTGTCTACGAGCAACCTGAAACTGGTAACCTTGGGATTTCTCTTTGGTGAGGCCTTTTCAAAACAGATAAACGTGCGCATTTATCAGAAAAGTCTTTTTTATATCAGAAAAGTCACTTGAAGGTTCCAGGATCCTGATACAGCCACACAGTATTTTACTCTGGTTTTCATTTCTTTCAGTCCATCTGCAGTTGAAAATAAGAGTAAAGGTACTTACACTGTAAAAGAACGATTCTCCCATGTTTCCTTTCAGACAGCTTATTGAGAGTATTGATGCTTTTAAACTATATCAGAGTCATTTCTACTTCTTGTTTTCGTCATATTATGTTGAATTATTCCTTTAAAGTTGAATGTTTAACATGCAGTGAAGAGAAAAGGGGTTTTTATAAGCAAAGAAAAATGAAAAGGCAAATCCTTAAGTGTCCCATTTTAATAAAACCACTATGGTGACGGTCCTGCTTTACATAATTTAATGGCATAAACCTTTGAGAAAATGAAATCGAATGCAGAGGCTCGGTCCTTGACAACTAAAAAAATAAATGCAGCTTACATGACCTGATACTCACAGTTCACAGTAATATTCATACACCATCCAGTGTCTATGTGTGCTGTATATTAGTGAGTTAAAACCTGTATCTAATCAGTATTTGGATCAGGAAGCTCACTGTGTTGTGTTTTTACAGTGCAGGTAGCAAACATCCTGTGTCTCTGCTGGGTGGGTGGAGATTGAGCTTTTAATTAATGAACTGTGCATCTCTGTGAAGCTTTGAAATGTAAATACGCCGCGCTGTCTCTCTTCCCATCAGAGTTCAACCCACAACAAATGTGTGACAGAATGCAAAGCACGCTGCTTGTTTTTGAACGGTTAATGTTTGCAGTGAAATGCAGAGTTTGACTTAAGAAGGGGACAGTGTGGATGCGTAACCTCAGGGGATTTTACTTATGAAGAGAGCTGCATAATGTTTCCAATAACCGTAAACTTTGAATTTGAAAAGCAGATTCTGATGTGGCTCTTTTGCTTCTCTGCTCTGTGTCTATATTTAGTCAGGCAGATCAGGCTCTCTGACGTCTCGTCTCATTAGTAGCTCGCCTGTACAATCATAAGACTCTGGGCGTCATTTTCCGGATTTGATCTAAAAATATGAGCCACATCTTAACAACTGTGAAAGTTCTCATACTTCACTGTGCCATCCTTGCAAAAAAGAGTGAAGTGGAGGAAATAAGACAGCGGGTTATAAGAGCACTGCTCACACAAAGAGCCGCTGGGCTCAAATCCCTAAAGCATATTATATTGCTGCTGGGTTAGAACCCAAATGCAGATAGATTATGTTGCTTTCATGTATGCTGTGCCTCAACGTCTCAAAACAAAATACATGCATGCTACTTTTACATATCTACAGCTTCATTAGGATATCTTTTTACATGATGAGATCATTTGCATAACCTAGCAGCACTCATGTGGCAGCAGTCAGGAAGCACTTCATCCATAAAGCTCAGAAAAAACATGCACAATTTGCACAAATGATCGACTGCCAAATAAAAGAACTAAGCGAGCCTGTGCTCCTGTGTACTCATAAACTATTGAGACAGAAACAAACGCCAAGTCCAATACTCTGTGGCCAAAAAGCAGATTATTTCTCTTTGTTTTTAATTAAAGGTGTCACACAAACAATAACTCAACTATGGTGGAAAAGGCACGCAGTGGGTCAGCCAACGCGTTTCCATGGAAACACAAGAGGTCCAGGGTTGAAAAGAGGTGAGTGTGAGCGATCTTTAATGAATCCTGCTCTGTGCTCCCAGCCAGCGTGTGTTTACTGAAGGCTGTCGACCTGAGCAGGGAACACCTGTTTCATTGCCAGAGTCCGCTGTGATGCTAAATCAGAGTGAAGACAGCTCCTCACTTTGCCATTTAATTAGCGCGCTGATGGACAGTCACCATGGAGATTAATAGCAGGAGGAACTCTTCGTCTATAGCTCATTAGCAGAAGATGAGAAGATGTACAAATCCCTCTCAATAACAGATACAAATTAGTTTCATTAACACTCCCACTGACGGTGAACTACACATTGGTTAAGGTGAAATAGCCCAACAGATGACTCATTTACTGTACAATTCACATCACACCACCAGCGTCTTACACCTACTTTCAAATGCATCTATAGCAGCAGCTAAATCCACTTATCCTAAATTTCCCTCTGTGCTGTAATCTTATCTGAAAGCACATCCAGTGCTATGAAACACAGCTAAATTTTTCCTTCCATCACTTCAGTTTAGAGTATAATCGATAGCCATAAAAGCCCATTAGTGGTGATGTTGAGATGAAGCTCAGGAAATGATTTCTTGTAATAACCTGGTGAAATGGCGTCTTTTTACCTCTCACAAACAAACTCCTCAGGCCCCAAGAAGACTTTGACAACTTTTAAAGGCTTGGTACATGCAGACCCTTTTAGGACCGCCGCCATAATGACCTCACGGTATTAGCTGGAGGCAAAAGAAACAAAACTGGAGGCAGAAACGGGCTTGCTCGCCACCACAGGCTACAGGGTGACAGAGGAGTCTGGAAATGATGTTGTTTGGTGCTAGAATAGCAGGAGTAATATGTCTCAGAACTGAAATTCTACCTTGTACCAGCTGCCACTGCCTGCCAACAAAAACAAAGACAACTTTGGTTAAAGGAAATAAAAGCAAGGGTGTATTCTATTGATGGATGACATTTTGAGTATGAAGGGTGATCATTACCCTCTAACCGGAAATTGGAGATATTTTAAGAGCAATATTGGATTTCTCCTGTCTCCCATAATCACAGAAACCTGAAACCTGGACTATCTTGTCAAAAACAAGCCAAGAAAACCGGCCAACCAATGTTTCTGAAGGATATTTATTTTCCTTTAGCTAAAATCCTCACCACAATCAAACTAAATACTGTTTACTCACACACTAAAAGGGTCCGTAGTGTCTGGCTACATCCACACTTGTTTCCTTTGTAAAAACCCTGTGAGACATAATCCCTCCTGTCCTGGTTATAACATTTTCATCTGTGTGTGTGATGGCATTCACTTGCTGACATTACAGGGACAGTTACCTCCTCCAGTTTGTATGTGATCATGGTGAAAGCTCTGAAGACGCAGTCTGTGGAGCCAGTGATGGTGATGATTCTCTCCGGACAGGAGCCCTCTGAGATATTGACCCGAGCGCTGCTCTGTGGGGACAGAGGTCAACTGGGTCAGTCAATGCTCAGATTAACCAGGTTATATTTGACATCTCAAGAAATAAATAAATAAAATAAAACTCAAAACAAAAAAATGGCCCTTATCCTCTTTTGCTCTACACTTTTGGTGATATAGTTTTTCATTTTTTACTTTTTATCAAATGAAGCCCAGGTTAAAAGTTACAGATGAACTACTTTAACAAGAATTCTCAACCCCATACCTTCTTTGAGCATTTGTGCATTATCGTTCAGAGCAGTGTTGTTTTAGTTGACAATGATGTTGACGAAAATATTTCGTCAAAACAACACTGCAGAATATATGTTTAGCGTTTGACTGACGAAATGCTCATGAATTTTGCAACTCTGTTTGTCGTCCACCACTAACGTTTTCATCTAGTCTCGTCAACGTAAACGCACATTCGTCTCGTCACATTTTAATCATGTAAGACTTATGTTTAGCTCATTAACGTCACGTCTTCATCGAGGAAAAAAGTGGAAAACAGCACTAGTTCAGAGGGAGAGTCGCAGTGATGACACTCTGCTCAAACAGTGCACCCCAGGATGTCCTAAAAAAAAAAGAAGAAATCTTCTCAAAAATATTCTCTCTCTCAAAAATATGTCATATTCTGTTTTTATAACCTCATAACTTTAAAAAAATGAAACTGCACAGAAAAAAAGGACTTTAGCACAAACCAGTTTAACAATAAATACATGTCAACGCAACCTGGGGTTAGGAAAATGAATATGACTCATGTATAATTTTTAAAGTTAGTCCACAGCTCTATTCATTTTGTTATAGGAGGCGGGGTTTATGACTTATATTACAACCAGTCACCAGGGGGTGCTGTTCTCGTGGAGGTTTCGCCCAGTGGAAGACAGAAGACGTCCATTCTATATACAGTCTATACTTTGTTTCCTTTGTAATATCTCTTCTGATGCTGAGCTGAGTAAACATGATCTAAAGCCTATTTATTTGTTTATAAAAAGACTCAACAAAAGCAGATCAACAAAACTAAGCTAATGAGCTTCCAACTGTTTTTCCCTCATTTATCATAAGTTATTCTGACTTAGCTTCATGCTAAACCAAGCTAATGAGCTGCTAACTGTTTTTTCCTCATTTATCATCAGCTATTCTGAGTTAGCTTCATGCTAAACCAAGCTAACTGTCTTCTTTAGTGTTCTAAAGTGCCAACTAGGTTTGAATGTAGTTACTGTACCAACACGTGAGTGGTACTGTTCTCGGAAAGAAAGTACGCAGTATCTCCTAAAATAGCCAACCATTTTGTTCATCTTATTGTGGCCATGTTATCAACTATAAAAAGATCTGAAAGCAGCGAGAGGGGTGTTTTACAGTGCAGAGTCGAGTCAAGTCAAGTGACAGGAAGTAAAGTAGGAGAGAGGAGAAGCCAAACAGCACATTTCTGTGTCTCTGAGAGACTATCTCATAGTCTCTTCTCCGTTTCGCCCTCAGACGATCAATCCTCCTCCCCTCCCCCTCTTCCAGTTTGTGCCCTTGTGTTTCTCTGAGTTATAGTCACATGAGAAGACACAGGACAGTGCCCCAACCTCTGTGACATTTTCTCCGGTCACTCCACTGAGTCATGCTCCCTCTGAGGCTTCAAGGCCCCGGAGGAGTGAGTGACAGGTTGAGGGCCGTACAGTTGAGATGTAACAAATGCTCATAACAAGCCGGATGAATGAATGAACGGGTGAATGGTCGGACGAGCGGTTCACCCAGCCGTTCTTCAAGGCTGTATCGTCCCGTGACCTCACTCCTCCTCTGTTTATCCTTCTGCCTCATAAAGTAAAACATTAAGACCTCACAGCCAGAGAATCAAATGTAGTAGCACAGTGTCAGCCTAATTACGTTTTAATACAAAGAGTTAACCAAGCGGTATTAGTTTGGCTGTACCCTTGAGATTTATAAAGAGAGAATGGAGGGGCAAACAGAGATAAAAAGGAAGTTGTTGTAGGGAAGAAAGGAAAGAAAAGGGATTTAGTGAGAAAGCAGCCAGAGATAAGGAAGAGAATCATGAGGAGGGATGATTTAAATTGAAAAGGTGCTGTTGTCGCCCAGGAGGCAAGTTTGACAATGTTGCTGTTCAGGGTGTTTTCAGACAAACAGAGGAGTACCATTATTAATACATACACATGCTAGAAAGCTGAAACAGTATTAAACACCTTTTGACATGGATTTTCCAGCTGCAGTCAAAGAAAAAGACAGTACTCTAAAAATATATATTAGAGGACATGATGAAAAGTTACTTATTGGGAGTTTTCTTACCTCTTCTCGTATTCGTTTCACTGTCTCCCCTTTCTGGAAAAGAGGAGATGGAGAGAGAGAGGCTTTAATTGAATCAAATGTGCCTTGTTTAAAATGTCTTCCTTGACCTCTAAGTGAAACCTGACATTTAAAACCACACAAATCTGACGAGAATTTTGCAGAAGAGATTTTAAAAAAGAGCTTCAAAGCCTCTAAAGTATATCAAACGTAGCGCTGTGTGTAATTCCCAGATGGCTGAATAGGGAGTGTGCTCAGAGATCTCCTGCCAGGGACAAGAACATTTCGTCAACATCTTGTCCTCTGTTGGTTTTTCGGCTTCTTCTTCCTCCTGGTTCTTTTTGGCTTTTGTGCGTTCAAGCTGTCACACCTCTGTTCGTACCTTTGTGCAACTAAAGACTACTTCCTTACAGTAGCATCAAAACAGTGTCACATCACTGTGTGTTTTTTTTTAAGGAAAAGTCCATCCTTACTTTGGTGTTGGTCTTGTAATGATGGGAGGGTGATAAGAGGTTTGCCAAAGAGAAAGCACGGGAGGAAAAGCTTGGAGCTTAGAGTGGCAAGTTATTAGCTCGAGTACTGCAGATCAAGTGTCTCTCTGTCGAGCTGCACGGTGTGTGCCAAGCTCATCTCTCCATTTTCCTTTCAGTCTCTATTTGCTCCTGATTTCTGCAACACATTGCGGCATCCATTGTGACATTTCTCTCCAGCACTTGTTTTTTTCATCATTCGTCCCTGTTCCTGCTTCTATTGATGTCTTTTGTAGGTGTTGTATTACAGGGCGTGATAGCAGGAGCCACTGAAGCAACACAAGAAGCCTGCCCCCCCCTCCACAGACAGACGCTAAAAGTGCCACAAGGGGCCAACAGTAATACATCTTAGGAGCTCAGTTTCAACAGGGGGCCTGCCTTCAATGCACTGATGTTTTTGTTTGATGGATTACTGTGCTGCATTACGGGTGGTGGAGGGGGTGGCGGAGGCCTTAAGAGGTTTTGATATAAGGCAATTACATTCAGGACTGGGATATTCAAAAGAGCAATTGTTTTTTTGGACGGCTTTGTGCAATGTGTTGGTTTTAAAAAAGGGGAATCAAGGCAAACAGGAAATTATTTTTTATAAAGGCTTACTATAAATCTATAAAGGGTCTTTTCTCAAAAATAAACGGCTTAGAGCAATAAAAAATAGTCATAAATGTACTGAAGGTTTTACACAAGCAAATTTACCTCGTCTGGATAAAGACAAAAGATTATTATCACTGATTACTACTAAAATCACACACACAGAAAAACACTTTAATGAAACGATTGCAGCTTAACCCTCTAAACAGTATCCAATATTTATAAATGGGAGTCCAGCCTGATCCTGCTATGACTATTCAGGGCACAGCTGGAGGAAAAATACAGACCTCTCTGGAACCTAAATCAAAATTACAAAATGTTAAACTGTATTAGTGAAGAAATGAAAAGATTCCAGATCCACAGAGCTGGACTCTGAGAGGGATGTGATGCAGCAACTCAGGCTTGAACATTTTGACGGTATAATTCATGACTTTCTCCTTTGGTATATTTCAGTGAACACGGGGCCCATTTATGGACTATAATAAAGTTAAACTAAAAGCCTAAGCCAGCTGAATACAACTCTAATTCTATGTATAATTCTTAATCTATTACAATTGCTGCTTAGAAATGTTTCTCCTTTAAATTCACTGTAGAATAGATGTCAGAGAATAAAACATTGCAAAAGCTATGAAAACCTAAAAAATCAAAGCCCTTTAATCAGGGTCCTACACAGTTGAAATTTCCATACTTTTCCATACCCTACTCTTTAGACTTATATTTGGAAATACCTACTTTTCTATAATAGAAAACAGTATTTTATGACTGTGGTAATATAGTATGTTAACATAAATATTTTTCCATACTTTTTTTTTCATTTACCATACTTTTTAAGACCTGGAAATTAATCAAATTATTTCCATACTTATCACACTTGTCTAGGAACCCTGTTTAAAGCACCTGTTTAGAGTTGATGTCTGCATACAAGCTGCACAAGCAAACCAGAACATCAGCATCAAGACTATTTCCACTAAGTCATTTGTAACTGAGTAGAAGTGAGTAATAGTTGTTGTTGTTAATTGTCTGCTTCAGAAACAGCTTTTTTTTTTTTTTTAACAATTTCCATGACAGATTTCCACCAACACATACACTTCTATGTAAAACAATCATAAAATAGAATAGAATTAAGAATACTCACCTTTCCTATGATGCTGCCTACCTCCTATAAGTCAAAAGAGAAAGGAAATTACAAATCTTTAAGACAATCTCACAAAAAGCCACTTCTAATTTTTATAGCAACATTCCATAATTTACCACCTCTACGAACTCGCTTTATCATTTATGACGTGTCGGCAAATCTTGTGCCTAAGAGAGCCCAAAGTGCCTCAGCATGCACTCACTCATTCATGCACAATGAGGGCAGGAGCCTCGTACCTTTCCATGCATGAGCAGTCGTAGTGTGAGGGTCACTCCCAAGCCCCCATCTCCAAAGTCCTGCTCACAGTTCATAGTGGTGTGGGAGTGGCACGCAGGGAGACGCATGAACAAGGCTCATTCGCTGGTCACACAGTAAGACGAAGGCCAGTGCTTGTTCTCTGGCTCTCCGGAGTTCTTCAGTACGGATCTGAGGGAGCAGAGAACAACCAAATGTGATGATCAAGTTAAAGAAATACCATTCTGCCAAAGAAGTGGCTGAAATTAACACTAAAGCTGGTCAAAAAAGTAAATATTTTATGTGATATTTATCAGATATTTGATATTTTCTGTATATGCAACTTCAGTAGTTGTCGTCCTCATGCTGTCCCCTTCATGTGCTCTGAAATGCACTTTACTCAATAAATCAAGTGGATTTATGTGAAACAGAGTCTTTAAAGGTTTTTTTTTTTTATCTAACAAAATAAATGTGTTTGGTTTGAATTCAATTAAAGTAGGTCACAATTTAAGGACCATGGGGAAATGTGGGTCCCAGAGTGAGACCAGTTGAGAACCACTGATTTAGATCAATTCTCAGATACTGTATTCTTGAGCTGAATCAAAATGTATTGACTGGAGTGTAAAAGAAATGATTTGGATAAACATTAATTCTATAGGTACCTACAACTGAGAGATTACTGAATGAAAGAGATCAGGATAGACCCCTCCAAAGAAGTGAACAGTGTGATCCAACTCATAATCAATACATACAAAGAAACCAAAATTAGAATTGTGTCTGGACTATATAAAAAATTGATATCAAAAAGAAATAAAAATAAAAATGGGAATTTAAGAAAAAAAATCACAGATGAAGAGTGGCTAATATGTGGAAAATACCCCACACATCCACTAGTTCGCAGATCTGGAGGGAGTTCTCCTGGAAAAATCTAATACGTTTGTTTCATTTCACCCAAAATCAAGAGTAAACAGCTGAACAAAAATATACCTTGTTGGAGAGGCTGTGGAGAAATGAATGTGGAACACTCACATATTTTCTGGAAATGCGATAAAATCAGACGGTTTTGGAAAATGTTTCACGTTGCATTCTTGAAAATACTTGAATATAAGATTCCAGTGTCATGTACAGTGATGTATTTGTGTAACCTATGTGAAGAAAGTATAGGAACGAAAGACGGATACCTGGTAAAAATATTACTAATAGCAGCTCATTAAACGATCACAAAGAAATGGGGAAGGGAAGACGCCCCTACACAGGACCAATGGACTCACCTGCTAGAGGAAATCTACACAAAGGAAAAAATGACACACTGCTTAAGACTACAGGAAGCTCAATTCAAAGAGAAATGGATGAGATGGACAAAATTTATGACTGAACAGCGACAAAACAAAAAACTAGATTGAGTTAAAGAAAATGGAATATGGACAGATTGCTTTGAAAGTATATTTGTTTTCATGTATTTACTTGTACTAAGTGATAATAAAAATATATACATATGTATTGACTGAATGATGATCTCCAAGGGTGAAAGGCGGTCATGTAAAAGAGGATAAATTGAAGCCAAAATCTAACACATTAAAAGCCACTGAAAGTCTCTCTCTGTGAGGATCGACTTCATTAGTTTGACAACATGTACAGTAGTATTGATAGAAAATCCAAACAGTATCATAATGAAGACCACAGAGCGTGCAGGATATTGACCAGAACCGCCAACAGTGTCAGCAGTGTTTTTGTTTTAATCAGAGATTTGGGGTCGTCCTAACAGACTGTGGGTGGCCATGGGTGACTAATACTCTATCTGTGTCTTCATTTACCCACAGCTCACAGGGAGATGAGGGATTCTTGAATAAGATGTTAAAAAAAGAAGAGGAATGCACAACGTACCTTCAGATAAGCACTACATGAGAGTCATGCAAAGTTAATCAATTGGTTTCAATATCGTTTTCATAAATCTGAAAATGTTTAGTGGCATGTCATGGTCCTTGTTTTATCCTCTGCATCAAAGTCACTCAGGAGAGAAATAAAAAAAACTCTGTTATGGGGAGACAGAGCACAATTTATACACAGACAGCAAATGAGAGGCATCTGTACTGCTGCCAGAATGACAATGTGGCAGCGGCTACGTGCATGTCAGTACAGTGACGTACCCTATGATGATTAATGTGAGTCACCTGGCTGCTCACAGGCTCGGCTGGATGTGTAAAATTAGTTTATGGAATAATGCATGTTTCTCCTTGAGTTATTTTTGTTTACACTCATCAGCAGGTAGGTAAATGTACGAGATATAAATAGCTTCTGTGTCGACACTCTGTGACCAACAGGAACAAATGGCAACAACAGTTTCCCCTAGGATACAAATATGCTCACAAAAATGTTTATTTGGGGCTCTCATTAATGATCATTTTATTTATAATCAATAGAACTAATCATCAGGATTGTAAAATATCAGTAAATACTAAGATAAGATACACCAGAACATTTAAAAAACTCAAGCTGAAACCTTCACGTGTCTGTCTTGTTTAGAGCAACAGTCAAAAACTACAACAGATCCAGTTTGCTGTCACATAAATCAAAGAAAAACAAATTCTCACGCAAGAGCAGCTACATCAAGACAATGTTCTACCAGCTCTCTGGGTGGATGAAAAGCTTCAAAAAGCAGCTCCTCCCACATCCTGCGTCCAAAGCACTAACTCAGACAATCAGTGATTCACGCCCACGACATGAAGTGATAGGCCAGCTGCGTGCGGATGAGCAATGATCCTGGTTTTGAACTTCTGTCTCACCTCAAAATTCTCCTTTTTCAAAAATCAATTTTGTGTTTGTCTGTTTGTTTGCATGTTGACAATATAAGTGTAACACTAGAGATTAGACTTTTCACTCCTGTAGACTTGTTATTTATCATTTTTGGCTCTACAATTTAAGTTAAATTGACTTTAAAATTACTCAAATGCAGATTTAAGATGGTTGATTATGAGACAGTAACCCTCCAGTCAGTAACTTTATAATTTCAAATAATTCATTGACTATTTAAACTATTTACAAATATAAAACCCTTTAAATTCTAAACTATGTTTTCAGGTATATGAAGAATAAAACACACCCTTCAGTGCAATCTTTGATCTTTGGATGTTAAGCCCTCAAATCCGGCGAACAACAACAGCAACAGCAATAAAAGCTATCCTCTCATTTTTCACTCATCAAGGCCACTTGTTTGTCTGCCAAGTGCATTCCAGCCAGCCTACAGAGCCACTGTACACCAACCCACTACTCCAACCCCACTGACACTGCTTGACATACTCTTTGTGCATGTGAGCTTCATCTAAGTCTGCATGCTGTCTGCAAATTTGGTGAGCTGTGTGAGGAGATCATGTTTAATAAATGGATGTTATTTCAAATGAGACCGAACTCCAGAGAGACTTGTCATACTGTAGGTCGGTTTATTGCTTTTGCCTAGTGTGCAAGGCCATTGCTCCTCCGCTGATTTATTTATGCACCGAATGCTTGCAAAGACATGTTCAAACGCTCAAACACATCCTTCTTAAGATGTCACAGAGCCTGACTGCGCGTACCGGGGTTTTACAATCCCCACCATGGCAGCAGCACAATCTGACGCGCAGGCCCGTCAATACGCCGTAAAAAGTGGGGCAGAGTGTCATTTCGCCGGATTAGATCATTGCACCAAATCAAACTTCCTCTTCTTTTCTAAGAGACGTGCTCATGATTGACTTACAAAACTATCAGTTAGAAGCTCATCTCCATATAATTTCCATAAATATCAAACAAAGCCCAGGGGGTCGACTGAGAGATAAACAAAAAAATGGAACATTTTGCTCGCTGTCAGCCACAGATAAAAGACCAAACAATCACGACTCAAAGCTTGATCGATGCATCCTGAACACATGTGTTATCACTGAGCACATTTTGCACAACCCGTGGGCTAACTTCATTATCTTTAGGCACTGAAGGGCATGGCTAAAATGTTAGCACTTGATTGCATTAGGAGCTAATGGTTGGGGGGATCATTATATGCAGCTCTGTGGGTTGATAACAAGACATATGCTCTATGTCTTTGTGAGGGTGGTGAGCCTCTGAACTCCTCATTTCCAGAATCCAAGCAGCAGCGTTCCAGGATGAACAGAGCCCCTCTGTTCTAAATTAGACCCGGTAACTCAGAACAGGGAATTAGTGATGTGCGGGCTGCATCTCCGGGCTGCCAGAACACAGTCAGAGCAGGAAAGAGGCGGAAAGGCCGTCAGTGCTGTCACCGAGTGTGTAACCTTGGTCCTGCTCTGCCTCACTGCGTCGTGTACTCGTTACGACTCACTGCCTTTATTCATCTTTTATACACCGAATTAAGCATCACTCTGCCCAACCAAATGACTGACGCACAAACAAATGGACATAAGAGGCGAGTATTCAGTCTGATGAGGACCAATTAGAAATGAAAAATGAGTACGATCAAGATGAAAGCAGAAGAACCGGATAGCAGTTTGGGGTCTTTTTTATTTGGACAAATCCACTAGCAGCCACCCAATCACAAAGACTGTGTTCAGTAAGCAATAATGTTCGGTGAGTGGGTCATTACACGGAATAAAATCCATTCAAAGTGGACAAAACCCTTACGCTCTGCCCCCGGGTCTCATCTTAATCTGGGGGACTCTATTTCACATAACCACCCCCTCACTATACATTATCTCGCTCATTACCTGGCTATCGACTCAAAATACATAAAGGGTGACTCTGAGTATCACTTCAAAAACAATGACAATGATTTACAAATGATTTATAAATACACCTTTTAAAAAAAATCTTCAGTTTTGATGATTGTGAGTACATTCACAGCTGCTGGCCTGCCTGGGGTTAAACGTTTGATGTTAAGTTTTAATGTCTGGAAATAATCCTGCTTTGCTGTCATAAATATTATATAACTTCACATTTACATTCACATTAAAGTGCTAGTTTTAGCATTTTTATGTTGGCATTTTTGACAGAAGCAGAGAAGAACAGCAGCACCTGAATAAAGGTCATTATCACCGCAGGGTTTCGATTACCGTTTTCACTCAACCAGACGTGTAACTCTGCAGTTCCCTGTCTGTTTTTTTCAATTTGG